AAAACACCAAACAAACCAAATCTGAAAAAAATCCACTTTTTCATCAAATGAGTTTAATCGGTCAGAACATGAGGTTTGAGTTTTCATGAGGAGGAAACGAGAAAGATCTGCTCTGACAGTGAGAAACACAGACGTCTGAATTTACACTGACAGACAGAGAGACACAGACAGAGACACAGACATACAAACACAGACACACAAACACAGACAGAGAGACACAAACACAGACACACAAACACAGACACACAAACACAGACAGAGAGACAGACACACAAACACAGACAGAGACACAGACACAGACACACAAATACAAACACAGACAGAGACACAGACACACAAACACAGACAGAGACACAGACACAGACACACAAATACAAACACAGACAGAGACACAGACATACAAACACAGACACACAAACACAGACAGAGACACAGACACACAAACACAGACAGAGACACAGACACAGACAGAGAGACAGACATACAAACACAGACACACAAACACAGACAGAGAGACAGACACACAAACACAGACAGAGACACAGACACACAAATACAAACACAGACAGAGACACAGACACACAAATACAAACACAGACAGAGACACAGACACACAAACACAGACACACAAACACAGACACACAAACACAGACACACAAACACAGACAGAGACACAGACACACAAACACAGACGCCTGAATTTACACTGACAGACACACAAATACAGACAGAGAGACAGACAAACAAACACAGACAGAGACACAAACACAGACAGAGAGACACACAAACACAGACAGAGAGACAGACACACAAACACAGACAGAGAGACAAAGACACAAACACAGACAGAGACACAGACACACACAGAGACACACAAACACAGACACACAGACACACAAACACAGACAGGGAGACACAGACAGACAAACACAGACACACAGACACAGACACACAAACACAGACAGAGAGACACAGACACACAAACACAGACAGAGAGACACAAACACACAAACACAGACACACAGACAGAGACACAGACACACAAACACAGACAGAGAGACACAGACAGAGAGACACAGACAGACAAACACAGACACACAAACACAGACACAGACACACAAACACAGACAGAGACACACAAACACAGACAGAGACACACAAACACAGACAGAGAGACACAGACAGACAAACACAGACACACAAACACAGACACACAAACACAGACAGAGACACAGACACACAAACACAGACAGAGACACAGACACAGACAGAGAGACAGACATACAAACACAGACACACAAACACAGACAGAGAGACAGACACACAAACACAGACAGAGACACAGACACACAAATACAAACACAGACAGAGACACAGACACACAAATACAAACACAGACAGAGACACAGACACACAAACACAGACACACAAACACAGACACACAAACACAGACAGAGACACAGACACACAAACACAGACGCCTGAATTTACACTGACAGACACACAAATACAGACAGAGAGACAGACAAACAAACACAGACAGAGACACAAACACAGACAGAGAGACACACAAACACAGACAGAGAGACAGACACACAAACACAGACAGAGAGACAAAGACACAAACACAGACAGAGACACAGACACACACAGAGACACACAAACACAGACACACAGACACACAAACACAGACAGGGAGACACAGACAGACAAACACAGACACACAGACACAGACACACAAACACAGACAGAGAGACACAGACACACAAACACAGACAGAGACACACAAACACAGACACAGACACACAAACACAGACAGAGACACAGACACACAAACACAGACAGAGACACAGACACACAAACACAGACACAGACACACAAACACAGACACTCAGTGATGTTCCTCTTCGTCTCTTTGCTCTGATGACTGAAGTCACAAAAACAAAGTTTTCTTCGTCACTTTTCTGATTGAACCAAAGAAGTTAAAGAACCAAACTCTCAGATTTTCTTCTTCTCAATATTATTTGAACCATTTAGATTTTTCTCCTGATCAATATTCAATGATCAGATTGATCAGGTTCCTGTTTTGGCTCCAGCCTGGTTGAGGGAGGTGGGCTCAGTGTCCTGGGTGACTCTCTCTGAGCTCTTCTTGGTTGAGAGTATTTCTGGTTTGTCTCTGACTTCCATGAACTCAGATCTGGAGGATTGCTGGCTGGTCCGGTCCAGTTCTGACAGTAGAGACAACACAGTCTGTTATTCTGGGTTGAGTGTTCTTGTTGAAGATCAGTGTACAGTGAGGGATGAAGGCAGACAAAGATCCTCCTGTTTCCTCCATGTCACAGTTCAAGTTCATTTTCAAGACTTTGATTGATCCGAGCGCTGAAGAGGAACAGGAAACGTGGAGTAGAGAGTGAGGGAGGACTTACAGCAAAGGATCATGGGAGTCCAACCAGCAACTGCTGCAACAAGGACTCCACCTTCTGAACATCTGAACCTCTAATCCAAACCAGTGCTCCATCACATCTGATGTCTTGTCTGTTATTTTACATGGAGGGTCAGAGCAGACCAGATCATGAGCTCTGACAGACTGGATCTGGTCCAAAGGTCTCCTGTTGGAGTTCTCTAAGCTCCATATTTTAAACCTGAACACCTGAAGTTTGATTATTCATTATTTTTATCTACATTCTCTTTACTTTTTTCAGACTGAGGAACTGCAGGTTGTCAGAGATCAGCTGTTCTTCTCTGGCCTCAGCTCTGAAGTCCAACCCCTCCCATCTGAGACATCTGGACCTGGGTAAAAACAAGCTGCAGGATTCAGGAGTGAAGCTGCTGTGTGACTTTCTGCAGAGTCCAAACTGTAAACTGGAGACTCTAGAGTGAGACTTTTTTCCTCCATTCCAACATGATCATGATTTGTTTGTGATGATGACACTAAACTGCTGACTCAGGACTGAAATACTGACCCAGACTGAACACCTTCAGTCCAGAGTAGATTTTCTGCATCAGTGGATTATTTGATTGACTCCAGTTAGATCACTGCTGAGCTCCAGTGAATTAAAACCTGAACCCAAGAAGAAAACTCTTTGTAGAGTTCACAGTGAGAAGCACATTCAGACAGAAAACAGAAGCAGGGGGAGATTTGTCAGACGAGAACCATTCAAACTTTAGTTCAGGACAAGATCAGGGAACAGAAAAAACTCAGAGTTTAGTTTCTGACTCTGATGAAAGTCCAGCTCTGTTACTTTGAATTTTGTTTTTGAATCTTTGTGTGAAAATCTGAATTTTCTGGTTTATCTGCACTTTTCTGAGACCTTGCTGTGTTTAGACTGAAATATTTACCTCTCAAAGACGTGATATTTTTGGTTCAGCAAAGTGAAAATATTCTGATCATCCTTTATTTCCCATCCGTCCTGAAGTTGCTGACATTTTCTGAAAATATTGATCTGCATCTACAATCAGTAAAAAAGTCTCTGAGTTTTTTATTTCACTATTTAATGTGTTTTTGAATTCACTGTTTCAAACTGACTTCCTGTTTGGTTCAGCTCTTTGGAGCGTCACTTTTCTCTGATTCATACTTTCCAAACCTTTCCCCTGAACTCTACAGATTTAAGACATCAGGTTTCAAACTGGATCATTTTTGTCTAAAATCTCATTATTTCCTCTTTATTTAGGTTGAGTCTCTGCAGTTTGACAGAGATCAGCTGTTCTTCTCTGGCCTCAGCTCTAAAGTCCAACCCCTCCCATCTGAAAACTCTGTGGCTGATGGGAAACAATCTGCAGGGTTCAGACATGGAGCTGCTGCGTGATCTTCAGAAGAGTCCAGACTACAGACTGGAGACTCTGGAGTCAGTATAGAGTTGGAGTTAGTCTGTGCTGATCTCTCCTGTTCCTCTCCACACAGTATCACAGCAGATATTCAGTATTTCCTGCTGACTCTTCGACCCTCTCAGAGGATTCTTTCTTTAGTGAAGCTGTGAGAACAGAAATCATCAAACCAGGAGTGTAAGAGTGTCAGGGATGAAAAAAGTGTCTCCTCGTCTCTATATTTCAGATCAAATGTAGAAATGAGACATAATGAAACAGAAATGTTCAGTTTCTGCTCTGAAGTCCAGTTTATAGTTCTCTGTATTCAACACAGACTTTATTTCTCTGCTAACTTGTTGATTTTGAGCTCTAAGTCTGAAAACAGACAGCTGTTCTTTATACTTGTTATTTTCACAGCAGGTTTGTTCGATCAGCTTTAACACATTTGACAGGAAGGATTTCTTTATTTTGATGATGTTGGTTTATTAGTGAGGAAACCTGCTGCTTTACACCATCACTTCTGGTCTGAGCAGGACTGAGACCTGCTGGTCTGTAAACTGGATGTTCTTCAGTCCAGCTGATGAAGTGAGTCTCAGAGTGGAAACACTGATCGTCTGTTTTTCTCTCCTCAGATGGTGGTTTTAGCTGTCAGAGTGATTAAGAAGAGGATCATGTGTTTCCTGACGATCAGAGAGGTGGAGGCAGCAGCAGTGAGGGTGAGGTGAGTCTCTGACTGAGAGACTGACTGACCAATCACAGCAGGCGGAGAGGACTCTGGGAGCTGCACTTTGACCTGCTCTGAGATCAGCTCAGGACCTGGACTCTGGATATTTGATCTTTTCCCTCATATTCTGGGATCAAACAGTCTGAACAGGTTTGTTTTGTTGATGGAAACATGATCGTAAATTTACACTTTGATTGGATTACTTTGTTTTTACCATGATGCAGCGCCACCCAGTGGAAATATAAAGAGGTGGAGTTGATTTATTCCCACATGTTTCTGCAGCAGGAGTTGATACCATGTGTGAGAGTAGATCAGTCAGAAGTTCAGATAAAACCCAAAGGTTTTTTCTTTCCTTTGCACCGTTAGAGACCGAATATAAACTGAAGGGAGAGGAAGAGAAGTGAGGAGAGATGGAGGTGAAGGGAGGAGGAGGAGGAGGACAGGGTTTGGGGTTTGAACAAAAATCTGAAGCTTTATTCTTTCACTTGATTATTTTTATTCATCCGTTTTCTTCTTCATTTTCTGAAATGATTGTAAATATTGACTGGAGGTAAATTGACCTTATTTTATATTATTAGACATTATTTTTCGTCTCTTTACATGTTTTTGTTCTCATATCATCTTTGTGCTCATCAATAATCGATTCCCTCTTGTTTGGATAAACAAACTGAATTATTAAACCATAAATGAGACCTGAAAGTCAAAGTAAAATGTGTGAAATATGACCTGTAAAGATCCAATCAAAAGCCAGGACAGCTCATGTCACAGTCTGCTCACCGCGGAGAAACAGGAAACATAGAACTATTGTGAACAGATTTGTCCTCTTAAGCTTATCTAGTATCAATAGATCTATGCTCTGTCTGTGTAACTCTATGTTGGTTCTTCATTTACACCAGATCATTTTTGATTTCATTTCACCGTAACAATGTCGTTTAAAGACAATAAAAACTTTATTTGAACCAAAACATGTTAAAAACATCAACTCAGCTTGTTTCAGTCACTGTGTCCAATTGATTATTATTATTTTTCATTCAAACAGAAACTAGATTTGGTCTTTAAAAAGTCCTCAAAGTGAGTCTGAACAGTGGAGGAAGGTTTTCTCATCAGGGTGTATGTATGATGTATGAAGAAAGAGCTGAGCCGAAAGGAGAGACTCTTGATTTACCGGTCGATCTACGTGCCGATCCTCACCTATGGTCATGAACTTTGGGTAATGACCGAAAGAACGAGATCGCAGATACAAGCGGCTGAAATGGGTTTCCTCCTCAGGGTGTCCGGGCTCAGCCTTAGAGATAGGGTAAGGAGCTCGGACACTCGGGAGGAGCTCAGAGGAGAACCGCTGCTCCTCCACGTCAAGAGGAGTCAGCTGAGGTGGCTCGGGCATCTGGTTAGGACACCTTCTGGACGCCTCCGTTAGAGGAGTTCCAGACATGTCCCACCAGGAGGAGACCTCATGGCCGGCCCAGGACCAGGTGGAGGGATTATATCTCTCGCCTGGCCTGGGAGCGCCTGGGAATCCCCCCGGAGGAGGAGCTGGTGGAAGTGGCTGAGGTGAGGGCAGCCTGGACCTCCCTCCTGAAGCTGCTGCCCCCAGGACCTGGACCAGGATGAAGCGGAAGAAAATGACTATGACGACATACATATATAGATGTCTCACAGAACAGATATACAGAAAAGCAACATGAGAAAGATATTTATATTGAAAATGAATACATATAAGTTGATGTGATGTGTTATTATAATTACTCATACAACATACACAGTGATTTATTGTTTTACATATCAGTGATGTAATATAACTGCCTTGTATGTAGAGCTATAGCTATTGTAGAGACTGTTTTCCTTCAACAAAAAAGGCCGCTGGGCTTTCGGTTCGCTTCCATCTGTGACTCGCTTGAATGATCAGTCCGGTTTGAGTGTTAAAAAACGATTTATTGTTCAAAAAATGGAAAACACGCCAATCCAGGTCCAAACTTTTGGCCTCAACTTAAAAGGTGATATGATGAAATGAGGTTAAAACAGGATGAATGAATAAAGCGGTGAAAAAGCGGTCAACAGAAAATTATCAGCGCTTACCAAACCCATTGTCTGACTGCACCTGTGAGACTGAAATAACCCGCCAAACATCCCAAAAACACACCCCTCAGTGACGATCCCGGAAGTGACGTACCTATAGAAATAAAACTCAACAAATATATTCTGGCTCCTACAGCTATTGCTCTAGAACCAAAATCTGAATGCCTTTTATTGTCATTATCCAGAAGGTACAACGAGATTGAAGAGCTTCTCCATTTTCAGTGCAATAGATACAGAAAAAGGAAACAGAGACCGAATTAGAAGTACACAAAAATAGTTGAAAAAAAAATGCAGTTCACCGTAGACCGTGCAATGAAAATGAAAACTATACACAAGAATAGGAAAGGAGATATGTGTGTATATATATATATATATATATATATGGGTCATTCCGTGAAATCGGTGCCTTTTGCATCCCCAAGAAGTAAAAATTATAACAAATTAATTTGTAATTTCAAAATATAACATTACCATGTCTTCTCTCCTTAATATAACATCAAATTAAAGTCAAATTTTAAATGATATAAATGACTATAAATAAACAGTGTTTTTGGTAATAATAAATATTAATCATTATATATATGTTTACCAATTTATCGGTGTCCCCTGATTTCATGTCGACCCTTTTACCCTAACTAAAAAAATAATAATAAATAAATAAATAATGGTACATTCCAGATTTGACATGATTGACAGGAGGTTGCATCCTCTCTGAGCCAGGATGCGAACAGCTCAGTGACAATGAAGTTTCTCTCATCTCTGATGGGCTATTTTTGATGTTTTTTCAAGGTTTAACCAGGAGGGACAAACATACAAAGTCAACCCTGTTAGCACTTTCTAACATATAAACCAAAACAATTTTCTATTTCTCAAAAATATAATCAATATCTACAAGTAAGCGCCTTTCAAAGTACCTAGCTTGCACTTTAGCTAGCATTTATTTAAGCTAGCCACAGGCAGATTAGCTTAAAACGGTCAACCCTGTTACTGTCAACCCTGTTACCGTTCCACAGTGACAGGATTTGACATGTGAGTAACAGAGACTAGAGTTTACCCTCGTTGTACTCTCTTTAAAATTAAACTTATATATATATATATACAGTACATATATACATTATATTTTTATATATATATAAAAACAAACCGTGCGAAGATCGGTTTATAATTAATCAATCTATGTTGATTTAAATCCTACTTGCCCGTAGCAAGATGGCCGCCACACGCAGACGTCTGTCTCCATTGGCTAACAGCGTGCGTGAGTCATCTAGCGTTTATACGTAGATCTATGGAGAGATAAGGGGATCGAAAAGTCACCGGAGAGATTGAGGGAGTAGGCTTGTTTCTAACTTCTTACATTATTACCACATTTAAAAAGTTATCTATAAGCTCGAAATTAAACAAAATGTAGACTTTAAATGATCATTTCGAAAGCCTTTCTTCACAGAGGGGTCAATTTCTTTTGCTGTTACACTTCAACCAAGACTGATATGGGCTTATCACCGCCCCTCCGGCACGTCAAGGCACGACTTCTCCAACGTCTCCTTCAGAAAACAAACGGCAGGCAAACTCTTCCGGGTACCTCTGACTTTTCCTCACTCTAGCGTCAAAACTTACCCCAAAAAAAGTCAGTTTAGTGCGTCTAATGTGCAAAAATGAGCGGTTAACTGGAGAATAAAGACACAAAGAGACGATCCGACGGGTAGAAGAGGAGGAAAAAGGAGGAGTTTGGACTGAAAGCTGTAAAGGTAAAGAAAAAAAAAACACGTTTACTCTTTCACCTTTGGGCGCTGTTCTGTTTATGGTTTGGCGTAATTTATTTCACAAAGATGGCATAAAACACCTTTAATGTAAGACAACTAAGTCTGTTTACCTTAAAAACACATTTGACCCACTTTAATGAATGTAGAAGTACTTTAAAGAAGAACAAAGTTTACCTGACTCTTGAGGGAACATGATGTCTTCAGTAACAAGTTTAAGAATTCAACTAAAACATCAATCAGAAGGACTTTTGTTGAATTTAACGTGTACTTTCTCATCATCCTACTTTTTTTTAATCTCTACTCCACCACACAACAACCTGACATAACTTTACTGTCATATCAAATCTTTTTTTTTGTTTATACAGTGTTTAAAAAGTTATTATAACCCATGAAACTTCTTTAAAGAGCAGATCTAAACTCAACTATGTCCTACGTCTAATCAGAGAATATTTAATCACAGAAAAAAAATGTAAAGGTAGGGAAAGGTAGATGTCTATCAGCTTGGCACGTCTTGATGTGGTGATATTTGCCCACTTTTCTTTGCACAACCGCTCCAAATCTGACAGATTGCGAGGGCATCTCCTGTGCACAGCCCTCTTCAGATCACCCCACAAATGTTCGATGGGATTCAGGTCTGGGCTCTGGCTGGGCCTGTTCCAAAGTCTCAGTCTTATTCCGGTGAAGCCGCTCTTTTGTTGGTTTAGATGTGTGCTTCGGGTCATTGTCGTGCTGAAAGATGAAGTTCCTCTTCATCTTCATCTTTCTAGCAGAAGGTCGAAGGTCGTTTTCCTTCGCAGGGTGTCCGGGCTCAGCCTTAGAGTCAGCTGAGGTGGCTCGGGCATCTGGTTAGGACGCCTTCTGGACGCCTCCCGTTAGAGGTGTTCCAGACATGTCCCACTGGGAGGAGACCTCGTGGCCGGCCCAGGACCAGGTGGAGGGATTATATCTCTCGCCTGGCCTGGGAGCGCCTGGGAATCCCCCCGGAGAAGCTGGTGGAAGTGGCCGGGGTGAGGGCCGTCTGGGCTTCCCTCCTGACCACGACCCAGACCCGGATAAGCGGAAGAAAACAACAACTTACTGACATTGATGAGCAACCATCTGGCCAGAATAGAGACACCTTACAGACACAGAGACCAACCTGAAAGCCTTTCCTCCCGTGTTACTTTTAGAGACTGAACCTCAGGAGAACTGCACTGATTGTGCTTCAAGCTTTCTCTTAAAAGCTTTGCGGTGTCTTTCTCCTCGACCCTGTGGTGGATGTTCCTAAGGACAACTAAGGCTCTTCCTCCCATACTTCAGCCGCAAACTTAAAGAGTTGTAAATAACATCCTCTAGAGTTTGAGGTTTAAAAAATGTTTTATTTTCTCAAAAGCATGAAGAAACTTTCTATTTTAGATTGATGATAAGCCGTTTCTAGCTCACTGTGGGTTTCATAAATGGTAAAGTACTCTGGCTCCTGATAGTCAAACCTTTCTCTGGCTCTTAAATTACGAGACATACCTGGAAATCTCGACCTCATGAAGAAACATTTTCTTGGGGGTTAAAGTCATGAGCAATACTTTCACCACAGATGCACCTTGTTACACAAGTTTAACCACTATTCAAATACCTTGTGCACCATGTGGAAGTGAAAACTATCTTCCTGTTAAAAAGCAGAAGAGCTTTTCATTTATTCAGAGTAGATTCACTCATGTTTTTCAGTACCAAATGAAGCGTTGTCAAACTTTTCAGTGTGTCCAAATCAACAAATATGAAATAGGCCATAAGAGACACCGCTCTACTAAGGTCAAAGTTCATCCCTTTTACAGGATTTGGATCATAAACATATAAAGATGTGTTTGAACTTTGAGCTCCAAGTAGTTTTACTCCTCCACCTTTTCCTGTCAGGAGCCATAAAGCTGCAGCAGACAGCTCAACGTTTACCCAATGATGAGCGAAATCTGTGATACAGTCCTGGTTTACAGTGACAAGAGTTTTGAAAGTGCTGCTGCTCACATATTTGTGACAAAGTCTGTTACAAAACAAAACAAAACATGTAAAACGAGAAACAGGGAAGCCGAAACATGAAACATGAAGCAGATAAAGAGGAGGACGAATATACAAATGAGGACGCTTGTTATCATCTGTTCAAACTAAAACAATCACAGAGTGAACATGATATCACTGAAGTGTTTGAGTTCTGGTTTAGGGTTCTTATTTTCCGGACAATGTTTCTTATTGAGTTGTTTACGTGACATTTAATGTTGGAAATAGAAGAACTGTTGACGGTGTGAAAGTATCTCTGTATGAGATCCACGAATCTGAACATCGATCACATTATTCAGACACTTTTGTAGATCTGTGTGCACATTTGTCCAACTGTGTTCATGGATCTCTGAATCTCCATTATTATTATTGGGGATCTGTGGTTAACATTTATAGTTCTGGATGTACATTTAAAGGTAGGGTAGTCAGGATCTGAGGAAGTTCCAGTTTTTAGGAGAAATCTTGAATGTAAACTCTACCCCTCCCAACCAGTTTTCCCCTCAAGCCCCGCCCACAAACAGACGCTCCTGCTCGCTCGTATCGTTCCAGTTAAATTCAGATATAATGCAGATAAATCCTTCAGATCATTACAAATGCGGCCCAGTCAAGGTGAAAGTCAAAAGCATTGGTGCTACTGTAGATGCCAACAGACTACCAGCAAACACAATGTTTGCAGGACTTCTACAACGAGGATAAAGTGACATAGTCCAGGACCCGAGGGAGGACAGTTTAGCGATGGCGCTACAACACGCTACAGCAGGTCCGTTTGACAAGAAACACTTCTGTTACAGACACTTGTCTTACTTTGTTAAAGCGGTTTACCTGTCCAGCAGAAAGGTTACAGGGTCACCAAGATCCCCAAGCGTCCCCCATGGTTTATGTTGACCCGGCTTTGTAGCTCTTGTCCGGTCTACCTCCGTTTTAAGCGCCCGTTATTCCTCCAGAGTCTCCGGTATTTACTTTGTTTTCTTGCTTGTGTCGGCAGTCGTGGCCAAAGGAGGATTCAGACAATTTTCCGAACTTTCTGGTTGGTTTCTACTGTCCGATATTGTAGCACGCTAACTTTGTTTGGGCTCCTGAACGACACGGGGGAGCAGCGTCTGCCTCACAACCAATCAGGTTAGAGGAGGTGGAGAACGGCTTTGTTTACAGTGAGAAAGAGCGGACCGCTCAAAAATGTTCAAATGTTGACGACACAGACATAAGAGAACACAGAGATATCGATATATTACCAAATGTCATCAATAACTGATAACTATTGACTGATATTAGAAGAGTTTTTTGTAAATACACCACAAGAAAAGATGCTTCTTTAACGGATTCCTGCCTACTTCACCTTTAAGGACTCGTACCAATCTGTGTATTGGTGTTTGTCGACCGTTTGTTCACATCGGTGTATCTGCGTCATGTTGACTTATTCAAAAAGCTAAACATCCAGTTTAAATATAACAAATTAATCATTAAACTGCCCCCAAAGAACCAAATGAGCTGCATTAGATTTAACAGGATTATTAGAAGCATGTAGTCTGTTGTACTTCATCTGTTCCACCACTAGGTGCTGCTGTGTAACTACACTGTGATTGAAGTCTACTGAACCATGCTGCAGTCGTTGTTTTCAGCTCTGTAAATTTGAGTTTCACTGGTCTGTTTTCTCCTGAAAGTGAGTATCTGTTGGTGGAGAATGAATCCAACTATTTCAGTGGTTGATTATTTCCAACTCTGATTTTACTCAAGAGTTAAATTCTCTCTGATTAAAACAATTTTGGAGACCACAACAGTCACAGATATCTGATTATGAAAAGAGTGAAATTCTGCAGAGCTGGAAAACAACTCAAGTGAAGTTATCAGATTAAAAAAAAGTTTATTTAAACAAATTCCCACGAAGGTTCTCAGAGTGATTTCTCTCTGTTTCATCCACAGAGGGCAGGACAAAAAGAAAAGGCGGAGGAGCAAGATGATGGAGGAGGTGGAGCCTAAAGATGCCGTTGTCCCGGCAACAAACGGCACAGATGAGTCGACTCCTCCAGAGGTGAGAAAACACGCAGAAAAAGAGAGAACCTAAAGTTTATCTGTTTCTGTAAACACATGAGAGTGAGGACCACGGCCTCGGACTTGAAGGTGCTGATTCGCGACCCAGCTGCTTCACACTCGGCCGCGAACCCATCAAGAGCTGAAGGTCACTGCTCGACGAAGCTAGAAAAACCACATCATCCGCAAAAAGTCCTCAGTCGGAAAAAGGTAGATCACCTTCTCCAGGTCAGAGGGGAGGTCCTTCCTCAAGAAGAGGAGTTCAAGTATCTCGGGATCTTGTTCACGAGTGAGGGTAGGATGGAGCCGGAGATCGACAGGCGGATCGGAGCGGCGTCAGCAGTGATGCGGACGCTTAACCGATCTGTCGTGGTGAAGAAAGAGCTGAGCCGTAAGGAGAGACTCTGGATTTACCGGTCGATCTACGTGCCGATCCTCACCTATGGTCATGAACTTTGGGTAATGACCGAAAGAACAAGATCGCAGATACAAGCGGCCGAAATGGGTTTCCTCCTCAGGGTGTCCGGGCTCAGCCTTAGAGATAGGGTAAGGAGCTCGGACACTCGGGAGGAGCTCAGAGGAGAACCGCTGCTCCTCCACGTCCAGAGGAGTCAGCTGAGGTGTTAGGACGCCTTCTGGACGCCTCCTGTTAGAGGTGTTCCAGACATGTCCCACCGGGAGGAGACCTCATGGCCGGCCCAGGACCAGGTGGAGGGATTATATCTCTCGCTTGGCCTGGGAGCGCCTCGGAATCCTCTTGGAGGAGCTGGCGGAAGTGGGTGGGGTGAGGGCCGTCTGGGCTTCCCTCCTGAAGCTGCTGCCCCCGCGACCCGGACCAGGATGAAGCGGAAAAAAACAACGACGAAACGAAGCAGGAGAAGAACGACTGGACGTCATTTCAAACCTCGAAACAGTCCCAGTTTTAGGGGGAATGTTCCTTTACGAGCTCATTGGGGAGAAACCAGCATCCACCATGTCTAACACCAGTTTCTCTAACCTTTAAACAGAGCAAAGGTGTGTGTGTGTGTGTGTGTGTGTGTGTGTGTGTGTGTTAGACTTCTACGTCACTACATGCCTCCCTGTCTCTTCGATGTGACTCAACAACTTTGAGCTGAATCCCGCTGACCCCTACAGAGCCCTTCACAGGTGTGTGTGTGTGTGTGTGTGTGTGTGTGTGTGTGTGTGTGTGTGTGTGTGTGTGTGTGTGTGTGTCATCCCCTCCACATTCCATGAACGTCACTACCTGGAAAGAAACCCGAAAACAAAGCGGCAGATTGACGTTCGGAGCCATTACCTCTCATCTCCAATCACAACAGGGAGCCGTCATCTCCCCGGCAGCCTCGCAACCTTTTGATCTGGGTTCTGATTGGCCCCCATAAGCTGCGTTCCCACGGTGATCCCCCCCCGAGTGTTGTCATGATGCTTTGACTCCTGACCTTTGACCTCTTTACTGTCAGTTGTAGGTGATGTTCCTGGAGCAGAAGCTTGCGTTGTGTTCAGGAACTGTCGGAAATATGAAACTACAGGAAACCAGAACGCCTCGGTTTTCACCGCCTGAGCCTGAAACATCTTTTTCTTTTTCACGCCTCTGACTCAAACTCTCCACTGACGGTCCTTTTTTCTTCTCTACAGGAAACAAACAGCAACTGCAACCATACCGAAAACGACAATGCAGTCCCCCCCAGTCCAGCTGAGGCCACACCAGAGGTCGCCATGGAAACGGAGCAGCAAAGTGACGATACAGGTTCTGCTTGATTTTTACTCGGACATGTGAAAGAAATCGCTAACGGTTGTTACCATAGTTTCATATGCTTAGTTTATCGCCTCTGATTGGCTGTAAGTTCTGACCGTTTGGCTTGAGCGTGTGATGACGCTTCCAGCTTTTCTAGCCAATCAGAGGCGAAGGAGGCGGGACTTTCCCCGGGATGTGTCTTTTTCCCCACGGAAAGTCGCAAAACCGCATCGGGCTTGATGTGTACAGTCAGGCGCGTCAAAATTCACCTCTGAATATTTCGTAATTTCGCGCTCTATATTCACGTCAGCCTCGGTGTGTAAGGACCTTCAGGCTGTTTTGGAATTGGCCTTCTGCATACTCCTGCCGACCGCCGTATCCAGTAGATACTGCATACTGAGTACTGCGTTCGATAGTAGTATGCAGTATGACTGCAAGTTGGCCGTTAATATGAGGTATGCATAGACTGTATCTAGAACGGACGCCGTCTGCCTCCTCGCTGAGTGAAGCCACTCCCAGAACAGCACCCTCTGGTGACGGGCTGCAGTATAGGTCATAAACCCCGCCTCCTTATGGAGCTGTGGACAAACTTTCTAAATGAATGACACAGAATATAAATGTTTCTCCCCCCTGGTTGTGATGTTGACATGTAGTTACTGTCAGACTGGTTTGTGCTCAAGTCCTCTTTTTTCTGTACAGCTCCATTTTTAAAAGTTATTAGGGGGTTCATGTTTTTTATGATTGACACGGTTTTATGATTGAAAAGTTTCGCAGCTCTTCGCTATTCCGTCGTCTTCCCAGGTGCTTTGCATTGTGGGTAACGGTAGGCGAAGCAGACTGGTCCGATGCATACTGTGAAATTTCCCGAATCAGTACGTCATCCGGGTTTTTTTGGCATACCGCAAATTTTGCTTTTGTTCGCCTACTGCATACTGGATACTACATTTGGGGCAAATCAGTACGTACTGCTAGTATAGTAGGCAAATTTGAAAACGGCCCAAGTCTGACCTTTGACCCCACCTCCAGACACTCCAGTGACACCACAGAAACCAGGAAGTGAGCCTGTGGTCATTCAAGGCAACAGCAAAAACCCGGCCAGTGAGAAGTTTGAAAGAGTCCGAAAGTGGAGCATCACCACCTACAAGGTACGAGTGGACTTTTTGATCTGCCGGTGGAGAAACGAATCAATCCGTCAATCAATAAACATTTGCCTCATCAATATCCACGGTTTACCTCGGCAGTGTACCAGGCAGGCTCTGTCAGAGAAGCTCGGTCGCGGGTCCCGTACGGTGGATCTGGACCTGGAGCGTCGGCTCGAGCTGCTCAAAGACGACCGACAGCGCTTTGAAAACATCACCAAGGTGGCTCAGACGCTGGCCAATCAGCTCGCTCAGATCACTGTTACCCAGAAGACACTGGGGGACACCTTCAGTGAGCTCAAGGTCAAATCTCCAATGCTCCATGTGAGTGATGACGGCTCTACTCCTTCTTCTTCTACTGCGCTGTACTAATAGTGTATCAGCCAAACCCTCGTTGTCCAATCACAGCCTGTTGGATGTTAGATTAGGTCGATGCTGGTTATCAAGGTGCGCTCTCTCGTCTCTCTCCTCTCTGTCAGGTGGAGTTCGGTTTGAACGCAGAGGCTCAGAGGTTTCTGTCGAAGAGTGGCGAGAGTCTGGCGGCAGCAATCAACACCTTCACGTCCGACATGAACACTCTGGTGAACAAGACCATCGAGGACACGATGATCAACGCCAAGAAGTATGAAGCAGCCAGGTGGGTGGACCACACTTTTGTTAGCGGTCAAAGTTGACGATTGGAGAGGTCGGTAATAATGATGAACCTCGTTTCTATGGCGATCATGGTCCTTCAGTGCGATCTCCACAAAGTGAATAGAAACAAGAACGGAAAGAATCTGTTCCCCCTATCAGGTGCAGGGCTGCGAAAACATTGACCAATGGGAGCCATTCGTCCCGGACAGCTCCTATTGGTCAATCTCCCGCTCCGCCACTCCATCCAATCACCTCGCTGTATTCGACACACCCCTGTCCCGTAGTTCCGACTCGTCCCCACTCTCCCGGCGCTTCTTGGAGCTCTGAGCGGCTAAAAGTAGCGTAGCAGCGGAGAAGGACGCAAAATAAAACCCTTCTGCTCGCCCCAACGCCAAAAGTGGGAAGAAAACGCCGACAGAAGAAAGGGCGGAGTCGAAGAGGAAATGTGACAGCATAACTCTTATTAGTCTCTGCGATGTCAACACGGTAGCTGTCCAGGCAGCTGCAGACGGCGCTCGCTAGCAGAGCCGGCGTTTACCGCCGCTAGTCACTAACAATCCGACATGGTGAATCCTATTCGAAGCTAGCGTAGGATCTTCTGCCGGCCGGCTTCTTGCTCTGCCAGAGCTTCTCCAATCGTCAACCAGGACTTAAAGAGTTTAATGTCGGAAAATTGAACCAAACTCAAAATTTAGCCACAAGTAACGCATGTACATGGAAAAAGGGGGCTGACTTTTTAAAGTTTTACATTGTGATTGTTGGGATTCGTGTTTTTTTTTTTGGACCAAAACTGCCTTTGCCACTTAACTGCCATGAAACCCAACTACCGAAGGAAAATGATGGAAAAACACAAAGATCCCTTCCGTAGCTTCTCTGTGCGAACTTCTCCATCCTCCAGGATCGAGTATGACGCATACCGAGTCGACCTGGAGGAGCTGAACATGGGACCACGGGACGCCAACACGTTACCCAAACTGGAGGCGGCACAACAAGAGTTTCAGGGCCAGAAGGAGCGATTCCAGAAAATGAGGGACGACCTGACCGTCAAAGTGAAGCTGCTGGAGGAGAATAAGGTGAGAGCTAGTGAAGATCGGAGGTAAGCCTGGAAACAGTTAGAGCGTCATCGTCCAAGAAGAGACAAAATCTTGTGACATTTACAGGTCCACAACATGGAGAAGACAAAAGGTACGTAGGTGACTGTAATGTCTCACAGTGTCAAGAAAATAATGCTTTAAAAAGTAAGGTTTAGTTATGTCATTTTTATAGTCAGTACGTTTACATGACAATCAGAGAAAACCGAATTATCGCCTGATTCCGATTAAGACCGGACAACTGAAGAGCATGTAAACACTTTAGTCCGACTATAATCAGAGTTTAAGAACTCAGATTAAGACACACAGATAATGAGATTGGAATTCGATTTTCTCTACCATGTAACCAGCGTAGTCGGAGTATGATCGGACAATGCATGTGCGCCACGCCCCCGTAACCCCGGAACAAAAACACCAGAGAAGTAGAGTAGCGTTCGTCTCACCTGTAGGAAAAGTAGTGCGTAGATCACGTACGACAAAAACAGCGCTGTACGATGCTCCATCTTCTTGTTTCTCCAAAATGCCGAACAGCAGTTGTCGCCACTTCTGACGTCTGACACCGACGGTCAACCAGAAATAACACCGCTGAAAAGACCCATATCGCCCCCTAGGACATGTTCACGTCAATAATTCGATTTTCTCAGCGGCACGTATACAAGGAGAGAAGTTCAAGTTGGCAAAAAAAAAAGAATTCTGAGCTTAGTCCGATTAAGCTGTACATGTAAACGCACTGAGTGACAGAAATATTAAAAAGTCCCGTTTTTGAACCTTCTTTCCAGGTCAAAGTCCTCCACAATCAGCTGTTGCTGCTGCACAGCGCCGTCGCCGCTCACAGTTTATCGTGTCACAGCTTCCTGGAACAAAACATTCGAGAGGCCGACGAACATCTCAACAACAGCAGCGCCAGCGCCCCCTCCTGGCTGGAGGAAAGTTGACCCGAACACTAAAACTGTAAGTGCTCGGACCAGGATCTGTACGTGTTTTAGGAGTAACGGACGCTGTTTTAGGAAAAGAAAGGGAGGGTGGGTTTGAGATTTTCTGAACAGGAACTGAATATCTGTGAAATCTGGGAGAGTTTTGCCGTTAGGTAGTTTATTTATACAACAGTGGAAGAGTTTGAGGGTTCGGGCTGAATGTCCAGCTTCGAAGAAGATCTGGAGACCTGATAGTTTGCCAAAGAAATGTTAAAAATAGATGGATTAAGATATTTTTGAAATTCTGAATGTGGCCTGGAAAGTCTTTAAGTGGGATAACATCATTTTTCATGTCTGATAATATTGTGTAGCTGCACAGAAACTCTTCTAAAGTTGACTGTTGTGATTCTGAGCTTATTCTTCAGGACAAAGAGCTCCTGAGAATGAACTCTTTTACTATATTATTCATACATTTAAGGACTTACAGCACTTGTAACTTGTGACCTGTTTAACAGAGACACAGTCATACGTACCCCTCCTGGTTTTCTTGCCTCTGTCTCACTATGTCGGGGAGTAAATCCATCTAATCCTTTGTGAGGCACTAAGCCTTTCTTTGAACTTTAAAAATCCTCAGCCTCTGCAGTCAGAAACTCAAAGTGTCTCAACAGAACCACCAGAAAACAGCTCCTCAGCCCACAAATTCAGCATGTCCTCAAGAAAAACCTCCAGTTCCCTAATCAGAACATCCACTAGTTTTTAAAAGAAACTTTATTCTCTCTTCAAGTCAATAAATAAAACCGTTTTTAACAGAATATTCCTTTTCTTACAAATATTTAAACATGATGTCAAAAAATGCAAAAGTGCAATTAAACCTCAGCACGAGATCGACAAAACTTTAGAAACTATGAGTGGATACCAAACCAAATTTCTTCCTCAAACGATACGTAGAGGTTCACAGAACAAGAATCTCAGCTGCCTAAAGAGGCTCCAAATTTACAAAGACCTAAAAAATCACGTCTTTACGCTGATGATACTGCTTTGGTCAGAGATGTCGATTATTTTCTCCTTTCTACCAAATACTGTATCAGCAGTGTTGATGGAAAAGCCCTAAAATCCCAACAACAGAACCTCTCATGGGAATTTAACTTCTTTTGCATCAACACTTGACTGCTAACTGCCGGCCATCACTTTGGCAAGAACCCTCACTTTGGCACAAGACAAAATTTGGGACCATTGTTTGGTCCCACTGTTTAGGACCAGAGAAAAGACTGAGCAGTATGTCTGTGGTGTGACCGTCTAGCTCAGGACAATCTTGAATGACCCAGTCCTCCTCCAGTTTAACAGGAATCCCCGCTGGTTGTTGGGGCATAATATGCCACAATCCAAAAATATTGCGATGTTGATGACCATGTCTTATCCATTTGGTAAAAGTTATTGGGTGTGCCAATCTTAAGATCATAAAACAGCAAAACAACATTACTCTACCTCTTATCAAATGCTGGAAAACAGCTGTACATTCAACAGTTCTGTATCCGTGGGTTACGTTGGGGGAAGACTTCGATAATTAGATCTTCAGTGGTTGGCTGCAAGTCCTTTCCTTATCTAGCCGACACGGCAAGAAGCACATTAAACTCATAGGACCAATACTTGACCATAAATCCAAGAATGTTGCTCTATGTCAAAAAATGCTGTTTTAAAGCTAATGTGACAGGGCTGCTATCATCTTCTCCCTGGCATTGGCATTGAAAGTTCTTGCAAGTTGTACATTTGGACACTCCATCTACATTCCAGTGTATAGATAGCTTTTATCGTTATGGACGACATAACAGATGTCTTTTGTCTCTTTGTCTTGTCATGGTCCATCCAGAGTGTCAATCCCCACATTTGCTCACCCGGGCCAGCATCCAGACTATTGATGTTTGTTTTTCAGGGCAATAAGAGGTGTCATATTTGTCAAATCTGAGTTGTGATTCAAGTTCAAATCCGACATACTCCTTTTACACACTACATATACTTTGTAATTATCTGAAAATAAGTTTTTAATGATTAAGAAAGTAAATAAGGTATTCCATGCTGTTCTTATATGTTGTGTTGTAAAAGGTGCTCAGTTCAGTGTAGTTGAAAATACAGAATAAAATACTGCATAATTTTTTTTTCTAGCCTCCTAGGGACCAAAAATTGATGGTTCTTTTTCTTGTACCGTCAACTGTTAGGTGAACAGTAAAAGACAAACAGCATGAGAACGTCTCATCATTAAAGGAGACAGAAGGGCCATTAAAAAATTTAATTAACTATTTTTAAACTATTACTTTTTTCTCCCAAATGCTACAATTTAAGTCTAAATTCTAACCTTGATCTCAGAGTTTTTTCTTTGATCTAAGATTTCTAACTTAGATCTTAGAACTCCATCAAACTTTGATCTCTGAATTCCAACTTTGATCTCAGAATTCCATCTAACCTTAGTCTCTGAATTCCAACTTTGATCTCAGAATTCCAACTTTGATCTAAGAATTCCAACTTTGATCTTATAATTCTAATTTGATCTCAGAATTCCAACTTTGATCTCAGAATTCCAACTTTGATCTCAGAATTCCATTTGACCTTAATCTCAGAATTCCATCTGACCTTAATCTAAGAATTCCAACTTTGATCTCAGAATTCTAAATTTTATTTTTGAACTCAGAAAAAAGGTTTGAGAAACTAGTCCAAAAAAAAAAAGTGCCAGACTTACGAGTTTTGATTATGGGCCCTTTTCTTCTCCTTTACACCATCTATCATGACAACAACAATTTAACAAAGCAGATTTTTTTTTTACCTTTTAAATTTCTGTGACTGTACAAAGAAATGTGGCAGTGAAATGACTCCACTCAAACTGCTGTGTTGAAATATAGGACTTTTTTTGTTTATGTACCTCAGAAGACAACAATGCAGTAACTGTGGATGCTTTTGTGCAATAATGACTCAAAACCTTGATGAAATATTGTGTTTGTAGACTGATAATCACTCGTCCGCTCTTGTCGTATAAACACATTTATTTTCAGCTCAGACTCCACGGTCTAGTTCTCCGTTTGCTCTATCTTGCTGGTGTTGGATGTGGTTGACAGCCCAAGAAAAGCTACTGCTCTGTCCTTAATGTTTTTTTATTTAGTGATTTTTGATTCCAGACTGAAAAACAAAAACAAACACGAACAGACTGATCACCTGCACAACTAAATCTTTTCAGAGGTGGACTGCTGAACGCAAAAACAGCAGAGGGACCAAATAATGGGAGAATTCAAGGTTTTGTTATTTCCATTTTATTTGAATCCTAAATGCCAAAAAGGGACCAAAATGTACATAAAAATTAAACTGTTTTTAAAAATGTTTGTGATGTTAAACTGCCAAATAAAAATGTTCAGAGCTAAACGTGACTTATATTCTTTGATTAAACGGGGATGGTTTAGTCGGGAAATCTTCCTCCAGGTCTTCAGATTTCAGGTGGTTTCCACAGACTGATGGTTCGGTTTTCACCTTCCTCTCGACAGAGGCCTTCCCTTTACTCCGTTGTCTTTGTGGGGATCACCTGAAAAAGTATTTTATATTTATACCTAAACACAAAAAAACAAAGGGACTTTCCTCACAATAACTATTGAAGACCCTGCAGATACAAACCTCAACAGCAACAATTCAACAGATGTGAGAAAAAAGAGTTTCCAAATGTATCCGCTCAAATGAAAGGATAAAAAGTGAATTGGATGTAAATCGAGCAAATCCTATTTCAAGCGAAATAAAAGGTGAAGGTAAATAAAACTTCTTCAACATCATTTCTGTCCATGAGCTGTCTGTCCTCACAGTTATCTTCAGTTTGCAGTGAGAGTTTGTGTCTGTAAAACGAGAGATTTCAGGAAAAAGACTCCGGTCTGTTTGTGGTTCTGTTGCTCTGATTGCTTTGAAGAGCAGCAATTATTCACCAGGCAACACCAACACACAAACCTGATCCACTCTTTGTGTTTTTAAGTGTGTGTGTGTGTGTGTGTGTGTGTGTGTGTGTGTGTGTGTGTGTGTGTGTGTGTGTGAACACCAGCTCATTTTCCCAAACATTTCAACAACAGTTTATCAGGTTTAAGTCTCCGAGTGTCTCTGTCTTCTCTGAGTTGATCTGTTTTGGACTCAGGTGAGGTGAAGTGAGGAAAAGTGTTGATTTACAGAAGATGAGGAGGAGCTGTACCAAAGGTCAGAGGTCATCCATGACTAACTTCAGGTTTGTTTAACTCACACCAAAGTGCTTTCATGTTTTCTGCTTTATTCCAACAGTTTGTTAGAACTGATTCTTGAAGGGATGTTTGATGTTTTAAGTTTTTGGGTCTCCTACCCATGCCGTGGACTCTGATGATCCCCATACCATCAGGGAAACTGGTTTTGAACTGTGAATGCAACATCCGAGATTTCCAAAGCCGCCCAGTACCAGTTATCAGACTCTACACTGGGATTATTCTGAAACGCTGTTAGCTCACGCAGTCTCTCACAGAACCTCTTCCATCTTTCCTTCTGAGAGTATCCGGAACGGCTCCGATCCGGAACGGTGGCAATTTTCACCGTACGCCAATTCCTACCGGGTCCGTTTGTGAGGCGAATTTCGTGGCAAATTACAGACAGTTGGAATCATGAGAACTCACAAGAACCCACGGATTCAGGTGCATTTGCGCAATATCAAGTTGTCTCCAGCCACAGAGGCTAACCGTATGAGCAGTAGATTGTGTCCTTCCAGAGGACACAATCTGGAATCAGCATCTCCTCATCCATGGTGTCAATGACGTCTAAAAACCTTTCACTTGTTCGTCTCCGCCCATTTGCATGGTGTGAAATACGATCCTTCTGAAACACGGAGCTTTGGAGTCCGGCTATCAGCAACGGAGCGGAAAGAAGCCGTTTGAAATTGATACACTGACCCCCTACCCACTCGCCCTTCACTACCGAGTGTCACTTATATTATAGTTACACTCGCAGCTGTGGAGTTCGCCTCAATTGAAATCGTTGGGTATAACAAGACGGGCGGGTATGGGACGCCCTCCTCACCCCACTGGAAATTGGAAAGATTCATCGCCATAGCGTCCTGTGCATGAAAGCGTTTCTTTCTAAAGTAAACGGGCATCGTGTTCAGTTCTGAGCCGCACCGGCTGCCTCGTTTTTTCCTCGCCCCAGTGGAATCATAAATCCAGTAACCATCACAGTGACAGGAGCGGAATTAAACTTCTGATTGTTAGTGATTCCACGCGGCTTTGAACCCCTTTACTATTTAACCAATCAAATCAAACTTCAGCACAGAGGAAGACTTCCGAGTTTCATTTGATCTTTCCAAACCGCGTCTGTTGAGTTTTTTTTGTCAGCGAGACAAAAGTGGACACATACGGAACTTACATTTGTATGTTGTTCCCTACTGCTCCAGTTTTGCCGGCGCACTGCCCGCAAATCCCACCGTAAGTCCGATCGGTGAACGGTCGACTCGCCCTCCGCACTCTGTGGTTTGGGACAGCCTTCAATATGGCGGAGCCTCCGCGGGGACGCGCTAACGGAGGGGGAGTGTGTAGGGGGCGATTTGGGATTGGGCCATGAACTTGATCAGCTACGATCCGTTCAGGATGCGGTGGAAATTGGGGATCAGCCTCAGTGAAAGTCCTTTTTATACCCAGTCATGTTACGATCAGTCATGTTACGATCCGGTTGGACCTTCACCTCGTTAGTTCCTCCGGCTGTGTTTTTGTTTTAGCATTACGCATCTTTTTAGCATTTTTGTCGTCCCTGCCCCGACTTTTTTGAAACCTGTTGCTGGTCTTGAGTTTGAAACACGAACATAATTCATAATTCTTATTCATAATTCTAATAACATTAAAGTTTTAAAATGGTTTGTTAACTATCGAGATCAACACTTCACACCGTGTCCCGACTCTAGCAGGATTGTAGTTGTATAAATATGACCTGTGTGTGTTGATAGTTCCCTCTTCATTGACGGCAATGGCAGTTTAGGAGGATTAAATAAATACTGTTGACTTATAAAACCATAAACTGAGTTTGCGTTTGTGTATCTTGGAAGGAGAAAGAGAGAGGAAAGCCTGACGTTAATTTTTTGCCAAGGGAGGGGCCGGTAAAGCTTATCTAGGCCGCACACACACTCTCTCTCTCTCTCACACACACACACACACACACACACACACACACACACACACACAAAGTAAATTAATGTCCCTGAAGTCAAACACACACCTAGTTCTCTGAGTGTATGTTCATGTAGCCTTACATCCTAGCAGGTGGGTGTGATCGAGGAAAGGCGCTTTCCCTTCCACTTGATTGGGTGATCACGCATGCGCAGGCAGCCCGGGGTACCCCACCTCTCTCTCTCTCTCTCTCTCTCTCTCTCTCTCTCTCTCTCTCCCTCCTGCACGCACTCACTCACACGCACGCGCCCACAGCCGGTGAGTCACAATCGATCGGGCTTCTCAGCGCGCGCTGCCTGTGGATGTTCCAGAGCGAGAATTTTTTGTCGAATCTCGTTTCACCGTAAAATTACTCGTTTTCTGACGGAGATTCTGCGGGAGAGGGTCCGCGCCGTTTTCAGCCGTTAAAACCGGTAAGTTTAACTCGAATTTCCATCTCACTTTATCGTCTTTTTTCTAACCCTATTGAGTGTAGTGTCACTGTCGCTCCGCTATAGTACTGCGCACGATTTGCCCGGCTGGATTTCAGGTTTTTAAACGCGATGATGTTTTACGCTCACCAGACTACATTCATATTTTTACATTTTCTTCACGCAAGCCTACAATTCAACCGCAATGTACGAATTTTGCGCTCAACTGCACATTTTTTTTCCATATTCTTCAATTCGGCAGTGTGTTTTCCACAGTTTGACTGACTTTAAGATTAAAATTCTCTGTGGCATTTCTAAAATAACCGTATTGAATTTTTGTAGGTAGATCCCTTCGTTTCTTGCCCAGGAAACTTCCTCCTCTTTGTGTCTGACTATTGTTTTCAACGGTAACTTCATCGTTTTTAGCTTTGTGATGATTAATTTAATCGAAATACTAACTCAAAGTTCATTTATGTCTGAGTTTTGGCACTTTAATGAGTGTAAACTGTCTATTAACTCAATAATGCTACTTAAATCATGTGTAACATACTCTAATGGCTTGTATTATTGTCTAAACGTTGATTTAACCATCACAAAGTGATTATTTTGGTTTGTCTTTGGTATTGAAAGGTTATATCTTTTCTAATTTAGACACGGTTGTTGGTTAATGTTAGATAAGACTGCCATGATATTTAGTTTATGTTTGTTTATGGGCCACATTGTTCTCTTTATAGTCAACTTCTGTGCAGTATTAACTTTGTGGTGCCATTTCCGTTTGTTTTTTTCCGAATACTTTGAAGTATCCTCCCTAAAAATGATCCTTTACTCCGTCTATTGTTTGATCATTTGGTCAAATTTTCATTTCAAAGCCCAAAGAAAAGTAAAGTCTGATTTGAAAAGCTGAGACTCGAGGATTTCTCAAGTTTTTGGCTTGTGAAATCCCCCAAAATAGTCCTTTAATGTACTTATAGTAATCCTAAGTTTGTTGTGAATATGAAGAGTGTGAATTGTTGAATGATCTGATGTGAGTTTTGCTTTTTCTTCATCTTCGTTCGACCGAAACTGTATCAGTGAAGAGATTTTCTTTATGAGGGTCTTCGGCCTCTCAGCTCAAGTTCATGCAGTCCTACATTTTCTGCTGTTTTTGTACAAGAGTATTTCTCAGCCCTCAGGGAGCGAAAAACACATTACATATGTCAACATACAGCTTATCCTCACCTGGATACAGGTGAGAGAAAACAACAACAGAGTCTGATCATTGAGTAGTAATTAGGTTAGTAATTAGACATTAATACCTTTAAATAGTTTGAGCTTTAACTCCCATATTCATACTAATCTCATTTTATCAGGGGTTATGTTGCTCAGGAGCACTTCAGAAGGGCAGATCAGCTGCTGGAGGATTAAATCTCGGACAAAATGTCCTCTCTTAAAGTTTTTGTTCTTTCTCGTCCTGTTCGCAAGCTGCCACGGTCTCACCAGGCTCCATTTAAAAATCTACTAATTTAATCTTGTGCCGCTAACCGGCACATGGACTTAAACTTTGTGCAGGATGAACTTTGACCTCTCTTCGGTCTTGGACTTGTGGTTAATTCAGCAGAAGTGGAATCCAACAAGCTGCTTTGTGTTCAGACGAAAACTCAGTATTTGCCTTTTTTTTAAAATTGATTTAAAGACGAGTGCAAAGTCTAAAGTAAAGGGGAGGTTTCCTCTTTAAATAAAGAGTTAATCACTTTTTAATGTCTTAAGATGAGTCTTCAAGCTATTAATTTTATTGTTTGGTTTGTTTGTACAACCGGAGAAGGGAGCAGGTAGAGGAGCAGGAGGAGGAGGCGGAGGAGGAGGAGGCAGGTGTGTCTGAAAACCAAAAGGACTGGATGAGCCTCATAGAGAGAGAGAGAAACTGGAGCATTTACAAGGACGTAATAATCCTGATTTCACGATTAATCAAAATAACAGCGATTATGATTTTTGTCCTTCCTGGAGTTGTAGTTGGGTGTCTGTGTTGTCATGTGTGGTCTAGCGCAATCAAGGCCACGCGAACCTTAAAGATTAGCTTGTCACCATGATTTACATGAACCACAGCAGGACGATATGTGAGCCTTCCACCCCCAACTTAACTTCGGATACCTGCTTTCAGTTTTCAGCGTTTCCACCCGTTAAAACTGCTGAGATCATGTCCCGCCTGTTTTTCTTGTATTCTACTCTGGGAGAATGGTTTATCACGATATGTTTTTTCGTATTAGTCGATATCGATATCAGGATTCAAAGAATGAAATTTAACAGTGTTTATTGGTCACATGTCTTTTGTCTGTTTCGTCTCCTCGCTCCTCTCGGGGTTTGTAACCTTTGGCGTGTCGCGTGCTCTGCGGCGTGGCGCTGCTTCAGGTGGTGAAAAAGATTTGAGGTATTCCCCGACTTTGTGAGAACATGTACTCGACATAATTTACAGTCCACATTACTCTGCTTCATGTCCGACCTCCAAAAACCAAAATACCTCCACACCACCGACGTTTTCCTAACGCCAGTGTTGTGGTTGACATTGATGTGGTCATCTGTTGAGCCTTCATGGTCATTTCTGTCGGGGGTAGCACTCATTTTCTTTGTTTCTCACCAACAGTGCTGTCGGCTTCACCTGTTAAAGTGCTATGGTTGGGTGGAGCTGCTGTCTGCTACGACGCTGCAGTTGGTTGATACTTGGTTCTAATTCAGAACATGATTGGTTCAGACCCGGAGACACTCCCCTTTTCATTGGCTGTTCGTATAGTCGACCAAAACATGGCAGAATGACGATTATCGGAAAGGATAGTGACAATGTTTTATATTGACATTGAGGTAAATTAACTTTGATCTTTTCGTTATGGTTTTATCGCCCAGCCCTACCCAACATTATTACATTTTATACTGACCAGTTCATCCACTCTCTTCCACTGGCGAGACTCCTCCTCCTGGTTCTTCCCCCAGGCATCCTGGCAGAGTGTACCCAGGCCTCGGTGATCCCTCAGCGGGTTGGCCGACCCCCTGATTCGCCTGGAGCTACAGCTTGGTGACATTTTTTAGATAGTGGAAGCTGTTTGTTACTGTCTCTCTGTCTCTTTCACTTTCATGGCCATGGTAACTCCATAGAGCAGCGGTGCTCAGCCAGCCCTCTTTTCTTTGGTTGACCCTCCTAGACTGTAAAACACAGCAGTTAACTTAATCTCCCTGTTGCTTCCTCTGTTAAAGAAAAGAGGCGTCTGTCGCTCAGTGGAGCCGTGAAAGAGATTAAAAGAGGATTTCTCTACTTTTAACACATTTTTGGAAACTGAGTGAAGCCGAAACCTCAGCCAGAACTCTGTGTTTTTGTTTTTTTTCATGCTAATGTTGTTCAAAAAGCACTTCAGTGTGGGGGGTCTGAGCTTACCCCCATCAGGACTCACTCTTGCACTGATACATTCACATGTGTTTACTGGTGTTTGTCCGGTAAATAAGACCGAGGCCTTGTCCTCTTCGGGGAGTTTTATTCGGGTTTCCATGGAGGCTGAGTGTTTGTGCTCAGTCCGTTTTATCCAACACCTGCAGCACTGGATAGTTCTGAGGATACTCTCTGAAATAGTTTCAGCGGTTTCATGGTTACCTGCCGGTGATTTCTGACACAAACTTTGAAATGGTGCGGAGATTAGAGGATCGTTACACGGCAACTCCTGATGGTTCTTTGGAAATTCAGTTATCAAACTGTTTATATTTTTATACCGAATCATGATTTGGGGTTTCTTTGACAGGATGTTTAGATTTATACCCGACTTTAAGGAAACAGACTTGAATAGTTTTCTTGGCAGTAATCCTTGACTGACCCGGGGATTCCACTGGAACGGCTACGCTCCGGATCGGCAGGCCAATCAAATGCGCAAGCATACAGCGCCCACAGGATCCAATCAGCCGCCACCATCAGAGGAGACGCGCTCGCAAGATTACCGATATTTCTTGCGAGACTTGGCGAGATCTCATGAGATCTCGCATGTTTCCCTGTGGGACATTGAGATCCGCCGATTGGTGTACATAAACACCCACATCCCACAACCCTCGCCCCTCCCATTATCACGTGAAGGACAGTTCAAAATATTGACTTTATTTTACTTTGAAAATCAACCGGATATTTTATTTTGTAGCCACATACAACTTCATACAACGTGCTGCGGCATCCCGCAAAAATAGAAGCCTAATGCTGCGACGTCCAGTCACTTCGGAAGTCGGATGCTGGAGCTGGAAATGACATTACATCCGAGTTGACGGCTTTCCAGTTAACAAGTCGGAAAACCAAGATGGACGCCTACAGTTACCCGTTGTTCGCTGTTGTTTATAATTTTCAGCTGTTGTTAGCCGTTGTCAACTGTTTTTACTTGTCGTTAGCTATACCAGTTGAAAACAACGCATAACACAGTATTTTACTCGTACGAACACCATAGCACCGTGTTCACAGTTAGACGTTGAGCATTAAAACATTGCGAGAGCTTTCACTGTTCCTCTTTACTGTTGATGCACTGCGCTACCATCTTGAATTATGACGGTGTCGTCAAGTCAGGGTTGGCGACAGAAATCCGACTTCAGGGACGCGTTCCAGATAAATTCCGGACTCTGCGCTCGGAAATTCCATCTTCTGAGTACAACCGGAACATAGCATAAAAAAAGACCGAACTGTACGACGACTCTGCACAAAGTGGCGGATCACCTGAGTCCTGAAACCATTGTGAGGGCTGTTCCTCGGGTTTCCCTCACTCAGGCACCTTTTTCAGTCATTTCCCTCAGAGCTCAGTCTGAACCTCACATATCGAGCCCGGTGGTGTTTTCTGCCAGCCTGCTGCTCTAATCCTCAAACTGAGGCGCTAGGAAATTTGTCAGAGCTGCAGAAAGTGTAGGAGCTAATCTGTCAGACTGCTGAGCAACAACCAGCATGCCTGTAAACCGACAGGAATCACCAGAGAGAGAGGAAATGAATATATTTAAAGCCCGCTGTGACTCACATGTTTCTGTCTGGAGCTGTTTCCTCAGAGCAGAAGAAACCTGCACGTGCTGACAGGTGTCATTTATCCGACTTTTCTGTATTTACAACCAGATACAATTCCCTAATACTCTCATTTTTTCCCCTCTCTAAAATCACTCGTAGTTTTTTCCTTTAAATGAGATAAAAGCAAAGTCCAGTCAAACCTCTGTCACTGTTGAGAAAACTGAGCGTTAAAGGTAGGGTAGTCAGGATCTGAGGAAGTGCCAGTTTTAAGGAGAAATCTTGAATGTAAACTCTACCCCTCCCAACCAGTTTTCCCCTCAAGCCCCGCCCACAAACAGACGCTCCTGCTCGCTCGTATCGTTCCAATTAAATTCAGATATAATGCAGATAAATACTTCAGATCATTACAAATGGGGCCCAGTCAAGGTGAAAGTCAAAAGCATTGGTGCTACTGTAGATGCCAACAGACTACCAGCAAACACAATTAGGGTTGGGCATCGAGTCTCGAGCATCGATGGGGACCGTGACTGACATTCCGATTCTCCCGGAATCATTCAAATTTTAAAATTTCAAGTTCCAAGTTCCGATGCCGGAGTCCGCCGACCGGAAGAAATAACCAACAAATACCACAATGGAGAATCGTTAGGAACCGGAATCGAAACGAGGAATCGGAACCGGAATAGTTCAAGATCAAGCAATACCCAACCCTAAACGCAATGTTTGCAGGACTTCTCCAATGAGGATAAAGTGACATAGTCCAGGACCCGAGGGAGGACAGTTTAGCGATGGCGCTACAACACGCTACAGCAGGTCCGTTTGACAAGAAACACTTCTGTTACAGACACTTGTCTTACTTTGTTAAAGCGGTTTACCTGTCCAGCAGAAAGGTTACAGGGTCACCAAGATCCCCAAGCGTCCCCCATGGTTTATGTTGACCCGGCTTTTTAGCTCTTGTCCGCTCTTAAAAGCTCTTAAAGCTTTTTTGTAAATACACCACAAAAAAAGATGCTTCTTTAACGGAATCCTGCCTACCCTACCTTTAACCAGGAACAGGTTTTTTTATGCTAGTGTAGTATTATAAAGAAACAGACCTAGAACAATCCTGATTCAGAGAGTCCTGTCTTTGAGATTCAGCAGTTCGTGCATCCCCTCTCGCCTTTGAGAAGCTCTCTGTCCACAGACTTGAGCCTCAGTCTGGAAACTATCTGAACTTAACCTCAGTGTCAACCGCGGGGATTAGAGATGCTGGTCTGAGTGTCTGATTCGTCCCCTTTTACTTGAGCAAACCGGCACTTATTCTGTTTATTTGGATCAAAACTCTCGAGTTTCAGATTCAAATGCAGTCACCAGATTTTTTTTTTTTCCGCCTAGTCATTGGAGAAAATCAGCTGTTGCTGTTTGGAAAACTCATCAGCGTGAGTGACGGGACTGTCAGCCGTGGACTGATGGTGGTTCGCAGAAGGTCATGAATATGAGGGACCATCAGATCTCTGGTCCAGTCCTCGATTCATAAATCATCTCATTTAGTCTGAGTCACTGCTTTAGTCATCCTCAGGTGTGTAAGTGTGTTTAGTGACGGATTTGTACGCTGTGTTAGTGAGTGTGTGTGTGTGTGTGTTAGACAGAGGAGAGGTCATATGAATTTGTAGTGTAAATATTTGTGCGTCTATTATTTCTCAAACAGGTTTGCAGTGACTTTTGTGTTTGTTTAAAGCCATGTTGGCCACTCATCTCAGTGCTGTGCTTGTTGTCGTAGCAACTTCCCCGCCTCATTACTGAGGTCACGTCACACATAAATTAGTGTTTATTGCAGATCTCCACACCTGTTACCGTCAGCTCTTAATTATCCGTTTATAGTTTTAACAGCATGTGTGTTTATTTTGGATTTGTTCTTGAACAGTTTCTGGTACTTTGGCTAACATTATCGGGAACTTTACCTCTTACTGCCAACTTCCACTGCATCCGGAACGGCTACGAAAAGGCCGTATCCGCCGATTGTAACCTTCAACATTCAAGTTAATGTGTCAGTATCCACCGGCTTCTTTTCGTGACGCTGCAGATCGTCGGACTCCACAGCCGATCGCAAGAGTTCTATTTTTTTCGGATGTGGCAGCATGCTGATAAATTCAGCACAGATTTGTTTTTGTTGGAAAGGAAGTCGGGCACAGACACAAAATAAAACATCCGGCTTCTTTTCAAAATAAAACAATCTGTATTTCGGTCAAAACCCCCAGGGTCCAGAACAGCTGCACTTTGCTCCGGCACGGCTGGCAGATCAAATCCACAAGCATTATAATCAATGTGAGTCATTCCACAGAAACCGTCCGGCTCCACTGTGGATCGGCTCCGGCGGCCAGATCAAATACGGAAGGTTTCTTTTTTTGCTGGACGCCGGAGCACGGTGCATCAATTCAGCGCGGCGCAGCAGGAGCAGCAGCGGAAGTTTTATGCGGCTACAGAGTCAAATATCCGGTTAATTTTCAAAATAAAATAAAGTCAATAAGTTGGACTGTTCTAAACGTGATAATAGGAGAGGACAGGGTTGTGGGATGTGGGTGTTTATATACACCGATTGGCGGATCTCATTCTATGACTTCCAGGAAAAGGTCAGATCTCGTCCAGTCTCTCGCGAGCGCTTCTCCTCCGATGGCGACTGCGGATCGGATCCCTTGGGCGCTGTATGCTTGCGGATCTGATCCGCCTGCTGGTCCAAAGCGGAGCGGAGTCGTTCCGGATCCTGTGGGTTTAGCCAGTTTTAGCCGGATCGTATTTTACCCGGATGACACCATGGATGAGGAGATGCTGATTCTAGAAGTCTAGAAGTAGATTTCCTCCTCTGGAAGGACACAATCTACTGTCATCGCGCCATTGATCGTGAATCCGCGGGCTCTTGTAGGTTCTCGCGATTCCCGTTGTCTGTAATCCATCACGAAATTCGCCTCACAAACGGATCGGGTAGGAATCGGTGGATGGCAAAAATCGCCGCCGTTTTGGATGCGGTGGAAATTAGGGATGAGGTTGAGGTCGTCGACATATAAGGTGATGCTGGTCAACGGTGTTAAACGTTTTGGCACTTTTGTGGAAATAAACTACCTGAATATTCGTTCCACCATCATTGAAATCAACCCTGACTTCATTTAAGTTGATTCACTGACTGAAAATTGTACCAGACTCACAGATTCAGACAGGGACGAGAATCTAAGGCAGAGTTTGGAAGTGTAACCTGGAGAGTAATACTAATATTTGACTTTGGTGTTTGGTAGTATTTGCATATTAAACAGCAGCAGTATTGGTGTTTAATAGATCAGCAGACTAACCACAGGAGTCCTGTTGAACCAGCTCTGTGTTTATTATCCACCAGCAGACTCTTCTCTAATTGTTCCTCTTTTACGGAGGCCCACAGATGACAGCGTCTTCATGCTAACGTCTGATGTGTGAAGCGGCCTGCGGGCGGACAGTTTGTCAGAGAATCATTAGAGGAGGACAAAGCATGAAGAGAGGCGATTTTCATGCTGGATCAGAGGTTCTTCATGCACTGTCACTGTTCGTTACTCACTTACTCCGTCTTTTTCCTCTTTCACCAGTCGTCCCTTCATCGTCGTCGCTCCGGTCTAAGTATTGAGGTCAGGGCCGGCGATGCAGGAATGTGGAGCAGAGGCAGGAGATAGCTGTATAGAAGCATCATAATTGGGTCGGCTGAGAAGAGCTAACTAACAAAGTGTTGCGGTGGATCCTGTCAGGAGAGAGTTAGTCCTGTTAATGCAGATTTCCCAGCATGCACTTGGAATTGAGCTGTATCACCTGCTGTTGTCACCCCGCGTCACCCGGAGGTGTTGTTCCCAGATGGAAGTCGTGACATCTGGAGGTGAGAAGAAGACTCACATGACTATTTTCATCGTCGGAGCTGTAAGAGCGAGAAATAAGGCGAGAAACAAGAGCAGGAACAGTTCTGTGTGAGAGAGCAGAGGGCCCTGACCAAAGCCATGATACCTGATGGTACGGGGGTCAAGTGTTGTAGTCAAGACCGCACCAACCGAGGCCAAGACATTACCGAGACCAGAGAGGACCGAGACCGAGTGAAAATGCCTTTGACTTCTGATGTGACTCGAACGCAGCAGAAATCTACAGTTTAGGAGCAACATCTGCTTCCATCCAGACTATGACTTTTTCAGGGGAGACCGTCGTGTTTAAGCGAAACAGACAGGAGTGGAAATCACCGCATGGAAAGGACAACTGGACTTAGTTGAGACGTTTCACCGTAGTCTAGTTGTCCTTTCCATGAAGAATTAGATTTTCATTAGGGCTCGACTGATATGGATTTTTTGGGGTTGATGCCGATACCGAATTTTTTTTTTATAAAGTTGTAAGAAATATATTTATACAGTATATATCTACAGTATACTATAAACTATAGATAAACTTTATACCGTAGATATACTGTAGGCTACTGCTCTTCTCGCCGACAGGAAGACCGACTGATGAAACTCGGGCCAGAAAAGCGTTTTCAACTACAGGATAAGTCGTGGTACTTTTTAAATGGTGGAACATTTTTAAAGTGAAACAGAATCTTATACTCCGCATTTTATATCTGAAAATATTGGCGAAAATCGGCGAGTTTTGTCCGATTACCGATTAGTCTCAAACAGGCTAAAATTGATTTAATCGGCTCGCTGATAAATCAGACGGGCCCTTATTTTCATAGATATATTTTTTTTAACACACTGAATTAAATCGAACTTTTAAATCAAAAATTTGGGGTTGCTTAGTACTTTTATTTGAAATCAAATTTAGGTCTTTTGGTCACATGACTTGGAAGCTATTGAAGGAAAACAGCCTTTTCTGAGAACATCAACCGGTAATTTATTGACGGTCCCTTATTCAACACCGACGTTGACAGCGAGGGGCCGAGTTGATTTAACCGCACTGCTGTTGTTATTCCCGGTTATGGAGAGTGAGAAGACACCGGTAGATCCTCAGAGAATGTCCGTCAGATATCCAACCTGAAACTAACTTCACCGCGGCTGATTTTTTTATACCCTTAAATACATTTTACAATTCGCACACATCTATTTTTAGTCGCAAATGCGAGCGGAACAGTCGCACTGTCGAGCCCTGGGTTGTAGAAGTTGTCGTGGGAAGAGTTGTACAGTTGTAGTAGAAGTGACAATACGCTCACACTTTTACCTCATTAACCAATCAGAGCCCTCCGTGTGAACCGGGTCAGCAGTTTGGTCACAGTTTATTTTTACAGCCTGAGTCACGTGATTGGATGACGTCACTGGTGTCAGAGTCTTTTGAAGATCAGAGTGAGTGGGCGGGAAACCTTTAAACCTTTTGGTCCCGAGTCTTTGAGGAGGGAGGGAGGGAGGGAGAGATGAAGAACAGGATGGAGGGAGAGAAATTAGAGGACAGGAACATCAGGATGTTCACGATTCAGGTGGAGACGATGGTGTTCAATATTTATAGTCTGACCCACGCACACAAAGACTCACAAACACACACAAAAGACGCACAGTGACCCCGATTTTGTTGTCTGCCGAGTAAACAAACTGCCATTGTTTGTAACCACGTTTGTTACCACGGCGATCAGTAGCACTCTGACTGGTTGCCAAGGTAGCACATGGCAGCCCTGGCATTTACACACACACACACACACACACACACACACACACATAAACCCAACACACACTCACGCATACACATTCTCATTCATTCGCTTCCAATGAGAAAAACAAGAACCAGACCCCATTCAGAATTTGACTGATTTTAAGTTTTCTTACTTTCTCACAAATACGTCAAAACTTGAAAGATGAACTAAGATGTTATTTTACACATAAATATGTTTCTTTTAATTCGGCGCGTCAAAGTCATAACAAAACAATCAAAACAATGAAAACTATGAAAAGATCACAAAGGGTTAGCTTTTCAAAATTTTCAATTTTTGCTGCAGAATTTCGTTGAATTGATTCTACAATAACTCTTTGTTTCAATCTCTGTTGATTATCTGAAAATTTATTTTATGTATTGTTTTTTTTCTTTACCTAATTCTAGTTTATTGTCTTCTTACAACTTTTTACGTTACTATTGTTCCGAAAGTGTCTTTTGGGCGTTTTTCGTCATTGAAACTGTTTTCTGGCTTCCATAGATTTCTTACTTATCAACCTTGACGTCAACTTGTCGGCATACAATCACATTTAATCTCGTTATTATTGGGCAGATAGACCTGAAATTTTAATATTATCAAAAAAAAGGAACTTAAAATTAAGAGTTTAGAAATGTTGCCGATTTAAAAGCTGTTTTTTGTAACACATAATGACATCGTTTCAAACGGAGGTTGACTTTGTCTTTTCCTCAAATGTAAAATGGATCAGCATTAACGTTGGTAACCCACACACACACACTCTCTCACACACACATTGTTAGCATGATTAGGCTTGTAGTTTGACGGAAGAAATCAGGCAGTCAAACAGAGACATGAGATTAAGTTATATAACATCATTACACACACACACTTATAAGTAATTCATCAGCAGGAAGCGTATATTTGTCGACATGAATCCAGAACTTCACACAGGAGATCCACCCTGTGTGTGTGTGTGTGTTAAATAATTAAGAAGTGCAGGAATGTCGTCTTAAATGCGCTGTGAGCCATATATGGACTTCCTGATACGAGGATTTCCCCCCACAGGGGATCAAAATGAGAAGAAAAGCGGTCATAAGAGCTCTGAGTGCGCCGACACGCAGAGAAAAGGTGAAAACAAAGAAGAGCAGAGATTTAAAGAACTTCATATTATAACTGTGACATTCAACAGAATATCAGAGGAATCACTTAGAAGTCAGCGTCTGATATCCTGTCACAGTGAAGCTAGAAAGCAGCGACACCTGTGAACGTCAGGTGTTTTCACCTTCAGGTGAGACTCGCGGTGTTTGAGGACAAGGTGTGAATGTGGTTTGTGTGTGTGTGTTTGATTGTTCCAGGAAAACAAACAACTCGGGTTTAAGAGGAGAAAAGACTTATCGGCAAAATACGAAGACTATAAAATCTGACAGTAAAGTAAATGTTTAACGTTTCATTAGTATTTAATCAACGACAACACTCATGCTATAGCTGTACGTTCATGAATCAAAGACAGATGTCCACGGTAGCTTCTCAACAGTTTGCCTCCTCACCTCAGATTTACTGGATCATACTTTGTCGTCCTGCGCCTCCAGTTTTTCAGTAAACTGAAATGCTGGAATATATCTGGGAGCAGTCAGGATGATGACTAACCTGGGATTTCCACTGCGTCCGGAACGGTGGCGATTTTCGCCGTATGCCAATTCCTACTGGATCTGTTCGTGAGGTGGATTATGGACAGCGGGAATCAAGAACCCGCTGATTCACGTGCAATCGCGCGATAGCAAGTTGTCTTTAGCCCCACAGCTAACCGTATAAGCAGTAGATTGTGTCCTTCCAGAGGAGGAAATCTACTTCTAGACTTCTAGAATCAGCATCTCCTCATCCATGGTGTCATCGGGGTGAAATGACGTCTAAAAACCTTTCACTTGTTCGTCTCCGCTCGTTTAGGGGGACAACCGCCATACCGACATTGGTCTCTAATTGTCGGAGTGGCGGTATGTTACCATGCTATCAAACGTCCCGTCATTCTGACAGCTCTCATCTGCTAAGGTCGGCCGCGGAGCCCTCTGCGCGGGTGCGGCGCGGGGCACACCCAGCTACGCTCAGGATTAAATGACGGACTCCAGATGTGAATGCGCACTTGCTTAATTTGAGTGTATTTGAACACCTGAATATTTCGTGTCTACTTGTTTAATTCAGCTCCAACACATTAATTCATGCAAAAGAGGAAAGGTCACCTACGCGCCATATAAGTCTGTTTACCTCAAATGTGTGACTAAAATGAACCAGATCATCCGACTGCCTTTTTATTCCTGTGTTGATGAAAACAAGTATGAGACAAGAAGCCTCGTACCATCACGACTGGTTTGTCCTTCACTTCTAGTTGTTCATTTTCAGAGACTAATAAAATATGATAAACGTAGAGCTACTATCGGTGGGTACGGCCTTTTCGTAGTCGTTCCGGGAGGTAACATGGAGGTAGAAAGTGTCTGGTGTGTGTTAATGTAGAGTGGATGCTTAAATATGTCCAGACTGAGTATTTTTCAAACACACTCTGGGGGCTCAAATACTTGGATGGACACAAACATCCGGGGAAGGATTATAAATATAGACTTGGATGGGATTTAATAGACTTGGGTGGAGATGAATTCACTTGGGCCGATGTAGACATACTTGGTTTGTGCACAAATGTACCCGGATGGTGTCCTGTAAGAGACGGAAACATCACCGTACACATCTATCCCTGAAACTAGAAAAGTGTCTGAAGCTCATTTCAACATTTCTTCACAGTATCATCTGACCTTTGACCCTCCAGCCTCCTCTGATGTTCCTGAACCCTACCCGTCACCATGGTCATACATCACCATGGTGACCAACCTTCCCACCAACTTCACCGAACCTTCAACCTCTCCTCTCAGCACTCGTCCAATCAGCTGCTGGGATGCACGTGATGGGCAGCGTCTCCCCGGCCAATGAGAGGGAGGGCTTCTCCCTACAGGAAGAGGGCGTGGCCGTCGCCGTGCCGACGTCTCCTCCTTCCCCGTCACGTTCTCCATCTGGTAGTTCTGGTATCAACCTAATCAGACCTCCTCCTGGACCCCCACCTCCTCCTCCGCCACCTCTTCCTCCTCCCCCTCCTCCTCCTCCTCCTCCAATGCCGGCCCTGCTTCCGGGGCTGGGAAACCCCGTAGGAGGCCTGAGGAAGAAGAAGAGAGTGAGGAGTTTCTTTTGGAAGACGATACCTGAGGATCAGGTAGTCATGACCCGGCTAAGTGTAGTCACGTGATTATTTTATCAAAGAGGTAAATACTTATGAAGTGTGTGTGTGTGTGTGTGTGTGTGTGTGTGTGTGTGTGTGTGTGTGTCACAGGTAAAAGGACGGCCCAACCTGTGGACTCAGGGTGGAGAGCAGCAGCAGTACCAGATCGATGTCCAGACCATCGAAGAGCTCTTTGGTCAGAATGACTGTCAATCAAACTCCAAGGCCATGCCCACCAGGGGAGGGAAGACCAGAAGCTCATTCAGGGAGGCGAAAGAGGAGGTGTGTACATGTGTGTGTATATGTGTGTGTGGTACTCTGGGATGCAGGTTGGCGTGTGCTGCTGTTTGCTGAAGGTGTGTGTGTTTGTGGACAGTTTCTACCTGGGCTGTGACCTCACGCTGACACCCGTTCACCTCTCGCTCTCTCTTTGTGCCCGCGTCTCTCCACCAGGTCACCATTCTCGACCCGAAGCGAGGCATGAACATTGGGATTTTCCTCAAACAGTTCAAGAGGTAAATCTCCCCGCTCAGATTTTCCATTGTCCTCCATCAAAGCCGCACAAATGTTAAATAAATATTGAACCGAACTTTCCCTTCAAAAGTACCAAACTGTCTGTAACAGGGTGTGTGTTATTTTCCTCTACTGCTTCATACTGGACCCACCGTAGTTTTCTTTGCCCTCATAGATGTTATCACCAGGGTTGACCCAATAGCTAAACTCAGCGCAAGAATTGGAACAAAAGGAACCGAGGTCTGTCCTTAACAGGGAAGGTAACCAAAAATCTGTTCCACTTCAGAACCGGTCCCAACTAGTTCAAGCCGTTGACATCATTTGTGTTGACAGTGCCGACCATTTAGTTCTGTGCGTCAGTCGGCCCAAATACGACCAAGGAAGTAATCATGGCGGACAGAAGACAGAACTGTTCCAGAACTCTTTCATCTGCAGCTAAATGTGGTCGCGGTTACAGTATTCGATCCAAAAACTGAGTGATACAAATGTTTTACTCACTCTAAAATCCACTCGCTCTGTGAGACCGGCCTTTCGGCGATATGTTCCTCATGTTTCTGCAACATCCGGGAGCATTTCCAAAAACTATTCTAAAGACTATAACCCAGCGATTCCAAAGGATCCGCTCCGATCCGGCAGGTGGATCAAATACGAAAGCATACAGCGCCCACCGAATTTGAGATTACCAATATTTCTCGAGAGACTGGACGAGATCTCGCGTGTTTCTCCGTGAGACATTGAATGGAATCGCAACCCTTGCCCCTCCCATTATCAAGCGAAGAACAGTTCAACGTATTGACTTTATTTTATTTTGAAAATTAAACGGATATTTTACTCTGCAGCCGCATACAACTTGCGCTGCTGCTTGTGCTGCACTGAATTGATGCGCCGTGCCGCGGCGTCCGGCAAAAATAGAATTATTGCATATCTGATCTGTAGCGAAGCTGGACGGCGGACGGATTGTGTGGAATAACACACATTAATTCTAATTCTTGCGTATTTGATTCGCCTGCTGTTCCGGATCCTGTGGTTTTTAGCCGTAAGACTCTAAGGTCATTTTCAGTCCAGTTGAGGCGTCTCCATCGACATCGGCAAAAAGATCTACTTTAAATCACATTATCGAGTTGTTGTATTTCTGCTAACTGCTAACTAGCTAGCTAGTTTCCACATCAGTATGCGCTGTTATACCTCCTCTGTGACTAAAGGTCCTTACGCACTGGTGCCGACGTGAATTTAGAACGCGAAATTACGAAATACTCAGAGGCGAATTTTAACTTTCCGGGGGGAAAAAGGCGCATCCTGGGGAAGACTTTTCCCGGGGAAAGTCCCGCCTCCTTCGCCTCTGATTGGCTAGAAAAGCTGGAAACATCATCACACACTCAAGCCAAACGGTCAGCACTTACAGCCAATCAGAGGCGATAAGATAAGCATCGTCATATGAGAAATCCGACGCTATGACTCTCCACAAGTCGTCCTTCAGGTCGTTATCTTTGTAAAATTTTTGTCTTTTATCAAAAATCAATCAATCTGATTGGTCAGAAGTGGACACACAGGATGCGAAACTTTAGAAAAATCAACCGTGATCCGAAAAATAAATGCCGCAATATCGCAAGACGGGAAAACGTCGCTGATATGAACGCTTTTTATTGACAGGATACGATGTCCGAAATAATCGCACGATAAAAACGCTCCCAGTGTGGAAGGACCTTTGGGGTTACAGTCCGACACCAGGAGTGTAGGTTGATTTGTGATGGCGTGATGTGTCTCCTCGCCCTCATAGTGAGGTATTATGGGTAAACACATGTGGCGATGCTGGTTTATGACATGTGACTCGTTCCAATATATGACAGAATGTCAGTGAGGACTGGTGTGAGGAGAGCTGAGGTGTGCGATAATGTTGAAAAAAGGACACTGATGAGAAAAACAACAGAGAGAAGTCTGAACACCAAAACGAGACGCAGGACTACCCCAGAGAGAATTTAACATTCAACAGCAATGCAAAACGGCTGCTTTGCATCGCCGAGGTGACGCAACACGACGACAACGACGAAGGGAAACAAATTTACCTCCAAGATGCAGAAGCTTTGCATACCCGCTGGGCCTGAGGTTTGGTTGAGTTACACGGTGGAAGAAAGCGTCGTGTATCTTGTTCATGTTGTGTTGATGCATCAATAAGTCCAGACTGAGTGCTTTCCAAACACGCTGAGAGACATACAGGCATGAGGGAGACACAGAGACGGCCGTGTGTGTGAGGCAGAAACACGACCAGAGCTGCGATAAGTCAAAAACAACGACAACCAACGCAAGGTTTCCAAAGTGCTGCACAGCAATATAAAAATACAATAAATAACACAACGGAAGCACAATTTCTCAAGGGTGGATTTTTAGTTAAGAGTCAAACTATTCTTCAGTTCAGTTCTACACACATAGATATACTTAATATAAAAGGGTTTCTTCAATTTCCAATATTTGGTTGTGTCTTAAAATATATCGCTGACAGTAAAATCCAATGAAGAGGAAACCAAAAGTAGTTTTTATCTTTGTTGGTGGGAAGTATTGGCCTTTTGATTTAACGGAACATCTCTTCCTCTTCAAGGTCCAATCAGGCGATAGTGGAAGATATTCACCATGGCAACAGTGAGGCTTACGGGGCGGAGCCTCTGAGAGAGCTGCTGAAGCTGCTACCAGAGTCGGACGAGGTAAAAGACACTGTCACGAACAAATCCAACATTATCTGGAGTAATCTACAGGGGGCGCTAGTTCAACTCAGTTGATAGAACATTACGGTCTCCGCCGGCTGTAACTTCACTACGGTGGTTTTGACATGTCCTTAACTTGGACTAAAAGACTTTAAAGATGTCCCTGTTGACGTATGGTGGACAGAGTCAGTAATAGAACGTCTTTCTTTCCTTTACTGGCCTGAAGGTGGAGAAGTTAAAGCTGTACCAAGGCGACATCTCTAAGCTTTCATTGGCCGATTCCTTCGTGTACCTGCTGATACAGCTGCCCAGGTAAGACTCCGCCCACCTCTGACCTCTGACCTTCAAACTCTGTATTATGTTCCGAATAAATGTCTGAGTACAGGGCAAGTTTTAGACAAATTCTGAAGTTGAAGTTAAGTTTTGTTACATGAGAAAAAGTGGGGATGCACCATCTGTAGATTCAACACTTAAATTCCTTTCATTTAATTTCATTTATTTCTTTTCTTCATCCTCCGAGGTTCACTTGAAAAACTCACTTTTACAGACTTTTGCTTTTCTGTGATGCTGTATTTTCTCTTTTTTCTTCTTTTAATCTTATTTAGTCAATGTTCTCACTGCAGGTCAATTCCGAGTTTTTGACCATCTGTGACTCATATCTGATTTTTAAATCTAAGTGTGAACAGGTCAATTCTGATTTGTTTTAAATCTGACCCAGCCCTCTTTTTTATGTGGATATAAATCGGATATGTATCTGATGTGACTGCAGTGTGGACGCTCAGGTCGCGTTCATCCGACCTTTACGTCGTCAATATGCGACAAACATTGTTCGACAACACAAACAGGCGCGGAAAGAAATTTGTGTTTTGTGCGCATGAGGGTCACTTCACGGACGCATTTGTTGTTGTAATATTTTATTTTATTTTATTTACTTATTTTTTTCTGCTCATTTATGTTATTCCATTTTATCATTACTATTTAATTATAATTGAATTATTATTATGAATATCGTCTTTTTATATTTATTATCCTGTTTCCTGCTTTCTACCCCCCTTTTTATTACATTTATTTTTCTTACCTATTTAATGTTTTTATTTTGTCCTCATGGTCTCACTTTATGTCGTAAGGTTCTGGTGTTGTCTCGGTTTCTCATGACAAATGAAATTGGCCTTCAGTTCAGAAGTCTTGTTTTTAACTGAGCTTTTGTTTTTTTATCGGTTTTATCTCTGTGTTCTGATGTTCTGCGCTTTACAACTGTTTGTCAAAGCACTTTGTAAACCTCTGCTTTTGAAAGTGCTATAAAAATTAAGTTATTATTATTATTATTATTATGACTTCTATAATAGGATTTTTCAAACTGCTGTTTTCATGGGGATGCTCAGAACACCGACAGCCGCTCTAAGAGAGTGAATGCAGATCCGAACAAAAGAAAGAAAACTGAGGAGGTTTTCCTTCCAGAACTAACGGAGCTCAGGCTTTCAGACTGTCAGCAGCAGATGGTGAAGAGCGAGAAAAAAAGAAAACACTGATGAAACTCAGAGCTGATGAAAATGTGCTGTTAATGTGGGAGAAAATCACGACTAACATCCATGAAGCACAACCGTCAGAGGGGATTATAGTTCTGATCGTGGTTTTTGTAGTTTGATGAAAATGAGGCCAAAGAAAAGAGCAAAACAGGCAAATAAAAAAAGGACTGATTGTTTATTTTTCTCTTTCTAGTTACTCGGTGCGAATCGAGTCGATGCTGTTGAAAGAGGAGTTTCCTGGAGCGTGTGAGGCCATGAAAAAAGACATCAAGATCCTTCGCTCTGCAACCAGAGGTAACAACATCATCTCGTCAGGACACGTCGCACTGGAGCGGCTCGCTTAGTATCACGCATACGAACGATGTTCTTCTACGGTGTTCTGACATGACAGACTGATAACACATTACTGCCACCTGCTGGTCTGACTTTGCCAACGCTATTATTCTCACTTGTTTATGCGTTGTCGCGTTGGTCGATGATATATTCAAAAATGCCTTCAGTGTGGACCTTTTCTGAAAATACTGGTTTAGGGGTGGACTCAACCCCAATTTCCACCGCATCCTGAACGGCTACAAAAAGGTCGTATCCGCCGATCGTAGCTGATCGTAACCATTCAAGTTAACGTGACAATTTTCACCGGCATATTTACCCAGAATGCATTAAAGGGATATTCCGGTGTAAAATTAATTTAGGGTCAAACCCGCCGTAACAACGCTTGCTTCTCTAGTTAAACCAACTTTAGTAACGACCGCAGGATAGTAATACAGAGAGCCACGCGCTCAACCAAAACGCCACTCTATAACCACAAATAATGCTCAGAACAGCACCTAACTTCATCAACAGGACATATAGGGTCACAGCCACAGCTTGTTTGTGGCGAGACCTCAGGCCAGTCCATTATGGACTACAGCGGAGTTTCACAGCTCAAGGAAGAACATTTATGATCATTTCTTCATGGAAATACAATCAGACCGAGACGCTGAGACAGAAGAACTACCGCGTCTGCAGTGAAAATGATTAATGTGGTGATTATTACTTCAAGGAAATGATAAAGTCATGATCATAAATGTTCTTCCTTGGGCTGCGAAACTCCGCTATAGTTCATAATGGACTGACCTGAGGTCTCGCTACAAACAAGCGTCTGCTGGAAGAGAGTAGGTGAGTTGTGTTTAGTCTCTTTGCTAAAGAAATGAGTCAAAGTTAAAAAGATGTTTGGTGTCTAGTACTATGTCTGTGACCCTATATGTACTAACCTGAGTAGAACATGGTGTAGTTTTGTTCAGTAACAGAACCTCATTGGAAAATTAGCCGATTTAACTTTACTGTGCTCTTGTTCAAATATATTAACTCAACAGCACATAAATCCATACCTGTTAACAAAATCATGATTTTATTGATAATTCGGCTCAATAAAAACACCTTTTTATTACCTTTTTATTTTACTACAGTATTTATGTTTATGGCTCCTTAGACCGCTCTGTATTTCTATCCTGCGGTCGTTACTAAAGTTGGTTTAACTAGAGAAGCAAGCGGTCTGCAACATATATCTCTTGACGGGGTGTCTAACTCGGTGTTGTGGTGTGTTTGACCCGAAACTAATTCACGCCGGAATATCCCTTTAAGTACCAAATAACGCAGAGATAAGATACGTAGCAGCACCAGACTAATCCTCTAAGTTTTGTTCATTTTATTCTGCAAATTTTGACTTCAGCATCACACAAAAACACTGTCACACCGTCTCCTCCCTTCTCACACAGCCAAGTCTAACACTCAGACTATTTTTAGCAGTGTGTGTGTGAGTGTGAGTGTGTGTGTGTGTGTGTGTGTGTGTGTGTGTGTGTGTGTGTGTGTGTGTGAACTTGATAACAGCCAGAATTTGCTAACTAACCATCCACATGCTAACGCTGCCTCTAACAACGTTCACACTCTGCGGAGCCTTCAGGGATTTCAGGGATAATTGAGTTGTTTTTGGTTCCATATGAAGATGCGTTTCTGTTTCTCCAGCCTCATTTTCTCCCTCTAATCTTTCCTCATATACAGTTGTTGTCTGTCGTTGTCTGTCCTGTTGTTTGTTTGTGCGCTGATGCAAATAAAGACTTCCTCCTCCTCCTCCTCCTCCTCTTCCCCCAGAGTTAATGTGTTGTGAGGAGCTCCATGCTGTTCTCCACCTGGTGCTGCAGGCCGGAAACATCCTCAACGCTGTGAGTGAAAAAAAAAAAAAACTGAATTCATGAATAATTAGACGATAAACAGAACGAGAGGAAAGAAAATAAGACCACAGACTGTTCTGCTAACCCCTCAACATGCAGTTTTCCAGCTTTAACTTTGCTCTTTTGCAAATGGTGGCGTGTTTTTCTGTCTCAGCTTGTTCGAGCTCCAGAAGTTCAATATTTTTCAGGATGCTTTCTCAAAGTCAACGGAAATATTCTCCCTGACTTTTGGCGTGCTGCGTTCGTATCTTGCAGGGAGGTTATGCAGGAAATGCAGTGGGCTTCAAGCTGTCGTCCCTCCTGTCTTTGGCGGACACCAAGGCCAACAAACCGGGCATGAACCTGCTGCACTTTGTCGCTCTGGTCAGTTACCTGAGTGTGTTTTTATCCGGTCTTCTTTTTTCCTCGTTTGTGTGGACCAATGCAGTAGAGATGTTTAGAAATAGAGTCCTCCGGTTATTGAAGAAAAAGTCCGAAAATTATTGATTAAATCCGGAAAAGTTGAGTATGATGTTGACTGTAAGTGTTTTGTTGTTTTTTGTCATACATGAAAAACACGAGCGTCTTAATTATGTAAATGTATTTCATTGTGCAGTTCCTCTTAAATCCTAAATAAAAAGTGAGGATCAAACCCTTCTTTGTCTTTTAGGAAGCTCAGAAAAAAGACGACAAGCTTTTGGAGTTTCCGCTGAAGTTGGGTCACGTCCAACCTGCAGCCAGGTCAGACAGTGTATTCATTCACACAGTTTAATACTTTAAAACCTCCAAATAAAGCTGCTTTTACCAAAATGTGAGTGCGTATTAGGATTTTTGTTTCCCTTTTTTAGAATCTCTCTGGAAACTCTTGACACTGACCTGCAGTGGCTGACGTCTCGTACAAACTCAGTCGAGGAAAATGTCCAAAGAGACACAGAGCTTCTGCAGCAACTGGATGACTTCTTGCAGGTGAAACAAGAATTGAGGTCTTCTACAGAGGAGGTTTTTTTTAACAACACATTCACCAAACTGTTTACAAACGTATTTGTGTCCATTCTTTTCGCGTCAGTCGGCCACCTCGTCTCTGTGCTCGCTGCGCTACAGTCGGCAGCAGCTGAAGAAGGAAGGCAGCGAGCTGATCGACTTCTTCTGTGAAGACAGAGACGCGTTCAGACTGGACGACTGCTTCGGCATCTTCAACACCTTCTGTTCCAAGTTCACTGTTGCCGTCAAGGTACCGTCACTGCCAGACATCCGAACACATCACTAACCGAGTCAGTCATCCACTCCCAAGGCAGGAGAAGAAGTAGAAGTATGAGTTGTGGTAGTAGGGGCAACCTCCGGTGTTGAGGTTATTGAGGTTCCTCTTCGTTTCTAAGTTAGTTTTCTGACTTAATGGTTTTCTTGATGACATCTCTGACAGGCATCTTGGAGTCTCAATTTATAGAGATCACACATTTTATAGTCTATGAGCACGATAAAAAAAAGTCCCTCATTGTCTTTTTCTTAAAAGGAGAACATGGAGAGGGAGGCTAAAGAGGCGGCACGTCGACGACGGATTCAGGAATTGGAAGAACAGAAGCGGCACTCCTGGGCTGGGGGTGAGGAGGTATGATAACAATCCCAGAACACGGTTACTAACAATGTGTCAGTCGTTCAGAACAACAGCTATGTGATTCTCTTTCAGGTGGGCGGAGCATTTGGATTGCGCTCCAGCAGCGAGGCAGATATGTCAGCTGCCATGTCGAGACACAGCGAGGCTGGGTTACTAGTGGAGCTCTTGACCCGCCCACGCTCTCCCAACACTCTGGGACGTTCTGGGAGCTTGCGGCGCTCAAGAAACTCTCCATCCACCTCACCGTCTATCGCTGCTGAGCGAGAACTGAGCACGCTCTTGAGGATGGGAACCCATGAGCACAATGAACAGAAAGCTTTTCTATCCATCTCACCCGAGACAAGAGGTCCCGGACTCTCCCCTCAGACTCGGCCTCAAAGTCCAAGGCTCAGGACATGCAGCTTCCCCCAAAACCAGCAGCCCCAAGTACAAAGCCCTTCCTCACCCCCCAAGATTTTTTTGAGTGCAAACCACGCAACCGCCACTTACCTCAGCGACAACATTTCTCCATCTCACTTCATCACAATCAACTCTACAAATAGAGATACAGTCACACCTACCTCCGATGCAAACCAGCGATCTGACCACAATAGTGGTAAAGATGAACTCAACTTAAGTTCAAGCAGGCAAGGAACTCCTCAACAAACTCAATCTGGCCTGAGCTGGAAAGATAATCAGGACTTTGAAGGTGACAGAAAGGTTGAATCTAACATTTCTGTGGTTGTAGAGAAACACACACTGGTGCCTGAGCTCAAAGTCTTCAGCAAGGTGGACAGACACAACAAAGGGCTTTTCACCAGTTACCAGCATGAATGTCGACTGGATGATATGGTGGTGACGGATTTGGAAGAAGAGGTAGTGGACAGATCACAAGGCCAAAGTCCACAGACTCCGGAGAAATCCAGTGTCCAACTTTGTGAAACAAACTCTCTGTTGCAGCAAAGACAAGAGGACGACCAGAAAGAAGAAAAGGTGATTGTATGGTGTGTGACCGGTGTGTGTGAGGCAGCCAGTGAGCTCACAAACACTGACGCACATACAGAAACTGAGAGGGATCAACATAGGAGTGACAATCAAGGAGGAAGTCTGCCACCTTCCTCTTCCGCAACCAGCAGAACACCTTCAAAACCTCAATTGGCCAATGAGAAGCAAGTGCCTGTGCCCATCAGTAGCCAACCAGTGCCTGTTTCTCGCTGTGATGATCCATCACTACGAGACACCTCCCCAAGATGGCGCCCAGTAGAGTCCCCATCCACCAACCATATGCCTGTTCTCACCATAGATGCCTCCAAGGAAGCTAAGGAACCAGCCAATCGGGGGGATTCCAAAAATGGCAAAAAAGACTTAAAGGCTGTCCAAGAGCAATCAACTAATCATGCAACCACTGATAAGGAAATAGCAGATTCATCCACAAAAGGAAAGGTAGAACTGGCTAAACCAACCACCAAAAACCCCTCTACCTCAAAGACTCGGCCAGCTGGGGTAAAATCTGCAACCAACAACACAAACTCTGTGGCCAACAGGTCAAAGCCTGTGCGGACCCTCACCAACTCTGAGAACCAGGGGATGAGGCGGGTAGTTCCTATCTCAAGAGTCACTCGGAGCACACCATCTCTTGCCAAACATCCTGACAAGCCTTCTGGAACCCAACAAGGCTCATCTAGCATGGCAGCATCCCCCAGTCTGAAGGCTTCCAATGTCAACAGTGCATCAAATCGACGGGGAGAGAGGCCCTCATCTGTCCCTATAACCCGACGTGCCAGCATTCACAAGACAACGGACCCCAAGGATTCTAAAGACCTTAAGGGTCCAGGTACCCAAGCATCTCAGAATTTGCAAAGGAAGCCATCCATTCGGAAGACTCCAACGAAACCGAAACCCCAACCTGAGGAGAAGATGTGTCGGTCCACGCTGAGGGCGCTTGCTCAGGGTGGTGCAGGAGGAGGTAGCATCAGTGCTCCTGTTACTCCTCTGCATAAAGCTGGAACCTCCACATCGTCAACGCTCCCAAGTTTTGCCCGAAGCACTGCTGCTTCTTCTTTCAGGCGGACTAACACGACCCTTGTGCCTCCTGCTGCTCCTCATTCATCCCACTCTGGAACAGATGTCTCCACTAAAACCTCCCCTAACCCCACCTCCCTCTCCTCTGTCACCCTTCCTGGCACCTCCTCGCCTTTTACCAGAACAGGTTCATTAAGAGTGTCCACCGCCTCGAGATCCTCGGATCTTCCCAACAACTCCTCCACATCATCTCCACTAACAAGGTCTCAGAGCATCAGGGTTCCTTCTCGCTCAACCCCCAATGACTCACTGTGTCTACCAAGAGGACACAGACGGAATGACAGTGGGACCTTTTCTGACAAGTCAAGTCATTCTAAGGACTCAGGCAAATCCACAAGGCCAAACTGGAGATAACAGGATATATTTGAGGCTACGTTTAAATGGGGATTGTCTCACAGGAGGACAGAGGGAACATGAGAGGACACATTCCAATATGAAGAACAGACTCCTATCCATGAAGGAATTGCAGGTCAAGTGATTAAAAGCAAAGCATTGATTACTGAAATGTAGCATAAAGTTTCATCTTGATGACGAGGCGTCATACCCATGAAACAAACCAACATTATCAGTTTGTTTTATCTAGTCTATTGTTGTGAGAGTATTATGGAGTAGGGTCCCATGAAAGAAAAAACAAATTGATATTTTCAGATTAAACCTTTAGTATTACAAAAGTAAAATTTTATTTTATGATGAAGAAAACAGGAGAATAAAATATTATGATGGTTGAGGAATAATTTGTGAATTTACAACAAAGTTATAAATGTAGTTCATGATTCGCCTATGTTTTATTTTGAAGGGGAATATTGAACTCTATAGGTTATACAATTCAAAAGATGCTCCTCGTATCATTATCATCAATTTACAATGTTAAATCTGTAAACTTTTTTTCTTCTTTAATGGGGCTTTTATACTTGTATGAAAGTGAGACGCCTACAACCATTTAAAAAGTCACTGCTGAATTGTGTTGTCTTTTCTAGAGACAAACGGATAATAAAGGTGGACTAGAAAAGAGGGTATGAAGTTGATTAAGTGCACCTTCATGAGCCTTCTTGAGGTTGTTTTATTTCATGTAAGAAAAGAAGAAAAGATTAAAATTTCAGTATCAAAAGTTGGTGAGAAAATTGGTCACTCATGCCACGTTTGTGGCAACTCAAGCCAATGAACCCCTGCTGGGTGTTTCCTTTATTTTCCTGATTAAAACACTTAATTTTATCTCTTAAATTTCTCTTTCATTCTGCACTTTTAACTCTACTAACCAAGCTAAAGAATCTCTGTACATCTGGCCTGATTTAAGTAGAAATCATGTATTATTGTAATTTTGAAATATGAAATTACTTAATAAATCACAGAGAATCATGAATTAATTGAGAAATCTTGATTAATTTAGACAAAGAGATTTTGTAAGTGTCTCTGATTTAAACCATCGGTGTTTGACTCACTGGGAAAAGTCTGCAGTACCAAGTTTGTTCATATGAAGATATTTGTATGTTTAAGTCTCTATATTTATGTATGTATTAATATTTGATATATATTATCTATCTACTAAATAAAGTGTTATTCCGCCAACATACTGGTCTGTTCTCCCTCTTTTTGTCATTTAATTCTTGTTAAGATTATCCTTAATTGTCTGTATTTTGTTCAGTTTCATCCAAACACTTGTCAAGATTTAAAGTTTAATTTCAGCTTCTCCTCTACTGCCCTCATGTGGTGGACTTCAGTTTAGAGTGGTTGGCTGAACTATTAGAGTGGTTGTTGGAAAATGAAGTTTAGCTCTTGTGTTTGTTAGTTCTTTAATTTAAAAATCCCACCGGGTTGAAATAAGATAAATACAAATATATTTGTCAGATATGAAAGAAAGAAAAAATGATTTAATTGGAACAAAGAAAAGAAGTTTGAGAACCATTGAATATAAAATAGTAAAAACTTGAAGCATAAATAGAAATCTCTCTCCTTTGTACAGACTACGCTAACTTTTAAAACCTGTAATAACGTTTTTGTATAATTCTGTGTCGAACATTAGCGAAAAATAAATAAACACGGTTCCTTTAAGAATCTGTGGCTGACGCGTTACCCGCGTGCGATGCTTCTTTTCGTAGGATGGTAGGGGGAAGGTCCCGCCTCCTTCGCCTCTGATTGGCTGTTAAACGTCATCACACGCTCGAGCCGTGCGCGGGCTGTCTGCTCTGTACATGGAACGGAACATTGTCGCACTTAATCCTGAACCTTACCCTTATCCTAACCTAAAACTAAATCTAACCCTTAACCTAACCCTAACCCGAATCTGACAGACGATGACGTTTCACAACCATGAGGAATAACCAATGGGAGCCCGTCACTTCTAGCCACTTCTCTTTTTCTCTACCCGCGTAACCAAGGCGTGACGTCATCAGCGCGCGCCAAACAATACTCCATGTGCAAGAGCGGAAAATAACGAAACGCTTAAAAAGTTTCTCTGTTGGTAATTTGGGATTTAAAAAAAAAAGCAAAAAAACATAAATTCGAGTGTCTAGATTTTGACAAAAGTCTGGTTCGTTCGGATACGGGAGTGAATATTGAAGGACCTGCGAGAAGATAAAGAAGAAAAATCCGGAGTTTAAGATTTAAAGTCCGGGGGAACAGCAGGAGGTACAAGAGAGGAGAAGCTGCTTTTATTCCTCTGTTTGTTTGTTTTGGACACTCTATTCCAGAGTTTAAACTAAATAGATCCACGATTTTAATCCGCAAAGAAGGTAGAACCAACAAGCCACATGAAGAGAATAAGTATTTACAGGGATATTCCGGCGAAAAATTAATTTAGGGTCAAACACACCGTAACACCGAGTTAGACACCCCCTCCAGAGATGAATGTTGTCGACCTCTTGATTATCTAGTTATACCGACTTTAGTAATGACCACAGGATAGCAATACAGAGAGCCACGCACTCAACCAAAACGCCACTCTATAGCCACAAATAATGCTCAGAACAGCACCTAACTTCATCAACAGGACATATAGGGTCACAGCCATAGTACTAGACACCAAACATCTTTTTAACTTTGACTTATCACTTTAGCAAAGAGACTAAACACAACTCACCTACTCTCTTCCAGCAGCTGCTTGTTTGTAGTGAGACCTTAGGCCAGAGCATTACCACAGCGGAGTTTCGCAGCCCAAGGAAGAACATTTATGATCATTTCTTTATCATTTTGCACTGCAGACGTGGTAGTTCTTCTGCCTTGGGGTCTCTCTCTGATTCCGTTTTTGGGCTGCAGTGGCTCAGGAGGTAGAACGGTCGGCCAGTAACCGGAAGGTTGGTGGTTTGAACCCTGCCCTATCCTGAGTCTGTCCGTTGTGTCCCTGGGCAAGACACTTAACCCACCTTGCCCGCAGTGTGTGTGTCCTCCATATGATTGTGAGTGTTGTGTGGTGGCGGCAGCCATGTTCACGCCAGTCTGCATTATTATTTCCATGAAGAAATGATCATAAATGTTCTTCCTTGAGCGGCGTCACCCCGCTGTAGTCTGTAATGGACTGGCCTGAGGTCTCAATACAGACAAGCGTCTGCTGGAAGAGAGTAGGTGAGTTGTGTTTAGTCTCAGGCCGCTGTGTATGTCTATCCTGCGGTCGTTACTAAAGTTGGTATAACTAGAGAAGCAAGCGGTCGGCAACATTAATCTCTGGAGGGGGGGTCTAACTTGGTGTTACAGTGTGTTTGACCCTAAATTAATTTTATGCCGGAATATCCCTTTAAGTGAGCTCGGTGGTGTTTTAGTTATTGCGTCTTAAAAACATCAGGAATACTGTTTTGAGTTTTTTTATAAAACTCTTTCTAAAGTTGTTTTAAATTAAATGTCTCTACTTTTTGGTTTTCAGTCTCCTTGTATCTTGACTCATTTTATCAGGAGTTATCTTGGTAGGCGGTGATGGCGTGATAATGAAAGGAGGCGTAGAGTAAAGACTTGAAGGCTCCTCGGGGTCGGGAGGGTGTTTCTGACAGGTGTAGATAAATGCAGAGGTAGAAAAACACCCAAACTGTTTTTTTCTTTGTTGTTGCTAAATTTTAAACTTTTGTTTTTGTCTTTTTCTGTAGGATGATCCTTTCTTTGTTTGCTGTGTGAGAGAGGAAGATGGATGAAGAGCGTCAAGGAAAGAGGGAAGAGGAAGAGACGAGAGGAGAGAACGACAAGGAGATAAGAAATCTGTCCAGGAGTAGAGATGAGGAAGAAGAAGAGGAGGAAGAAGAGAGAGTTCCTGGAGACAAAGCACGCATAAAGCTGATTGGTGGACACACTCCCATCTCCGCCTCCTCCTCGTTCATCTCCTCTCCCCTCTTTAACTCCTCTCTCTGCAGAGGAAGAGGAGGAGAGGGGGAAGAGGAAGAGGACGAAATCAGAGTCTCCATAGTCACTATCGAGGACGAGTCGTGCCCATCTGAGCCGTTCGGGACCGCCCACATAGAAACAGCCAATCAGATTACACAGACTGAGGAAGCAGGAGATGAAAAAGAAGAGGAGGAAGGAAAGGAGGAGGAGAAAAAGAAGGAAAGAGAGGATATCAGTGATAAAAGAGACTTGGAAGAGGATGAAGAGGTGATATCAGGATCCGGTCACCTGCAGAGTCAGGTAGGACTGTCTCACTTCACTCAGAGTTGAACTTTAGTAACGACCGCAGGATAGTAATACACAGTGGTCTGAGACTAAACACAACTCACCTAATCTCTTCCAGCAGACGCTTGTTTGTAGCGAGACCTCAGGTCAGAGCATAACCGCAGCGGAGTTTCGCAGCCCAAGAAAGAACATTTATAATAATTTCTTCATGGAAATACAATCAGACCGAGACGCTAAGACAGAAGAACTACCGCGTCTGCAGAGCAAAATGATTAATATGGTGATTATTAATTCAAGGAAATGATAAAGAAATGATCATAAATGTTCTTCCTTGAGCTGCGAAACTCCGCTGTCTCTTTGCTGAAGAAATGAGTCAAAGTTAAAAAGATGTTTGGTGTCTAGTACTATGTCTGTGACCCTATATGTCCTGTTGATGAAGTTAGGTGCTATTCTGAGCATTATTTGTGGTGTTTTGGTTGAGGTTTGTCGTTACTAAAGTTGGTATAACTAGAGAAGCAAGCGGTCGGGGGGGGTCTAACTCGGCGTTACGGTGTGTTTGACCCTAAATTAATTTTACGCCGGAATATCCCTTTAAATTTGCTGAAATAATACCAGAATAACAATGTCACTGTGACTCACTTTAATGGTATTTTTCAGGTTCATCCTCGAAATGAAAGAAAACAACCTCATGGTTTTTCTGCTTTTGTTGATTGAATCGATTTTGATGCTTTTGAGGAAGTCAGGAAATCTGAACGCTGATCTGCTTTCACCACATAGTATAAAGAGAGTTTTTTTTTTTATATCACCTTTGAATCTGTCAAAACTGTCTCAGCAGACTCTGAAAGTTTGAAACAGTCTGAAAACAGCCAGCAGGGGGCGACATCACTCTCTTTATGGACAAAACAAGAGAGAGTTTGACCACAGGAACTACAACACCTGGTTCATCTGTGTGTGTGTCAGTGTGTGTGTGTGTGTGGCATTCAGGGACCAGCCGACGACATCAGCGTCTGAGTGTGTGTGGCGTTCAGGTGCCTTTGTGTCTTCTCTTTTGTCGTCTCTGTAAACAAACCGAACAGCAGCTGCTGAGTGTGTGTGTGTGTGTGTGTGTGGGGGATGACTGTGGGAGAAAGTGTGTGTGAATCTTCTCTGACCCCCTCCTGACAGTAAAACCTGAAAAACACACCAATTTCACTCTCTAACGAAGGTTTTAGACGCCGCAAACTTGAATGAGGTCATGTGACTTTTAATCTTGAGAAAATAACTGTTTTTTCTAATAACTGGGATTTTGAATCTCTCAGCTGTGACTTTTAAACTCTAAACAAATCTTTCACTTTTACTTTTTTGACGTAGTTTGCAGTCGTGTGAGACTCGAGGTCTGACGGCACGAAATTAATCAAGTTTTTCTCTTCATGTTTACCAAAACGCCCAAAACTTTAAAAACTAAAACCAGAACTGATCTTTAAAAACAAAAAAATCAAAGTTCTATGTATCATGTGTGTTCAAATATAACATTTCTGGCAGCACGTTTTAGCGGCGTTTCTACAGTGGAGTTTCGCAGCTCAAGGAAGAACATTTATGATCACTTCTTTATCGCGGGAGTTCTTCTGCCTGAGCGTCTCTCTCTGATTCCATTTGTCGGCGGCAGTAACCGGAAGGTTGGCGGTTTGAACCCCGCCCTATCCCTAGTCTGTCCGTTGTGTCTTTGGGTAAGACACTTAACCGTATTTTTATCGTACTTTTTGAAATAAACTGATGCTACTAAAAAATGAAAAATGATTAAAAATCAATGATGCTACAAATCGAAGACGATGACGCCACGTCCAAAATCTTCGGTCTCTGATCATGTTTTATAAAAATAGTTCATTTGATGCTTTATCCTTCCCATAATCCGTCCCGTATTTCTTTAAATGGCCATTAAGAGGTTAAATGTTTTATTTATTTTTCAGTGCTTGGTTATTTGGAGCAGGGCAGAAGTGAATTCAGATACTTAAGTGAAAAAAGTAGAAAAAAAAGGTCAAATAACTGAGAAAATGTTCCCAAAAGTGTCTGTTTTCAAGGGTTCATCTACGAGACAAAATCTCATCCTGAATGTCTGAAGTTATCTAACGAAGTTAGTCACACACACTTTCCCGGAAGCACACACACACACACACATTGAGACAGTAGGTGTGTGTGTAGGAATGTGCAGCCTTGAACATTCCTCAGATTCCTCCTGCGGGATCATGGGATATGAAGTCTGCCCCCCATGGGAACTGTTAGCTTCAGACGCACACAAACACGCACATCCTCCCCTACAGAGCGATAACGGTAAACTCGTTTGATAATTTATGATTATTTTATCGTAATTCTATTTTTAACAACAGGGGGCGCTGCTCCTTTTTGAGGTCCGAGTCAACGCGAGATTAGATTAAGTGATTAATTTTCTCTGAGAGAGACGGACAGAGTGGAAAGAACTGGGGCACTAATCTTGAGAGACATGCTCGGTAATCTAAGAGCATTTTTTTCTAGATTACCACACATATCGGAGATTACACACTCACACACACACACATGCGTTTGTTAACTTTACATACTTTTAAGGACTTTGTGACTTTTTATCCTAATCTGAACCTAATCTAACTTTCAAACAACCTTTGAAGTTCAGAAGTCTCTGAAACGTCCCACTAAGATGTTTTAAACCCGAACTTGGTCCTTACAAAGATAGCAAACACACACATATAAACACACACACAATCATTAATTATATTAGTTTAAAGGGTTCGATCCGTCCCTAAAGATTCAACCTGTTACACACACTCTCTGGACACATGACCGTTGTGTGTTGTTGTTGCCACCACACACACACACACTTACACACACTCACTGATCACACTGCTGGGGTCAGATGACTGGTGCAAATAGGAACACATTAGAGCTGCAGCGGTATGTCCGGTATGTGGACACACACACTATCTCAGTGTAAAATACTCGATAATCAGAGCGGAGTCCAGCATTCAGGGTACAGAGACATCGTAAGGTAATTGAAGGTCAATCTAAAAACCTGTTCAAACTCATTACAAACCTGTAGGTCAGGTGATACATCAATAGGGTCATTATTAGATTATTAGAGTCATTTTCTCCAGAGAGGTTCAACCAAAATCTTGCGTGTGGGGGTCAAAACTTCCTTTAGATAAATTGCAGGTACTCAAAAATTCTAATTTTTTTAAAATAACTGTCAAAATGAAAATAAAAAAATATATATTTTTTTCACTTTCTACATAACGTTTGACAAATATTGAATTTTTTAATAATGTATTTTTGACATATGTACAGGGGGAATATTTTATTATATATCTACTGATAATATAATCCACATTCATATTTAAAGGAAAAATCAGGGTTGCCAGATGTACGATAATTATCATATTTGTACAATAATTTTGCCCTCTGGATGAGCGCTTTGTACCACCATTAACCCAGAAGAAAGAATAAATGTACAATAATTTGACAGTTTCGTGAACGTGTGGTGCAATGGGACTGTCTCACCCCCGGTTTCCACCGCATCAAAATACAGCTACAAAAAGGCAGTTTCCGCCAATCATAGCTGATCGTAACCATTCAAGTTAACGTGTCAACTTCCACCGACATCTTTCCGTTCCTCTGCGGATCGCCGGACTCCTCAGCTGATCACAAGAGTTCTATTTTTTCCAGACGCCGGAGCATGGCGGATAAATTCAGCACAGATTAACCCGTGCTGGAAAGGAAGTCGGGCACAGTCACAAAATAAAACATCCGGCTTCTTTTCAAAATAAAACACTCCGTGTTTCAGGAGGATCGTATTTCACACCATGCAAACGGGCGGAGACGAACAAGTGAAAGGTTTTTAGACGTCATTTCACCCCGATGACACCATGGATGAGGAGATGCTGATTCTAGAAGTCTAGAAGTAGATTTCCTCCTCTGGAAGGACACAATCTACTGCTTATATGTCTATGTGTCTGTCTTTAGAGAGACAACTTGTTATCACCCGATTGCACGTGAATCCGCAGGCTCTCGTAGGTTTCCTAACGATTTCGCTGTCCATAATCCGCCGCGAAATTCGCCTATTAGCCTATGTGGCTTAAGACAACTTGTTACCGCGTGATTGCACGTGAATCTGCGGGTTCTTGTTTGTTCTTGTGATTCATGCCACAAAATTCGCCTCACTAACGAATCCGGTAGGAATTGGCGGATGGCGATAATCGCTGCCGTGGAAATCCCGGGTCAGTCTGCCAGACACATTATCTTTCAGTTTTTTATTTGCGAACCTTAAAGGTATCTTTTACCACGTGATGTTTCCATCCAATCGTAGTTTGGTAGTCTGTGCCCGACTTCCTTTCCAGCACGGGTTAATCTGTGCTGAATTTATCCGGCATGCTCCGGCGTCCGGTAAAAATAGAACTCTTGTGATCAGCTGTGGAGTCTGGCAATCCGCAGAGGAACGGAAAGAAGCCGGTGGAAATTGACATGTTAACTTGAATGGTTACGATCATCTACGATCGGCGGATACGGCCTTTTCGTAGCCGTTCCGGATGCAGAGGAAATTGTCGGTAAGCGTTAATTTTCTGTGGTCCAAATACAGAAAACTTTAACTGCAAGACTACATGAGAAAAGAAGAAAATCAGTGCCTCAGAAAACAGCTGGGCCCAACGGTGGACCTCCCCGTCTTAGACTGTGAATGATGGAAACGCAGATTAAAAAAAGTGAGATGTTTGCTGCTGAGAGGCAATTAGGTAGATTTCTATAGAAGCACCAAGAGGACATCCTACAGCAGAGTTAAAGTACTGTACTGTAATACAGCACCCCGCTGAATGAACTTTGTAATTCTACACCTGAGAGTTTCAGTGTCCTTAATGCTGAGTTCAGTTTGTCCTGAGAGTCAGGAGGAAACATTAACCTGAAGGTGTCACGGGTCATTTCCTGTCAGGAGCTCATATCTGACATTCACGTGAGCGAGCAAGAAGAGTCGATTTTCATGTTGTGGTCAGGTGAGATACTTTGACCCACAAAAACTTTAAACCACGCACGACCCAACAAAAGACACCGTTGTTGTACCGAGGGAAGTATTTACGGAGTACGTCAACAAATTTTAACGTCATTCTTTCGTAAGGATTGACCCAAAACCTGCTGAGAACAGGGGGAACATGACGGTATTAGTAAGCCCTCGTGTCTCAAGGAAGACAAATTTATCACTAAAACAATAAAATAGTTCAAAGTAAAATTTCTAAACTATCAGATGAAAAAGTGCAAAAGTTGGTGAAAGTGTTCATAGTCCCCAGAGAATGAACCAGACAGACTCTAAAGACAGACTCTTGGCTTCTCCCTTTGCAGCTATTGTTGTATTTTTTTCACATATACGACAAAATCCCTGGACTTTAAAGTAAGCATTTGGTGCAAAATTTCATGATCCTCAAAGGACTTAAAAAAATCTCCTGGCTTTTCCTTGAGTTTGAAATTGATCACTTTTCCGTTCATGATCCCCAGAGGACAAAGCGTCATCACAGCAACGTGAATGCGCGCATCGCTACTGCGCAGCACTAGTTTCAGGAAATGAAGAAAAATCCCGGAACTACCGAGAGCTTTTTGACTTCAAATCCATATACAGGCGGTAGGCGGAACCAGGTTGTCCATAGTATACAGTCTATGGTCAAGACACGAAGGTTGGCGGTTTGAACCCCGCCCTATCCTGAGTCTGTCCGTTGTGTCCCTGGGCAAGACACTTAACCCACCTTGCCCCAAGTGTGTGTGTCCTCCACTGATGTATGATTGTGAGTGTTGTGTGGTGGTGTTCGGAGAGGCCATAGGCGCAAACTGGCAGCCACGCTTCCGTCAGTCTGCCCCAGGGCAGCTGTGACTACGAAGGTAGATTACCACCACCAGGGTGTGACTGTGTGAGCGGATGAATGATGTATCCAATGTAAAACGCTTTGAGGTCACTGACAAAAAGCGCAATAAAGATCTGATGGATAATTATTTCCATGAAGAAATGATCATAAATGTTCTTCCTTGAGCTGCGAAACTCCACTGTAGTCCGTAATGGACTGGCCTGAGGTCTCACTACAAACAAACGGCTGCTGGAAGAGAGTAGGTGAGTTGTGTTTAGTCTCTTTGCTAAAGAAATGAGTCAAAGTTAAAAAGATGTTTGGTGTCTAGTACTATGTCTGTGACCCTATATGTCCTGTTGATGAAGTTAGGTGCTGTTCTGAGCATTATTTGTGGCTATAGAGTGGCGTTCTGGTTGAGGTTTGCTTATGGCTCCTCAGACCGCTGTGTATTGCTATCGTGCGGTCGTTACTAAAGTTGGTATAACTAGAGAACCAAGCGGTCGGCAACATTCGTCTCTGGAGGGGGGTCTAACTAGGTGTTACGGTGTGTTTGACCCTAAATTAATTTAAATCTATTAAATCCAAATTACTGAAACGAGACACTAAATCGGACTATTTTTGGGTGTTTTCTTGATGGAACAGCAGAAAATCACAGAGACCCTGTTTTCCACCAGTAAACCAGCCACTATGGATGGATCTTTTACACGCTGTGTGTTCATGTCAGATCTCATCAAATATAGCGAGGAGCTAAAGAAACAGTGTCTCTATGTCTTTATCTCAAACACGCCTGAACACACCCTCATACTCTGTGTGTGTGTGTGTGTGTGTTAGTGTGTGATGGTCACATTCCAGCTCCGGGCAGCTCTCCAGCCCATCAGGTCCACCACACCAATCTCGCCGAGTCAGCGCACCACACACTCACACACACTTACACACACACATTCCTGGAGCTGCGGCAGCATTCCTGAAGTCTTGTGCTCGTCAGCAGGACGAGGGTTTGAACCTGCGACCTTCATGTTACGGCGCAGTCTCTTAGCGATCAGCTCAGCTCAGTCTTGACAATCAAACCCATCCACAGAGACCGTCTGACGGGAGAGGGTGACCCAGCTGATTCAGGTGTACATGTCACCTGTCCATGTGGAGCTTGTTCACGTGGACAGGTAAGAGAGGTGACTAAAAAATGAAAACACTGCGCTGTAAAGGCCAAGAGTCTCACCCTATCCGTTTAACTTACATACAACGCCTGGTTGAATACTCAGTTCTGATTGGTCAATCAAGGCACTCCAAACTTGTATTTCTCTGTTCTCTTTTTTTCAGACTGGTAAAAATTCTATGAAGTTTAAAGGTAATTCCTGTTTCCCTGTTCACCTTGACATACATCAACATTAGCTGTCAACATTTCACTGTAACAGTCTGTTAAGGAATAACAGACTGTTGCCATGTGCTGACCAATAAGAATGAGGTACAGAACAGACGGTTTCTGTAGATGGGACTTTGAGCACAGACTCTGACTAACTGTGACCATATCAATAAACAGAGACAGGTCTGAATAATTTGACGGCTCAATAAACACCGAATACAGGTCAGTTAAAGGCAATGTTTCATAGAAGTGGTCAGATATTTCTTGATAGCAGACTGTTACTGTGAGGAATGGACCATTGTTGCAAAGAACAGACTGTTGTCAGGGGTGTGGCTTTGAAGACTGTCTCTGGTAGACGAACCTTCATGTTAGAAGTTTGGTTGATTTAATATTAAAGGGATATTCCTGCGTAAAATTAATTTAGGGTCAAACACACCCTAACACTGAGTTACACACCCCCTCCAGAGATGAATGTTGCCGACCGCTTACTTTAAGTAACGACCGCAGGATAGCGATACACAATGGTCTGAGGAACCATAAACAAACCTCAAACTTTGACTTGATTGAGACCTCAGGCCATTCCATTACGGACTACAGCGGGGTGTCACAGCTCAAGGAAGAACATTTATGATCATTTCTTTATCATTTCCTTGAAGTAGTAATCACCATATTAATCATTTTGCTCTACAGACGCTGAAGTTCTTCTGCCTTAGCGTCTCGGTCTGATTGCATTTCCATGAAGAAATTATCATAAATGTTCTTCCTTGGGCTGTGACACCCCGCTAGTCAAAGCTAAAAAGATGTTTGGTGTCTAGTACTATGGCTGTGACCCTATATGTCCTGTTGATGAAGTTAGGTGCTGTTCTGAGCATTATTTGTGGCTATAGAGTGGCGTTCTGGTTGAGGTTTGTTTATGGCTCCTCAGACCTCTGTGTATTGCTATTGTGCGGTCAGTACAATTCTACAGAATAGGATACAGTGATGTTTGACAAGACGGATCTCTATGTGTCTCCGTTTTTAGATCTGAGTAGGACCCTGGACTGTCTTTGCACTGGAAAAATCAACTCCACCATTCTATACTGACATCAACTACAAACAGAATGTAGAATGTTCTTTGATTGTTTAATCACCGTGGCAACCGGAGAGCGCTGCACTGTGATCGGTCGGTGTTTGAGGCTCCGTTCCGCTGGCCTGTTAACGTGTGTATCAGGGTGTATTTTAGTGGAAGAGCGACGGGACGGAAAACAACAAGGAACAGGTGCTACTGTCCTGTCAATACACACACACACACACACACACACACACTGATGCTCTATCTTGGAGTGTTTTACAGAGCGAAATTCGACACCTGGAGAATGTCAGTAAAAACCCGAAGAATTCAGCTGTTCTCGCGCTCCCCCGCTGTGTTTGTCTCTCTCTGCGTTTCCCTCACATCTTCAAAGTCAGAACTTTTTCTCGCTTTTTTTTTCTTTTACTTTCATTTTTCTCCTCTTGTTATATTTCTTTCCCTCTTGAAATTTTAATCGCTAACTTTTAACCCTTTTGGCTAGGCGTGCATGATAGTAGTCTGAGGGGCAGGAATTCTACTGATGATATAAGCCACATTTATTTTTAAAGGAAAAATCCTGCCTGATTTTCTAAATGAACAATATTTATATTTTTTATTGAGGAGAAATATGTCAAAATATTTTTAAAATTTATGAATAAGTTAACTTTTAATTCTGAGAAATTAACCTAATTTATTTAGAAACATTTTTTGTCCTAATTTAGAAAAAAATTAACTAGTTAATATTAAAAAAATAGAAAAGCAGAATATTTTTGGGGCAAATTAAATAAATGTGAAATGCATCCATTATTATGGTATTTATTATTATTAATTATTGTATTATTTCGTTAATTTTTTGATAAAAACAGATTAAAGTTGCTATTGATGAGTGATTGAAATGATCAGTATTAACAGATTTCAGTTGCTGGGTCGGTAATTTTTGAGCTGATGAATGTTGTGAAAGTATTTCTGAGTCTTTAATGTGAATTCTCCTCTTTCCTCTTCAGTAAATGTTTGAATGACGTCTATGTCGCGTGCTTCATTCATTCACGCCCATTATTCATTAACGGGACGATTTCTTTTGTCACATTTTGTGTGTATCAGTAACAAACCTTTACACCTCAGTCAGGCATGAAACCATCTTTGGCACGTTTTAGGGTTTGTTGATTTGATCTCATTTCCAGCGTGTCCTCTCTGGTTGTTGTTGACGCTGAAATAGAAAAACGCACAAAAACACGTCTCGTTGGACTGAAACGTCACAGATTAAGTTCGGTGAGTTGCACCTGAGCTTCATGATCCATTGCTCACACGTAAAACAGTCGAGGTGCTCTCTTCTCCTCCTTCCTTTCTTACCTTCCTCCCCTCCTTCCTTTCCTCCACAGTTGATTCTTCATCCCTCCCCTGAGGACGATTGCAGCTCAGACACACTCACACACGGTTACTCATTAAAATATACATGAGCACTAAGTCCCTAACATCCCTGCAACACTCCCCGCATTCATTATTGATGAACACACACTGAACTACACACACACACACACACACGAACACATACACACTCTCTGCAGCCCGTGTGTATGTTCGCCTCATAAAGAACCTGTTGTTTGCTGCATTGCACCTCTACGATCTGTCTTCCTGGAATCGTGCAGCTTCTGTGTTTAAGTCCGATCAGCTCTAGATCAAAAATATTTCTCCTTCTGTCCATTTGATCACATTGAAAAGTTTACGAAGCGAAATTAAATTAAACAATGACAAAAAAACAAAAAAACACTGGCAGTCGTATTAAAGAGAGGGTGGAGCGAGAGCGGACAGAGGTGAAAGTTCTGACTGTCACTTCATCAGGAGAATCTCAGATCAGTGTGAACCAAAGTTCAGGAGCACAAGGAGGTAAAAGAAGAACAGACTACAGGGGAGCCACAGGTGGAGAGAGGAGAGCAGGGAGAGGAGGAGGAGAGGGAGAGGAGAGCAGGGAGAGAGTAAGGAGCAGGGAGAGGAGCAGGAGGGGGAGAGAGAGAAGAGCAGGGAGAGGGAGGAGAGAGGAGAGCAGGGAGAGGAGGAGGAGAGAGGACAGCAGGGAGAGGAGGAGGAGAGGGAGGAGAGAGCAGGGAGAGAGGAAGGAGCAGGGAGAGGAGCAGGAGGGGGAGAGAGAGAAGAGCAGGGAGAGGAGCATGAGAGGGAGGAGAGAGCAGGGAGAAAGAAGGGAGGGGAGAGCAGGAGGGGGAGAGAGGAGAGCAGAGAGAGGAGGAGGAGGAGGACAGAGAAGGGAGAGAAGCAGGAGGAAAAGAATTGTGGGCAGGGAGAGGAGAGCAGGAGAAGGAGAGAGGGAGAGGAGCAGGGGGAGGAGAGTGAAGAGCAGGAGAAGGAGAGAGGAGGAGGACAGAGAGGAGAGCAGGGAGAGGAGCAGGAGAGGGAGGAGAGAGCAGGGAGAAAGAAGGGAGAGGAGAGCAGGAGGGGGAGAGAGGAGAGCAGAGAGAGGAGGAGGAGGAGGACAGAGAAGGGAGAGAAGCAGGAGGAAAAGAATTGTGGGCAGGGAGAGGAGAGCAGGAGAAGGAGAGAGGGAGAGGAGCAGGGGGAGGAGAGTGAAGAGCAGGAGAAGGAGAGAGGAGGAGGACAGAGAGGAGAGCAGCAGGAGGAGAGAGGAGAGCAGGGAGAGAAGAGCAAGAGAAGGAGAGAGAAGAGCTGGAGCAGGAGAGAGAGACAGGGGAGAGGAGAGAAGAGCAAAAGGAGGAGAGAGGAGAGCAGGGAGACGAGCAGGAGGAGGAGAGCAGGGAGAGGAGGAGGAGAGAGGAGAGCAGAGAGAGAGAGGCAGGAGAAAAGAGAGGAGAGCAGAGAGAGGAGGAGGAGGAGAGAGAAGAGCAGGGAGAGGAGGAGAGTAGAGAGGAGGAGAGAGGAGAATACCTTTTTTTTCAGGTGAAGTCGAGGGAAGCAAATGTCTCCTATATTCATGTCATTACGGTAATCCTCCCTCCCAGCTCTGACCCTTTGCTCCTTATTTGTAGTGAAACTTTCTCAAAGAGTGTCTCTCTACTGTACTCGGCTTTCTGCTCACACACATGAAACATCATCTGCTGAAAATCAATCCTTCACACATTCCTCTGATCTGCTCTCTCACTTTTTATTGATTCTTCACACACTTGTGGACTCATCCAGCCAGCTACACACACACACACATACACACACACACACACACACACACACACACACTACAAACAGAAGACACATCTGCCCGAGTCTTTGAAGTGGGTTTCTGTGTTTCCAGAGTCTGACAGTAGTTAGCTGCAAGGAAAACACACATTCACACACACTAACGTACACACACACATTCACAGACACTAACGTACACACACATTCACACACACTAACGTACACACACACATTCACAAATGTGTGTATTTTTCTATAGGCTACATCAGAAGAGGTTTTATAAACACATTTGCAGGCATTGTCCATTCTTGTTGATAGAAATAATTGACATTTCACCTCAACACACTCACACAAATACACTCACACACACACAGTCTTCAAGTGTGGGAAAGAGTCAGCTGTTTTAATGCATAACACACAAAAACACACGCACACACTAGTTTCAGGTTTTACTAGACCATCAGAGGCAGCGACTCAGTGGGTCTGCATACCAGAGAGCGGGTGAGGGAGGGTGAGTTCAAAAGAACCAAAAAGAGAGAGAGCGGAGAAAAAAGCGCAGTAGCATCATCAGCCTGTCACCAGGGGGCGCTGTTCTCGGGGTGGCTTCACCCAGCAAGGAGGCAGACAGCGTCCATTCCACATCCAGTCTATGGTGATAACTGGTCTAGAGTGAATCCTCGGAGCGAGTCAGGACTAGAGTCCATGGTACTGAAAGGTGTTTCTAAAGCCATCGTCACCTTACATTCACAGAAACACACCTGTCAGTGTGACTGAAAGCATCGCAAACACGTCTGTGAGTCAGTGTACACAGAAAGTCAAATATCTGCAGGCCTGTACGAACCACGTCACACTGCTCCCCGAAACGTCTAAAACTGTGAAGAATACGCCACTGTTCTCTGATCTGTACGAGACCGTTTGAGAGAAAAGGGGGAAACACAAAGAAGGAAAGATAGAGATAAAGTGAAGGAAGGAAAAAAAAGGATGGGGGAAAGTGAAGGAAGAATGGAAAGTGGGGATGGAATGAAGGAGTAAAGGAAGGAAGAACAAGGAAGAGCAATGCAAGGAGACTAGGGAGTGAGAAAAAATCAAGGATATAGGAATGATAGAGTATGAAAAAGAGAAAGTCTGAAGAAAGACAGATGGAGAGATAAAGGAATGATGGAAACAAGGAAGGAAATGAGGAAGGAATGAATGGAGGGAGGAAACATGAACGGGGGAAGGAAATCACAGAGAAGGGGAGGAGAAGGGGAAAGAGAAAGAGGCAGGAGAGCAGCTGAACAGGTGATCGAGGAGGAGGAGGAGGAGGAGGAGGTGTGTGTGTTTTGTTTCTCCAGGCAGTGGGTGAAGGTTTGACCTCCCCAAATTATCCCCCTGCACCCTTTAAACACTGTCTGATCCGTGTGTGTGTGTGTGTGTGTGTGTGTGTGTGTGTGTGTGTGTGTGTGTGTGTGTGTGTGTGTGTGTGTTGCCTACGGGATTTTCAGTGTGTCGACCTGTGGGTCAATCAGCTGTGAGAAAGCTGTGACCTCCACCTCCCCCCCACTGGGGGCCTGAGTGTTTGCAGCTCCAGGGATGACACTGTAGCTCCTCCCTTTTGTCTGGAGTCAAATATCTTGATAGGCTCATATTAATTAATTAAATATAACTTATATAGAGTTGATAATATTAACTGTATCGCTTGTTAACCTATCTAAAGCAAAAGCTAGCATTTTTAGGGGAAATGAGCAGGACTATGGTGATCTTGATTTGATGTGAATGATCAGATCAATCCTGGCCACACTTGACTGTTGAGAACTAATTGCCATGAGGTTTTGACCAATCAGAATGAAGTATTTTACACAGCTGCGTGGTAATGATACCGGGTTATTTTGCTAATAAATGTTCATGTAAATAAAAATCATTCGTTTTTTAAGCACGCGCTCTCTCTCTCGGTTTGATTTGGACGGTTAGTGACGTCTCTCCGTTCTAGAACTCGTGAAGTCATCGTGTCACTGTGACGGCGGTGGAACGTCGGAACTCCTCAGAATTCTAATCACACTCTGCTCACTCCTCTCACGCGCACACACACACACCCACCGCGCGCGGCTCCAACCCCTCCCTTTCTCTCTCACGAGGCAGAGAGAGAGGCATGTCCCTGCGTGTTCCTGTGGTGGTCGAGCGAGGTAGAGAAAAAGGAGAGAGAGAGAGAGTGAGAGAGCCAGTCCTCCTTGGTGAATCCTGAAGCAGCAGCAGCAGCACGAGCTCCACACGGGCTGGTTTCACATTCATATTTCTCATCGATTAACCGATTGACCGGATGGATTGTTGACGCCACGCCGTTGAAATCTCGGATGTTCATCTCTTTGGAGTTCGGGATTTAATCGATACACATTAGATTTTATTTTTTTCTTGGTTCTCGGTCTCCGGGAGGCTCTACCCACCCGGGGCAGCCATGGGGTTCTACGGCACCTTGAAGCTCATCTTCTACAAAGTGAGTATCGATCATATCGGTTCGACCAGCTGACGTCAGCAGAGGGGCTTTCACCCCCGCGTTCTAGAATTCATTGAGAGCTGTCGTTGAGGGATTCAAGGTTGTCAGGCTCGTGCGGCACCGGGATGACAAGGCGTTTCTCCCTGACAGCGGAATGCCTCGGTAGCGCGTGCGTGTCTGTGTGTACCCGCCGCGTGCGTGTCTGTGTGTGTACCCGACGTTTTTGTGCGCCCGTGTGTGTGTGTGTGCGGACCACTGCGGAACCAGGAGAGGGACTCCTCCTGTTATGTCCTTTTCCCATCTCCCTCTTCTTCTCTTTCGTCTCTGTTCGATCAGGTTATTGATCACTGATCACCCTCAGCAGCCTCTCTGTTGGGTCTTCACTCTGAGCCATCGAACAAGGCGGAGCTCGGGGTTGGAATCCTGGTCACAAATGTAGAAAAATGCGTTAATGCTGTCAAGTTTCTTCACGTGAATCAAACGACAGATGTCTAAATGAAGTGAAAACTGTAATAACTGAGGTGATACTGCACCTTCTGCTGTCTTTAATGAGACATTTGACAGGTTTGAGCTGCGATTAACTGAAATATAGAGGTTTTTATTCAACATCAGAAATGAAAGAAAACCTTTAAACTTAGCAGACATGTTTAGTTTCCGGTTGATATTGATGCTTTAGGTTAAAACACCGGAAATTGAAAATACTTGCTAATGATGGATATGAAACAAAACAGGTGTTGTTGATTTCCATCTTTGTTGTACATAAGGTGTTTAATAACCAAAAATCGAAGAAAACATCAAATTCCAGTGCATTCTTGTTGTGGTTTCTACCAGTCATAAAATTGACGATTCTGGCCCACTTACAAACGCAAGTTTAAAATGTCTGTTGCACCACAGTTTGGCTCTTAACGGCATATTTGTGGTCAATTTTGTGCATAACAGCAAAAAATCCAAGAAAACAAATAGGAATTGACTTTATCTGTCTTAAAAAGCACGAGTTAAAGGAAGTTACTACATTTACAGCGGCTTCAAATAGTTTTGTACTGCCCTTAAGAAAAAATATAAAGAATATAATCAATTAAAATTATAAAAGAAAAGTTTGAAATCTTATCAAAACCTACAAAGATGGTGTAGACAGATATTATTGGGAAGATGTCACATAAGGAGGCCTGTGATCTGGCATAGCTTAGGAACAGGTTGATACAAGTAAAACTGCAGGACAAATTAAAAACGAAAGGAAAAGTTTAATAGGTGTAACAAAAATTTAACAAAAAAAAAACTACACAGTTCAATGATGTCAAAACACATCGTAGCATCAAATATAGTGAGTCACAGTGAAAACTTAAAGAAGACGACCAAATATTGGACAGATAAGTGACCAGTACTTTCTCATTGTCATATAAGAATTAAAGTGAAAAACTTTCTTGTCATAGTTGGATATTAATGTGTAAAAGTACTTAGAACTACACTCTGGCCCAGAATGTGCTGTATAATGACAGTAAATGACACAAAAAGAAGCTTTAAATAATGTTCTTTACAGCTACTTCTTCAACAGCTCTAGGATATCATGACTTATTCGGCAGGTTAATGCCATGAAGGGTGTGTTTGGGGTCCAAAGTGATGCGTAATGTTTATAAAAGGGCACTAAAGCGATTCGAAACTTAAACCTTTAACTTCCTCTCATCCACTCGGCTTTAAATGTCAATATTACAACTCTTACAATTGACTGATAAGTGCAAATGTAGCTCCCAAAGAAATACTGTTGGGAAAAGTCTCTGCAGTTTGGCATTATACCAAAGTCTAATGTAAAACTAGAAAAGCACTCGGAGAGCTCATGTCCCCCTTTATATTGTGATTCACACCAAAACTTTTACTGTTACGTTTCTTTTATTAACGTTTATTTGTGTTTAAACTGGTATGTTCACTGTTCACAATGTTCCTAAAACAAGAAATGCCCTGACCAGGATTCAAACCCAGGACCTTCTGGTTGTGAGGCGAACCACTACACCACTGTGCCGCCTATCTACACCATTGTGCCGCCTGTTGGTTATCTTTCAGCATTGAAAATTCCAACAACACCCTTATTTTTGTGTGTTCTGAATCTGGATCACAGTATCCAGAATTTTGTCCGGATCACCACCAAAATGTAATGGGATCCTCCTGCGGCTGAGACGCACCTCTGGTGAAAATTTCAGGTCAATCCGTCTGTAACTTTCTCCGTAAAGACAAACAAACCGACGCTACCGAAAACATAACCTCCTTGGCGGAGGTAATAATGGTCATACAGTCTTCAGAAGTCAGTGCAGTCAAGAGAGTCACATTTTCATCAACCTGACACAGTCGAACCCTCAACAGAAAAGTGATGCTAGCTGAACAGAATTACAAGAGTTATCCAAGGATACATATGTGGATATTTATACCAAAGTACAGCGAGCGCACGTTTTCTTTCCCCTCAAACACCAAAGACTTGAATATCTGGTTTTAACAGCAAACACATTTGGATGTTTTTCACCCTGAAGTGAAGTTTTTCTCTCCGGCTTAATGAAATCCACACAGACGCGACATCTGCGATGAAAATCCAGCGACATCAGGGGGGGAAAAGTCTGAAAATGAAAAGCAGATTATGAGTTTAGGTCGGAGTTAAGAGCCGTATGTTGTTGATGTTTAGAGTCTAAAACTGTGCGGCGAAGCGTCAGACGCCCGCGAGTTCAATCGTGCCCTCAGTTTTGACCTGCAGGCGTACTTCTTTTTTTTATAGCACAAACATTCAGATTACACAGGGGTTTATGTTAAGATGCTAAAAGGAGGAAGGACACACACTCATACCATCCGTAGTGTGTGTGTGTGTGTGTGTGTGCAGCCTGCTAGTGCATGCTGCTCTATTTTTGACCGTTGCTGCACCGGCGACATTCCTGCGATTTTCTGCATTCCTGCATTCATTCAGTGAAAGAGAGAGAGACAGAGAGGAAAGAGATAGAAGGCCGATTCAGAGCTCTGGGCCGGTGCGTTTGTGTTCCTCCAACAGCGTAGGTGTTGTCAGCGTCTCACTGAAGGCTGCAGTTCACCGTCGTCTCTTCATCAGTGTAAATCCTGTTTGGAGTTGATTCAGTCCTTTTCAAGTCAAAACCAACCGTGAGACTTTCAAACACGGAATACCTTCTCCGATAATCAGATGATTCGTCTCATTCATGGCCTTTCTTCCTCTGTAAGAAGCAAAACTAATCAGGCAGTTTTAGTAATGGGTTTATTTAAGCATGAAAATGACTCCAATCAGCGTTTTTTGGAGCCGAACACGATTTCTTCCCGCCGGAGAAATTGACATTTTTGGTTGCCTAGATTGTGGAAATACAGATTTTAAATGGAAACTACTTAGAAAGATCATTTAAAGTTGGTGCGCCCTCGGCCAGCCGTCATTTATTAATTTATTACCCATTTTTTAAATTAGTTAAACCTCCACCACAAGTGTTTCCGTTACATTTGAAAGGTAGAAATTCAGCAGAAACCCTGTGGAAGTCTGTGGATAGTGGCCTAATAATGTTTAAAGACTCAAAGAAGGAAATATGAACACGCTGTAGGGCGGTCACTGTTTCAAAAATCTAAAGTTCAACTGAATATCAGACAAGACGAGCTGATGTTCAGATATATTCAATTGTACAAATCCTGTTTTTTTCAATAAAACATGGGGGGGAAAGAAGCAACATCTTGTCTTAAAAATGTCAAATTAGTTCTTTTAATCGAAAAATTAATAAAATATTTCCGCAGGCCGCTGCTCAAATGTTCTGGTGTGATGACGTCTGAGTGCAAGAGCAGCATTCGATGGTCAGGTTACACCGAGAGCATTATCATCTAGATTAGACGGCCCGCTTCTTTAGACGTCCTGATGTGCTGATGAACTGTTTTGTTGTTGTAAAGTCATCCTGCTGATGATTCCCAAGACGTTCTGTGAGATTTCTCCTAACTCACACTTTATTTTCAGTCTGCCCTTGACAAATGACTCTGTGATAGGTCATTATAAATGTAAAACTGTTAAGACCATGCAGTGGTTGTGTCTTCTACTGACTCTTCTTTTGTGTTTTTGAACCTCCAGATGAAAAGGAAGCTCGATCATGGTCCAGATGGGCGGCCATTCCCATCAGGGAAAAAGCACTGCAAAGGCAACGGTTACCTCAGGTAAAGAAACGACTCAATGTACCAACAGTTCACGAGAAGGACTGAATGTGAAAACTGACAAAAACTTTTAATTTGCAACAAAAATTCACATGAAAAATGTTCAAAGAGGTTCATCTGGTTTATTTGAACTGAAACTGCAGCGAATGCTAACATTCCTGTCTGTGTCTCCACAGTCCCTCCAATCTGGTTCAAGCCACGCCCACCACTTTCGGAGACCTGCGGCTGGCCAATGGGCATTCGGCTCAACGGCGGCGAGTCACCTCAGGCCCACCCCCCTCTGGCCTTCAGGACTGGCTTCATACCTTCCAGGTGAGCCCCACAGACGGTAAAAACATGTCTCTAGTCCGAGTGAGGTCACCTTTGGGGTTTTGAAGCGGGCTGTTGACATGGTGACCTCATCGGACTTTGGGCTGTTTACTCTAGAAATGAACTTCTTGTCTGAGATGATAAGATAGAGGGTTTATTGATTGCCAGGGGGGGTTTCCGATACAGCTGCAGCACATGGGGAGAATGGAAAAAGAAATAATTCCAAGAAAACCATAAAAAAAAGATTAAAAACCACTCAAAGGAAAATAAACTGTGGAGGGTTTTGTTGGTCCTGGTTCATGAGGTTATTCGAAAAGGTCTTTTATTCAAATGTTGAGCATTTTAAGGATAAAAACAGCCCTAATGTGGTCAACCTTAAGTTCGCATCCAAATGGGGCTGTGTTGCCAATCAAGCTAACAGTTAACGTTAGCTTGATTGGTAACGTAGCTACAGCTAATGTGAGCCCAAAACTGAGAAGAACGTTGACTCTTGATTGTATTTAGTGTTACTTATGTTGCATTTAAGTTACCTCGGAAGTCAGATGTCCGAACAAGGGAATGGCGCCGCATCCGAGTTACCAAGTCTGAAAAAAGCTAAATCGGAGGTGGAAACAAGATGGCTTCATCTACGAAAGTTTATGTAGCGCTTGGCTTGTATTCGGACGAGGCTTTTTTCCAACTTGGTAACTAAAACGTTGGTAACTCGGGTGTGACGTCGTAGTTTGCCTAGTGTTTTACCTTAGCAACAGTAACCGGGGGGGCGGGGCATAAACTGGAGGCTAGTGACATATTTTTTTATATCAAATGACTCACAAAGTTAAAAGTTTGGGGTCTTCTAACCACTACACAAAGAAAGAAAGGGTCATGTTTTGAGGTGAACAGGGTTTTCTGCTCCTGGCGCACGGATTGCAGGACAGAAAATAAGGGTCCAAGAGCTGCTCGGGTTTTATCTGCGTCCATCAGCTGACTTTACTTTTAAGACCAACTAACATTGAAAGAGAAACGAACATTTTTGCCTCGGTGTCGACAGTAAGGCCGGGACGATATGCCGATTCGATTTCTACGAAAATTTCGTCCGCATTTTTAACACCAGTGAAACATTTGAATGATTATGATCGTCTACTGACTATTCCAGGACGCATATAACCCCAACAGTCAACAGGCGGAGGGGGAATGTGCTGGAAGTCATTTCTAATGAGAGGATGTAACGTGTTTTATCATCGTAATCACTGTTATTCTGGGGTTTGACCAATCAGAATCAAGGATTTAAGACAAGCAAGTAGAACGACATTCAAAGTCAACATTTATGCACTCTACACACACACACACACACACACACACACACTCCGTTTCTGATGCGTTGTATTTCAGTGAAATGTGTGTTTGAATATCTTCCGCTTCCTGCACGTAAACAGAGAGAGGAGTGCTGCCTTCAAGCTATCCTTATGTAACTAATAAAAACACACAAGTACAGACACAGAGGGGGAACACACACACACACACACACACACACACACACACACAGTGTATATTTAAATGAAAAACACAAATCTGGCTTTTTGTAGCTCGGGGAAAAACCTAAAACGATTTCAGGGACGTGGAAACACTTCAAACCGCACGCAGAAAAAGAACATGTTCACACACACACACTCGCACAAAAACAGAGAAACACACACAACTTAGTTTAACAACACACACAAACACAAAACTGTTCGTATAAACAGAGAGGGACGTTAATAAAAGAGGTCAAAAATTGAATTATTGCTCGGCTGTTTGTGTTTCAAATTAAAGAAGAAAAGCAGGAAAAGAAAAAAAAAAAGTTCATTTGAAGTTAAATTTTCCTCCTCCTGCAGGCGTGGAGCGGTCCTGAGAGGCTATTGGCTCTGGACGAGCTGATTGACAGGTGCGAGACCAACCAGGTGAAGCACATGATGCAGGTGATCGAGCCTCAGTTCCAGAGAGACTTCATATCGCTGCTGCCCAAAGAGGTACCTGGAGTTATCGTCACTTCAGCACACGTGCTTGTCAAAGTTACTCCATCATGTTCTGGATCTTGAGTGTTTTCTGTGTGTGTTTGTGTGTGTTTGTGTTTGTGTAGTTGGCCCTGTACGTGCTGACCTTCCTGGCTCCCAGAGACCTGCTGCAGGCCGCTCAGACCTGCAGGTACTGGAGGATCCTGGCTGAAGATAACCTGCTGTGGAGGGAGAAGTGCCGCGAAGAAGGTAAATAAATACGCAATAAACACTCGCTAGCTAAGGGTGTGACGGAGTTTGAGGGCGGCATGAAGGAAAGTGTAAAATTTCTAGAATAAAGTCGAGAGAATGAAATCATAGAGCTAGAAAGATGATGTTACGAGAATAAAGTCAAAAAAACTCCAAAAAATATTCCTAAGTTGTATTCCTCTGAAAATGAAGTCGGAATAATGTCGAAATATTCCAGAGATAAAGACGATGTGTCATAAAAATAAAGTCAAAGTAAAGTCATTAACCGTCCTCCTGTGTTAGGGTCTGCACCGACCCGTTTTTGTTTTTAAACGCTGAAAAGAAACACTTAAATTACCGTATTTTCCGCACTATAAGGCGCACCGGATTATAAGGCGCACCTTCAATGAATGGCCTATTTTAAAACTTTGTTCATATATAAGGCGCATAGAATAGACGCTACGGTAGAGGCTGGGGTTACGTTATGCATCCCTTAGATGGAGCTGTGCTAAAGGGAATGTCAACAAAACAGTCAGATAGGTCAGTCAAACTTTATTAATAGATTACAAACCAGCGTTCTGACAACTCCGTTCACTCCCAAAATGAATAAACAGCTGTTTTATTATTTTCCCCCGAGGTAAAGTCAGTGACGTGGTATTTCGTTTATCTTTGAACAACAGCAAGGTATAACATGTAGTGCACGGCATGCCTCGCGCAGTCATATATCCCAGCATGCACCGCGCGCTTCTTCTTCTACGGGGGAAAATGAAGTCGGCGGCTGCTTACCGTAGTTGCGAGACCTGTTGTGGCTCAATATTGGTCCATATATAAGGCGCACCGGATTATAAGGCGCACTGTCAGCTTTTGAGAAAATTGGAGGTTTTTAGGTGCGCATTATAGTGCGGAAAATACGGTAGCTGTTTTACATCAAGACTTTTGACTTTGTCAGGAACCTCGATTTCAACAAACTAAAAATAAAACAGATAAATTGACTTAATTATAAAACGCTCTTCCTAAAATGACGGCACTTGAAAAGCTCTTACTGAAATCATCAGAGCACTGTCATTCCAATCATGTGAGATTTAGGAAATTCTCATTTTGCCGAGTTTTTCCTACACGGGAAACAACGTCGGGCGTGTCCAGACATGTGCGATCAGTTCAGTATAGATGTCTGTATGAGGGGTACACTGACGAAGACCGACCCAGAGGACCAGGGTTGGGGATCCTTTGATTTTGAACGATTCCAGTTTCGATTCCGATTCCTTGTGTCGATTCCGGTTCCTATCGATTCTCTATTCCGATTCTTTTAAAAGGCACAACATTAAAAAAATACACGGTTTAAATGAGGGAAGAAAGTGTAACGTCATGATTTTATCTTCTTACGACAACGATATTTTTGAAACCTTGAACTCTATATTTGGCGGCAGTAGCTCAGGAGGTAGAGCGGTCGTCCAGTAACTGGAAGGTTGGCGGTTCGATTCCCCCCTAATCCAAGTCTATTTGTTGTGTCCTTGGATAAGACACTTAACCCACTTCATATCGAATGTAAAGCTCTGTCAAACTCTTCCCTCTTCACTGAACATGCCGAAGATTGTGCGTCTCTAAACGCTGTGCGACAAAAATAGCGATTGTGCGTCTATGAGGGGGGAAAGATCTGTATTCCCTCCATGTTTTTAAGGATTCCTGAATTAATCACCTCAGTTACTCCATATTCTCCTCTGCGAGCTGCTATAAAAAGTCAATTCCCACTGTGGGGGATCAGCAAAGCCTATCTAATCTTATCTTATCTTCTCCGAGTATAAGAGTAGCTCTGCAGGTTTCCTTCTCCGCTGTCCTTCCTGTTCCGTGTTCGTTTGCTTTGCCACATTTTGATTAATCTGCTCTGAGAAGCTGGAGAATGATGGAGGAATTGTTGTACTTCCTGCTGTGGTTGTGAGATTTAATCAGGTGTTACCTGAGCGGGGGGTTCTGTCGGTGTGTTTGCAGATTTTCCTCGAGGGGGGAAAATGAAAAACAGGAAACAAATTGGGGCTGGAGCTGACTGGATGTGTCGTCCTTTCGAACCTTGAGTGTTACATGCAAATACAGCCACACAGTCAGCCAGTCAGTCACTCCTCCTTCATTCAGCGCAATGCAGTAGCTCCAAGTGTGTGTATATATGTGTGTGTGTGTGTGTGTTTCTCTCCGGGCGCTCTGCCAGTCAGCCAGGATTCACTGCCAGCACTCAGCAGTCATACCAATGAGCCTACCTCCAGTTAGCGCCACACCACAGCCATACTAATGAAGCCAGCGCTAACTGCAGCCCGCCAGCTTCATAAATAAGGCTAATTTGTATTTCTGCTGCGCCACCGTCACACCAGTGGGAATAGTGGTCGTGTTAGCTAACGCTCAGTAAGAATATTAATGTGAAAAAACAAATCCAGCTAGCAGCTAGTATCAGTAAACGAGCTCTGCTATTAGCGCAAAGATAAATTCGAACGAACACAACTGAGCTAGAAAATGGCGGTAAATTTAAGCTAAATCAGTTGATGCTGATTAAAGTCCAGGTTGACGATCTGAGAAGAAGTGTCCCACCCAGAATATGGTCGCTCTAACATATGTCCTTTTTTAACATAAACACAATCAATGCCAGAAAAGCTGTACAAATGTCATTTGGCGAACATCTGTTTCTGTTATCAGAGACTCGATGAAATTTTGAGTTAGCGGTGAAAACCTATAGTCTACTTTTTTAAAACTGAAGCTAGGCATTGATAAAGGAATCGTTAAAGAATTGAATCGATAAGCAGAATCGATAGTGGCATCGATATCGATAAAATCTTTTCAAATCACTATTGAACCAGAATATGGCTGTAAATTTAAGCTAAATCAGTTGATGCTAATTAAGTCACTGTTTGCTACATTAGTTTCACTCAAAACAAGTTCGATGTTATGCTAGCGGTGTAAGCTAGCATTTAATGTCGTCAGTTAAGACAAAAATTGCTAATATTGCTACGTGTTGTGGGCGCACTTAGCTGAATCGCTAATAATTTCATCCAACTACATTAGCTTGAACTGCCGACAATAAAGCTACAACGAGCTGTCATGACTGAGCTTCAACAATAAGCGGAACAGCTGCGCTAATTTTGTCAAACTATCAAAATATTAACTATTAATTTTATAAAAATTACACAATCAGGGTGACCGTTTCCTGAATCGCCAAAAAGAGGACGCGACTACGCGGGGGTCGCACAAAGTTAATTTTGAGAGTCTTTCGGGTCGGATCGGTGAAGCGATGAAACTGGTGTGGCTAATTTTAGCTTATTATGCTACGTTTATTGATTGCTGAGTCATGTTGGGGTCATTTCTTCTCTGTGGTTCAGTCCATCTCTGCAGCAAACTCTAAATCTCTCTTTCTCCCTCTCTTCTCAGGTGTGTCAGAGTGCGTGTCATCTCGGCGCAGGAAGTGTGCGCGGCCAGGCGTCAGTCCGTGGAAATCAGCCTACATCCGACAGCACCGGATAGAGTTCAACTGGAGGAAGGGGGACAAACGAGAGCCGATGGTACGCAGTCACAGCCTCACGCACCGTTGAAGACGAACAGCTTCTGTTTGGTGTGTAAACACGGGTTTAATGTCATTACATCCCTCTGACTCCGTCTCTCTCTGCAGGTGCTGAAAGGCCACGACGATCACGTGATCACCTGCCTCCAGTTCAGCGGCGACCTGATTGTCAGCGGCTCAGACGACAACACGCTCAAAGTGTGGTCGGCCATTACTGGAAAGGTAGGACGCGTGTGTGCTCGCTTCAGCAGACAAAGACGTATTGATTATGGAAATGATGGTTTTCTGCTGCTTCAGCAGTCATTCTGACATTTATCAGGAACCAAACTCCATTCAGAAAACGGTGAATTTTAGATTTACTCACTGTAAAATCTACAACAGACACGACAAAGCACTTAATTAGACTTTTTATGTATTTGTATCATGGTGTAGTCATTTCTGCATCTTTCTCACTCATTCATTACCTTTGAATATGAATATCAGAAGGATCTATGTCGTATAGTCGTCTTTTGAACTAAATCTGGAATTAAACTGAAGCTAAATCTGTTGATTTTAGTAGGATTTAGCTTTTGCAAGCCAGATTAATTTAGATTAAGTGTGAAACTTGATTCAGAAAACAAACATTTTCAGCGTTATTCGCTTGTTAGCGTGCCAGCGAGTGTTATGGTTGCATTATTTTGGAGCAGCAGCGCCTAAAAAGCTCAGGGACAGAATTATGTTTTATGACAGAATATTTAATAGAAATTAGATTTTTTATTTAAACTTCAGCTTCTCATCAACAGTATGATATGATACTTACAGGTATCCAAGAAGCAAATTTGATGTAAAAGTCGTTTGATGCGTCAGCAGTCATCCAGACATTTATCAGGAACCAAACTCCATTCAAAAAACGTTAAATTTTATATCTACTCCCTGTAACATCTACAACAGACCCAACAAAGCACTTAGTTAGACTTTTTATGTCATTATTATCATTTCAGCATCTTTTTCACTCACTCATTCCTTTTGAATATGAATATTAGAATAATCTAGATCATTTATTTGATGGTAAATCTTTGTTTCTAAGTAATAAAGACTTTTTGGTGAGAGGCGAAGTATTTGAAAAATTCCTACTGAGTCTAGTCGTCTTTTAAACTGAATCTGTAATAAAAGCTCAGGGACAAAATTATGGTTTTGACAGAATATTTTATATAATTAAAAATTTTATAGAATTTTTATTTAAACTTTACCATGAAACAGTTTCTCATCCACAGTATGATATAATATCTCCAAAAACTTGAACAATTACAGGTATCCAAGAAGCAAATTTGACATAAAAGCCGTTTGGTGCGTCAGCAGTCATTCTGATATTTATCAGGAACCAAACCCCATTCAAAAAACGTCAAATTTTAAATCTACTCCCTGTGACATCTACACCAGACCTGACAAAGCACTTAAGTAGACTTTTCATGTCATTATAGTCATTTCAGCATCTTTTTCACTCATTCCTTTTGAATAAGATTATTCGAAGGGTCTATATCCAATCTTAATCCAAGAAGCAAATTTGACATAAAAGTCGTCTCTGAATTTGAGACTCGGATACATAAAGCCTTCGAAGGACATGAGGAAATAACCGACACCAAGGTCACATAAGATTCATCACCATCCAAGAATGCGATCAGGCGGCAAATTAATCAACAGTGTGTCTTAGAGTGACTTGTCCTGGCACAAGACGCCGTCTGTGGTTGGTCTGCTTCATGAGTTCGGTTATAATCAAACTGTAAGTTATGTAGGTCAGCGCGATCTCAAAGGAGACTATGGAGCTTATATGACTGAACAGAGGAGGAAGAAAGCAGCAAACTAAAGTGGATTAGCGGTAGGTGGACCAGTTGTGTTAGTCAGGGTGTGTCATTGTTCTGACGAAGCCCGAGGGCCCGCCGGCTCTGAATCCTGTACGTATATTTGTGTTAAAGGTGAGGAGGCTTTTTGTGAAAAGACTTTCTCTTTAGGATTTACTCTGTGTACTCAAGCAGACCCACACCCATCCTGTCTTTACCGTCAGCCAAAGACAAAGTGTCTGTCCCTGTCAGATTCAAGTCTAGTCGTAGACAGTAATGGTCCATTGGTTCTTGAAAAGAGACATAATCCGATCACGAGAATCTTTCGATTATTATGTTTCAGGACTCGACACTAACTTCTTTCACAAGGAGCTCCTAAGTTAAAAAAGTGAGGAGCTTTAGGGGCCCAATGAAAATTAATCAAATACTGTGTGTCTTACTGGTCGTTACCATGGAAGCTATTGAAGAAAATGTTATTCTAAAAGGACAAATTAGGGGAAATAAAGAGGTGTGTCTTATTGCTCGACATAAGGTCTAGGGCCCGTCAATTTTAGCCCGTTTGAGACTAATCGGTAATCGGCCAAAACTCGCCGATTTTCGCAGATATTTTCAGAAATAAAATGCAGAGAATAAGATTTGATGTCACTTCGAAAATTTTCCGCCATTTGAAAAGTTCCCCGACTTATCCTGTAGATGGCGCAGCGGCCTCATGACAATCAGCTCAGGGACGCACGGAGGAGAGTGGTCCGCTTCAACGGGAAATAAACCAGTTTGTGAAAAACACAATAAGTCAACAAGTTTCAGGTCAACCCACTTCACCATGTTCCCCGCTGTGCTGGTCTCGGTCACGCCGAGCTAACGGTGAAACACCATGTAATATGCAAGCTAAAGTTAGAGTTAGCCACCTGCTATTAGCCTTGCTACACTGTTAGCCGTGCCAGTAACGGTAGAATAAACAACAGAACACCGATCGGCGGTGGCGGCGGTCTACCTGTCGGCGTAAAGAGCAGTAGCCTACAGTATATCGACAATATAACATAGTATAGTGTAGATATCGAGAGTTTATATATATATTTTTTTATAACTTCATAAAAAATGTAAAAAATCAGCCGATTAATCAGTATTTATATTTTTTCCCCCCTAATAATCGGTATCGGCATCAGCCCCACAAATCCATATCGGTCGTGCTATTATTTAAATCAATTTTAGGTCAATTGGTCACATGACAGTGAAGCTATTGAAGGAAAACAGCCTTTTTTCTAAGAACATCAACCGGTAATTTATTGACGGTCCCTTATTTAACACCCGACATTGACAGCGAGGGGCCGAGTTGATTTAACCGCGCTGCTGTTGTTATTCCCGGTTATGGAGGGTGAGAAGACACCGGTAGATCCTCAGAGAATGTCCGTCAGATATCCAACCTGAAACTAACTTCACCGCCATATAAACAATTTTTGCCTCAGCTGATTTTTTTTATTCGCACATTGACCCCTAAATATATTTTACAGTTCGCACAAATACAGTTTATCAAAGGTGGAACCAGAACCTGGTCTGCTGGGTTCACTCAGGTCTACAGATGTGTCCCTGATCCATCTCCTCTGAAACAAAATTTATTTGTTCTGAAGCGATAAAGTTCCTCAGTTTCAACATTTTACACAGTGTCTCCACTTTTATTGAACCATCATGAGTGAAGTTTAGGATCGGAGTGATTACGGCACGCTTGGACTCGGCGTCTGTCTCTGGTTTCGGTTGAACATTCTTGAAGAGACACACCTGCTCCCGCTCCTTCGTCTAGACCTGCCCTTTAGCGTGTGTGTGTGTGTGTGTGTGCGCGGGCGTGTATTGGTGTGTATGTGCGCTCCCTGCAGAAAAGAAAACACACACACCCACATGTGTAGCCCGCGGGGATGACCAGGCGTGTTGTTTCCGCTCCGTCTCGCTGTAAAGTGGAGGCAGTTAAATTTGAATTATCTTTTACGAGCAGACGTGCTGACAGTTGGACTTTTATCAGGCAGCTGCTGATAATCAGAGGTTAGTTAGTGAAACTGTTCCACCGTCTCTACCTGTTTCTGCCTCTGTGCAGCAGCTACCAGGGCTGAAAATTCCCCTGCAGTTACCACGGAAACGGCCGCCACAACACCTTCGAGATGAAGGAGCATATTTCAAATCAACGAGCCGGTGTGCGTCCTTCAAGGGGAGCTGTGAAAGAGGAACAAATATTGACTCGCGTAGTTTCATTGTGCGAACACGAGCCGATAAAGATGGAGAGAGTTTGAGAAAACGGAGAAAAATGTCCGTTTAACTTTCGCTTTTGTTACAATTAAATTCATCAAGAGGCGGATTTTTATCGGAAAGATAACCTGAGTTAGACTTGTTGACTTAAATTTAGAGGTGGGGTAGTCAGGATCTGAGGAAGTGCCGGTTTTTATGAGAAATCTCAGCTCCTCCTCTCCCCTCCCTCTCTGCTCCAGCAAGCCCCGCCCACAAACAGACGCTCCTGCTCGCTTGTATCGTCCCAATTACAGCGCAGTGAACCATCTTAGCTGCTTGTAATTATCGTGCTGCGGATGTATTTTTGCATTAATGACCGAATTCAGGCAGGATGGTCAAAGGTACGCCCGCAGTAACCTTTGAAGCTGAATAACGAACTAGTGCTAGCGCAGTTACATAAGCCAAGGCTAGTCTATTAAGCTAATGGCACTGCTAGCATAGTTCGGTTTGCATGTTTGTGGCATTCGCCGTAAGTCTGTGCAGTTCTGTATCTATGAAGACGCTTGTGTCTGTAACCTCAAAATGTAACCAACTGTTACGACAATGCTAATCACAAGCCGGTTAGCTCGATGGCGCCAAAATCAGCTGATTCTGGAATCTTCCGGTGTGTCGGACACTCAGGCCGACTTGAATATAATAAGTAGGTGCGCTGGCCCTTTAATGATGAGCGTGTGTATTAAAGTCATTTGTCGTTTTTTGTCTCCCTTAGTGTCTGCGGACGTTGACGGGTCACACTGGCGGCGTGTGGTGCAGTCAGATGGCGGCCGCCACGGTGATCAGCGGCTCCACCGACCGGACGCTGCGCGTGTGGGACGCAGAGAGCGGCGAGTGTGTCCACACGCTGTACGGACACACATCCACTGTGCGCTGCATGCATCTCCATGGCAACCGGTAACAGACCTCTGCTCCACTGTAGACCTAATAAATCGACTGTTCTGATTGGCTCTCCTCGCAGTGATGTCATACTTCTCTCTTCCAGGGTGGTGTCCGGATCCAGGGACACGACGCTGCGAGTGTGGGATGTGACAACGGGCCGCTGCGAGCACGTGTTGACGGGCCATGTGGCGGCGGTGCGCTGCGTTCAGTATGACGGGCGCCGTGTGGTGTCCGGCGGCTACGACTACATGGTGAAGGTGTGGGACCCTGAGACGGAGGTGTGTCTGCACACGCTGCAGGGACACACAAACCGAGTGTACTCGCTGCAGGTAAAGAACCGACCAATCAGAGCTGCGTGTTTGTTTTAGTCAGGTGCAAATTTGACTTCTGGGCATCGCTATGACAACCGGAGAGTAACGTTTTACTTCTCGACAGTTTGACGGTGTCTTCGTGGTGAGCGGCTCTTTGGACACTTCAATCAGGGTCTGGGACGCAGAGACAGGTAAAGACACGTAGAGATTTATTCTCACAAGGATTTTTGATTTTTTACACAACATAAAATATTTCACGTGAGCAGAGGGTTCCATCGTAACTTTAACTCGGCGTGTTTTGTCCAGGCGGGTGCGTCCACACACTAACAGGCCACCAATCACTGACCAGCGGCATGGAGCTGCGTGACAACCTCCTGGTCTCTGGAAACGCCGACTCTACGGTCCGAGTGTGGGACGTCCGGACAGGACAGTGTCTCCATACCCTGCAAGGTGGGTCCATTCAGCTACGAAACAAAAATGCGTAAATTAAAAATTCAAGTTGGCAGTTTTTTGTGTTGATCGTGTCAAAGGTTAAAGTGTTTCTTGTTTCCTTTAGGTCCCAACAAGCACCAATCGGCAGTGACGTGTCTTCAGTTCTGTAGAGATCTGGTTCTGTCCAGTTCCGACGACGGAACCGTCAAACTTTGGGACCTGAAGACCGGAGCGTGGCTGAGAGACGTGGTGGCGCTGCAGAGCCGGGGATCTGGTCAGGACTGAAAATAGTCCCCTCCCCCTACACTCTAACTTATTCTTTTGCTTCCAAGTTTTAACCAATCACATGTCGTCTTTGTCTCAACAGGTGGGGTCGTTTGGCGAATCAGAGCCTCTGATACCAGGCTGGTGTGCGCCGCCGGCAGCAGGAACGGGACCGAAGAGACCAAACTGCTGGTTCTGGACTTTGACCTGGAAGACGGCAAAAATGAGAGCGAATGAAAAGCAGGGAGGGGACAGATTTAACGCACCCACGAAGAACAGTTTGCGCTTTTGAAGGACGGACCCTTTTTGACCAAAGTCCCCACACCGTCATATAGACAGGATTGAATGTTACATACGTCCTCATCGGCATTTCGCCACTTTAAACGGACAGTCGGATGAACTAATGGACAAGACACATGGACACCAAGTATGGACGATTTGATCATTACGAAAAACTAAACGGGGATTCGTATCGCCACATAAACAGGAATGAATGTTACACACAGTGATTGGCTGGGAGACAAATGGACACTTTGACAAGACTGAAGGACCAATAGATGGACAGAGACAACATGGATACCGGGATGAGTGAACAATTTTAAAAACACTGAATGGCTAAAGCAAGATGGCCGCCGCAGCCAAATTGGAACCAATTGAACTCTGGCTCTAAATACGAATCTTTGAGAGACACGAACATGGACGTCAACATCGTAAGAGTGTTGATTAAAGGACAGATGGACTTGTGTTGCTTAACAAAACGAGAAAACGACAGTTTGAAGAAACGTTTCGGTTGAATGTAACAAAAACAGAGAACCCAACCAAAAGACGACGACATGGGCATTGACTTATTTTGCTGCTGAACCAATGCCGCTTTTTAAACCAACCAATCAAAATGCACCAAATTTTGAAGGCGGGAAACACGTACTGTATTTTTCGCACTATAAGGCGCACCATCAATGAACGCGTCAATTTGCGTCTATTTTCATACATAAGGTGCAACGGCAAGCCAAAAGGATTTTAAGTGCGCCTTATTGTGTGAAAAATACGATACGCAACTTTTGGAGGCAACAAAGTTGGACAACAGTGACAGCATAACATATTCAGTCAGTATTGTTTTCACACCAGATTTCGTCTTTTATTTTGTCTTTTTTGTCCATAGTTGCCGGTAAAGTTGCCGATTTTGTTGCCTCTTCATGTACGTTGTATTTCAGCTGAGCTGTAGCGCACCATACGAAGAGTTTGGTGTCGACAGCGCAGAAAAAAACGTAAGCTTCACTGTTAAGATGTGGAAATCGGCTGGAGAATATTTGGGAAATGACATTTCCAACTGAGCAGAAACTGAAATATGATCTGACCACAGCCAGAGCCTGACATCTGCAATCACACCAGCCTCCATCTTGATGAGTTTTTAAGAAAAGGACCAAAATCATCCTGATAAAGAAAAATCCTTAAAGCTCTAAGGCGATGTTCACACTGCAGGTCAATTCCGATTTTTTAACCATATCTGATTTTTTTCATGTAAGTGTGAACAGTGCAATTCTGATTTATTCTGATCCGACCCAGGCCTCTTTTGTATGTGGATATAAATATGTATCCGACCTTTACGTCATCAATATGCGACAAACGTCACCATTGTTCGACGACACAAACAGGCGTGGAAATCAATTTGTGCTTTGTGCGCATGCGTGTCACTTCACGGATGCGTTCCGTTGTTGTAATGTGAACGACCGCACAAAAAGATCGGATTTAACAAAAAATCCAAACTGTGCATCAAAACCTGCAGTGTGAACGTAGCCTGAATCCCTCAAAAAATTGTTCTTTGCAACAATTTATAGAGCAAGTTTGCTCCTAATCTTGATCCTGTGACTGCCTTTCCTTCCCAAAAATGAGACTGTGGAGGACACGAGGTTGGTGTTTGTTCAGGTTTATGTTTCCGTTTTTAGCTTTGGGGTAAGAGTTTGTATTTTTCTTTTCAATTTTTCCTTTTTTTTTTTATTTTTTATTATTGTTCTAAAAATGTCACTAATTTAAATTTTGAAAACAATTAGATTTTCAAGTCTGATCAAAAAGTTTAAGAAAACTTCAGTACCGTATTTCTCGCACTATTAAGGTCCCGGTCTCCCACGGAAAGTCGCAAAATCGCACCGGTCGTGATGTGTATGGTCAGGCGCGTCAAAATTCGCCTCTGAATATTTCGTAATTTTGCGTTCTATATTTGCGTCGGCCCCGGTGTGTAAGGACCTTAAGGCGCACCATCGATGAACGCGTCTATTCACGGCTATTTTCATACATAAAGCGCACCAGATTATAAAGCACACCGAATTATAACGCGCACCGAATTATAAAGCGCACCGAAATATAAAGCGCACCGAATTATAAAGCGCACCGGATTATAAAGCGCACCGAATTATAAAGCGCACCGAATTATAAAGCGCACCGAAATATAAAGCGCACCGAATTATAAAGCGCACCGGATTATAAAGCCCACCGGATTATAAAGCACACCGAATTATAACGCACACCGAATTATAAAGCGCACCGGATTATAAAGCGCACTGGATTATAAAGCGCACCGAATTATAAAGCGCACCGAATTATAAAGCGCACCGAATTATAAAGTGCACCGGATTATAAAGCGCACCAGATTATAAAGCGCACCGGATTATAAAGCGCACCGGAATATAAAGCGCATTAAGCCAAACAAAACACTCAATAACTCTGCGAGGCTTTGGTAGCTGCAGCGCTCCAAAAAGCCAAAAGGATTTTAATTGCGCCTTACAGTGCGAAAAATACGGTACTTCACAATGAACACACTAATCCTTACAGCTTTTCTCAGTTTTTCTTTTCCTTCACAAATGAAACACTAAGTTTGTCCTTCTTTTGCTTCCATAGAAACAGATTTTTCTTCTTTATAAGATCTGAATCACCCGAGGGTCACTCCTCACTTTATGAAATATTGAAGAAAAAAAGTCTAAGTAATTTAAAAACTACTCCCTTCAGATATTAATCCGATAAGCTGTGTTGCCAGGCAACACCTCCGGCCAATAAGCAGAGATTTGGGTGCTACTTCACCCGGCAACAAGTGGTATTTCAGTCCGTGTTCCCCTTGGAGATGCTGACCTTTGCAGTTGTTCGGCTCTGGATGTGAAATTATGTAAGATACTGTAAATACAGAGAGGATGTACATATTCAGCTTTTTGTAAGAAAAGAAGAAAATATTGAGGAGAGAATGATGGAGGGATGAAAAAAAGAGATCAATAAAGGTGAGTTTTATAAAATGACAAGTGTTTGATTTGTTCTTGGTGACACTTAACCAGAGTAAAGTGAATAATAAACAAAATCAAGTGACTGAATCATCCTGTCAGAACAAAGAGGTCATCCTCTGACACTAAATCTTTTAATTAAATATTGTCGGGGTAAATCTCCTTTAGAGGTTTTCACCTGAGAAATATCATAAACATAATAAATCAGCTGTCTTTTTGGATGAGCTCTAAATCACCCGGATAATATTCATACGTTTGTGTGCAGATTTGAAGAGGCATAGTTTTGATTTAATAAGATATCTGATTAACACTAACTTTAGTTTAATGACATTTTTAATAGTCTGTTCTGTTTAAAATAAAATAAAAAGTTCTGTATCTTGAAGAGTTCGCTTTAGAAAGAGAATCTGCAGGAACACTGACAAGTTTTTCAGGTGAGCCTTTTTCATTTTAGGATTTAATAAAGATTTAGTTGCTTATTTTACTTTAACTGCTTTACCAGGGTTAATTATTAGATTTAAATTCACATGTTAGTACGTATAATATCCTGAAAAGCAGAATCTGGACATTTCAGTGTGCATTAATCGTAGTTTTTGTTATTGGAGCGACGGTTTTCCAGGAAACGATCAGATGACCCGAGTTCCTCGCAGGAAATAACCCGATGCAGTCGGTGAAGTGAAGGAGCCGAGCGTCAGTGTGAATGTAAATCAGAGCGAAGCTCGCAGCAGAAATACAGGTCTGTGTGTTCGCAGCCTGTTTGGCCCAGAAACCGATGAGGGGGTTGCTATGGTAACCGTGCCGACCGAGGGGGGAGTGGGACTAAACTTCAGAGGCAGTTGGTTTTCCACAAACACACCTGCGAGTACATGAATGTGAGTATTATAGACAAGAGGGCTGAAGCGGCAGCTACATAAAAGTGAGGCCAAAAACACCCAGAGCTCCCCCTGCTGACTGGCTGCAGTACATCACCTGGAACATGAGTCAAACAACAAATAAAGGAAGAGAATTTTGGCTTCATTTTTCCAGAAGCATGTAGTGCCTTTCTTGTAATACTTAAGACAGCCAGTAGGGTTCCCATGCAAACTTTCAAGTAGGCCTGGGCGATTTGGCAAAAAAATGATCACGATATATTTTGTCGAATCATCCGATCTCGATAATTATCACGATTTTTTTTAAACTGCCAGTTTTAAAGCATCTGTACTAAAAACTAAAGAAACTAGAGATTAGTTCAACATTTTTTCAACAAAAAGATAAACTTAGAAAAATATAAAAAACATTTAAACTCAATAGAACAACAAATGTAGATAAATACTAAATACTACAGTGAACTAGTTTACAGTCCTGAGTGTTTTTGCAGATACACATTTTCATGCTTTCCACATAATCACTCAGGTCATCGATCACGATCAGGTGGTTATGTGAATTAGAACATATTATTCGCTGACTGAGATGGAAGCTAGCATTTTTGCAGCGATGTTAGAATGCTAACCGAGACAAATTTTTGCCACAGCGTCGACAGGCTCTTTCCTTGGCGTTGTTCTAGGGTTTTGACCAATCGGAATCATTTATTGAACATGGCAGATAATCAATAATTAACCCAGATAAATCAGTGAATTTCCCGTACTCTTTTTGATGTTGCGAAACGTCTTTGCTGTCGTTGTCCATACTTCAGAATTTGCCAAGATGTGTACTCGCAAAGACATTGTTCTTTGTCTCTTAAACGGAGACAGAACTCCTTTCATCGTCCTCCACACTTCCTCGTCTGTCTCAGCAGATCTTTGTGTTTGCGATCCAGTGTGTGGGAGTTTGTTGGAGAATAAAGAGGGAAATGTTATGTAACTAAACTGGCTCCAACATCCTGAAAGAGAAGTACAGTGAAACATGTAGGAGGTGATTTTGTGTTTGTACGAGCTTCATTGATAAACTCGACCAATAAACGCCCACCGGAACACATGTTAGAATGTTAGCATGTAGCACTCCTAGATTTTCTGCGTACTGTGGCTTCGTGTTAATCTAATAAACCGGTTTAACAAGCGAGAGTTTGTAGATCCGTTAGGTCAGTGAAAACAAGCGAAATATTGAAGAGGACGATGTCGCTGTGTTACCCACCTTCTTCCCCTGACATTATCTTTGTGAGTGAGTGAGTGATCGGGTGAGTTTGCATGCAGTTCAGCCGCAGGCAAGGTGCAGAAGAAAATTTCTCGTCTATTACCCATGAGACCTTGCAGCTTGTTGACAGCACAAAATAAAGTCCCGTAAGGTTCAGAGCACACTCACACTCACAGGTGTTTGTTCTGCATCGGTAATGAGGACCATATCTCACAGAAAGGATTGAACGGCCTCTGAATCCCAACATCTCGTCCGCTGCTTGCAGCGTCGGCTCAGGCCCTGATAAAATGATCATAGTAAAGCATTATAAAAATGTCAGAGTGTAGTATGATAAAAAAATCTGTGTAGTATGATAAAATGTCATAGTATTGGATGATAGAGTATGTTAAAAAACATCATAGTATAGTATGTAAAAATATGTCAGTATACTGTGTTAAAATGGGTCAAATTAGAGTATGGTAAAAATGTTATAGTATAGAATGTTGAAAAAAGGTCATATTAGAGTGTGTTTAAAAAAAGGAAAAGTATATTATGATAAAGATGTCACAGCGTAGCATGTTAAAAATGTCAGTAATTTATTACAAATAAGTTTATAGTAAGGTATGATGAAAAAAAACTAATTTTAGTTTTAAAAAAAGGCATGGAATGGTATGTTAAAAAATGTGATTGTATAGTAAAAAGAGACTAAAAATTGATATTTTGGTCTTAACAAAGTCATAGTTTGTATTTAAAACAATGTCATAAAATAGAATGATAAAAAAAATTTAAGATTTTGCTTTGAAAAAAAAAAATGCCCTACTGAGGTATGAATAGACATTTAAATTTTACTGAAAAAAAAATATCAACTTCAGTTTGTAAAAAAATGTCATAGTATATAGTATGATATAAATGCCAGAGTATAGTATGATAAAAAAGTCATAGTATAGTATGATATAAATGCCATAGTATAGTATGGTATAAATTTCAAATTTTGGTGTGAAATTTTTTTTCCAAATTTCAGGATGTAAAAAAATGTCATAGTATAGTGTGATAAAATGTCATAGTATAGTATGTTAAAAAATTCACATTTTGGTGTCAAAAGAAATTATCAAATTTCAGTTATAAAAAAATGTCATAGTATAGTATGATCAAAAATTGTCATAGTATAGTGCGACAAAAATGTCATTGTGTAGTATGTAAAAAATGTCAAATTTTAGTGTGAAAAATATTTTCAAATTTTAGTACGTATAAAATGTCATAATACTATGATAAAAATGTCATAGTAAAGTATGTTAAAAATGTCAAATTTTAGTGTGTGATAGTATATTATGAAAAAAATGTCATAGTATACTATGTTAAAAATTTCAATTTTTTGTGTAAATTTTTTTTTTCTGAATTTTAGTACAAAATAATGTCATAGTATATTATGATATAAATGCCATAGTTTAGTATGGTATAAATTTCAAATTTTGGTGTGAAAATATTTTTCAAATTTCAGGATGTACAATTTGTCATAGTATAGTATGATATAAATGTCATAGTATAGTATGTTATAAATTTCAAATTTTAGTGTGAAATTTTTTTTTCATATTTCAGTATGTAAAAAAATGTCATAGTATAGTATGATAAAAATGTCATAGTATAGTATGTTATAAATTTCAAATTTTGGTGTGAAAATTTTTTTCAAATTTCAGCATGAAAAAAATGTCATAGTATAGTATGATATAAATGTCATAGTATAGTATGTTATAAATTTCAAATTTTTGTGTGAAAAAAAAATTCAAAATTTAGTAGGAAAAAAATGTCATAGTATAGTATGATAAAAATGTCATAGTATAGTATGTTATAAATTTCAAATTTTGGTGTGAATTTTTTTTTTCAAATTTCAGCATGAAAAAAATGTCAGTATAGTATGATAAAAATGTCATAGTATAGTATGTTATAAATTTCAAATATAGTGTGAAAAGCTTTTTCATATCTTAGTATGAAAAAAATGTCATGGTATAGTATAATTAAAATGTCATACTATAGTATGTTAAAATTTTCTAATTTCAGCATGAAAAATAATTTCAAATTTTAGTACCAAAAAAATGTTATAGTATAGTATGAAAAAATGTCATAGTATAGTATGTTAGAAATTTCCAAATATGGTGTGAAAATATTTTTCAAATTTCAGGATGTAAAATTTGTCATAGTATAGTATGATATAAATGTCATAGTATAGTATGTTATAAATTTCAAATTTTAGTGTGAAAAAAAAAATTCATATTTCAGTATGTAAAAAAATGTCATAGTATAGTATGATAAAAATGTCATAGTATAGCATGTTATAAATCTCAAATTTTGGTGTGAAAAATTTTTCAAATTTTAGTAAGAAAAAAATGTCATAGTATAGTATGATAAAAATGTCATAGTATAGTATGTTATAAATTTCAAATTTTGGTGTGAAATTTTTTTTTCAAATTTCAGCATGAAACAAATGTCATAGTATAGTATGATATAAATGTCATAGTATAGTATGTTATAAATTTCAAATAAAGTGTGAAAAAAGTTTCAAATTTTAGTAGGAAAAAAATGTCATAGTATAGTAAGATAAAAATGTCATAGAATAGTATGTTATAAATTTCAAATTTTGGTGTGAAATTTTTTTTTTCAAATTTCAGCAAGAAACAAATGTCATTGTATAGTATGATATAAATGTCATAGTATAGTATGTTATAAATTTCAAATATAGTGTGAAAAAATTTTCAAATTTTAGTAGGAAAAAAATGTCATAGTATAGTAAGATAAAAATGTCATAGTATAGTATGTTATAAATTTCAAATTTTGGTGTGAAGTTTTTTTTTCAAATTTCAGCATGAAACAAATGTCATAGTATAGTATGATAAAAATGTCATAGTATAGTATGTTATAAATTTCAAGTACAGTGTGAAAAGTTTTTTTTTAAATTTTAGTACGTAAAAAATGTCATGGTATAGTATAATTAAAATGTCATACTATAGTATGTAAAAATTTTCAAATTTCAGCATGAAAAATAATTTTAAATTTTAGTACCAAAAAAATGTCATAGTATAGTATGAAAAAATGTCATAGTATAGTATGTTAGAAATTTCCAAATATGGTGTGAAAATATTTTTCAAATTTCAGGATGTAAAATTTGTCATAGTATAGTATGATATAAATGTCATAGTATAGTATGTTATAAATTTCAAATTTTAGTGTGAAAAAAAAAAATCATATTTCAGTATGTAAAAAAATGTCATAGTATAGTATGATAAAAATGTCATAGTATAGCATGTTATAAATCTCAAATTTTAGTGTGAAAAATTTTTCAAATTTTAGTAAGAAAAAAATGTCATAGTATAGTATGATAAAAATGTCATAGTATAGTATGTTATAAATTTCAAATTTTGGTGTGAAATTTTTTTTTCAAATTTCAGCATGAAACAAATGTCATAGTATAGTATGATATAAATGTCATAGTATAGTATGTTATAAATTTCAAATAAAGTGTGAAAAAAGTTTCAAATTTTAGTAGGAAAAAAATGTCATAGTATAGTATGTTATAAATTTCAAGTACAGTGTGAAAAGTTTTTTTTTAAATTTTAGTACGTAACAAATGTCATGGTATAGTATAATTAAAATTTCATACTATAGTATGTAAAAATTTTCAAATTTCAGCATGAAAAATAATTTTAAATTTTAGTACCAAACAAATGTCATAGTATAGTATGAAAAAATGTCATAGTATAGTATGTTAGAAATTTCCAAATATGGTGTGAAAATATTTTTCAAATTTCAGGATGTAAAATTTGTCATAGTATAGTATGATATAAATGTCATAGTATAGTATGTTATAAATTTCAAATTTTAGTTTAAAAAAAAAATTATATTTAAGTATGTAAAAAAATGTCATAGTATAGTATGATAAAAATGTCATAGTATAGCATGTTATAAATTTCAAATTTTGGTGTGAAAAAATTTTTCAAATTTTAGTAGGAAAAAAATGTCATAGTATAGTATGTTATAAATTTCAAATATAGTGTGAAAAGTTTTTTCAAATTATAGTACGAAAAAAATGTCATGGTATAGTATAATTAAAATGTCATACTATAGTATGTTAAAATTTTCAAATTTCAGCATGAAAAATAATTTTAAATTTTAGTACCAAAAAAATGTCATAGTATAGTGTGAAAAAAATGTCATGGTATAGTATGTTAGAAATTTCAAATTTTAGTGTGAAAAAAAATTTCATATTTCAGTATTTTAAAAAAATGTCATAGTAAAGTATGTTAAAAGATTTAAATTTTGGTGTGAAAAAAAAATTTCAAATTTCAGTCATAAAAAAAATGTTATAGTATAATATGTTATAAATTGCCATAGTAAAGTCTGTTAAAATTTCAGATTTAAATGTGAATTTTTTTTTCAAATTTTAGTACAAAAACAATGTCCTAGTACAGTATGTTCAAAAGTTCAAATTTTAGTACGAAAACAATGTCATAGTATCGTATGATAAAAATGTCAAAGTAAAGTATGGAAAAAAATTTAAATTTTGGTGTGAAAAAAAATTTTCAAATTTCAGTCATAAACATTTTTTATAGTATAATATGATATAAATGCCATTGTAAAGTCTGTTAAAATTTCAGATTTAAATGTAAATGTTTTTTTCAAATTTTAGTACAAAAACAATGTCCTAGTATTGCATGTTAAAAAGTTCAAATTTTAGTACGAAAACAATGTCATAGTATAGTATGATATAAATGCCATAGTGTAGTATGTTAAAATGTTCATATTTTAGTGTGCATTAAGACCTGGAATAATAGTTAGAGCAGGCAGGGGAGATGAAATGAAGAGTAGGAAACAGGAAATCAGAATAAGTGAGTAATTTATTTACAGTCAAAAGTTATAACAAAAAGATCAAACAACTTAAGGCAAGCACGAGGTCGATATTCAATGAATTATTGAAAAACCAAAATTCACTGCCAACTATTTAAACAAACAAAATAAACACCACAGGCTCCTGCCACTGGAAAACCTGGACTTTAAAAAACACCAAAATGCACATGATGGAAACACAGTCAACAAGCCGGGAGGTCTGCAGCACGGGCGTCAATCACGAGGGCTGAGAGAGAGAGAATCATCGCAGCTGTGCCTTCTTATATCCACTCCCACTCATCACACCAAGCAGGTTAACCTGAGACACCTGGGGAGGAACCTACAGGAAGAGACACACAGCAGAAGACACAGGACACACCCACACCCACAGCTGTAAAAGTGTGAAAAAAATTTCAGTGTGAAAAAAGATTCAAATATCATTTCGTAGAAAATGTCATAGTATAATATGACAAAAATTTCCAATTTTAATGTGAAATTTTTTTTCAAATTTCAGGATGTAAAAAATGTCATAATATAGTATGATATAAATGCCATAGTATAGTATGGTATAAATTTCAAATTTTGGTGTGAAATTTTTTTTCAATGTAAAAAAATGTCATAGTATAGTATGATATAAATGTCATAGTAAAGTATGTTAAAAATGACAAATTTTGGTGTGAAATTTTTTTTTCAAATTTCAGCATAAAAAAATGCTATAGTATAATATGGTATAAATTTCAAATTTTGGTGTGAAAAAAAATTTCATATTTCAGTATGTAAAAAAATGTCATAGTATAGTATGATATAAATGTCATAGTATAGTATGTTATAAATTTCAAATTTTAGTGTGAAAAAAAATTTCATATTTCAGTATGTAAAAAAATTTCATAGTATAGTATGGTATAAATGCCATAGTATAGTATGTTAAAAATGTCAAATTTTGGTGTGAAATTTTTTTTTCAAATTTCAGCATGAAAAAAATGTCATAGTATAGTATGATATAAATGTCATAGTATAGTATGTTATAAATTTCAAATTTAAGTGTGAAAAAAAATTTCATATTTCAGTATGTAAAAAAATGTCATAGTATAGTATGATATAAATGTCATAGTATAGTATGTTAAAAATGTCAAATTTTGCTGTGAAATTTTTTTTTCAAATTTCATCATGAAAAAAATGTCATAGTATAGTATGATATAAATGTCATAGTATAGTATGTTAAAAATTTCAAATTTTGGTGTGAAATTTTTTTTTAATTTTAATACAAAAAAAATGTCACAGTATAGTATGATAAAAATGACATAGTATAGTATGTTAAAAATTTTAAATTTTTGTGTGAAATTTTTTTTCAAATTTCAGCATTAAAAAAAAATTTCATAGTATAGTATGACATAAACACCATAGTATAGTATGTTAAAATTTTCAAATTTTAGTCATAAATTTTTCTTCAAATTTTAGTACAAAAAAATGTCATAGTATAGAATGATAAAAATGTCATAGTATAGTATGTTAAAAATTTAAAATTTTAATGTGAAAACTTTTACCCAATGTTTCGTTTTTAATTTTTTTTTCAGTTTGTGAACAATGTCATTGTATAGTATGAAATAAATGGCATCGTATTGTATGTAAAAAAATATATATTTAAGTTTGAAAAAAATTCAGTATGAAATATGTCATAGTACAGTGTCATATAAATGCCATAGTATAGTACGTTAAAAATGTCACATAGAACAATTATGAATGTTACTGACTATAGTAAATGTTATGTTTTGTAAGTTCTCTAAAGTTGAATAGAGTGGATCAAAAACAGAAAATCACTTACAAATGAGCAAAACTCCTTTTTAATTCTCCAGCCTGTAATCAAACTCTGGCTGTTCGCTTAAGCATAACCTCAGCTAAAGGTACTTCAACTGCTGGTACAGTCCTCACAGGTATACCAGAACTCAGGGTTTGTGTGTGTGTGTGTGTGACTGTGGTTTAAAAGTCGATGAGAAGATAAAACAGGTCCTGACTACAGGCTCAACATATTAAAGATAAAAAAAAAGCTCTCAGGCTAAGTAGCCGCCAGTAAAACATACTCAAAACACCAGGCTGAGACTCACTAAAGTGTGTGTGTGTTGGAGATCAAGAACATACAGAATAAAACATTAGAGTACGTTTGTGTTTGTTTTTGCTGTATTAAACTTTAAATCTGAGTGCAGTTTAATCCATAAGTGTGTGTTCGGGTGTGCGTTCGTGTGCGTCAGCAGTCAAATTGAATCTCGAGACTGGAGTGGATGGAGTGTAAGATGGATTAAGTGTGTTTACTGTGTTACACACACACACACACACTGATCAATCAATGTAATTCAACTAAAAGCAGAGCAACACTTATTGGCTGAAGTGGTTTCAGTTTCTATGGCAACCGGAATCTTTGACGCCCACTCCTCTCGCTCTCTCTGATTGGCTGTTAATGATTCTGATCTGCATTCTAGAACTTTAGAATTTACCGGACTAGTCGGAGTATAGACGACTCTGAGTGTAACGGCGAGGGGGTGTTCGCAGAGCCGGAGAGCCGAGCAGATCCACAACTGTCTTTTTTTTAATCGCTGTTCCACATCTCGTTTAAGTTAATCAATAAATAAGTGCCCACAGTCACATATTTAGATATTCATTTAGATTTTCTTACCTTTACAATTTTTTACTTATCGTCTTTTTATGTATTGTCTGCCTACCTCTAATTTTTCGGGTTTATTTTACCAAAATATCAACTTTATATTATCCCAATATCTTCGGGATTGGCCTCGCTTTTACACTCTTCGTTCCTTGGCGATGATTTTGACCCCCTGAATGCAATAGTTTGTGTCTGCCATTGACAACAGTTTTATTAATGACTAAGAAATATGTGATCAACAATGGTACTCGATCATAACGTCGCTCCATTTGAGCCGATAACTTTTGAGAAAGAAGCAGAAAGAAGGGGGCGGTCACGTGTTTCAGGTTGTGGATCTGTCGTGCAGTGACCTACCCTGTCCAGCAGGGGCGCGAAGAGAACTGTGGATCTGTCACGGTTGTGGATCTGCTTGGCTCTCTGGCTCCACAGACACGTACTAGTGGTAATGACCGAGTTTGATGGAGAGGATTCCTAGACAATAAAAGAAAACTGGGAGGAAAAACAAACGAACAAACTGAAAAAACAAACAAACAAACAAATAGAGGACTAATGAGAAAGATTATCTATCTATCTATCTATCTATCTATCTATCTATCTATCTATCTATCTATCTATCTATCTATCATCTTACCTCTAGCTTGTGTATCTGGCTCCCTCTAGTGGCCAAACTTCCACACTCTGAACCCTCACTAACTAAGAGAGGTTTTTGTTTTCACAGCAGACGATTTTATGTTATTGTTCAAAAATCACTGATAAATATTGAACACATCCATAAATCAAAGATTAAGACAAAACCACTGAAGTTTAAAAACAAATGTTTGCTTCTTAAATTAAGTCAAAAGCTCATATTGTTCATAGATGCTCTCTAAATTTTTTTGTCATTTTTTTGCCGAGGTTTTCAAGATCTTGTAAAGATTTTGTTGGATCTTCAAAAAAATTCTTCAGGGTCAATCAAAAGTTCTTCTCAGATGTAAGGGTTCATCTGGAACACTTGTTTGTGTTTTGCTAATTCTCAAGATTATAATCAAGTTTACATCTCCAACATTTTTTACTGACATCTTTAAACTTTCTCGGGATCATGCAAAAGCCAGAGTATCTCTAAAAGTTTTTATCATGAACATGGAAATGTTTTTGTAGGATTTTTGTAAGAGTTCTCGACCACTTTCTCTAAGAGTCTTGATTAGGTTTAAAAGGATCTATCTAGAGATCTTGCAAGTGCTTCTAAGTATATTACAATGTTTATTTTAAGAATTTTACAAAAGGTTTTTTTTTAAGATTCTGCAAAAGGTTTATGAGATCTCTCAAAAGTTCCTCAGGCTCTTGCAAATGTGTCTCAGGAGTTAGTAACAAATTTTGGGGTTCTTTTAAGGAGTTCAGATTTTTGGGAATCGTGAAAAACTTTCTCAAGATCTTGAAACATAATCTCAGCTCAGCTAAAGGTGCTAAAGGTGTTTTTATTGAGCCGAATTATCAATAGAATCATGATTTTGTTAACAGGTATGAATATATGTGCTGTAGAGTTAATATATTTAAACAAGAGCACAGTAAAGTTAAATCAGATAATTTTCCAATGAGGTTCTGTTACTGAACAAAACTACACAATGATCTACTGAGGTTAGTACATATAGGGTCCCAGCCATAGTACTAGACACCAAACATCTTTTTAACTTTAGCAAAGAGACTAAACACAACTCACCTACTCTCTTCCAGCAGCCGCTTGTTTGTAGTGAGACCTCAGGCCAGTCCATTACAGACTACAGCGGGGTGTCACAGCTCAAGGAAGAACATTTATGATCATTTCTTCAAGGAAATACAATCAGAACGAGATGCTAAGATAGAGGAATGACCGTGTCTGCAGTGAAAAAGGATAATATGGGGATTATTACTTCAAGGAAATGATAAAGAAATGATCATAAATGTTCTTCCTTGAGCTGCGAAACTCCGCTGTAGTCCGTTGCGTTTCGGTTGAGGTTTGTTTATGTCTCCTCAGACCGCTGTGTATTGCTATCCTGCGGTCGTTACTAAAGTTGGTATAACTAGAGAAGCAAGCGGTCGGCAACACTTATCTCTTGAGGGGGTGTCTAACTTGATGTATTTGACCCTAAATTAATTTTACGCCAGAATATCCCTTTAACATCATAAGAATCTCTTTAATCTCTTTTCATTAATTACAGTAAAAACTGGGCGGCTGTTTTATTTTGAAACATATTTAATGAAACATTCAGTAACAAATCTGCAGCAGGAAACAGTCTGTAGGCACAACAGTTTCAGACTGGAGCTCTGAAATATCTGGTTTTTGGCTTTTTTTTTTTAATTCGACTTTTAAGATAAAAACAAACCAGAGTGTTTACTGGCCACATGCAGCCGGGTCAGATCCTTGTCCGTTTACGGCCAAAGCCTCGTGTTTGATAGCTTTGATTGAGGTTGGATTAATATGGCAGCTCGACTCTCCACATCAGTATTTTATTCTGAAAAAGACGAAACATTGAATAAACCTGAAACGATGAGCAGAGACAGATCCATTCACTCTAAAACTCAAGGATCCCCGTTGTCTCAGCAGCTCCAGGCGTTAGACCAGTCCGTGTATTTGTTTTTTTAATATCTAAAAACTTCCCAGGATGGTGTCTCAGTCCAGATCACCTGATGGTGCGGTACATCATGAAGTCTACCGTGGTGCACCGCGGGAACTTTCCGATGGAGCTCTCCTCAACGGGCGTGTAGACTTTGATCTGACGCATGTGAGTGTCTCGGCCGTTCTGGTGGTTCGCGAGAACTGCGATCTGGATCATGAAGGTGCTGATGGGCTCATTAGTGCGCTGAAAACACACAAAGAAACACACTTCAGTCATTTTTGACAGTTATATCTGAAGGATTAAAAACCACCAAGGAGCATTTTCCAAAGTCAAAGATAAAGAGACGATTCCTACCTGATTCAAGAGAGAGATGTGAATCCATCCACTGGGCTCCACCATCTCTAACTGCTGCAGGGACGAAGAGGAGGACGGTTCAAGACGGTTAAAGAGCTGTTTCACTCCGAGACAACTCCATGATAAATCAAAAATGAGTTACCCTGATCTCCTGAAGGTTGTGGAAGTTGTTGCCCACTCTGACTGAGATCTTACTGGGAGTGTAGCTCTCATCTGACTTATAATCAGCATAAATACACAACATTTTCACTGTTGTTCTCCTCCTGAGAAGTAAAAGAGTTTGAAGATTAACAAGCAGAGAAAATAACTTTAAATGAAAAGAAATTTCACATAAGAGCATCAAATGTACGAGAAGAGTCCACGTTACCTGAACTGAATGTTGACTAAATGAGGCTGTGACCCGTCCGACTGCCAGTACGTCTCCAGGTTATCATCTCTGAGCTGATCCACACCAAAACCTGAGTGTAGGTAGAAGATTTTCAGATCTTTATGAAAGGCGCATCTCAAAAATCATTAAAAAGTTCTTAAATACTTTTGAAGAACAGAAATATATCTCTCAGTTTAGTTCAGACCATAGACTGTTTATACTCTGGACAACTTGGTTCCGCCTTCTGTCAGTACACGGATTTGAAGCCGAAAAGCTCTCGATAATTCTGCGTTTTTTCTCCACTTCCTGACACCAACATTGCGCAGTAGCGTTGTACGCATCAATATAAAACATGGTCAATATCCTTTTCAATGGTCGTCATTCTGCCATGTTTTGGTTGACTATAGGAATAGCCAATGAAACAACTATCAAACACAGTATCAAACAACTGCGTCGTAGCAGACAGCAGCTACACCCAACCATAGCACTTTAACAGGTGAAGCCGACAGCACTGCGAGTGCTACCCCCGACAGAAACGACCATGAAGGCTCAACAGATGACCACATCGTCGACAACACTGGCGTTACGAAAACGTCCAGCAGGATTTTGCACCTGCCCACGACACCAAAACTGCTACCAAATTATTGATATTACTGTGCTTGATTGATAAGGCCAACTAGCCTAAACCCCGTGGAGAAGCTGTGGGATATTTGTGGAGGTTAAAAACCCCGGACCAGCTGAAGGTGGATCAAAACCCTCGCTTACGTAAAACCTCACCAACGCTACAGTCTCAGTGACTCCATCCCACTCTACAAATATATGGTAATTCATGCTTTAAGGGCACCAATGAAATTTTCTAAAGTGTAACATGTTGTATTATAAATCAGACTTCATATCTGGGGCTGACCTGGTTTACAAGAGGAGAGGGACCACACCGCTTGGGAGCCAATTTCTCGGACCGTCCCAGTCCGCTCCAGCTGCTTCGGGTCAGCGCCTGGTGGGGTCTTACTTGGCGTGGCCATCCTTGTAGAGTGAATTCAGACAACAACAACATACAAAAAAAACACACACACACACACACATTCAAGATTTTAACACATGCATGTAGTTCCATCTGATAAGGCTAGACTTAACATTTTGTGTCAAGGTTTAGCCAAGGTTTGTTTAGCCTGTCACATTAAAGTTATTCATACTTCAAACTCAACTCAAAACAAGACGTTAATGTTATAAAAACTACTCGCTTGCCATTCTTTGCAATGTATGCAACGTTAACTAGTCGTGTAACTGAGCGAAAATCTAAAGGGGGTTTGGTGTAGAGCTCCTGCTAGCTGCCAAATTCCAGTCAAATTTCTCCCAAGTTAAATTTCCTTTAATTTCTTTCGAGGTAATTAAATGGAGGAACTTAAATTTTGGTTTGGATTACTAAATATCTCTAGTAAGAATAATTCAGCACAGAACACATGCGTGTAGTTACATCTGATAAGGCTAAACTCCACATTTTGTGTCAAGTTTTTGTTTAATACTGTCAAGGGTTTAGCCAATAAAGGGAGAACCCAAGTATAATTAAAGTTAAACATGATATTAATATTATAATAACTACTCACTTGCCATTCTTTGCGATGGATGCAGCGTTAACAATTCAAATAAAATTGAACAAAAATCTAAATGGAGTTTTGTGTAGAGCTCCGGCTAGCTGCCAAACTCCTGTCAAATTTCTTGCAATTTGAAATTTACTTAAATGTCTTAAGAAGTAATCAAATGGAAATACTCAAATTTAGGTATGGATTACTAAATACCTCTAGGGAGAATAATTCGGCATAAAAAACATGCGTGTAGTTATATCTAATAAGGCTAAACTTCAAATTTTGTGTCAAGGTTTAGCCAGGGTGTGTTTAACCAGTAACATTAAAGTTATTCATATTTCGACTCAACTCAAAACAAGACTTTAATATTATAAAAACTACTCGCTTGCCACTCTTTGTGATGGATTTAGCGTTATCGAGTCAACTAAAATCTAACGAAAATCTAAAGGGAGTTTGGTGTGGAGCTCCAGCTAGCAGCCAAACTCCTGTCAAATTTCTTGCAATTTGAACTTTCCTTAAATATCTTCAGGAGTAATTAAATGAGGAAACTCACATTTAGGTTTGGATTACTAAATACTTCTGGGGAGAATGATTCAGCGTAAAATACATGCATGTAGTTACATCTGATAAGGCTAGACTTTACATTTTGTGTCAAGTTTTTGCTCAATACTGTCCGGGTATAGCTGATAAATGGAGAACCCCAGTAATATTAAAGTTATTCATACTTCAAACTCAACTCAAGACAAGACGTTAATATTATAATAACTACTCGCTTGCTACTCTTTGTGATGGATTTAGCGTTATCGAGTCAACCAAAATTTAACTAAAATCTAAATGGAGTTTGGTGTAGGGCTCCGGCTAGCTGCTAAAAGCTAACATTTCTCTAGCGTTTGCCTTCTAAAAGCGGCTGTAACTCCAGTTAACTAAAGAAATATAAGCGACACTTACTACTGAAGTCGCTGTATTTTCCTTATACGTTGTTTTAGCGCATTTGGAGGAGATTTTGGGGTTTAAATCAGCTTTTTTTTTGGCTGTTCCCACTTTAACGAGAGTAGGGAGGGTCGCTGCTCAGTGACGTCAGGAAAACCGGCGCCTAGTGTTTGCGTCTCTCCCGCCATCTTTCCAGCCGGCTTCCAGGAGAGGAACACGTTGCTGGAAAAAAAGAAGTTTCAGCCCGAATTATCGGTATTTATACGCCGTTTCCCGCCTGGTTTAATTGAAGCCGAAGGAAGGGGGCCAATCGGGGGTGAGTTTGAAATGTAGTGGTTCGGGTTTTGTTGTTATTTAAGCTTTGTAGAGGTTAAAAAAGGAGCGCTGTTCCGTCGCCGAGCAGCTGTCAGAGTGCGGGCCCTGTGATGCTAACCTGATGCTAACGGCCTCTAAAGCTTCACCTGGAGGTCCGGTTTAGCTCCAGGTGAGCTTTTTATAACAACTCTAAAGCCATATGAGGCCAGGGGTGGAATCAGCTGAAAGTTATACTGCGTAGTTTGAGACGCAGATGCTGTTTTTAGCGGAGTGGTCCGAAAATATCTCATAACTGCGAATTCCGTTTAAAAATACACTTATTCTAAGATTTCTCACTTTTGAACATCAAAATACACACATAATGTGAAAATCGGATTGTTATTTCGGGTCTTCCCGACTGGATGATGAAGTCGGGGTTTGAATGAGTCACAGATCTGCAGGTTATTTGAGGACAGCTCACGCTTTGCAGCTGCTGACACCGCCCGTAATGTTGCGCATCTATCCTGAGATTTTGTCCAAATAATCGCAGATCAATCGTTAATACAACCATAATCTCATCTATACGCGTTTAACCCTTTGCGAGGTAGGCGTTTGAGCGTGTAGGTGACCACAGCTGAAGAGTTAGAGGCCTTTAAATAGCGCAGCAGCAGACATCTGCGCTCGCCTCTGATGCGACGGTAAAAAGGCCAGATTTTTAAATGGAGTCTGGTGTGAGTCATGCCCTCTACAAAAACACCGCACAGCGCGATCGGGAGCGGTTTACAGCGGCTCTATCTGCGTCAGTTCATCCCCCCCAGAGGGCCTGAGATGAAAATCCTCGAAACCAGATTGTGTCCTTAAAGCAGAGAAGTATGAGAAAGTGTGGTGTAATCAGGGTCATGAGGAGGTTAGCCCATTGTAAAAGTCACAGGCTCTGTGTTTTTGTTCAGAGAGAATATGTGGCTTCAGCAGAGTGGACACAGATTGAGTCTGGCTATAGTCCCCTGTATGTAATCTTCTAATCTAATATTCAATAATTCCTCCCTATAGATGATCCAGACCAGCGATTTAGGTCCTCATACCGACGCCTGGGCTGTGGTCTCGGCTGGTATGCATCAAAAAGTATCCTAGTCCAACTAGAACTGTTGAAAAACTCACTTATAAAATCAAAACTCTTCTCTGGATGGTGTCATAACTAAGGGCGCGTTCACACCACCCTCGTTTAGTCCGGTTGAACCGAACCCTGGAGCGTTCACCCCCTTGGTGCTGTTCGTTTGGGTCGGTGTGAAAGCTGACATCGATCTCTGATCCGTCTGAAGAGGTGGTCTCGGACCGCTATCAAGTGAACTCTGGAGCGGTTCATTTCTGGTTTGAACGTCATCCACACCAATCACAGGAAACGCACCACACACGCCGTCTCGTCTTTATCCGTCTGTTTGCCGCATGTCTACTCCGGAATGTTGAATGGCATGTATGAGCCGTTCATACGTGCGATCGTCGAGCGTCTTTTGATACGCGCTCCAGATGAGTAGCAAACGCAAAATCAGCCTATGATGCTCCATGACGGGCGAAAACAGCAGAGCGGGGTTTGGATTCCCGCATAAACTAATGACCAATAGCTGAACGATATTCGCGGTCACGTGACTTTTGGTTCCATTTTCTGGAGCGATTGAGTTTGTCCTTTGTGAACACAAACCGGACCAGTTAAACGATCAAAACAAATGGATCATGAATCATTGGATTCAAATCAGGAAACAGACCTTAAGGTGTGAATACGACCTAAGTGTAACTTTCTGTAAAATCCACTCGCTCCTTGAGACCGGCAACTAACCAGAATTAAACTCTGAGTGTTTCCGTGACACCCAGGAACTTTTTCTATGTAACAGCAGGGCTCGACGCTAACTTTTTCCACGGTTTCGCACACATCTATTTTTAGTCGCAAATGCGAGTTAAACAGTCGCACTGTCGATCCCTGGACAGAGAAGGTCCAGCCCCCCCAAAACAAGGAAATCTAATGATTCATGATTTAACTTTAGTGATATCGTGCTGTTTTTCTTGTTAGCTCACTGTGCCAGACAGCGGCATCTGTGTTCTAGTCTGTACTATCATCCATCACATGTAAAGGCCCAATCAGAAGCCTGGCTCACCTAAATAACGTCCCCACTTCTCTAACTCCTCTGCAGCTCTACAGGTGCTATCGTCCGTCATTCCAGCCTTCCAACATGGCGGATAAAAACACCAGGATCGCCATCGTCAACCACGACAAATGCAAACCTAAGAAATGCCGTCAGGAGTGCAAGAAGAGCTGCCCTGTGGTCCGCATGGGTGAGTGAACGAAGGGCCTGTTTTCAAGTAAGACATGTATTAGATGGTGAAAATGACCCCGAATTCACGTGTGTCTGTGTTTGCAGGTAAGCTGTGTATCGAGGTGACTCCACAGAGTAAGATTGCCTGGATCTCCGAGTCTCTATGTATAGGCTGCGGCATCTGTATCAAGGTAAACCTGGACTCAGATTTAGTCTGTTTGTCCTGTGAGGGGGGACGTTAAGGAAGCAGCAAAGACTAACCCCCAATTTCCACCGCATCCGGAATGGCGGCTATTTTCGACATTCTCCATTTGTGAAGTGAATTTCGTGGCGGATTACGGACAGCTGGAACCGCAAGAACTCGCGGATAACTTAAATGGTTACGATCCGCGGATAGGCCTTTTCATTGCCGTTCCGGATGTGGTGGAAATTGGGGTTTATGGAAGTGTCTCTGATGTAAAAACTTCGCCTTCGTCATATTTTGGTTGTGTTTTGTCTCTGTAGAAATGTCCGTTTGGAGCGTTATCAATCGTCAACCTGCCAAGCAACCTGGAGAAGGAAACCACACACAGATACTGCGCCAACTCCTTCAAACTGCACCGGTACGCCGCTGAAGCTCCGAGTAGCTTTTCTGAATTTAGTCCACAATGTGCAGTTTTTGTGCGACTGTGAAGCTCGTTTATTTAAATCACTGCATTCATTCCTCTCGATAACCAGCCTAAAAATAAACGTACCTGTGTGTTCAGGCTGCCCATCCCTCGGCCCGGCGAGGTCCTGGGACTGGTGGGGACCAACGGTATTGGCAAGTCCACGGCTCTGAAGATCCTGGCCGGAAAACAGAAACCCAACCTGGGGAAGTATGACGTGAGTGTTGAAACTTCCTGCAGAGCGATCGTGACTCAGTTTGAAGATGATCATCTGTTTCAGACCCGGCTGTCCTGATGAGATAAACGTGGGTGCGGCTGCTCACAGCTGCGGTCTGTCTCCTGACAACCACCGACAAAGCTTTTGTCTCCACGCCTCGTTTCCTGCGCTGCGGCTCAAATAACCACCAAAATACGCCTCTGATGGTGTTTTTTCTTCCCCAGAATCCTCCAGACTGGCAGGAGATCCTGACCTACTTCAGAGGGTCTGAGCTGCAGAATTATTTCACCAAAATCCTCGAGGACGACCTGCGGGCCATCGTCAAACCGCAGTACGTCGACCAGATCCCAAAGACCGTGAAGGTGCGTGAAGAGAGCGATTTTTCAGGCTCTGTTTTTGAAGGTCTGGTTTAGATCTGGTTGTAATTCCTCATGTCTGCCTGCAGGGGTCAGTAGGGGCCATCCTGAGCAGGAAAGATGACACAGACACACAGGACATCGTCTGCCAACAGCTTGGTAAACACACACACACACACACACACACACACACACACACACTCTAAAAGACAGATTTCAAACTCTGACGTAAAACATGAATTAAAAAATCAAAAAGTTGAGCAACTGTCAGAACAACCTCACCTTCAAATATTTTTCAAATCCTGCTGATAAAAAGCGGTTCCTTTTCTTTTTTTTTTTTTAAATCTAAAGTTTGTGCTTTTTTCTGATTGGCTGATTTTTTTGTTGTTGTTACCGGGCAGATCTGAGTCACCTTCGGGAGAGGAACGTGGAGGATCTGTCCGGAGGAGAGCTACAGAGGTTCGCCTGCGCCGTCGTCTGCATCCAGAGAGCCGACATGTAAGCGAACCACAATGTTTTTACCGTTTCACGATCTTTGACCTCCGACCGTCTCTGTGAAAGCTGCTGATTCCTCTTTTTTTTTTTTTCTCCACCACAGTTTCATGTTCGATGAGCCGTCCAGTTACCTGGATGTGAAACAGAGGCTGAAGGCCGCCATCACCATCCGCTCACTCATCACTCCAGACAGGTAACGAGGGGTTTTGTTTAAGGCTAGGTTCGCAATTCTGATTTTCTGATTTTGAACGACTGCACAAAAAGATCGGATTTAACAACAAATCCGAAATTGTGCATCATAACCTGCAGTGTGAAGGTAGCCTAATATGAAGGAATTTAAAGGGGACCTGTAAGAAAAACAAACAAATAATAAATGAATGAAAAAATAAAAATCTATCAAAAATGGAAAAAGGCATGAAGGGGTTAATTAAACAAAATCTGAATTTATATTTTGGAGATGATTTAATAGTAATTAAAGTAAAAATATGAAATAAAAATGGAAAAGACTGAATAAATAAAATTTTTGTGAAATAATGAAAAATTTAAATAATGGGTTAAATTGAGAATATTGTCGAAATTTTTTTTAAAAAATCTTTAAATTTCAAGAAAAGCGAAAAAAATGAATAAAAAAAATACAAGAAATTAAATTTAAGTTCAATAGGATGAAATTTTAAAAAATAACCAAAATGTAAAAAAAAAATAAAACAAATTTTATTAATCCATTGAAACAGATTAAAACCAAAAAAGGGAAAAAATTAATAGATGAAAAATGTTTAAAATTGTAATAATTAAAAAAAAATTAAAATTAAAGGTACAGCTAATTTAATAAATTTAAAAAAAAAATGCAAAAACAAATTTCTAAATTGCCAAGCAAAAAGAAAATGAAATAAATGTCCTTTCAGATAATTAAACTATAAAATAAATCTGAAAAATCTGTGTAAAATTTTCATAAAAGATGAAAATGTATTGAAAAATATTGAGTAATTAACTCATGTCAAACTTAAAAAACTATTTCAGAGCCATTTTAATGGATTTATGGAGGGTTTTTTTTGGTCTCTTATTTTGAAAGGTTCCTGTGTGTGTTTCAGGTACATTATTGTGGTGGAGCACGATCTGAGCGTGTTGGATTACCTTTCTGACTTCATCTGCTGCCTGTACGGCGTTCCCAGCGCCTACGGAGTCGTCACCATGCCCTTCAGCGTCAGAGAGGGTAACGCTAGAATAAATCAGATTATTTATCATCACATTCATAATATTTTAATTTGTTTTGGTAGAAAATGAAACTCTGAGTCTTTGTTTTTTTTCTTCAGGTATCAACATCTTCCTGGACGGTTACGTTCCCACAGAGAATCTCAGGTTTCGGGAAACCTCGCTGGTGTTCAAAGTCGCAGAAACGGCCAACGAGGAGGAAGTGAAAAGACTCCGACATTACCAGGTCGGTCCGACTCGACTTGACTTTTTCAGATTTGATACTAAAACTTACTCTGCTGTCAAAAACTTGATCCGCCGCGTCTCGTGAATCGTTTCAGTACCCGAACATGGCGAAGACGATGGGCGAGTTCACTCTGGAAATCAAAGGCGGCGAGTTCACGGACTCTGAGATCATGGTGATGCTCGGAGAAAACGGTCCGTCTGGAAAAAAACAAACACAGTTTTTTGAGTTTGTCGTTAAATAATCGGAGAAATTCAAAGTTAATCTGTGAGTTTTTTTTTTTCTTTTTTTTGTAGGAACGGGGAAGACGACCTTCATCAGGATGTTGGCTGGAGGACTCAAAGCAGACAGCGGAGGTGAGTCTCGCACAAACAGTCACACACACACAAACACTCACACTCACACTCACACACACTGACCTGTGTTTCCTGTTCCAGGTGATGTTCCCATCCTGAACGTCAGCTACAAACCGCAGACCATCAGCCCCAAATTTAAGGTCCGTTCAGCTCCGTTGTTGTTTTATAATGGTATTGTTTTATTTAAATCAAAGAGTTAAAATAAGGTAAAAAGTTTTGGCTTAATTTTTGCACAAAAAAAAAAAAAAACTATAAAAAAATATAATGATGATAGAGTTAGGTTCATCATTACTATATGAGAGTACAAACTAAAATAAAAATCAAAATAAAAGGAAAAGAAATTATGATAATCAAACAATGTCACGTTAACATCGTTACGAAAATAGTGAAACATAAAAATAAAGCAGATATAATTTGTAGGACAAAAGTGAACTTAAGAGGGTACATAACCCACCCATCCCATGAGCTCGGTTTGGTTAAAAAAATAAAATATACACAAACACACATACTTACATTTATAAACAACAATAATATGAAAATTAAAATAAAAATTAATTAATTCATCAAATAAAAAGGTAGATGATTTCATAATAGTACGGAAAAAAAAAAATCGAAGACAGGATAGTCTGATCATAATAACAATAATAATATTAATATAAATGATAATAAATAATTAATAAATAAAAAATAACTAATTAAGAGATGATAGCATAATAATAATAATAATAAAAATAATAATAAATGGAAAAAAACACCCATTAAGATAGGATAGTCTAATAATTATTATTATAAATGGGAAAAAGAAACTCTAAGATAGGATAGTCTTTAGTAATATTAATAATAATAATAATAATAATAATGATAATAATAATAAAAAAATCACATATCAAGACATAATAGCATAATAATAATAATAATAATAAATAAAAAAAAAAACACTAATAAAGATAGGATAGTATAATTATAATAATAGTGATTAAAAAATGAACAAAAAATACTCAAAAAGTTTCAGCGTCAGCTCTGTTCAACCAGAATTTTCGTTATTTACGACAAAAACTGACGAATTATTAAAGTGTGTGTGTGTGTGTTTGTTTTTAGGGCAGCGTGAGAGCTCTGCTGCACGAGAAGATCCGAGACGCCTACACCCACCCTCAGTTCATCACCGACGTCATGAAGCCCATGCAGATCGAGAGCATCATCGACCAGGACGTAAGACGCACGCACTCGCGTAGATAGACTTCGACTCGCTCTCTAACCCGCGCGCTCGCTGACTCCTCCCCCTCTTCCTCCTCCCCCCTCAGGTGCAGAACCTGTCTGGTGGAGAGCTGCAGAGAGTGGCTCTGACTCTGTGTTTGGGCAAACCCGCCGATGTTTATCTGATCGACGAGCCGTCGGCGTACCTCGACTCCGAGCAGAGATTGATGGCCGCCAGGGTCATCAAGAGGTCAGCGCTCGCACGCCCTCACTTCTTATCCTCTTCTTATTCTCGCCTTTTTGTTTTTAAAACTTTACATGTTTTTTTCTATAATTTCAGATACATCCTCCACGCCAAGAAAACGGCGTTTGTGGTGGAGCACGACTTCATCATGGCGACATATCTCGCCGACAGAGTCATCGTGTTTGACGGGATTCCCTCCAAGATGACCTCGGCCAACACGTGAGACCTAAAAAAACAACATTTCTAATTTCTAAAAGCTTCACCATAATTTTCGTGCAATAAAGCGCACCGGATTATACGCCGCACTGTAAATTAACATGTCTACGATCACATATAAGGCGCACCAGATTATATGGCGCACTGTAAATAAACTTGTCTATGTTCAAAGATAAGGCGCACCGGATTATACGGCGCACTTTGAATCTACATGTCGATGTTCACACGTAAATCGCAACGGATTGCATGGCGCATTAAGCATTGATTGGTTTATTGTTGCTAGCGCGCACTTTGGGCCCGGGCTGCCTACATGAACGCACTCCTAGTTTAGACATCACAGTCAGGCATTCTCGATCAGGTAGCGACAAAGCGTATCGTAACGCTCCGAATATCCTTTGTGGGGAACGGCTTCGTTGCTTACTTAAGTCGTACTTAAACATTCCGACAGATTTCTGAGCGCATTGTACCACATAAAATCTGTCAGTAAGCACAACAAGTAATCATACATGAGACGCGCTGGATTATAAGGCGCACTGTCAATTTTTGAGAAAACTTTAAGGATATTAAGCGCGCCTTATAGTCCAAAAAACACGGTAACTAAAATCTTTTTGGGCGCGTTTTCTGATTTTTTTAATTTCTTTTCAGTCCTCAGAGTCTGCTGGCTGGGATGAACCGCTTCCTGTCGCTGCTTGAGATCACATTCAGACGAGACCCGAACAACTTCAGACCGAGAATAAACAAACTCAACTCCATCAAGGTACCGATTTTTTAAAAAAGTGATGAACTAAAATTAACTGTTTGTTCAGTAATTAGATTTTTTAAACTCGCTCTGATTGGCTGTTTTTTTTTTCTCAGGACACGGAACAAAAGAAGAGCGGAAACTATTTCTTCCTCGACGACTGAAAAGACGTTCTACGAGACCAACCGTGACTTCCTGTGGTGCGTTCAGGAGCGTTCACCACAGTGCGAGCTCTGCAGCCTGACATTCATCACAAGAACAACCGGGCTGCGTTCAACAACAGCAGCAGACATGTTAACATCATAAAGAGAAAGCTAAATGAAAAATAAAAAATCTATCCATCAGCCTTTGTGTACCGGGCTGCGTTCAATAGCCAGCAGCAATGTTGTGAAACGTTATCAAATGAAAGTGTATCGCATTCTGTGTCGGGTCAGCCTGAACATACGAGGCTGCGTTCACACGCCAGCAACATTGTGGAACATTAAGCAGCGTATTTTAACACTCATGCATTTACAACAACCGAAAATAAACTTATGATACAGATTAAAACGCATCGTCTCCTCTTTTTTAAGACTTTTGAATTCTACCTCAGAAAGAAATTTAAGTTTTTCTCCCCTTTTTTTCCATTGATAAAAATCTGATAAGGACGGGCAACAATTCGTAAAAAATTTAGTTTTGGAAAGCAACTTCTACCATGTTTTCTAGGTGGCGTTATCTTTAGAATGTCGGAAAAATCATTTCGGGAATTTGTCACATTTTCTCAAAATTTTTTAAAGTAAAAATTTCTAGATAAAAATCAGTTTTTCATTTTTTTGAAACAAAAACAAAACACTGGACCAAGAATAAAATAAAGTCTGATTTTAAAAAAAAAGGTCAAAATCAATATAATACAAATTTGATTGAGAAAAAAGGAAAATCTTGAAATTTGGTCGACTGTTTCTTGTACAAAAATTAAATTGAACATTAAGAGGATTTGAACATTTTTTAATTGTCAGAAAATTTCACTAGTTTTAAATTAAATTTTTCTAACTGACTTTTAATGAGGTCTTAAATTATTTTAGGATTCAGACTTTAGGAACTGTAGTTTACAGGACATTTCTGACTAGCGAAATTAATAATTTTTGTTGTTAATCCTTTACAAAATACTTGTAGCCTTTTAATGCCTGAAACCACAAATTATGGCCAGAAAATTCTGTATTTTTTGAAGCTGAAATTTTTATTTCACTTACTACTGAAAACAAAACTAATCGAAATGTCCTTAAAATTTAACAAACATTTATTTATCTCGTTTGACACGTTCGATGTTTTTGGAAACTGATAAACTTCAAGGACATTTTTATCATTTATCGGACTCTTTTCAGGTGTTTTTTTTTAGTAATTTGTTGATCATATTGATTTGATAAAAATATGTATCAAATATGATACAAAAGGCATTGAAGAGTTAAACATAACGGCGAAACAACAAAGGTCATAATTCTTCTACAGCTGTTCAGATTATTTGAAAAACCAGCAGAATTTACAGATTATTAACATGATCTGACATGAGACATAAATGTTTGTTGGGGGTTATGATTTGATTTTTAAAAAAGGAGTTAAGTTACAAAAAGTTTTTAAACCAAAATTTTTTATTAATTCAACCGCTTAGAAAATCCAACACAGAAAAACAGCTTTTTGTTCTGTACAGCAGCTTCCCATACTCAGGAAAGAGAAATAAGTAAAAGTAGCAAACGTAAGGCACTGACTGACTCCCGAAAGTTTTCCAATTGATCAAACGTAACGACACAGAACAACAAGACGGCGACAAGACAGAGAAATCAACAAAAACCTAAAGACAGTGAGTGCATACAGCTTTTAGAGCCCGACTCTTCGAAACCCAATCTTGTATTTACAGATTAGAATTTTTAAAGCATCTCTGAGAAAAAACTTTAGATTTATTTCTACTTTGTTCTTTTATCCACTCATTTTGATTTTTGCTCACAGTGCGAAAAGATATTTTTATGGGTTTTTTTGTTTTTTTTGCTTAAATATATTTAAATGTCAAACACGTAATGGACATGCCAAGGTTTTTTTTTATTTGCTTTGCGATGTTAAAGGGATACTAAGGAGTGCAAAATTTGGCTTTAAATAAATTTGAGAAATACTCTGAAGTTTGGAACTTCTTCTCAGAATCAAATGTTATTTATATTTGAAGCAAAGGTTAACGTTCTAGTTTTGCGTGAAAACTGGTGAAAGTAAAAATAATTTCAATAAAAGATCAAATGTTAGCGTATTTAGCCTCAGCTTTTAAACACAGTTTTGAACTTAAGTCTTTCTGGCATCCCTCTAGCTTTTTTTTTTTTAGAAACTTATGCAACAATTTAGGTAATATTGTCACAAATTCACTAAAACGCCGCCATGGCCTGATGCAATTAGCCTAGCTAAGCATCACAAGCTAAGGGGAAAAAACTAGCACGGAACACAACACGAAGTGAAGCCAAAAATATGGAAAAAGGGTAGAAAAAATTAGTTTTCAGGTCTCGATGCCATGCAACACAGCACTAACTCACCGAAATTTAAATTCAGTGTGAAAATGTAGCCTAAAAATCGCATGAGTTAACGCCTGAGGCAATTTGCGTGAATTAGCATAAAATCCCAAAACAAGGGCAAACAGCTAGCTTAGCTGACACACAAGGTCAAACCGTGAAGTGACAAACGCACAGGTGTGCGGGTTCTGCATTTCCTATTAATTAGGCTTCTGTTTGCAGTCTTAATGTTAAGTCAAACTAACCTTGTTCTCACCAGAGCTTCAAAATTAGCATAAACACCTCAGAGCGGTTTTGTCTTTGTCATGCAACCAAGAAAAAGTTCATCAAAGTCTTTTAATTTTAATGTTAGATTGTTAGACTGTTGTCCTATAAGAGTTTTTATTCTCAATTGCTTAGATGACTTTAATTGTCAAATACTTATCTTGTGTGCTTAGCTTAGTTAGAGGGATGCTACAGAGACTGAAATTTGACTTTATTATGGCAAAAATAATGCTAGTTTACATATAACAATACATCAAGAAATTTCAGGGCTTATGCTGTGTTCGAGTTACCTCAGGAGTCAGATGTCGGAGCTGAAAATGACGTCACACCCGAGTTTTCAGAGTTTCAGTTACCAAGTCAAAAAAAGGAAAATCAGAGGCCTGAAACAAGATGGCTACATCTATGAAAGTTATTTTCGCGCTTGCCTCGTCCGAAAATAACTTTTGCAAATGTAGGCATCTTGTTTCCAATTTTGCTTTTTTCCGACTTGGTAACTGAAACGCTGAAAACTCGGGTGTGACGTCATTTTCAGCTTGGACTTCTGACTTCCGAGGTAACTTGAATGCAGCATAAGCCCCGACATTTCTTGATGTATTGTTATACATAAACTAATCATCTATTAAGTTAGCGCGGCTAATACGAAGCTATGGCTGTGACCTAGCGTAATGTCGTAAGACAATAGGAACTTCCTGCTGAACCCGATGTCAAACCTGGAATTTACAAGAAATACAGGTTTTTGGATTTTGTATTGATTTCATCCAAACAAGCTAGCCGTTTCCTTTGGTCTACGACCTTTATGCTAGGCTGTATTTTCGCTAGCCGTTATTTTTAGATTTTGTAATTTTAGCGGCAAATGTTTGGGTTGAAAGTAAAAGTCAATGTTTATGTTGATAACATTACTGTTAGTAAGTTTTTTTTTTTAACATTTTACTTCAGCCTGAATTAGTTAGCTTAATTTAGCATAAATAGTAGAAATAAGAAACATACAACTATTTGTTACTGATTTTAACGGCTACACCAAATGGTTTCTGTCATTTTCAGTCTTCACGCTAAGTAAGCGAACTCCTTCCTGGCCCTAGCTTTAGTGTAAGCGGCGGTATCGGCTGCTTCGTGAAGCGCAGCAAAAAGGCAACAGTCATTGAATTTCAATTTCGGACATTTTTCAGACATTACATCGACGTAGCAACAAACCCTAAGCGGCTTAAACTAAGCACAGTTACAATCATCATAAACTTCACACGGACTCTTAAAATCCATACATTCAACAGCTGACAATGGTCAATTGACAGATATGCTAGCACTCGCTAACACGCTATGCTAGCAAACTAGCTAAGTCATGAAAGAAAAGAGTGTTTCACCAATTACACTTAGAGCCTTTTGCTGAGATGATTGTTCGTGTGAGGCAGCTTTTTGGAACAGCTGGACTGACCAATCAGCTTTCAGGATGGTAACGAAAAAGCAATTATACACAAAGAACGAAGGACATCAAGAAGAAGTTAAACATGTCCGACTGTATCAGGGTTCAAACCAAACGAACTCTGGGGGAACAAACAAAACCAAAACAGCAAACAGAAACCAGCTTTCTGTGTCATCACACCTCACTGGCTAAGAACTAGTATCCTCTCTCCCGGCCCCTCCCCCTATGGGAGGGGAAAAACTGAACATTGCCAATCCCCAGCCCTGAATCACCTACTCCTCCATATCCCCTCCTGTTGGCTCCCCTCCCTGAACTATGACTTGCCCGTCCTCTCCCGCCTCTCCCCCTTCTCGGTCCTCTGTATTGTGCCGATTTGAAACTCGGCTGCTCCTCCAGGTCGTCCTCCGTACTACACCCGACAGACATGGCCGGCATGGACAGGTAATCCGTCTGTTTGGGTTCTGGTACCCCGAGTGGGACGAAAGTGTTGGGATTGGGATTAAGTGGTTTTGCGTAGCCACGGAAACCATAAGATGGGTTGTTGTTAGTAGGAGTGGCAGTTGTAGAGATAATTTCATAAGGTGCAAGAGGGACAGGTGTGCTGTTGGTTTTCATGGTTGTTGAGGAGACCGGTACATCACCTAGGTTTGACATCATCTGAAAGACAAACATTAATACTTCAACAACATCGCTACACCACTTAAACAGCTGTTACAGGGATATTCCGGCGTAAAGTTAAGTTAGGGTCAAACATGCCATAACACCGAGTTAGACACCCCCTCCAGAGATGAATGTTGCCGACCGCTTGCTTCTCTGGTTATTCCAACTTTAGTGACTAACGCAGGATAGCAATACACAGCGGTCTGAGGAGCCATAAATAAACCTCAACCAAGATTTTCGCTGATCCCCCCCACTCTCTTGCCGCTCAAGGGAGTACGCTGTTGTGTTCACATTACATTACGTTATCCGCGCCACTCGCTATATGGACCATGTATATTAATGGATAAGAGGATTCCAGGATTTGATGCGCTCGTTTAAGACTCAAAACAAGTCGAAAATAACGTTGTGTGTTCTTGTGCTCACACAGTGCGAGTATAAATCATTAAAGGTGTGGTCATTGCTAAAGTTGGTATAACTAGAGAAGCAAGCGGTCAGCAACATTCATCTCTCGACGGTGTGTCTAAATGCGTGTTACGGTGTGTTTAACTATAGATTAAATTTACGCCGGAATATCCCTTAAACAAACTGAGGTTGTAGATCAACTTTGAAAAACACTTGCAAGTTTGTGTTGCTCTGAAGATGAAAACCATATTTGTGTTTGTGTGTTCATTCTTCATACCAGAGGATTGCTGTTGCGTTGCTCTCCTATCATCATTGCTCTGGTTAAATTCTCTGCATGCTCCTTCATGTGGGCTGATGGGAGAGAAAAACGTCTTATTTAAAGGTTTCACTTCAGCTTTCTCTAGAGAAAAGAATCTGTATTTTATTTTGGTGCCACGTACCAAAACTAGGAATCAGGTTGTTGTTGGCCATATTTGCAGTAGGAGGATTTCCAAGAAGACTTGTGGCATGGACAAGATGTTGTCTAGGAACTGTGTCTCCATTGGATGGGTGATGCTGCTCCATGGTACCCTGGCTCCCTTGGACCTCCTCAGGGGTAGATGATGACTGATATCCCAGGGAGGAAGGTGGATACTGGGGCAAAGTTGGAGGGTACAACGGGTGTCCTGGGCTCTGACTTTGGTGGTAAGCCTGAGAAATGGGTGGAGGAGCTGCATATGTTGGATTTGGGGACGAATACCCAACTGAAAAATTTGGGGGCATTTGGTGCTGTTGCCATGTTGGCGGCATCCTGTGTGGTGCATGTTGAGAGACTGGGTATCTGGGTATATGGGGGTAGGAGAGTTCACTGGAATGGGGGGGCTCGGTTGGCGGGGCTTGGTGGTCGTACTGAGGGTGCATCGATGCAGAGTTAGGAGGGTATTGAGGGTAGTGCTCCTGTGGCCTGGGTGGAGGGTTGGAAGGAGGGTATGGAGGGTTTGGGGAGGGCGAGGGAGAGCGAGAGGGCATTTTGGGGTGCATGGCGTGGGCCTGTTGGAGGGGGAAGAGGTAGACATATGGGGGGAACATGGGCATGGAGTAGACCTTGGAGAAAAGACAAGGGTGCAAATTGTGAGCTGTAGGAGAAGTATTAGTCCAAGCCTCTTCTTGGTACTTTTTTTACATACGGGTCTCACTTAAAACAGGCTCACCCCAAATTTCCACCACATCCGGAACGGCTACGAAAAGGCTGTATCTGCCGATCATAGCTGATCGTATCCATTCAAGTTAATTTGTCAATTTCCACCAGTTTCTTTCCGTTCTGCGCGGATTGCCGGACCCCGCAGCTGATTGCAACAGTTCTAGTTTTTCCAGACGCCAGAACATGATGGATAAATTCAGCACAGATTAACCCGTGCTGAAAAGGAAGTCGGGCACAGACATAAAATAAAACATCCGGCTTCTTTTCAAAATAAAACACTCCGTGTTTCAGGAGGATCGTATTTCCCACTATGCAAACGGGCGGAGACAAACAAGTGAAAGGTTTATAGACGTCATATCAACCTGATGACACCATGGATGAAGAAATGCTGATTCTAGAAGTCTAGAAGCAGATTTCCTCCTCTCGAAGGACACAATCTACTGCTTATATAGTTAGCCTATGTGGCTAAAGACAACTTGTTATTGAGTTCTCGTGATTCCTGCTGTCCTTAATCCGCCACAAAGTTCGCCTCACAAACAGATCCAGAAGGAACTGGCGTACCGCAAAAATCGCTGCCGTTCCGGATCTGAGCCGTTCTGGACACAGTGGAAATCCCGGGTCACAGGTACATCTGAAGTCCTAGCAGGTTGATGGTGGGCTAATTCAGCTTCACACAGGCTACAGCTAATTTCTGCATAACCAAAAAAAGTTTCCAATCTTACCTTGACACCCAAGTTGAAGAAAAATCTCAAGACGTTGATATCTGCAGAAGGAGAAAAGTAAATAAAGTTTTGGTCAAATTTCAGCAACATCAGCCAAGTTCAGGTAGTACCATGTGACACATTTGCAACAACAACCAAGAAGGAAGAAACAATGGCATTGTTTCTGGTGCAGCTAACCTTGTGGCAGATCATCCCCTGATCGGCTGGTAGACATGGGGGGAAGCGGAACAGGCTGGCCCTTCTCCCCCTGAGGAAACCCAGGGTACAGCGGGTCCTGGTAGAGCTGAGACAGCTGCTCCAGGGGGACAGTACCGGGGATGGACGAGGGTTGAGAAGAGAGGGGAGGAGGGTGTGCTGGAAGTGACTGAGGGAGATGAGAGGGGTGAGACGGGTGTGACTGCTGGGGAGCGGGATGAGGAGGAGACTCTGATTGAGTCTGAGAGGAAGGGTTTGGAACCTGGGAGGGGTGAGGATGTTGGACATGGGGTTGAGGATGGGGGACAGGGGGCTGAGGGACAGAAACTGGGGCCTGGGGTGGGAGGGAGTAGGAGGACTGATCCTGGACCTCCTCAGGCTCAGACTGTGGAGGGTAATGGGGGAGAGGGTGTGAGGCAGAAATCTGGGGGACCGTGGTGGGGATCTGGGTCACTTCAGTGTTGGGCTGGGATTGTGACTGGAGCTGGGGTGTACAGGTCTGGGTTTGGGGCAGAGAAAGAAGGGTCTGGTTTGGGGTCAATGAGGTGTGGATTTGGGCGTGGTTTCCGATTGTTGGGGTCTGGGTTTGGGTTAACTGGGTCTGGTTTGGGGGCAGAAAAGGCAAGGTCTTGTTTTGTGCAAATGGGGTCTGCATTTGGGTTTGGTTTTGGATTAATGGCGTCTGGATTTCAGCCGGGTCTTGGACGGGTGGGGTCTGTTTTTGGGTTAATGAGGTTGGGATTTGGGTCTGATCTTGGGTTAATGGGGTTTGGTTTGGTTGGTTTTCACTTACTGCGGTCTGGACTCTGGACTGGTTGTGAGGCAGTGAGAGTGGGGTTTGGGTAAATACAATTGGTTGGGACTCTGAGATATGATCCTGGTTTTGAGGCGGACACATCTGAGGATCAACCTGAGGCAAACGGGTCTGGTTCTGGGGGATTTGAGCTCCAGTCTGAGTTAGAGGGGACGAGGAGACCAGGGGAGGACTAGGGGAGTGAGGAAGAGGGGAAACAGGAGTGGAGGAGCGGGAGAGAGAGGAAGGATGGAGGGCACCCTGGGCAACGGAAGGTGAAGGAGCGATGGGAGCGATAAAGGTCGGAGTAGATACTGATGAAGGTGCAGGAGCCGAGGAGGAAGAGGAGGGTGGCAGTGAGGGTAAGAACGGGGCGTGGGAAGTTGGGGGTGAAGAAGCAGGAGGGAGGACGGGAGTGATGAAGGAGAAAAGAGAGGCAGAAGATGGGACGGCACCTCCTGGCCCAGCAGCTGCAGCTGTAGGAGAAACAGGTGGACCCGCTGCAGCCGAGGCGTAGGAAGGTGCACTTGGTGATGAAGCCTTGTGGGAGCTCGGGAAGGCAGGGGCGGCATCAGAGTCTGCAGAAGGAGGGGCTGCACGAGGTTTTGTGGTGGGAGTAGTGGTTTCTGCGGTATTTGCAGAAGAAGTAGCAGTAGTTGTTAAAGGTGGGGAGGAGGATTTGGGTCTTTCTCCAGAAGAGGGCGACAGAGCTCTGATGTCTTCAACTGGACTCTTCTGTGAAAACATTTCATAGTGTTGACTTTAAGCTGTAATAAGCTGCTGGTTGAACTTTTAAAGATAGTTTAAAGCTGATCAAATAATTCTGTTTAAAGACAAAAACATTGAATTATCTTACCGTCTTGTTCCTCTGAGATCGTCTTTTCTCTGCTCCTTTCTTCCTCCCTCCATCACCTTGACTTCCAGACTGAGCCTGTGAGTGAGAAACACAGAATACATCTTAGCTTATTTTAAGGGACTTATTTTCTGTTATTCCAAATATTTCCACTTTGATAAAGGTCACATAAACACCCAAACTACGCCTTTCTTCTGACTGTAAACAAAGCCGTTCTCCACCTCCTCTAACCTGATTGGTTGTGAGGCAGACGCTGCTCCCCCGTGTCGTTCACGAGCCCAAACAAAGTTAGCGTGCTACAATATCGGACAGTAGAAACCAACCAGAAAGTTCGGAAAATTGTCTGAATCCTCCTTTGGCCACGACTGCCGACACAAGCAAGAAAACAAAGTAAATACCGGAGACTCTGGAGGAATAACGGGCGCTTAAAACGGAGGTAGACCGGACAAGAGCTAAAAAGCCGGGTCAACATAAACCATGGGGGACGCTTGGGGATCTTGGTGACCCTGTAACCTTTCTGCTGGACAGGTAAACCGCTTTAACAAAGTAAGACAAGTGTCTGTAACAGAAGTGTTTCTTGTCAAACGGACCTGCTGTAGCGTGTTGTAGCGCCATCGCTAAACTGTCCTCCCTCGGGTCCTGGACTATGTCACTTTATCCTCGTTGTAGAAGTCCTGCAAACATTGTGTTTGCTGGTAGTCTGTTGGCATCTACAGTAGCACCAATGCTTTTGACTTTCACCTTGACTGGGCCCCATTTGTAATGATCTGAAGGATTTATCTGCATTATATCTGAATTTGATTGGAACGAGCAGGAGCGTCTGTTTGTGGGCGGGGCTTGAGGGGAAAACTGGTTGGGAGGGGTAGAGTTTACATCCAAGATTTCTCCTAAAAACTGGAACTTCCTCAGATCCTGACTACCCCACCTTTAAGTTTGAAGTTGAGTAAATATTGAGTTTGTCTTCACTGACCCCGAGAGCGGGAAAGCTGTTCTCGTCTCTCAGCTGGATCTCCACCAACGCCACGTTCATCTTCTCCTCCTCTTTGGCCAAACGCTGCTCCTCTGTTATACCGAACGCCTTGTCCACCGAACTCACAGACTTCCTGAAAAATAAGAGAATATGAATATTTGAAAACTTGACGTCTGCGTGTCTTTCGAGAACAAAGAAGACTCCCTCCGATCAAAACACTTCAAGAAGAAAAAGTGACACTGACCGGCTGGGTTTGGCTCCTCCCTCCTCCGCGTTCGCCTGCGAGGGCCAGGAGTGCTGTTTCTGCACGCGCCCGCTGGAGCCCTGAGCGGTCGCCGTGGTAACAGATGAGGATACCGGGATGTGTTTCCCCCTGCCTTTACCTTTCCCCTTCTCCTCCCAATCTGAGGAGGGGAGGAGAGTTTACTCGACAAGACTGTGTGTATGTGTGTGAGTGTGTGATTGTGCGAGTGTGTGTGTCTTATACCTCCGTGTCCGTTGCTGAGTTTCTTGTCCCGGTTCACCACCGTACTCCAGCTGTTCTCATCACAGGGACGGAGACGCCACAGAGGGACACACTGTCTACACACACACACACACACACACACACACCTGTCAGCCCCTCACTTCTCCAATGTGATTGTTTTTTAAATCTAAAGGTGTGTGTGTGTAAGTCTGATCTACCTCTTGCCCAGTTCTTCTACAAAAACCGTCACCAGGCCATTGTCCGAAGGAACCTCCTTGACGGTTGCATTGTAGCTCCGCCCACTCCCCTCGAGACTAACCTACAGACGAAACACACAAAGTTAAACATCATGATATAACTACAGTTAAGGAAACCGAGTTTAACTGAGGACCCTGAACACATCACACGCACCTGACAGCGATCTCCTACTGAAAACTGCATCCCTGCGGCGATGGAATAATCCAACTTCTGTTGAGCTGAAAAAAAACATCAAAAAACAAAAAATTACAAAAATTTATTCTAACTTTAACCTTATTCTCAAGTGAACAAACAAGGACACAGAGGAGGGAAGAGACAACAACATACAATACACTCCTAATTTCCACCGCAGGTGGAACAGCTGTGATTTTCGCCGTCTGCCAATTCCTTGCGCCGGCGTCCAGAAAAAATAGAACTCTTGCAATCAGCTGTGGAGTCCGGCGATCCGCAGCGGGGACGGAAAGATGCCGGTGGAAATCGACACGTTAACTTGAATGGTTACGATCAGCTACGATCAGAGGATACGACCTTTTCGTATTCGTTACGGATGCGGTGGGTAACAGGTCAAAGGACTGTGCCAGTTAGACGCAAGAGCTACCTCTGGTGTTACAATCTGAAGCTACTGTGAAAATCACACAAACTGCAGTTCCTCATTTGGCCACTAGAGGCTGAGTCCAGTGGTGAGTCAATCCCTACAGACCCCCATGTTAATGGCCAAAACTTTACAGCAGAATAAAACCTGTTTACAGTCTGCTACAGAAATAAGTTTTCTCATATCTGGATTCATGACAACAGGACTGAGGGACGGTTTTGTGTTTCTTATCCAAACGCTAAACCTAAAACTACCTTCAGACATCTATGTTTTCTTTCAAAAACACATTGAGAAGTCTCCTAACCCTTCAGCACATCTTCAACCTTGAGATTTTACCCGAATAGCAGCTCAAAGTCTGACCAGGACTCAGTCTGTTTCCTCTGCTTCCACCCTCACCTCGCTTTGTTTTAAGCCAGACGTCGTACTCGATGTTCCTGAGCAGAGTCGGGTTCAGCGAACGCCACACCCTCTCTGACAAGGCGCGACCTCGTCCGCGGCCCTGTCAGCCAAACACGAGAACAGAGTTGTTGAGTGAAATCAGTAAAATTCAGTAAATCTGCAGGAGTGAATCAGAGGTTGAGAGTATTTGTCAGCGTGTTTTACCCTGTTGTTGTGTCTCGGAGCCGTCGTGCTCGTTCCATTATCCACCCTGCATTATAAAAAATAAAAAAACACAGTTCAGATGTTTTTAGATTTTCTTTTAACGGAATCCTGCCTACCCCACCTTTAACAAAACTTAGATAGATTCTTTTAAAACTAATTAAGGCTTCTGGATTATGGATTTGTTCACAGGTTGTTTACCAAACTGGCTCTCCAGCGTCGACGTCAGACTCATCACTGCTGGCGCAGGTCACCATGTTGTCGTCAATGAGCGGGTCGCGGGGTCGAGTCGTCCCCTTCTGACACACGCCCAGTGAACTCTTGTCAGCTTTGAAGACATCGTCGTACAGCAGCTCGAACAGGATGGCTAAAAGGGACACACCCATACGCACAAGGTTTAGACAAACAGATGAATTTGTTTTACAAGTTAAATTCCATGAGAGCCGCTCACTGGAGCTTTAAGGTACAGTTATCGATCATTACTGGTTTTGTTCTTTGTATCTGTGGACTTTTTTAGGGGCCTGGAGCCCCAGTTTGAGAAACTTAAAACACTCACACTGGCAGAGAGCGGCGTTCTTTATGCGGCTAACGGGATAAACACTGTCGTAGTGATTCCCGTTCAGGAAACACAACCGCACCTGAGACACACAAAAACACACACACGTCATCGTGACAGGTCCATTTTAAGAGTTTTTGCGTTTCAAGTGTAAACAGATCGTGTTTGATTCTGCAGAAGCTGATGGAAATGCTGTTTAATATGAACTCCAAAACAAGTAACGATTTAAACCTCATCGAAGCAAAAACATCTGAAACTGTTTCACCGTTATCAGAGGCTTTCTGCTGTTCTGAGTTTAATAAATGTCGACTTTGCTCTTAAGATTCAGTCTGGGTGCGTTCGGTGTCACCTTGTCCTTGAAGTTGTTGTCTGTGATGTTGACAGCAGGTCTTCCAGGCTCCTGAAAGATCTGAAAATCCCTCCTACACAAACACAAACACAAACCCAGAGAGAGGTGAAACATGTGGGTCAGGGCTGATGATGAAGCCTCTCTGACTCATCAGCATCTAACTCTGAACTCTAAATAGAAACGTACACACACACTTCGCCGGTCTGCCTCCGCCTCCTTTAGAGAGGTTGATTGAAGTCGGGTTGTGGTGTCGGATTTGTGAGTAAAAACACGAACAAAAATACAACTAGGAAGCAACAAACCGACGACTTCTGCGTCTGTGTGATTAAAATCATGATTTTTGGGATGGAGTTTGGTGGTTTGGACGTTTTCTGTAACACCGTCAGACTAAAGGTCCTTACACACCGGGAATGACGCAAATATACGACGCGAAATTACGAAATATTCGCAGGCGAATTTGACGCGCCTGACTGTACACATCAAGCGCGATTCGATTTTGCGGCTTTCCGGGGGGAAAAAAAAGACCCGTCCTGGGTGGAAGCGAGAAGACTGACCCTACAGCAGACTGAGTGTTTTTCAGTTCTTCCATTATGGACTACAGTGGAGTTTCGCAGCTCAAGGAAGAACATTTATGATAATTTCTTCATGGAAATACAATCAGACAGAGACGCTAAGACAGAAGAACAAACGCGTCTGCAGTGGAAAGGTCCTAACACACCGGGTCCGACGCGAATATAGAATGCGAAATTACAAAATATTCAGAAGTGAATTTTGACGCGCCTGACTATACACAACAAGCCCAATGCGATTTTGCGACTTTCCAGGGGGAAAAAGACGCATCCTGGGGAAGAGTATTCCCGGGGAACGTCCCGCCTCCTTCGCCTCTGATTGGCTAGAAAAGCTGGAAACTTCATCAGCACTTATAGCCAATCAGAGGTGATAAGATAAGCACATGAAATTATGGTAACAACCGTTAGCTTACGTTAGCACAGATGAAAGTTCAAACAAAGACGTTTATCAAACTGTTAAAGAACACAAACCATCGTCATATGAGAAATCCGACGCTATGACTCTCCACAAGTCGTCCTTCAGGTCATTATCTTTGTAATATTTGTGTTTTTTTATTAAAAATCACTCTGTTCTCCGACACGTGAACAATCAGCCGGTCGGCCATGTTGGATATTCCGGTGAATCTGACGTCGCAACAACACGCAATCTGATCGGTCAGAAGTGGACACACAGTATGAGAAACTTTAGAGGAGTTATCATATGTCGTTATCTCTTCCTTCCTCAGTGTAATTGTTTGTTGACTTGCTTGTAGGACCATAAAACCCCCAAAATAAAAAGATTAAAGTCAGAATAAACGTTTGTAATAATTTGTTGTTTTGTGGAAATTCAGGGTTAGCCTCTTTGTCACTGTACGTCTGCTGTCCCTTGGCTTTTCAGACACATTAATCTTCCTCCTCTTTTCACAGATTATAAGCGTCTCTTACTTGTACATAACGGCGAGCGCGTTGATCTCCACCTCTCCCACCCATTGCTAAAAAAAACAGAGAAGAACACAAACATCAGGGCACTGAAATCAGCTTCTTATACATTTATAAACAGTGATCAAAGTAAACCAAATTCTTACCTGTGGATCCTGAAGCTTGTACAGGTAATCCTCAAAGTCTCCTTCAATAAACTGAAGCACAAACACAAACAAACGTTTAACTGTGATGTTTATAGGACGTTTTAAGAGACAGAAGCAAACACAAAATATAAATCTGTGCCCTGATGGTGTAAATGTCGTCTCTCTGCTGATAACTGGATCAACATGGACATCATGAAGTCATGCCAAAACTATTTTTATGTGTCAGATTATCAACCTGACCTGACCGGAAAATGAAGGAGAGCCGAGCTGTAAAGCAGGGTGAGGCTTTACGACGATAAGAGTCACTAAAAGTTTCAGTTTCATTTCTGCTCCTTACAGTCATCCTCACACAGAGCTCTGAGGATGATGTTGTGATTTATTTGGTTTGTGTAAACTGTAAACTTCGTCAGGGTGGAAAATTCAGCTCATCTGTGAGAGGGTTTCCTAAACTCAAATTTTGTGGATTTCTGTGAATTGCAGATCTTTGTTTTTTATGGATTTGGGTCTCGATCTCTATCCCTACTTACAGGAGGAATAAAGGGGGGCTCCACTGACTGTATCAGTGTTGTGTAAACTAAATGAAGAGTTTAGTTCAAACTGGGCTACAGTAAAACCAAGTGCCTGAGTTTACCTTTAGCTGCTGTGGTACTGACACATGTTTGACTTTTGCAGGTTGAATACCTGAGTTTAGAGTTCTGGGATCATGACAACTCTATAAATAGTCAAAATATTCCTGAACAGACTCGACAAAAACTAACAATTCCGACTTCGGCTACGTTCACACTGCAGGTTACGATGCACAATTCGGATTTTTTGTTAAATCCGATCTTTTATTTAATTATTTCATTATTTAAAGTTTGTTCTTTGTAAATTGATTTCTGGGGATAAAGGGGCAGAAAAAATAAGATTAGTCTTCTTTCTGCTCCCTTTCATTCCAGATAGGAGAACGTTTGTATTAAAATTAAATTGGTTCTTTTTATGTTTAAATGAATGAACTAAAGAATAAATGAATAATATAGATAAATATAAAAACATCTTTTTAACTTTGACTCATTTCTTTAGCAAAGAGACGAAACACAACTCACCTACTCTCTTCCAGCAGTGAGACCTCAGGCCAGTCCATTACGGACTACGGCGGGGTGCCGCAGCTCAAGGAAGAACATTTATGATCATTTTTTCATGGAAATACAATCAGACTGAGACGCTAAGTCAGAAGAACTACCGCGTCTGCAGTGCAAAATGATTAATATGGTGATTATTACTTCAAGGAAATGATAAAGAAATTATCATAAATGTTGTTCGTTGAGCTGCGAAACTCCGCTGTAGTCCGTAATGCTCTGGCTTAAGGTCTCGCTACAAACAAGCGACTGCTGGAAGAAAGTAGGTGAGTTGTGTTCAGTCTCTTTGCTAAAGAAATTAGTCAAAGTTAAAAAAATATTTGGTGTCTAGTACTACGGCTGGGACCCTATATGTACTAAACTGAGTAGAACATGGTGTAGTTTTATTCAGTAACAGAACCTCATTGGAAAATTAGCTTATTTAACTTTACTGTGCTCTTGTTCACATATACCAACTCAACAGCACAAATATCCATACCTGTTAACAAAATCATGGTTTTATTGATAATTTGGCTCAATAAAAACACCTTTACCTTTTTCATTTTACTACAGTAGAAGTTTCTTGGTCCAGTTTATAGACTACAGAAGTGGAGTTACAGAGTGTTTGACCCTAAATTGTGCCGGAATATCCCTTTAAACTGTAAACAGAGTGTGTTTGTAGTCAGTCTCTGGTGGACTTACAGCCTCGTAGTTCTCTCTGTTCTGTTTCAGGAACTCCACACATTCAGCTCTGACTTTAGTGTGAAGACTTTGACAGTGCAGCACCTGAAGAGGGTCACAGATCAGCCATGAGTAGAATACTTCACATCCAAACTTCAAAAACACGAAAACAAACATTTAGGATAATCTGTCTGAGACCATCATTGAGCTGAAACTTCCAACTTCACCTCTTCAGACAGAAGTCCGTTTAAAAAAGTCACAAATTGAAGTTTTTCGTGGTTTAAAGTTATTAAATCTTCACCGTTGGTTGTAAACTTTTCTGTAAAGCTCATTTCTTTGCTGAACTTTAATTCGGCAAACATCAGACACCTGCTGCCTCACAGCAAACACACCTGGCTCTGCTCCAGCTCAGTTAGCTAACACTTTCAACAAACTCGGAGGACTTTGTTTTTACACCTTTACCTGCTCGGCGACAGCCCGAAACAAGCACGAGCCGTCTTTGGCGATCTTCTTCCGCTGCAGACCGATAGATTTCAGATAGTCATCCATCTGTCTCTCTGCGCCCCTCTCCTCATTACTCTGCATGCTGTCCATGCTAGCAGTAGGAGCTAGCTGCTAAAGCTAGCTGTAAAACTAACTGCGTGCCCGGCGGTTAGCGCTTAAATCTTTCATACGCCGCGAAATATCCGAAGAAAAGTGTTTCAAATGTTGTCATTTATGTCCCAGTGAGAGTCGAAAACAACAGCGGCGGCTTCTGGTTTCGTTTTCCAGGAAGCCTTGTTCATTCCGGAGAGTTTAACCCCCGACTGTCAGAAAGTGAAACTTTAGCTCGGAGTTAGCACGGAGGCTAACCGTCACCGACACAGACACGCCCCCTAAAGTCCTACCAAAGTAAAAGTCCTACCAAAGTAAAAGTCCTACTGAAATGTTGTGTAATGTTTTTTTTTTTTTAACCCTTCTTGAGTACAATGAGAAGACTTTAAAGGTCCTTTCACACCAGGACCATTTTTGTCGTTTGTCGTGCGCATTCACATCTGGAGTCTGTCATTTAATCCCGAGCGCCGGCGGTGCGGCAACTGGTCAGGCATTTGTCCTGCTTTGATTACGGCACATTGTAATATATTAGAGGTTTTATTTACATTGACATTAGGATCAGTATACCCACGTGTCTCTGTGTTTGCGTCACCGGCAGTGCTCTGAAGCACCGGCTCCACAGCGGGATGGCGGGATGTTTGAAAAAATAAAAAATAAAAATTACCACCACTCCGAACATAGCAAACGAGAGCTGTCGGAATGACGGGACGTTTGATAGCAAGGTAACATACAGCCTCTCCGACAATTAGAGACCAATGTCGGAATGGCGGGATGTCGGTTGCCCCCTCATAGTTTCATGTGCTTATCTTATCGCCTCTGATTGGCTATAAGTGCCGACCGTTTGGCTTGAGTGTGTGATGACATTTCAAGCTTTTTTAGCCAATCAGAGGCCAAGGAGGCGGGACTTTCCCGCCAAATGTCTTCCCCGGGATGTGTCTTTTTTCCCCCCGGAAAGACGCAAAATTGCATTGGGCTTGATGTGTTTAGTCAAGGGAGTCAAAATTCGCCCCCGAATATTTTGTGATTTGTGATGATATCTGTTAAACTTTTGTGCCCTGATATGAAAATGATCATTGGTTAAAGTTAATATTTATTGAAATTTATAAATACAGTCCTAATTATAGAATGACTCTCAAGCTCCAATTTGTCATGAATTTACGTTATTATACTGGAGTTTATTTTTGTAATACTGGTGTTTAGTTCCATTTCCTACATTATTTTATTTAGCTCTGTTTTAATTTGTGTTGTCTTTTCATCAGTATGTTAATATTTGTTCTCCTGGTACACTAAGCTCAGTATTTAAACCTCACAACTGGAGGTAAATCTTATCGCAGATATCCGTTCATAATCTCAAATCTGGTTTTACTTGTTTTCTTTCCTTCCTCCTTTTGTCCATCCTTCTGTGACTCAGCTGAACTCTTCCTCCTCCCCTCTCTCTCTCTCTCTCTCTCTCTCTCTCTCTCTCTCTCTCTCTATTTCTCCGTCTTCCGGTCATCTGTAGTTCCTCCATCTCTTCCTGTCACTCTCAGCTGTATTGATTTTCAGTCCTGCAGAGCATCAATAGGCTCACACAGATCAGCTGTTCGCTCAGTGCTGTTAGCATGTATGTTAATGTGATCTAAAGAAAACAAACAAAAAATGAAGATCAGATACCTAATAGAAATTCTTATTCCAGGATGATTTGGATTACTCACTGATATCTTGTGATTCCTGGTTGATGTAATGTCTTTGCACTTTCAGGGTTTCCAGTCTTGAAACTTTAAGAACTGAAATGATCAGATGATGACAACGTACGGAATAGAAGGCGTCCCCTGTTGTGATCCAAACACTCCAAGAAACAACATAACAAAAAATAAACAACAACAGGTTGATCTCCTTGGTTATTAAAACACTGGTCTATTTTTTAAACATAGTATTTTTATTTCTGACAATACAGACAAAGCACACATTAAACTAACATTTTACATTTTACAGTGTAAGTTATTATGACAGAGTATTAGCACCACATTAAGAAAAAACATGGACTCTTGTTAATTTACGAGAATAAAGTCATTACTAACAAGAATAAAGTCGTAATAAAGTAATTAGGAGAATATCGTCGGAATATAATCATTACTTACAAGGATTAAGTCGTAATAAAGTAATTATTTGCAAGAAAAAAGTCGGAATAAAATAATTTCTTACAAGAATAATGTAAAAAAGTAATTACTTATGAGAATTAAGTTAAAGTAAAATCATTTCTTATAAAGAATTAAGTCGTAATAAAATCATTACTTACCAGATTAAAATTGTAAAAAAAAATTACTTACATAAATGAAGTCGTAATAAAGTATTAATTTACAAGAATAAAGTAAAAAAATCGTTAATTATAAGAATGAAGTGAAAAAAAATGTATTTACGAGAATGAAGTTTAGAATAGAGAATAAAGTCGTACCAAAATCATTACTTAAAAGAATAAAGTTGTAATAAAGTAATTATGGGGATAATGTCGTAATAGAGTAATTACTTACAAAATAAAGTTGTAATAGAGTAATTACTTGTGAGAATAAAGTCAAATTAAAATCATTATTTAAGAGAATTAAGTCGTACTAAAATCATTACTAAGGAGAATACAGTCGTAATAAAGTAATTTCTTATAATTATAAAGTTGTAGTAGAGTATTTGCTTACAAGAATAAAGTCGTAATAAAGTAATTATGATACTTATGATAATGTTTTGCTGATGTGCCAAAAGATAAAGTATCTCCTTGTTTTAGTAACAAATATTGAAGAACATTTTCACAAAATGCTTCATTTCTATAAGGACTAGAATAAAAGGACTTTATTACGACTTCATCCTCATAAGTAATTACTTTATTATGACTTCATTCCCTTAAGTTAATGACTTAAAATCTTAAAATCTTAAATTTTTTTCTAAATGTGTCCCTAACACTCCATCAACTCCAAGTTATAAAAATAACCATAAAAAAAAAACAACTAAAGATGACGTGGAAAAAAGAGGAATATTTGTATGATAGTGTGATTAAATAACGAAGATAAAAACTAAAAATGGAACCCAAGGAACACGAGTCCCTCACACGCTGCACTGAAGATGTCACATGTAACGGCATGTGTTCCCCTCCCTCGGGCCTTCACCTTTGACCCTTCTGTCCGAGTAGGAGGAGAGCGGCGACCTCCCCTTGTTAACACGTCCTCTCTGCTTCATCCTTTCGACCTCACACTCTTCCTTTATTACCTCCTCTTTCACCTCCCCTCTCTTCTTCCCTCCCACCTCTCCTCCTCTTCTGTGGCGCTATTTATCAAAATCTAATGATGACCTTTAGCGAGCGTCTTCTTTCATTCGCCTTCGAGCCGCCCTGCGATTCGCCGAGCTCCCGAGCTGCTCCCAGCCAATGGACGGCCCTCCCGCTTGCCGCCATGGAGACCTACAACATGCCAGGTCTCCGTGGCAACTGTTCGAGGAGGGGACAGGACCCATGGCGATTGACACTTATCCTCCCACTCATTTGGTGAGTGTGGCGAGTGACCTTCATCCCTGGTTTTGCTGAAAAAAACGCCTCCAAAACTCTAATTATTTCTCTCTTTTCAGGTCCAGATCGGTTAATTCCAGCTTCTTATTTCCTTGTCAAATTAAACAGTAGTACCGGTGGGTGGTTCTGCTACTACAACTCACAGTGAGTAACATGCAGAGTGCACAGGTTAGATTTCTTCAGCACCCACTCCTGCAATGTAACGCGATCTCCCCGCTCTCCTCCTGCGTGCGAGTGAAAAGGAGTCCAAGTGAGTCCGATTAAATTAAACTTTATTGATCATTATAGCAGCAAACAGTAATAGAATACAGCAAAGAAAAGGGAAATAATATCAGAGAGAGACAACCTGACGTGATCAAAATAGGGAGGCTTTAGTATTTCATGCTTCTTCGTCTGTTTTTGCGATAAAAATAAACTTTGAAAAACCAATCGTGCAGCCGGGGATCAGTAGTCTAGCACCATCGTTTGGAGAGACGTTTCGTGTTAAAATAACAGGTATGTGCGCAGGTTTATTGAAGTGCAGCGACTCGGAGTGGTTTATCTCTGCTGCATATGAGCTTAAGTGTTGAAAAGTGCAAAAAATAAAAATAAACTGCAGTTCCTCAATCGGCCACTGGAGGCTGAGTCTAAAGTGAGTAAATCTCCATAGAACCCCATGTTAAATTATCTCATTTCACAGCAGATTCGAACATCTTTAAAACTTGGTAGACCAAAATCGTTTTCACATCTGTTCCAAAGGTTTTCCAGAACATTTTTCTACTTAAAGGTGTGGTTGACGATCTGAGAAGCAGTTGAAAAAACCCGATGTTTATTCGAGTTCGAGTTCCCGCTTGGTCACATTTCCTCTTCGACTCCTCCTCCTTGCGTTTTATTCGCACAATTTTTTCTTTGCGTCCTTCCCCATCACAGCTCCTGTAGCTAAGCTGCTACGCTACTTTTAGCCACTCAGAGCTCTGAGGAGGGCCGGGAGAGTGGGAGGGGATGAGTCGGAACAACGGGAGAGAGGTGTGTTGAATACAGCAAGCTGATTGGATGGAGAGGCAGAGCAGGAGATTGACCAATAGGAGCCGTCCGGGACAGATGGCTCCCATTGGTCAATGTTTTTGCAGCCCTGCACCTGATAGAGTGAACGGATTTTTTCTGTTCTTTTTTCCCGTCACTTTGTAGAGATCACACTATAGGACCATGATCGCCAAAGAAACGAGGTTCATAATAATTACTAATCTCTCCAATCGTCAACCATGCCTCAAAGTGTTGAAAAGTGGAAAAAAAAAAAAAAAAAAACTGCAGTTCTTCAATCGGCCACTGGAGGCTGAGTCTACAGTGAGTCAATCCCCATAGAACCCCATGTTAAATTATCTCATTTCACAGCAGATTCAAACATCTTTAAAACTTGGTAGACAAAAACCGTTTTAATTTTTGTCCCAAAAGCTTTCCAGAACATTTTTATTTCTTAACTATTTCATTGTATTAATTCTAAGGGTAATGCATTAATAGGGGGTGTGGCCGAGTTGTAAATAAGCTGCAGTTGTTTTCACAGGTCTGTGGGGCCTCAGCTCCACTTTTGTTTGTTTCTGCAGTAACTGAAAGTTTGTCTCAACCTTTTCAATATGGCGACCACCATCTTTAGGGTCAATAACGCCTCTCCAGACCCCAGATCACTAGATTAGTTGGCAGTACTGTAAAACAAACCCAGGGTTGAAGCTGTAGAGAAACAGTTTGGCTGTTGATTCCAATCACCAGGTCAAAAGAGCCTAAAATAAACCCTTTTTTTTATGTCTCTGCAAAACTACATATAGTGCAACTTTAAATTAAGACAGTTGAGACTCTTAGGAGCCCTGTGTAGTTATGTAAACACAAATACATTATCAATATACAACACAAATATTATAAATATCATCACTGCCCTCCAGAAACCCTGAACCCTCAGAAATCCTCCAGTGATGCTCAGTCAGGAACATAAAACTCATTCAGCTTAATTTTGAAAAAGGCCTCAGACGAGAGCTGAAAGTGCTGACACCGGCTGAAGCGCTGGCTTGTTTTCCAGGACGGCAGGAAGTTTGGCACAAATCCACTCTCTTATAATATGTTAAACAGGGTGATAATTAAGTGTCACTTTATCCTTATGGCACCTGCTCAGCCTGCTCGACAACTGATTTATCATCGCGGCGAAATGACTCAGTTTTTAAAAGCAGAGGGGCGAGAAAACGGGATTGAAGCTCAGTCGAACAGTTTTACCGGCATTTCTCTACAGCTGTCGGATAGAGAGACTTAAAAATGGGAACATCAGTCGGAAAAAGGTAGATTTCCTTCTCCAGGTCGGAGGGGAGGTCCTTCCTCAAGTGGAGGAGTTCAAGAAGCTCAGGATCTTGTTCATGAGTGAGGGTAGGATGGAACGGGAGATCGACAGGCGGATCGGAGCAACGGCAGCAGGGATGCGGATGATTAACCGATCTGTCGTAGTGAAGAAAGAGCTGAGCCGTAAGGCGAGACTCTTGGTTTACCAGTCGATCTACGTGCCGATCCTCACCTATGGTCATGAACTTTGGGTAATGACCAAAAGATCTCGGGAGGCACTCAGAGTAGAACCGCTGCTCCTCCACGTCGAGAGGAGTCAGCTGAGGTGGCTCGGGCATCTGGTTAGGACGCCTTCTGGACGCCTCCTGTTAGAGGTGTTCCAGACATGTCCCACCGGGAGGAGACCTCATGGCCGGCCCAGGACCAGGTGGAGGGATTATATCTCTCGGCTGGACTGGGAGTGCCTGGGAATCCCCCCGGAGTAGCTGGTGGAAGTGGTCGGGTGAGGGCCGTCTGGGCTTCCCTCCTGAAGCTGCTGCCCCCACGACCCGGGCCCGGATGAAGCGGAAGAAAATGATGACGGTAACGAAAAATGGGTACAGACAATTGTGTTAAACCCAGGAGTCACTGCAATAACTTTGGTGACCCTCTGACTTCTTTACTGTCCAGTACTTTGATTTACAACCAAATACCCTCATTGCTGATTTCCCTCCCATTAAAGTCTATTTTGGGTAGGGTGTTGCTAATTTGAAATTACGCTAGCAGAACATTACGTGTTAATTTTGCTCTATCACATATTAGCCAAGGCCTAATGCTAGCTATTGAAGTTGGTTGTTGAGATTGGCTGCCACTTAAAGGTGGCGTAGTCAGGAATCCGTTAAAGAAGCATCTTTTTTTTGTGGTGTATATACAAATAGTTTTTGATGACATTTGGTAATATAACGATATCGCTGTCTGTTTGTGGGCGGGGCTTGCTGGAGCAGAGAGGGAGGGGCTGAGGGGAAAACTGGTTAAGAGGGGTAGAGTTCACATTCAAGATTTCGCCTAAAAAACTGGAACTTCCTCAGATCCTGACTACCCTACCTTTAATTTTTTAGGATATTACATTCATGATTTACAGTCATTACCGATCTTGGCTGTACGAAGGGGTCGCCATGAAAACGTTTGGGGCTGGATAGAGTGTCTTAGCGTGTCGAAACTAACAAACAAAACCGCTGAGATTTGAAGGATTTCATAAACTTCCTCGGACAAAACCGGACAAGCCGGGACACCCTACAAAAAAGAGGTCATGTCTGGGTAAAACAGGACAAATGATCACTCTACATTGTTACAAAAATTCACGGGATGTGGGCGAAAGTCTAATCGATTTCTTTGCACCCAAATAACGTTATTACCTTATCTTTAAATTTGTGAGTCGGTGAATCGTATGACGGGAGGATTTGTCGATTTAGGGTTTCTGAAGGACGAGAGAGACAGGCAATAAATATGTTCCACACAGTTAAATAGCTAAAAGTTCAGTGGTTATATGAGGCGCTAAAAGCAGGCAGGTAAAATGCAGCAAAAATCACGAGCATGATGCAAAAGTCGAATAAATTCAAAACGTTCCCTAACTGTGAGTTTTCAGTGCATTTAGCATAACAGGAGCTGATTGACATTCTCATACATACAGTAGTGCTGAGTGACAGTACCTTGATACATTACAGAGCTTTACATCCATCACTTTAGAAGTCCACTGGATGGATAGAAGAGGGAGGAAGAGAGGAGAGGAGAGGAGACTGGGGCTGAATGGAGTGATAAAGAGGAGAGGAAAAGTTAAGGAACGACAAAAACACAAACTTTATAGAAAACATGACGTATTCACATGGCAGCCATTTTCCTGTGATGTCATACCGGGAGGATATTGAAACGAATCGTGAAAATCTGGCGAAGACATAGAGACACTTTTCACGTTTTGAGACTTAATTAGTAAAGTTACGTGGGGGTTCCACTGGCCCACCGGATCCGATCCTCCTCTGCCATCAGCGGAGAAACGCTTGCGAGATTACTGATATTTCTCGCGAGACGAAACCTTGTGAGACATTGAATGAGATCCGCCAATCGGTGGTGTTTAGAAACAACCACATCTCACAACCCTGGCCTCTCCTAGTTCAACATATTGACTTTATTTTATTTTGAAATTTACCGGATATTTTACTCTGTAGCTTATACAACTACCGCTCCTGCTCTTGCTGCGTTGCACTGAATTGATGCACCGTGTTGCATCGTCCGGCAAAAATAGGAGCGTTGCGTATCTGATCCGTCCACTGGAGCCGATCCACAGCAGAGCCGGATGGCGGACAGATTCTGTGGAATGACATACGTTGAGTGGAGCACAGCCGTTCCAGATCCTGTGGGTATAACCCGTGACCCCCAATTTCCACTGCATTCCTAACGGCTACGAAAGGCCGTATTTGCCGATCGTAGCTGATCGTAACCGTTCAAGTTAACGTGTCAATTTCCACCGGCTTCTTTCCACAGCTGATCGCAGGAGTTCTATTTTTCCGGACGCCGGAGCATGCCGGATAAATTCAGCGCAGATCATGTTTCACACCATGCAAACAGGCGGAGACAAACAAGTGAAAGGTTTTTAGACGTCATTTCACCCCGATGACACCATGGATGAGGAGATGCTGATTCTAGAAGTCTAGAAGTAGATTTCCTCCTCTGGAAGGACACAATCTACTGCTTATATGTCTATGTGTCTGTCTTTAGAGAGACAACTTGTTATCGCGTGATTGCACGTGAATCCGTGGGTTCTTGTGAGTTCTCGCAATCCCTGCTGTCCGTGATCCGCCACGAAATTCGCCTCACAAACAGATCCAGTAGGAATCGGCAGACGGCGAAAATCAACGCCATTCCGGATGCGGTGGAAATCCCGTGTGAGAGTTTAGACTCTTCCTGGTTAATATTTAGGTTAAAAAAACACAGATACAAAAAAACAGAAGCTTCACTTTAGTCTGTTTCTATTTTAATTATTCAGTGAAATAAACCAGAGAAACGACGAACGTCTTCTAACGATGAACTGAACAGGTTTTCTAAATGTTAGTTATACCTGCTTCCATGTAGGATAATACTTAATTATCTGTTCCGGTTTAATAAATCTCATTACATAACCACCAACTAGGAGCCGGTGTTTCTTTTTCGTGGGTCGTGTCACGTCTGTTTTTGCTCTCCATGTCGACAGAAGATTCTGTAAATACGGATCAAATCAGTCGTGTTCTCACCGATCAGCGCTCAGTTTTCCAACCTGAGTGTGACGTGATCAGAATGACTGCCGTGTGAATAAGGTCTGCAGAGGAGAGGGAGAGAAAGAGGGGGGGCGGAGAGGTCAAGTAGATCAGGTAAAGGAAGAAGGGGGTAGGGGGATAGAGGAGAGGAAAGGAGAGGAGGAAAGGAATGAAGAGAGAGGAGGGAAAAATCAAAGAAAGCATTTACAAAGACGTCGTCAGACCAAGGTAACCGAGGAAGGAGTGTTTGTTGGAGGAAGACGAGGAGGAGCAGGAGGAGGAGGAGGAGGAGGATGTAGAAGAAGGAGAGCGTGGTTTGAGAGTGATGAGTGTGGTGATGGGGAGGAGAGGAGACAGATCCCTCCATCCTGCGCGGTCAGAGAGTGAGGGATGAAGAGCAGGAAGAGAGGAGGAGGAGGAGGAGGAGGGAGCAGCAGTGTGTGAGTGCGGCAGCGTGTGCAGCCGCTGCAGGTGTTTGTGCGCTCCTCTCTGATTGTCTCCGTGCACGTAGGAGCGGTGCGTGTGCACGTGTGCGTGCACGTCTGTGGGGTGTTTGACCTTGCAGTGCAGCCGCAGACTGTCCCGTCTCTTGGCGCTGTAGGGGCAGAGCTCGCAGGTGAACGGACGCTCGCCCGTGTGCACGCGCACGTGCTCCACCAGCTTATTGGCGGTTCGCGTCAGGTGGCCGCACCGGTCGCACCGGTACTGGTTGCCTTGGCGATGACCCTGGAAGTGAACCAGCAGCTCCTGTTGCCCTGGAAACGACCTCTGGCAGATGCGGCAGCGATGCTCTGAGGTGCTATTCTCCGGCTGGGTTGGCATGGAAACTGACGGAGCGATGCCGAGGGTGGCAGTGGGAGGTGTGACGGGGCATCTGGGAGTCAGGAGGGGAAGGACGGGTTAATAACACACATTCAGACCACAAAAGTGAGGGAGAAAACACACACACACACACACACCGACAAAACTCAAACACACGTCAGAGCTGCTGAAACCCTGCAGACATGAAACAGTCCTGGACGGATTCAGTTTCAACACCTTAAAGGGATATTCCGGCGTGAAATTAGACCCCCCCTCCAGAGATTAATGTTGCCGACCGCTTGCTTCTCGAGTTATACCGACTTTAGTAACGACCGCAGGATAGAAATACAGAGAGCCACGTGCTCAACCAAAACGCCACTCTATAGCCGCTTGTTTGTAGTGAGACCTCAGGCCAGAGCATTACAGACTACAGCGGGGTGCCGCAGCTCAAGGAAGAACATTTATGATCATTTCTTTATCATTTCCTTGAAGTAATAATCACCATATTAATCATTTTGCTCTGTAGACGTGGTAGTTCTTCTGTCTTAGCGTCTCGGTCTGATTGTATTTCCATGAAGAAATGATCATAAGTGTTCTTCCTTGAGCTGTGGCACCCCGCTGTAGTCCGTAATGCTCTGGTCTGAGGTCTCACTACAAACAAGCGTCTGCTGGAAGAGAGTAGGTGAGTTGTGTTTAGTCTCTTTGCTAAAGAAATGAGTCAAAGTTAAAAAGATGTTTGGTGTCTAGTTCTATGTCTGTGACCCTACATGTCCTGTTGATGAAGTTAGGTGCTGTTCTGAGCATTATTCGTGGTTATAGAGTGGCGTTTTGGTTGAGGGCGTCGCTCTCTGTATTGCTATCCTGTGGTCGTTACTAAAGTTGGTATAACTAGAGAAGTAAGCGGTCGACAACATTCATCTCTGGAGGGGGTGTCTAACTCGCTGTTACGCTAAATTAATTTTACGCCGGAATATCCCTTTAAAATCCCAAATAGAAGTTGCTCTAGTATGTAAGACTCAGTTTCACCTCAGAGGGTTAAAAACTGACAATCACAAACAGCACATTCAACAGTGGGAAGTTTTGGTTCAGCTGTGTCGCTCTTTCCGGTACCATCTGGTTTTGACCTGTGGGGTTTACAATCCTGTGAGCTGCTCAGATCAAAATGAAATAAAGTATGGAGGCAGGAGGAAGGCACAGATGGAGAGAGGAGAGGAGCAGGTGTGTATATGCGTGTGTGTCTGAAAAGCCAAGGGACAGACTGAGCTCACTGAGAGAGAGCTCACAAAGAGATTTTAATTACGGGCTAACCTCATGTCTCCGCTGGCATTGGTGTTCCCATGTAAGTGTGTGTTGACGTGAGCCCTCATCTCAGTCTCCTGATTGGTCGAGTGGTCGCACACGCAGCAGTGCAGGGAGAATGAGGCCTGCTCCCATTGGCGGTGTTCAGTCATGTGACTTTGGAAGAGGGCACGCCCGTCCGTCTCAAACCCACAGACATGACACCTGCAGGAAACCAAGACTTGGAGTTATAGTTACCAGCATCCAGTATATCAGAGTTACCATGTCGTTTAACTCAAATAGAAAGGATTCCCACTGTTCTTGTTTCTGTATCAATACGGGGACCTTAGCGAAATTTACACCTTATGGGGACGTTCCGCAAATCGGTGCTGTTATGTTGTTTCTCACTCTTGTAATTGCTTGTTTGTTGGTATATGATCAAGGTCTGGCAGCAGGCGTTTCTGTCACAGTGTCCTCATTAGCGCTGTAGAACAAACGTTTCTGCCCCTGTCTGTTTTTCTATCAATGTGGGGACCTTGGCGAAAGAAACACCTTTTAAGAACGTTGTTGCAAAGTGACGAGAATTAGTGATTTCTCATTATTGAAAAAAATCTACTCACTCACTATAAAGTCAGAATACAAAGTGTGTTTAGAGGTCCTCATAAGTGTAGACTTACAAACACGCATGTGTCCTCGAGTGTGTGTGTGTGTTACCTGAAAAAGTAAGAGCGACCTGTGGCTTGTTCTCTGCTGAGGCTGGTTTTGGTTTCTATGAGGGAAAAAACAAAGAAACAGACAAATTATTCTGTTCGGCAAATGCTGAGACAAATCTCTGTCTTCCACTTTGTCATAGTTTACTTCAGAGTGCTGAAAAATCCTTTAATGATGTGTCCCTCTGGAGGTTATTATTCACAGACTCGTATGTGACTGTAGCCTGTGAGTGTTTGTGTTTAGTGGATTCACTTTAGCGGAGTCTTTACTTCACACCCAAAGGAGCAGTTCGGTGGCGGCGTTAATCCATAACACTCGGTAAATACGACCGTTAAAAAGTCATAATAATAAAAATAACACTGCTTTTAAATACAGTAGCGTGCTAAAGGGAGAAATTTACTTCAGATTACAAGAACTGATCTCAGCTGACTATTTAAGGTCCATTAGAGTATTTCATTTCAGACAATTCATCTGCAGGCGTGTGACTCTTTCTGGCAAAAATGTAGAGGTATGGCATCCAAAACATGTGTGTTTATATATTTTGTGCTACTGTTTATGTTTGATTTGTTTAAAATGTATGTCGTAGATAAAATGTGTCATTTTTTATTTATCATATTAGTGTGGATTTACATCCTCCAAGGACATGTTTGCAAAGTGGGGACGCTTTGTGGTTCTATGTTCCCTATTTAAGAAAAGGAACCCAAGACAGAGTCCTCATCAGTGCTGCAAAACAAACACATATGTGTACTTTTTAGGGTTTCTGTTGCTTTAGAACCCTAAACTCAAGGTAAGATTCACACTTATTTTTGTTTTTATGTTATTATTGGGACGTGTGTGATTTTCACACTTTGTGGGGACATGTTTGCTAAGTGGGGACGTTTTGTGGTTCTATGTTTGCTATATAAGAAAGGGAACCTAAGACAGAGTCCTCATGAGTGCTGCAAAACAAACACATGTGTGTGTACATGTGCATACAAGTACGTCAAACATACATATGTTTGGGATACTTGTACTTTTTAGGGTTTCTGTTGCTTAATAACTAAACTCAACAAAAAAAGTTTCACACTTACGTTTGTTTTTATGTTTTTATTGGGACGTGTGTAAGTTTCACACTTTGTGGGGACATTTTGCAATGTGGGGACGTTTTGTGGTTCTGTGTTCCTTAATTAAGAAAGGGAACCTCAGACCGAGTCCTCATGAGTGCTGCAAAACAAACATGTATGTGTGTACATGTGCATACAAGTACCTCAAACGTACATATGTTTGGGATACTTGTACTTTTTCGGGTTTCTGTTGCTTAATAACTAAACTCAAGAAAAAAAGTTTCACACTTACGTTTGTTTTTATGTTATTATTGGGACAGAGTCCTCATGAGTTCTGCATAACAAACATGTATGTGTGTACATGTGCGTACAAGTATCTCAATTATACATGTTTGAGATACTTGAAAAAAAGATTCACATTTATTTTTGTTTTTATGATATTAAGGGGACATGTGTGATTTTCACACTTTGTGGGGACATGTTTGCAGAGTGGGGACGTTCTGTGGTTCCTCACTTCCATAATTGCATGATTGAGAGTTTATGGTTAATACTGTGGGAAATATTTATCTTAGCAGTAGAAGCTGCATGTAAAACAAAATAGTGCAGCAGTATTAAATAGCATTACACCCCTGGGGGCAACAATACCCCAAAATAAAAAAGATCAAATGACTGCTTATCTGGATGTTTAATAATTGATTAAACTCAAATGAAGTGTTGTTCTCTGGCTGTAAAACAGCTGCTCTGACTCATAATAACATGACATCAGATTCTGGGATCAAATCAGATCAGTCACCTTCAGCCTTAGCTAGGTTGTCAGCGTCACTCCTCATCATTGTTTATTAGACGGGGAACAAAACAGCGATCTGCTCCGACTTATTTTTACTACTCTGAGAACAGATCGGTGATCGGCTCTGACTCAGCGTGTGATCACAGCAACTCTCCCAGAAGACGCTGATCGACATTCAGAGATCGACGCCTCCTCAAGCAGAGCGGGCGCAGCTGACTCTTCTCTCTGTGCCGCTGCTGCTGCTGCTGCTGCGTTTTTATCTAAACGCCGTGATGGAGCTTTTTTAGATACTCACTCTACTCCTACTGTATCTGTGTGTCCTTTTATGAGTGTTTGTGTGTGTGTGTGTTTTTTTTTTACCATGTGGAGGTTCCTGGGAGCTCAGGAGAGGGGAGGAGCGAAGAGGATCCACATTCACCTTCAAAACAGGACTAGAGGGGAGAATATGACACCAGGAGTCAGAACACGGCAGGGGAAAGGTTAAAGTCGAGGGCGAGGGCGAGTAGTCACCTGTTCCTGAGGGGCGGAGTCATCCTCTCGACCAGCCGACTGTTGGATTTACTGACTCTCTCTGAGGAAACACAGATCAGGAATTAGGGATCGGGAAAATTGGGATCTTCATAAAGATTTTCAGGAGGAGGTGATCGAAAGTCTCGGGTCTTGGTAACCACACTGGTCTAACAGAGCCTGCTGCGCAATGCGACGTCGTAATGACATCTATTTAACGTATTTTTTCGATGTCTGGACGTCATTTCAACGTCTAAAAGAGGTCCAATAATTACGTCTAAATCTCGGCTCCATTTTACACGTTATGCCGACGTCTAGATTTGGTCTTCAGATGACTTCCAAATTCTAAATGTCAGAGCGACGTCGGAATTTCTATCCTATTTTGAAGTCTAGATGTGGTCTTTGACGGACCGACCCAGTACTGACTTGATCTGCACGTCTCTTCGACGTCCGATGTTTGGTGGGAAGGTTTGACCCCTCAAATAATCACAGAAGATGGATCTAGAAAAGGCCTACGAAAAGGCCGTATCCGCCGACCTTAGCTAATCGTAACCATCGAAGTCAATGTTTCAATTTCCACCGGCTTCTTTGCATTCCGCTGCGGATCGTCGGAGTCCTGGCACTGGAGCATGCCGGATAAATTCAGCACAGATTAATCCGTGCTGGAAAGGAAGTCGGGCACAGACACAAAATAAAACATCCGGCTTCGTGTTTCAGGAGGATCGTATTTCACACCATGCAAATGGGCGGAGACGAACAAGTGAAAGGTGTTCAGACGTCATTTCACCCCAATGACACCATGGATGAGGAGATGCTGATTCTAGAAGTCTAGAAGTAGATTTCCTCCTCTGGAAGGACACAGTCTACTCTTTATATTGTTAGCCTCTGTGGCTAAAGACAACTCGTTATCGCGCGATTGAACGTGAATCTGCGGGTTCTTGTAAGTTCTCGCGATTACAGCTGTCCGTAATCTGCAGCAAAATTCGTCTTACAAACGGATCTGGTAGGAATTGGCATAAGGCAGAAATTGGAGCTGTTCCGGAGGCTCAAACATCTTGTATTCACTCTCCGTCTGGATCTTGATTTCCAAATCCAGACCTTCTTTGGACCAAGTTCCCGTTTGTTCCCGTCTTTTATAAAGTATTCAGTCGAGTACTAATTTGGTCTTTAAATTAAAAACATCTTTGTATTTGTTACCTGAGAGCTGGTGCAGCAGGGTGGACGCCAGATTCACCGACATGTCCTGCCACAGCACAGCGCGGAGGCACTGGTCGGCCATCTTGGCTCCAGAGTTGAACTGGTCCTCCGTCTTGACTCCGAAGAACAGCTGATCTTCTGTCTTCACTCCCGGGAAAACCTGATCAGCAATTTTGGCTCCAGGGATAAGCCGTGCCTCCATTTTGGTTCCTACAAGAACTTGGTTCTCCATCTTGGCTCCTGAGGGAAACTGCTCCTCCATCTTGGCTCCAGAGAGGAGAAACCGGTTGTTTATTTTGGCTGCAGAGAGCGGCCGCTCTGCAATTTTTGCTTTCAGGAGGCGACGTTCCTCCATTTTGGCTCCAGGTAGAAGCTGGTCCTCTGTTTTGGTTCCAGGGAGACGGTGATCCTCAATCTTCACTCTAAACTGAAACTTGTTCGCTCCAGAGATGAGGCTGTCCGCGGTCTTTGAGCTGGAAACAAACATGTCCTCGGTTTTAAGGCCATGAAGACACTGGTCGGCCATTTTGGCTCCTGGGTGCGTCTGCTCTCCGTTCTTGTTGCCACTGAGGACCTGGTCCTCTGTTTTCAGGTTGAAGTGATGGTGGACCTGAATCAGAGGAGGTGAGGTCATCTCTTTCGTGAGCGGTCGATCCCGCACAACAAGTGCGTCGACTTCCATCGGCTCTTCCTCTTCTTTGATCCTCACAGCGTGGATGTTTACTTCCTGACGCTCTGTGATTGGACAGAAATTTGTGTTTATTCCTCGATTTTTACTGCATTAAACTAACGCTGCGTTCCAGTTACCTCGGAAGTCGGAGATGGGAATGCCGTTACACCCGAGTTGACGGCGTCCCAGTTAACAAGTCAGAAAATCAAGATGGATGCCTACAGTTACCCGTTGTTAGCTGTTGTTTATGATTGTCAGCCGTCGTTAGCCATGGTTAATTGTCGTTGGCAACGCGTTCAAAGTTAGACGATGGTCAGTACAACGAGTACAACGACTTCAGGGGGGAGTTCCAGATAAATTTCCGACTCGGAGCTCGGAAATTCTGACTTCTGAATACAACTGGAACGCAGCATTCGTTGTATATAGAAAGAGGTCAGGGTTTAACCTGAAAGCACATCTCACGCACGACCCTACCTGCCAGTTTCCTCAGCATGTCTGACGCCAGGGTGTCCGTGGCGGCGTTGCTGTCAGGTGTGTGCGAGAGCGACGGCGGCTCAGGACTCGCCCCGGGACCGTCCGGTGAAAGAGCAAGGCCCGGCTCGTCCTGCTGACCGCCGCGCACCTCCGGCAGGGCCTCACGCCTCTGGAGTTCCACTTCCGCTCGCCCCCCAGGATGCATCTGGGCCTTCTGGGTGGCCTCTGAAGGGAAAGAGTTGATTGAAATTTAAACAGATTACAGTAGAGTTCATGTTACAGCCTGATAAACGCACTCAGCTCTCCATGAGAGGTTCATTACTCTGATATATTATGTAACTCTTCCATCATTTAGACTCCATGAGCGTCAAAAACTGTGATTGTTCGGCTACAGGTGCAAACTGATCAAGCCAAACTCAGTATCTAATCATGGTCAATATAACATCTATAGATGTAGAAACTGGACTTGTTCCAGTACAGGTACAGGTACACCTGAAACGTAATCACGATCAACATTGCCAGAATCGAAGGCTGTTGGGCTGTCAATGATAATCTTGAAAAGCAGCAGCAAGGAAAACCTTCCAGATCTACAGGCAGAAAACTCAAGTTGAGCCTGACTCATTGCTTGAAAGCCATTTGCAATTTAAAGGGATATTCCGGCGTAAAATTTAAGTTATGGTCAAACACACCGTAACACCAAATTAGACACCCCGTCAAGAGAGATGAATGTTGCCGACCGCTTGCTTCTCTAGTTATACCAATTTTAGTAACGACCGCAGGATAGAAATACACAGCGGTCTGAGGAGCCATAAACAAACCTCAACCAAAACGCCACTCTATAGCCACAAATAATGCTCAGAACAGCACCTTACTTCATCAACAGGACATATAGGGTCACAGACATAGTACTAGACACCAAACATCTTTTTAACTTTGACTCATTTCTTCAGCAAAGAGACTAAACACAACTCACCTACTCTCTTCCAGCAGCTGCTTGTTTGTATTGAGACCTCAGGCCAGTCTGTTACAGACTACAGCGGGGTTTCACAGCTCAAGGAAGAACATTTATGATCATTTCTTCATGGAAATACAATCAGACCGAGACGCTAAGACAGAAGAACTACCGCGTCTGCAGCGCAAAATGATTAATATGATGATTATTACTTCAAGGAAATGATAAAGTAATTATCATAAATGTTCTTCCTTGAGCTGCGAAACCCCACTGTAGACCATAACGAAGTTAGGTGCTGTTCTGAGCATTATTTGTGGCTATAGAGTGGTGTTTTGGTTGAGCGCGTGGCTCTCTGTATTACTATCCTGCGGTCGTTACTAAAGTTGGTATAAATTAAGAAGTAAGCGGCAACATTCATCTCTGGATGAGGTGTCTAACTCAGTGTTACTGTGTGTTTGACCTTAAATTAATTTCACGCCGGAATATCCCTTTAAGGACAGGGAATTTGAGCAACAATCAAACATATTTTATAAGTATATCTCATCATCTCATCTATCTTTAATGTAAATTAATGTGTAAATTCAGTGTCATATATATTTGTCCTTAAACTGTCAATCAAGATAAAACTGGTCGTCTCGTCTGCCTTGATAATTAATTTGATTATTTGTTTGTTGATTAAAATTTCATCAATTAAAATCAATTAATGATCAAAAGTGCTCTCAGAACTCTTTAATTAGTCGAGTGTGTGTAAGTGTGTGTGTGTGTGTTTGCGCTACCTGACAGTCTAATGAGGAGGTCGGACGCCATCTTGGTGCTGACATCAGGGCTGAAGAGAGAGGTGGCCGCCGGGAAGGGACTTGAACCCGTGGCGTGTGTGTCTGCTGTGTGATCAGCGTGCGTGTCTGCAGCGTGTGTGTCGGTCACACTCAGCGAGCCAGCGTTGCTGCCACCGGAGTGTGTGTTTGCGTGTGTGTTTGCAGGGTGTGTGTGTCGTTTGGCTGCATCAGAGGGAGGCTGCAACACACTCGACCCACGCTTCATTTTCCGGTGTGTGTGTGTGTGTGTGTGAGTGTGTGTGTGTGAAAGGAGAGGGAGTCAAAACTCAGAAGAGAGGAGGGCAAGAGAGAAGGAAGAAGAGGAGGAGGAGGAGGAGGAAGGCAGAGATGCTAAAATAAGACGAGTGTGTTTGTTAACATATGGAAGTGAGGAGAACATGGTCGAGAAATAGAAGGAGAAGAAAAGGAGGTGATGGCGGTGAAGGAGAAACTGGCGAGGGAGGATTTTTGGTTCAGACCGGGCTGTTGCTGCCTCTCATTGACCTGAAAGAGAGAGAGAGAGAGAGAGGGAGGGAGAGGAGAGACAGGAGCGGTGAGGACGAAGGGCGAGCGAGGACAGAGGAGGATGGAGACAGAGAGAAAGAGAGAGAGAGAGGGACAAAGGGAGGAAGGGTGAGAGAAAAAGGGGAGAAAAGAGGAGAAACATGAACAAAGTGGATCTGTGAATGAATTAATTATAGAACGGATGAGGCCCCAATAATAAGGGGATAAATCATTTTGCGTTATCGCCATGGTAACGGACCCTGCTGTGTCGTCTCCCGGCCTGACCTTCCCACCGACAAACAATCATCAATTATGATCAATGATCATCAATAAGCACTTCCACCTGCAGCCAGCTGGTCGTCCTGAACACTGTCTACTGATGCACTGAAACAGAATACAGGGTTAGACAGGTGAGCAAACACCTGTCCTTCTCTGTACCGATCCTGCTGTAAAGAAACACGTAATGAGACAAAAGACTAAAGTACAACTGCATGAGTCCTTTAAGAAAATTTAATGACTTAGTTTTACGTTGTAGCAACTGGGAAATTTTTTAAAAATGCAAAAAAATTTAATACAAAAATGTAACAAATCTAAAATAATACCACAGCTATCAAAAAATTTAAAAAAATGAAGTATTGACACTGAAAAATGCATAAAAATTTAATTCAAAAAGTAACAAATTTAAAATAATACCACACCTATCAAAAAATTCAAAAACATGTGTAACTATTGACATTAAATAATGCATGAAAATTTAACAAAAAAAATGTAGGAAAATTTAAAATAATACCACACCTATCAAAAAATTGTCAAAATTTTTGTAAGTATTGACATTGATGGATTTGAGCAAAATTTTGATAAGAAATATATTTAAATATTTTTAAATTATAATAAGTCCAACTAAAAAAATAAATCCTGTGATAAATTATTTTTGAAAAATAAATATTTGCAGCTAAATTATTTTCAAATTTTTAATATTTTTGAATTTTAAAAATTTAAAAAGTCATTTCTGCTATTGCTAGACTAGGCTGAAGGTAATGTTTCGTTAAAATTTTTTTTTGTTTAGACTTTTATAAAAAATGAATTACGAGAATTTTAAAAATGTGAATAAATAATTTAAAAAAATTAAATATTTATATATTTTTAAGTATACTAGGTTTACAGAACTGCTTCAAGGGAATAAATGCATATTAAATATTCGTTTAGATTTAAAAAAAAAATAATAATAATTACACAGAAATGTTGAATACTTAGTGAAATCTAAAACATGTTAAGTGTTTAAATTACATAAAAATGATGTAACCAGCAGCCTTTCCTTCGCCTCGGTTCACTCGCTACCCTCGCCGACCCCGTTCCTGCCTCCGTCTCTAGGCGACACGGTACCGGCTGCCGCATCCGCATCCCACGGGGGAGCGGAATGACCGGGCACCAGTTTTCTCCACAACACCCCCTCTCTTCCCCTCGGTGTCGGTCGGTGTCAAACCCCCCGGAGTCCCGCCGTTAGCTAGTTATCTCTCCCTCCCCTCTGCAACATGGCTGAACGACACTCAGACTCCCCGACACACCGAGTCAGAAAGTCATTTCCCGGTGAGTGAGGGAGAGAGTGAGGGGTGGCGGTGCTCCCTCTCCGACCGTAAGTCGAACCGCGGGATCAGTCATTATTTAGTTTTTTCCCCCCCTTCAGTCACCGGAAACGAGGGCAGGTGTCAAGAGCCCAGCCGTTACCCCCCACCTCCTCGCCCCCTCCCTCCCTCTCTCTCTCTCCCTCTCTCTCTCTCCTGCAACATGGCTGAACGGTAACCCGACCTCACAAGACCTCAGGAGTCATTTTCACGGGTCAGTTAGCATCGATAAGCTGACATCAGTCCACTACGGGACGGACAATTCTCCCCCGGCAGCCCGCCTCTCCTCCGTGACTTACCGGTACCAGGAGGGCAGGTGGTGGCGGCGGCGGTGGTGGTGTTGGTGCAGTCCGGGGCATAGCCTATATATAGACTATAGATTTCCTCCATGATAAATTCCCTCCTTTTTTCTCCTTCTTTTGTCACCTGCTCGGTTTCTCCTCCGGTTTCCTCATCCACGGTGAGGACCAAAACGCCGAGGAGATGATCCGTTTCTTCCCCGAGCCCGAGGATGACGGGTCGGTCACCGAGCAGGGCAGATGGAGGTTTCCGCCTCCTCTCTCTCTTTCTCTCCTTCTGTGTGTGTGTGTGTGTGTGTGTGTTTGAGTGTGTGTGTGAGAGAGAGGGAGAGAAATGCAGTGTGTCTCCGTCCACGCGCCGGATCATAGCACAAGGGCAGGACACGAGTGAACCCGTGCGCACGCGCCTGTACCCGCGCCAGAACCCGACGGGTACATAGAGTGAAAGCCGCGAAAAGAAACCGTCGATCGTCTGAAATCCTAACACTGGCGATATGCGAATAACAATAAGTATTCCTTTTAAATTGTAAGTAAGAAGGAGTCAAACTGTTGTGGTTTAATTTCAAACTTAGCCTAGTTCGATTAATTCTCGATTCATGAAGGAGCTACTAACGTTTTTGATAGCACTCGCTGAGATAGTTTCAATGAAAGCATAGGTCACAACTCAAATCGAAACACCTAGCTCCGAAGTAGCGCTACGTCCTCCGTGTGAGGAAAAGAAGAGGCAGTGTGTCTCTGTCCATGCGCCAGATCATAACACAAGAGCAGGACACGAGTGAACCCGTACATAGCTATACCCGCGCTAGAACCCGACAGGTACATTGAGTGAAAGCCGCTAAAAAGAAGCTGTGGATCGTCAATGCGTTGAAAACACTAAAAAAAATAAGAAGTATTCCTTTTAATTTATAAGTAAGACGGAGTAAACTGTTGTGGTTTCATTCCAAACTTAGCCTAGTTCGATTAATTTCCGATTTATTAAGGAGTTTACCAGCTGAGATAGTTTGAATGAAAGCATAAGTCACAACTCAAATCGAAACACCTAGCGCTAAGTAGCGTTAAGTCCTCAGTGTTAAGAAACAAAATGCACTGTGAACCCATGCGCACGCTCCTTTACCCGCGCCAGAACCTGATGGGTACATTTAATGAAAGTTGCGAAAAGAAACCGTAGATCGTCTATGCGCTGGAAATCCTAATACTGGCAATATACAAATATGTCAAATGTCAAACTTCGCCTAGTTCGAATAATTTCTGCTTTATGATGAAGTTTTTGAACTACTAACGTTTTTGATTGCACTAGCTGAGATAGTTTCAATGACAGCTTAAGTTGCAACTCAATTCGAAACACCTAGCTGAGGGTGAGTAGGTACTGAGTCCGTAAATCCTGGTTGTTGTAGTGCATATTTTTTAAAGACGGGATAAGGAGTCCGCACTATTCGATAAATATATTCAAGTTAGGGCACCACTTGGTGTTTCATGTTTCACATACTTGTCCACTGTTGTTGGTTGAGTAACCGGGAACTACGGGATGATACCTTTAGCTGCTAGAAGGGTTAACGCAATTTTTTCTACTAATCTAGAGAAATCATACATTTTCCTGGTTAAACTAAGCAAAAATACAACTTAAGTTACAACTATTTTCAACGTGGTTTAGTGTGAACTTAACACTCTAACTTAAAATAAACCTCATACTGGTACAACAGGCTATATGGGTCATAATACTTTAGGACATACTTGAAGTGGAAGAGCGTTTTTTTGTTTGTTTGTTTTGTTTTTTATTTTTGCGGTAGTGGCCTGTACATATCAGTTTTATTTGAAGTAGCTTTTGTACAAGAAAACATTAAAGTACCTGCTTTATTACCATTGACTGGGGTTTTTGGCTGGTAGTAGAGGTAGAAGTTATGATAGAAGTACCTACAGTCGCTGTAGTATCCTTAAACAGGGGTCTTAATTTTGTCAGTACTGGACAAAGAAATGTAGAAACACTAAAAAACGGTCATATTGCTGACTAAGAATGATTATACTTAAAAGTCGGTGACACAATTTGACACAACTGGTGATGTCACACACTAAAATGTTTACGATTACAGAAAAACTGTAACAACTGAAAGCTTAATGTGCAAACCGGTTAAAAATAGTCATCATGCACTCTGTCGGAGGTAAAAGAAGCTAAAATTGTTTACAGTAAGACACCTAAACGGGTCACGTTAGTTGCTAAAAATGGTTGTGACACATCTTAGAAGTTGTAACAGTTACATGTAAAAATTGGTTATTGCTACACACTAAAAATGTTCAACTATACAGACATTACATGGTAAAAAATGGTTACACTTACGACGCAAAAAAATGGTACCGGTATGGTTATGCTTGAAATGGTCATAGTTACACACTTACAGAGTTATTACACACTTAAATTGTTTTTTGTTGGACACTTAAAACTGATTTGTCCAAAAATATTTGTTGAATTATAGTTGTAGTACTGTCAGAAAATCAGAGAACTGTTAGTAGGTTGTATTGCAGTAACACAGTACTGTATATTTTAGGGGCTGTTATTTTTTAAATCAGGGTGCAGTGTCCTGTTTCAGCCTGCAGAGAGAGACAGAGACAAATGTCTGAATTCATTATCTTCGAGTACATGTAGTGAAATGTCACTGAAAACAAACACCGTTGGAAATGAGGTGTTCAAGGTACAAGAATATCCAACATTCTGGATCATCAGAAACATTAGTAGAATAATTGACTCTACGGTGTTGGTGTCTGTTTATTCACCACAGTCAACACAGCTCAGGTCAGAGCTCATAAACACACTCACACATGCTCACTACTTTTAACAGTTTATACCTGATTGTTCAGTTTTTCCTAATATTAAACTCAGCGACAGATTTAGGGTAGTAATAGGTAGTTTAGGGTAGTTTTATGCCGCTGTTCCTCTAACACCTGTATGTACCTGTATCCCACAAACACACACAATGTACACAAAAAAACTTGAAAATGATACAAATTAGCTGCTGAAACATCTATAGGATGTAAAATTGGCCATGGGGAGGATGGGATTCATGAAAGATGCAGCGCCAGTATGCCAATAATTGACTTGCACTGAAGTTGGTGCAACAGTCAATACGTTTACATCACACTTGAGAAAACCAAATTATCGCCTTATTCTGATTAAGACCGGACAACTGAAGGTCATGTAAACACCTTAGTCCGACTATAATCAGGGTTTGAGAACTCTGATTAAGACACCCAGATAATGCGATAGGAATTCGATTTTCTCTACCAAGTAACCAGCGTACTCGGACAATGCATATGCGCGTGCGCCATGCCCCCGTAACCCCGGAACAAAAACACCAGAGAAGAGGAGTAGCGTTCATCTCATCTGCAGAAAAAGTAGCACGTACGTACATCCATCCATCCATCCATTTTCTACCGCTTATTCCGGTTGGGGGACACGGGGGTGCTCGAGTCTATCCCAGCAACTTCGGGCAAAGGCAGGGGACACCCTGAACAAGTCGCCAGTTCATCGAAGGGCTGACATATAGAGACAAACAACCATCCCCACTCACATTCACACCTACAGACAATCTGAAAGTGGCCAGTTAACCTAACCCCACCTCTGAATGTTCTTGGGATGTGGGAGGAAACCAGAGTACCTGGAGTAAACCCACACAGACACAGGGAGAACACGCATACTCCACCTTCTTGCTGTGAGGCGACAGTGCTAACCAATAAACCACTGTGCTGCCCAGCACTTATTCTGATTAAGCTGTGCATGTAAACACACTGACCGAAGGAAGGATCAGAAGGATCCGAATCGGTTCTTACATGGTAAGATGGATCACAGACAACTTGAGCAAATTCATACGGCCTTTAAAGAATGACATGAATCCGTGGATCTTTGTGAGTATGAAGTGTTTGGATTGAATCTTTTTCTGGACATGGATCATAAGGACCCTCTCAGCAGCAGGAAAGGAAAGAACAACCTGTTTGAGTCTTCCCTCATAACCTTTCTGCCCCTTTTTGGATTCATTGAGTGACTTTTTATGGGGGCCTGACCCTCAGGTTGAGAACCGTGGGCCTATATTTAAAGGACAGTGATTCAAAGCAGATTTACCTCTTAACGATAAAACACTAACATGCAGCTCAAACATGATGCACCAGTATGAATAATGTATTAATGTCATCATTAATAATAAATCAGTCACAGGAGACGCTTTACTGCAGAATGAACACTTTGATTCTTTATGTACATTTAAGGGAATTATTTCACTGATAATAAACTTTAATGTAAGTGGGACTCCAGCAGCACAATATCAACTTTAAAAAAGTGTTTGAATATTTGTTTATTATCACTTTTACTTCTTGTTAAAAGAAAATGCTTCTATAAATTCCTTTAAAACTGTTATTGAACAGAATTTCTAGGCACAGCCGGGGGGTAGAGGGCGTCCAGTTCGGCAAGCAGAGGATGGCGTCACTGCTTTTTGCGGATGATGTGGTGCTTCAAGCTTAGTTGAGCAGTGACCTTCAGCTCTTGTTGGGGCGGTTCACGGCCGAGTGTGAAGCGGCTGGGATGCGAATCAGCAACACCAAATCCGAGGCCATGGTCCTCGGTTGGCAAAAGGTAGATTGCCTTCTCCAGGTCGGAGGGGCGGTCCTGCCTCAAGTGGAGGAGTTCAAGTATCTTGGAATCTTGTTCACGAGTGAGGGTAGGATGGAGCGGGAGATCGACAGGTGGATTGGAGCGGTGTCAGCAGTGATGCTGACACTTAACCGAAAGAGCTGAGCCATAAGGCGAGACTCTCGATTTACCGGTCGATCTACATGTCGATCCTCACCTATGGTCATGAACTTTGGGTAATGACCGAAAGAACAAGATCGCAGATACAAGTGGCCGAAATTGGTTTCCTCTGCAGGGTGTCCGGGCTCAGCCTTAGAGATAGGGTAAGGAGCTCGGACACTCGGGAGGCGCTCAGAGTAGAACCGCTGCTCCTCCACGTCGAGAGGAGTCAGCTGAGGTGGCTCGGGCATCTGGTTAGGACGCCTTCTGGATGCCTCCCGTTAGAGGTGTTCCGGACGTGTCCAATTGGAAGGAGACCTCATGGCCGGCCCAGGACCAGGTGGAGGGATTATATCTCTCGCCTGGCCTGGGAGCGCCTAGGAATCCCCCCGGAGGAGCTGGTGGAAGTGGCCTGGGTGAGGGCCGTCTGGGCTTCCCTCCTGAAGCTGCTGCCCCCACGACCCGGACCCTGATGAAGCGGAAGAAAACGACGTTGACGACGACTGTTATTGAGTCCAGATTTTAATCAAACAACCACAGTATCTTCACTTATACTCACTTAAACTGAGAGATAATTATTTAAAAAAAACATACTATTAAAGGCCATAAATGTTAAATAGACCTAATTTTAGTGGCAGATCTGGATGTGAGCTTCAGTTTTATTTACAAACCAAAGTGCAGAATTATATTTGATAGAATAAAAAGAGTCATTCAGTAAAATTATTTCAGTAAATCTAATAATAACAGAAATGAGGGGACACGGAGAGAGAGGAGGGGAGGAGAAATGAGGGGTGAGTGTTTGAGATCCTGGAGGGAGGCGGCTACAGCTGGTGTACATCCTGTTAGAGAGGGTGAATGTAGGGGGGCTAATCCCATAGAAATACAACAACTAGAGAGGAGATCCACCTCTTCAGAGCTGAAATCAGTTTCTGTGTCTATGAGGGTTTTATCCGATATGACAGAATATTCTTACAAAATCGTCAAATGCGAACTTTTCCATGTTTACACAATCAAAAATCTGAATCACTTGCAAATAAAAGCAGATAATGGAAGTAAGTGCAAATTAAATTATTATAGTCTAATGATTGATTTATCCAAATTACAAATGATCATCTGACTTTTAAAGATTTAAACATCATGTGTTCAGGGGTAGAACCCGCACATCTATGTACTCTAGCTCTACGCCCCCCTCCTTTCACATCCTGGACCCCCAAAATCCCCCCAAATTTCAAGCTCATCCGCACACACTTTGAACAAACTCTGAAGCCACACGGCTTCACCGCTCAGTGTCAGGATTTAAGGAGTCCATCACACACTCAGAGACACGACAACTAAACTGGAGGAGTGAGAGGGAGAGACGTATTTAAAAGTGCAGAAGAAGAAAAAGAAGAAGAAAAGTTGGGACATACTTGAGATCACTTCTACAGGTGAGGATGACCGTAATAAAATGTTGTTTGGTTCAATTGATCATTTATGGATTTAGTATTTTTCATTATTATTAGTTCATCTTGTTGAAAGTAAAACAAAAATTACAAAATTCAAAGGAAAGCCAAAAAAAAAAAGAAAATCTGAGAGTTGATTTGAGATCAAACATCTACTATAAAATTTTGGTTTATGTTGACTTAATGACAAGCTGTGAAAAAAGACTTTTTGGATAAATTCATTTAGTATTTAAATTTCTTAAGTCTAATTTATTGACAGTTTTTAGATGTTTCACAGATAAAAATAAACATCAGTAATCATGATTACATAAACCTCCCTCTGTTTTATTATGACTCCTGGATCTTTTATAATCATGATTGAAATCATAGTTTGGGTTTGATTGTTAAATACAGTTTTTTAAACATGCCTTTCAGAGTTAATGTTGAATGTCCAAATAGCAATAACAAATAACTATATAATACATGAGTTGATAAATAATAGAGAATTACTTTTTATATTGAAAGCAGAGAGCAGTGTTTTCATATAAGCTGAAATTTGTCTGATTTTTTCGTTTTCTTTGCTGTGGTCACGTTTAGAGATGCAGTTTACCCTCAACTGTTTTGGGGTGGGTGTGGTCTTGTTCTCATTGGCTCCGCCCACACTTGCATTCTCTCGTGGTGGCAGTAAATCCTCTTGTCATAATATGATCCCCGGTCACATCCGTGCTCAACCGCAGGACCCAGAGCACAGTCACACCACCTTGCGTACGTCCACCTCTTCGTACCTGCCGGGACAGCTGGTTACAGGTAATGTTTTCCATTAACATGATCATTTACCAGATTGATTAACCAGTTAAAGACAAAGTTAGCATAATTTCTACTCAAGGGGTACAAGAGACATCTGATGCCTTGAAAGGACAAACCATTCCGCTGTGTCTTGTTATTTCTGTGTAACATTTTAATTTTTTTGAGCAGCCCGCTCTTTCTGACTGTAAACAAAGCCGTTCTCCACCTCCCCAACCAGGGATCACTTTAGAGGACCAGTGTGTAGTAAACTGTCTACCCAGTAACATCTTATTTCATGTACCTGTATCCTCAGTAACTGTCCGGAGCTCTCGAGACTTCATGGGTTTTCTGCTCCAGGCCCGCAGTGTCGAGGGAACAAGAACCAGGACTGAAGTCGGGGCAATGGTTGGGGTCAAGTCTACAGATCTGGGTCCAGTGGTGGTGGGTGGTTCCTGGGTCCTTACCCCACCTGGCACACACACCCTCAGCTGCTTCTCAGGGGGAGACACCTTAACACACTCTGACAAACAGCTGAAGAGGAACCTCTCGTTTGTTTGGAAGGCTCCTGATGTGCCCATGGGGGATGTCAAGTTCTTGTAAGTAAGATTCAGGTAAAGGTTTAGGGTTTACATGGACATAATATTTGTCCTGATGCTAATTTGAGTTCTTGGTGTACCTTCTTTTCTGTAGTATCACAGTGGTGCAGTCTTACTTTGTACACTGGACAGGTATTGAGTCTACAGTGGTGCATGATGGGAGTCGTAGCCCCTGGGCTGAGAGAAACATAACAGACGTGGACAGAGACAATTCGGTATTTGCATCGGAAGATCAAGTAACTGACCTGCCAGGTATGCCGCTTGTGCTTTGTTAAATATGCCATGAAAATGATTTGAACTTATCTTTTTGCCTGTAGTTCAACATGGAAATTGTCTTTGGGGTTTATTATGTCAAGTCTAAAGTTTCAACTCCGTGCAGGCATCCTGGAACCAACAACTTCCTGCCTTTGTATCCACACAATCATAAGTAATACCTTGTTCATGTCTCACCTTGTTGTCCCACAGATCTCCAAGTCAATCAAGCATCAAACAAGCAAACAAATGAAATAACCGCCGCAGCTATCACCCATGGACCCCCTACAACAACAGGCAGAGGGAGACCCACAGACAAATCTCTGGAAACACAAACAAAAGTGACTAACCTGGTATCGGAGACAAAAAGTCCAGCAACTTCAGTTCCCCTAATAGATAATCACCTGACAAATCTGGGGGTGAACCAAGTGACAGAACAGGATACCAATGAAAGGAACTTCACTTTGACCATGGCCTCCCCTCTAACTGCCAGGAAAGCCGGTGAAACGGGAGCTACAACATCTCCAGGATCTGTCTTAAGTGTGACTAAAGAGGCAGGTACTTACACAGCAAGTCCATTTACCACCCAAGAGCCATCCACAACAACTAAAATTGAATCCCAAAGTTTTTCATCTGGGGACAAACCTCTGGAAGTCACTCGTCCAGTCTCAGACAGAGAAAGCTTTTCAACCTTGGCATATCTTGGGGTTAAAAATTACCTAAATAAGGAGGGTAGTGAAAAGAAAAGTAATCCAATCTTAGAATTTCTTAGAAATCTGAGTAAAGGCATTAGTATTGGCACATACACAACTTTAGGATCCTTGAGTATACCTGAGGAGGTAGGCACTGACAAAGAAAGCCCTATGACTACCCAAAGTCACTCATCTTCAACAAATAGTGGGGGCCAAAGCAACGACTATCAGGAAAAACGTACAGTGGTCACTAATCCAGTCCTGGAAATGAACTATTCTGCACCTTCGACAACACTTAATATTGACCATCTGACAAATCAAGTTGTGAGTGAAAGGGACTCCTCAGTGAGCACAGGATCTCCTCCAATTTCTACCACAGGAAGTGAAGCTAAGCCTTACACAACCACAGGATCACCCCAAAGTGTGACTGAAGAGGCAGGGGCTAACACAGGAAGCTCTGGGATCCCTTTTACCTCATCCAACCTCTTTCCTTCCAAAACTTCTTTATCCCCAGCTGACAGGAGACTGATGGAAAGCATCACAACTCCTTTGCCAGATATCACAAAGCAAACTTCAACCAGTCCTTTTCCAAATGCCTCCTTGACCCCCCTTGAGGATGGTGATATGGAAAGAGAAGAAACAAACTTAAATAATACAATACTTCCAACTGTTCCCAGGACAAAAGACATAACATCAAATACAACAATTATCGCCACAGTTAAGCTTTCAAACAGTCAAAGGTTTTATGTCACAAGTCCCTTAAGTCCCACAACCCAATATCCAGGTGAAGCACCAAAAGACCAAACAAGTTTAGCACAATTCGAGATCCAAAACAGTTCATCCCAACATTTGGGGAGTAGCCAATCTGAGGTTCAAATAAGTCTTACCAGGGATGGAATGGGTAACCAGTCCATGTCCCCGCCTCCAGATACTCACTCCCAAACCTCTTTACCTTTACACCAAGTTCAAACTTCTAAACCCAAACCTGGTCTTGGATCCTGGAGTGGAACCAGTCCAACCCTCCCCTTTTCCCAGACATCATCAAGGATGTCCTTTTTCAAGACCCAAACTTCTTCATCAAACCTTGTTCTCTCATCTAAACCTCATACTTTTCAGCATTTTATCCAATCTCACATAACAGCATCTTACCCCAGCTACAAGACTCCATCTGTTGAATTCCTTACTGACAAACCTTTCACTGTCCAAGAAAACCAGAACATTACAGACTTGGCAAAAATCCCGCCTGAAAATAGGCAATCAGGACTCAAAACTAGACCAACCCAGTCTCGCTTTCTACCAACTGCTTCTTTAGGCATCACTCCTGAACCGATACCTTTAATCAGCTCCCCCCGGGGTTTGCCTCAAACAATTCCAACTCAAACTCTGGGTCAAACTGACTTCATTCAGCAGAGTCAGACCCAATCTGATACTCCACTTAAGGTTTTGGGTATCTCCTCCCAATCATCATCCCAGAACTACTATTCTCCAACTGGTACTCTGAAAGTGTATACCAGTGGGTGGACAACAACTCAGTCCCCCACAACTTCCAGAGCTATCAAGCCTCTGACCTCTACATCAATGTTTGACTTAACCTCAACAGCTGGTAGAGAGTTTAAAGATCTTAAGTCTGATGCAAATACCAAGACCACAAGTCCAATATTTGCTTCAATTCTTCCCACCAATCCTCCTCCAATTCCAGTGTCTACCCACCTTCCTTTACCCCATTCTTCCAGAAATCCTATACTTGACTCCTCCTTTGCTCACCCCACTTCCAGGACTCCTCAAAATCCCACTCAAGGTCAAACCCCAAAAAGTCCCCCCTCTTTACCTGCCACAAAGAACCAACCCAAAACAGATCCAGCCTTTTCTGCTTTACCATCTGCTCCTCCAATCGCCACTCCTCCTGATCTTCCCTCTGTACAGCCTTCCTCATCTTCACCTCGGCCAAACACCTCCAAAACCTCTTCCAAACCTTCCTCAAACTCAGCCTCTTCAACTGCTTCTGCCATATCTCCCTTGACATCCAACATAAATTTGGCCTCTTCAGCATCTTCCTCTTCTTCATCTTCCTCAGCCATGTTGTCCACCTCCACCATCACTGGTGCATTATCTTCTACAATGTCCTCTTCTTCAACTTCTCCTGCATCTTTCTCAACCGGCTCATTATCTTCATCAACTGCTTCTTCACTGGATCCCTCATTATCTTATAACTCATCTGCCATGTCTTCTTCTGTAGCATCCTCCCAGTCCACCACCCCTCACCCAGAGCCCTCTCCAGCTCCCCGTCGCTCACTTTACAACAGCAGTACATCCACCTCCACCCCTCAAGAGCTCACCCTTGGTCAGAAATTGCCAATCCTGAACCATGTTGATACGTCTGATCCTGAGCCCAATCACAACCAACCCTCCCCAAGAACAGCAGTTCATCCAAACCCAGAACCTCATCCAAACCTTGACCCAAACATCAAACCAAAATCTGGCCTCAAATTTAAGCCAAATGTCCCCAATAGTGATACTAAACCAAAGCGCCCCTCCACTCCATCTTTAACTCCAGGGAAAGAAGGGAAGTATCCAGACATCGTTTCCAGGCACAGCACCTGGGAACTTGGCATGCTTCTTGGTTGCTCAGCCGGCTTGGGGATGGTCCTAGTGGTTGGGGTAAGGTACATGTACCGTAAGGCCTGTGGTAAACAGACAGGGGTGACACTGAATGACAGGGAGAGAGAGTACGGGAGAAGAGATAGAGGGCTGATCCACGTCCAGGAGTGTGGGGATCTGGTGAGGGTTCGGAGAATCAGAGACAACAGTTTTGTGCTACTGGCCGAGTATGATATACTGGCATCACCTGGAGACTGAACTATCTATTGAGATACTTTTAGATACACAATGAGGATCCAAAGCCAAGGGCACGAGTGAGTTACTGTTATTATATGCCTGTAGTTTAGCATGTTTTAGGTCAGAATGTACAATAAGATGTGGTCATTTAGGTTTCCCTGGGATCTAAGTCAAGTTTGAAGTCCTTCGACAGACCTTTGGTTCTGGACTAAGTATCTTGAGAAGTGGAAGGAACATTGTCATGACAGACATTGATGATATCAATGTTTCCCCTTAATGACTTTTTCAGCGAATATTTTATGAGCACCAATATCGGGCAAGAGTTTAATGTAAGATGTAGAGACAGATCTTGATCTGTTTGTGAGTTGTGAAACTCTGGGGCCAAATCATTTACTCTGAGACAGATTGTTAGCGAGTCATGTTCATTGTGCCCCATAGGAGATGCAGGAGTTTAACCATCTTGGTTCCAGTTTCTTTCCCTCTTTTTAAGTTGAACAAATGGGTTACTTGTGGCTGAGAAAGTGTCCTTGGCTAAATAATCCCCCCTGCGGACCTCTCAGTTTCCAACATGTTGAAAGAACAGAGACTGAAATCTGCTTTCTGACAAAAAGCTTGGACATTTCTCGACACGAGTTAAAATGACACACACCAATTGGTGGATGCCTTTTTTTATTTTGTTTTTAGAGTGCATCTGGAGGATAAATTGAAAATGCATTAACGCAAAACCCAGAAACGAGGATCGAACCAGAGCTCTGTGTCTGTAACACACGTATGAATGCAGGATTTGCATGTGAATAGATTTAACCAACGACTGCAGTGTGTATGTATACTGTTACTGGAATTTGGCACCATTAAGGATCATGAGCGTGAAACCGTTTTACCAAAGCAATACAATAGACTGTAAGTATCTGTAAGGACAGTCATGTTAAATGTCGAGTCATGGATGCACTTCAAAATAAAGATTATTTTTCTATGATAAATACAACGTTGTCCTTTATTTAAGCGCTTATAAATTACGGTTTTATGGATGGCAGTGCTGGATCCTGAGGTGCTGGAAACCACTTGGGTCTGGCTGTGTGTTAGAAGTGGCACCTAGCCTCCTGGGTTTGTTGGCAGAGCTGTTGCAGTTTTATTTTGTTATAACTTCATCCAAATGATGTGACAGAAGAGCCATCTGTCCAAAAAGAGTTGGGTCAGTAAAACTAAAGGCCTGCCAATATTTTCCTGGACTTTCTCCACATTTGATCGAACGGCAAATATAAAAATCTTCTTTCAGATCTTTTGGCTGAAGTGACCCCCCAAGAAGAAACACTCCAAAATGTGTTGAGTCTCTTAGGACGCAAGGGTGTTAAAGAGTTAGAAAGTAAGAAACACAATTACAGCGATGAAATCTTCAGAGGTTTTAAGTGTCTCAGGAAAAATAACTTTTCAGGTTTACGTCTTTTTACTCTTTTTAATACAAAGAAGAAAAGGAACAGACTCACACTTTTCATACTGAATAACATTTCTCTCAAATCGACAACAATCGCAGCGTAAACAGACAGAGGCGGACTGTAGTCTGGGCTGTAACTAGATGGATCCTGAAATGACCTTTGAGCCGTCTAGCTTTAGATAACCCTCAGAGTAACAGTCGGATTTATAAGAGTCGATTTTGTTTCTTTTTTGTGTTGTTTGATTAAATCAGTAACAGAACTATTTTAAAAGTGACCATTTTGCAAACTCAAGCTCTAGTATTTTATCAAACTCTCCTTAAACTGGGGATTTAGGAGCTGCATCTAGCTGCCCTATGAATGTACGTCAAAAATTTCCCCGTTCTTATTCTTAGTTTTGGTCTCCACCACCCAACTGTGCAAGCACTGCTCTTTAGGTGAGACACAGCTAGAGACCAGCGGGTGATCAGAGTCGATATTTAACACCCAGAGAGCCTGATGAGTCACAACTACATAAATACTGGACTTGATGCACAGATGAAGAACTCACAGTTCTTCATGGTGATGTTCCTCTGTCTGTGCTTCACTTTTATAAGCTGGTGTTTACAAAATTTAAACTTTTAGGATGTACCAATCTTTTGTTTGGAACCATCTATTTGGAACCAATTATCTTTGATCTTAGAATTCTGACTTTGATCTTAGAATTCTGACTTTGGTGTCAGAATTATGGCTTTGACCTGGATAATCAAACTTCTCATTTAAAGGGATATTCCGGAGTAAAATTAAGTTAGGGTCAAACACACCATAACACCGAGTTAGACACCCTCGCTTGCTTTTCTAGCTATACCAACGTTAGTAATGACCGCAAGATAGCAATACACAGTGGTCTGAGGAGCCATAAACAAATCTCAACCAAAACGCCACTCTATAGTCACAAATAATGCTCAGAACAGCACCTAACTTCATCAACAGGACATATAGGGTCACAGACATAGTACTAGACACCAAACATCTTTCTAACTTTGACTCATTTCTTTAGCAAAGAGACTAAACACAACTCACCGACTCGCTTCCAGTAGCAGTAGTTCTTCTGTCTTAGCGTTTCGGTCTGATTGTATTTCCATAAAGAAATGATCATAAATGTTCTTCCTTGAGCTACGAAACCCCACTGTAGTCCATAATGGACTGGCCTGAGGTCTCACTACAAACAAGCGGCTGCTGGAAGAGAGTAGGTGAGTTGTGTTTAGTCTCTTTGCTAAAGAAATGAGTCAAAGTTAAAAAGATGTTTGGTGTCTAGTACTATGGCTGGGACCTTATATGTACTAACCTCAGTAGAACATGGTGTAGTTTTGTTCAGTAACAGAACCCCATTGGAAAATTCGCTGATTTAACTTTCCTGTGCTCTTGTTCAAATATATTAACACGACAGCACATAAATCCATACCTGTTAACAAAATCATGATTTTATTGATAATTCGGCTCAATAAAAACACCTTTAGAAACGCCCCGCTTAAGTTTGTTTTCTTAGGAGTCAGAACTTTGAATATAGTACTATGTCTGTGACCCTATATGTCCTGTTGATGAAGTTAGGTGCTGTTCTGAGCATTATTTGTGGCTATAGAGTGGCGTTTTGGTTGAGCGCGTGTCTCTCTGTATTTCTATCCTGCGGTCGTTACTAAAGTTGGTATAACTAGAGAAGCAAGCGGTCGACAACATTCATCTCTGGGTGTCTAACTCGGTGTTACGGTGTGTTTGACCCTAAATTAATTTTACACCGGAATATCCCTTTAAGTCATATTCATCTATCAACCCAACACCTGCATCAGTCTGATCCATTTTGAGGCTGTTCTAGGTAAGTACCTGTAGTGATACTCAGCATTGGCACTGACTCTAAAGTGTCCTTATATCCACAGATACTCAGTCCAGAGTCCTTTAATCACAGTTGCAACTCTGATTGGTTGTTTTCTTGTGCTTATACACGGTTAACTGATAATAAAAGTAAGAAAGGAAATGTGAACATGATAATTTTACCACCTACTACATCACAAACACAATATAAAGTTGCAGAACCGTAAATATGACCTGTCGGTATGTAAAGAAGGTGCAGATTTGTCGGAAAAAGGTAGCAAAGCCCTTCAATAGCCCCCAAAAAACAAAGGTTGTTGTGAATCAGAATTAACGTTAAACACTGTAACATGTAAGGCGAAGTCGTGTAGCAGTCAGTGATTCATAGAAATACTACCAAAGTGCCCCTGAGCAGAGTCATGCCCTTGTTTTGTCCTGTCTTCATGTGGTCCATTAAAAAAACACTAAAAGACAAAACCGACGAGGAAATACTGTGGAGAAGTTGACGATCTGTTGTCTTCTATAGATAATAGCATGACAGGATATCTTATTTCTCTTAAATTAGAAAGTCTACACAATCATCTGTTTTACACTTTCCTTATTTTTGGACAGATATAGTTTTTGTAACGAAAGAACCGTCTCATCACTCAGCATTAATTTGTTTCCATCAGGATCAAATCTGTAACAAACTTCCACGTTTTCTGGCAGGAACAGCCTGAAGAAAGACCGAGTAGAAAAAGTAGAAAACAGCGAGAAAAATTAAAAAAAAGGATGGTCCCAGTAACTCCACCGCTTCTGCTCCTGTAAACCCTCCTTCTGTTTGCAGGATCTATCAGGTCGCTCATATAAAAATAGATCTTCATTTTTCATTCTTTTGAAGTAGAAAAAGAATTTATACGATGGAGGTTTGTCATAGTCTTTGAAATGTGAAGTATAAACGTGACGGGAAGGTGTCCGACCTTCTGTCACTGAGGTCTGTGTTGTGATAAGGCACGTACTACTGTATCCCTCCGCAGGGCTCCATCTCTCCAAAACTCTCGTTTCCTTTCGGGTCAGATGGGCTGAAGAGTCGACAGTTTCGCCGCCTGAGCAGAAAGAGAAGAAGTGACAAGAGTTAGAGAGAGAGAGAGAGAGGGACTCAGAGAGGAGGGAGAAAAAGTTCAGTGTGGGTTTAAACGTGCGAATTTCCAAAGGGAGTTTGGTGAAGAGGAAAAAACAACCGCCACCAGCAAGAAATTAAGACAGATTATATTTCAGTCCCACAAAGAAATCAGGGAAATTCGTGGTTTAATTAAAGGCAGAGTGTGAGTCTGAACAACAACTGTACCTCTGAGCTACACTGGAACTACTTCAACTCATCGTCCTGGAAAAAGCAAATAAATCACTCGTCAAGACGTCGAAGGAGGCGGGTTGGTCGCAGATCCAACTCAAAAGTTCTCGGTGCCAAAGACCCAAAGAAAATGACATCATGGCGGCTACGGTCGGTGCCAGTTTGTTTGTGTAAACCACTTCGCCACTTACAGAAAAAACATTTGGCTCAGTATTGGAACGAGTTCTCCTGAAGGGCTAGCCGAGTTCATTTTGGTGTTTTTCTGCCTCTACATTCAGCTTTACTGGTTTAATACTAGTGATGGGAAGATCAGTTCTTTTGACTGAATCTTTAGAATCCGTTCATTAAAACGATTCGTTCACAGAATCAGTCAGTGCTGAAGTCACAGCCTCGTTCACTGGGTGACTCATGAAGAATCACTCCCCTGCCCTGAAAAACTCACCTCTCTGTGTGTCGCCGTCGGCGGGACACAACACAAAAGCAAGCAGCACGTCGCTAAACGAGCACGATTCGTCGCAGCTGTAGCGGGGATTCCGATACTTTTAAAGATATCGAATATCGTATTTCTTTAGATCGTCTGAAATCAAATCCTTCTTACAGGAAAGTTTAAACACGTGAATTAACGTTAAGGTGCTATAATGACCTGTTTTATCTTTGCCTCAGTGAACGAGAAACGGTGCTCGGCAGTTCGTGAACGACGCCTGAAAAAAGTCATTCGGAAGTCGTTCGTTTCATTCACAGTCTGACTGATACATGTCGTTCATTCGCTGTGAGCAAATCACGAGACTCCGCCCGCTCGCTCGCTCGCTGGCTGGCCATGTGTCGCTGGCCAAGGAGTCAAAGGCGGCAGTTCAACTGAGCTCAACTGAACCGAGAAAGGAACGAATCAGGTCTCAAAGTGATTCAGTTCACGTCGTTCACTCAGCAGTTCTTTCAAACGAAACGTTCATGAACGACACAACACTAATTTATAACCCCCCCCTCCAACCTTCCTTCAATAACATCCAGACAGCCAATCAGTGCAGAGCCTCATTATCATAGCATCCCTCCCACTCCGATGATCACCATATGCATAATGAGGTTGGAAACTGAGAGGCTGCAAATCCAACTGAATTCAAACCTTCCTTAACAGACAACTAAGACAATATAAAAGATTACAGTCCCATTAATGTGTCTGAGGTTGTCCATGAATTCACAGCAGAGAGGTTAGCACAGGAGTCTCATAGATTGTGTAGCTGACAGCAGGGGGCGCTGCAGCAGTCTAACACGGTCACCAGATCAACACAGATTTCAATTTGATTATTAAAAAAAGGAGAAATTATCAGTTTGAATTAAACGTAGAAAGTTATTCAGTTTGTTTGGTAAGTTTTCTACTCACAGTGTTGGAACGCGGCCCTATCTCAACAAAAGACTAGACTGTAGGAGAGGAGAAAAGGTGCGGAGGTTAGTGTTGGAATGCGGCCCGCTAAGTTCTGAAGACAAGGTTAGTGAATAAGTCATGAAGTCTTCAACGAGAGCAGGTTTGAGTTTAAACAAGCGGAAATACCCTGAGGATGAAAAATGAAGCAAAGGTGAAAGTACAAAAAAAGTTGCAGTTCATCAGGTGACCACCAGGGGCTGAGGACAAAAGTGCGTCATTCCCCATTGAGCCCCATGTTAAAAGAACCAACTTTACAACAGAAATAAACAGGTTCACAGTCAGATACAGACAAATAAAGTTCGTTTCTTCGTTTACGATAAAAGCATCTTTGTGAGGGAGGAGTTTTTCCAAGAGTGCCTACCTTCTGTCGACTGGTCATCCAGGTGCGGATTGTCGGTACAAGGACGGAGCCCAGCAGAATCTGAGCCGGGTGGTAGATCAGCAGAGGGACTGATATCAGAGAGAGATGTTCATAACCCTCGAACACGATCTTCAACATGGGGATACCTGCAGAGAAAGACGACGAAACCCTCCACTGTTTCTGTCGTCTAAATCAGAGTCTTTTATACGTTTGTGTGTTTGTGTTTGTGTTCATACCCAGAGTGAGAGACTTGTGTGTGGAGCAGAACATGATGGCCACGGTGTCTGCGGGGCTGAATCCTGAGCCCGACCTGCAGAGACAAACATGATCAGAGAGTAGGTGAGTTGTGTTTAGTCTCTTTGCTAAAGAAATTAGTCAAAGTTAAAAAGATGTTTGGTGGCGAGTTCTCGTGTTGTAGTTCTGTAGGAGGCTCACCTGGTGGAAAAGGCAAAGGTGAGCAGCATGAAGCTGAGCTGGAGGGAGAAAACTGCAGAAAACAACCAGAGACAGACTTCAGTGAGTGAAACGTGTTTTTTTAAACTCCTCTGCATTCACTGACCACACACAGACAGACTGTTACTGACTGATCAGGACCACCAGCAGCAGACTGGTGGGGTCCAGCTCGATGTTGGGGTTACTGAAGGTGTCGCAGAAGGTGGTGTAGATGATCATGAGGAGGACGGCGCTGCTGACCACGCCAAACGGAGGCTTCCGGCGCTCCAGGTACTCCCTGAGGAAACGACGACACACCTGCACGCGGACGTTAAAACACCTGTTATCAGCGCGTGTTACCTTCTGTTAAAAACACCTTTAACGTGGATGTGGACGTCCGTACCTGACCGAGGATGAGAGGAACCACCACGGTCATGAAGAGCTGAGAAAAGATGGAGGAGAAAGGGACGGAGGAGGAAGAGCCGAGCTGGAGGAAGAAGAACAGGAAGTTGATACTGGACTCCAAAATTGAGGTTCCATTTTCAACAATCAATAATACAAATTGATTTTAATAAATGAGAACAGAATTAATCAAGATAGACGAGGATAAAGTCCAACAAACTCAACAACTAATGCTTTAACCCTTAGAACTCACAGCTATATTTTGCTATTTTTGGTCTGTCTGTTTTTTATTTTTGACAAAATCTATGAATCTTTTTTTTTCAGGACAACCTCAGCTGTCAGATTATGGAGCAAAAATGATGTAAAATGAGGGTTAAAGAGCTTGGACCTGATCTTTGCAGGAAAAGATGAGAGTCAAAGAGCTTGGACCTGATCTTTGCAGGAAAAGATGAGGGTTAAAGAGCTTGGCTCTGATCTTTGCAGGAAAAGATTAGGATTAAAGAGCTTGGACCTGATCTTTGCAGGAAAAGATGAGGGTTAAAGAGCTTGGACCTGATCTTTGCAGGAAAAGATGAGGGTTAAAGAGCTTGGACCTGATCTTTGCAGGAAAAGATGAGGGTTAAAGAGCTTGGACCTGATCTTTGCAGGCGAAGATGAGGGTTAAAGAGCTTGGACCTGATCTTTGCAGGAAAAGATGAGAGTCAAAGACCTTGGACCTGATCTTTGCAGGAAAACATGAGGGTCAAAGAACTTGGACCTGACCAAAAAGACATTAAAATAAACCTGCAAATATTTGACTGAGGGAAGAAGTGCAAGTTTGTAAATCTTTAGGATCCGGTTCACTATGAATATGGGATTGCCAGTGATCCAGTGGAGTTTTAAGTGTTAATATTCAACAACCTGGAGCTTCGGCGTCCTTCACACCATAAACTAACACTCCACCTAGTGTTCAAAGATGGAATGACACCCAATATATGTGTCACACTGTGTTTCCTGAGTTTCAGTGAACAATAGGATTAAAGAAAATCTCTTTCTCAGCAGAGGAGTGCCCTCAGACTGTGTTTAACGTCGTGTGTTTTTTTTAGATGTTCAGTGAGACTCACAAAGAGCAGCAGCAGAACCGGAGTCACGACGATTCCCTGCAGGACAGAGAGACGTGATCAGAGCGTTAACTTCCCACGCGTTTCATAACTGAGACACTTCTTTAAAAGAGGAGTTTAGTTAACCCACCAGGAAGCTTCCGAACGCTGAGTTAAAGATGGCTGCAGCCTGAAAACACACACACACACACACACACACACACACACACACACACACACACACACACACACACACACACACTCAGTTACTGCATGACAAAAAAGACTGGGATTATTTGGAGGTCATCTGAAGCTCTGCTGCTGCTGCTGTGAGTGTGTAACCTCGTTGCCTCCGACAGCCTTGGTGAGGATGACTGCGGACGAGACCGGAGGGGGCATGCAGCTCACCGTCTGTAACCTAGGCAACAACAGGATAAAGAGGAGAGTATGAATCTTTTTTAACTGGCGAGAACATTTCTCTTCACTCTTTCTCCGAGAGGGTCAAAGGTCGGAGTCTGGATTCACGCAGATCCTCTAAAAACGATTAAAACTTCATTTATTACGAGGACAGGTGCAGAGTGAGGAGTTTCTAAAGACGTAAAAACACCCTAACAGTTCGGTTTTAAAGGAACCAGCTGTGAAATTATTGAATTAATGTTGTTTATCTGCTCATGTGGTGTAAACTCGTCCCTTTAAAAACGTCTCAGCCCTCACAGATGTCCTCGTCTCTCCTGAAACATCCGTGAATGTGTCTCTTTGTCCCTGAACATACCTCTGCTGCTCTCAGGTGGAGCTCGGAGCAAATAAAGGCCGCCATTCACACACACAAACACGAACACACAAACACACACACTCCCTACCCTCTGAGCAGCCATTGGTCGATGGCGGTCAGCGTGAGCACCCTGAGCAGCAGCCACACGGCGAGCGGGACAAAGACAAGCGTGAACGACTGAACGAAGAGGTGGAGCCGGACGTGGAGCAACGCGCTGGTCAACTCCTGCAGAGACACGAAAAACACAAAGATCAGGATTCCACCGCCAACGTTCAGTCATGTGTAGGGTTGAAAAGGAGCAGAAAATTTCTGGTACATTTTTGGTAAATTTCTAATAAATTTCCGGTAAATTTTTGGTAAATTTCCGGTAAATTTCTAATAAATTTCCGGTAAATTTTTGGTAAATTTCCGGTAAATTTCTAATAAATTTCCGGTAAATTTTTGGTAAATTTCCGGTAAATTTTTGGTAAATTTCCGGTAAATTTCTAATAAATTTCCGGTACATTTTTGGTAAATTTCTGGTAAATTTCTAATAAATTTACGGTAAATTTCTAATAAATTTCCGGTAAATTTCTAATAAATTTCCGGTACATTTTTGGTAAATTTCTGGTAAATTTCTAATAAATTTCCGGTAAATTTCTAATAAATTTCCGGTAAATTTCTAATAAATTTCCGGTAAATTTTTGGTAAATTTCCGGTAAATTTCTAATAAATTTCCGGTAAATTTTTGGTAAATTTCCGGTAAATTTTTGGTAAATTTCCGGTAAATTTCTAATAAATTTCCGGTACATTTTTGGTAAATTTCCGGTAAATTTCTAATAAATTTCCGGTAAATTTCTAATAAATTTCCGGTACATTTTTGGTAAATTTCTGGTAAATTTCTAATAAATTTACGGTAAATTTCTAATAAATTTCCGGTAAATTTCTAATAAATTTCCGGTACATTTTTGGTAAATTTCTAATAAATTTCCGGTAAATTTCTAATAAATTTCCGGTAAATTTCTAATAAATTTCCGGTAAATTTCTAATAAATTTCCGGTACATTTTTGGTAAATTTCCGGTAAATTTCTAATAAATTTCCGGTAAATTTCTAATAAATTTCCGGTACATTTTTGGTCAATTTCTGGTAAATTTTCTGAAGCTGTGAGGAGGTACCTCTGTTTTCAGGGACAGGCCGCTGTTGAAGAAAATGAGCGAGACAGCAACATAAGCGATGGTGATCTCCGGCCTTAAAGGACCTGGGGAGGAAAAAAGAAGAAAACTGCTGAATATCATGTCAGTGCGACGGAGTATTAGGGCCACGTTAAGAAGTAAAAATGAAGATTTCGAGATTAAAGTCATTAATTTAGTAGAATAAGTCATTACTAACGATGATGAAGTCATAATAAAATAATTACTTAAGAGAATAAAGTCGTAATCAACTACGACTACGACTACACTTATGATAATGTGGTGCTGATGTGCCAAAAGATGAACTGTCTCCTTGTTTGACAAACAAATATTAAAGTTCATTTTCACAAAATGCTCCATCGCTCTTATTTCAACAACTGTTAGAATATAAGAACTTTATTACAACTTTACTCTAGTAAATGATTACTTTATTATGACTTTAATCTCCTGAGTAATTAATTAAATACGACTTCATTCTCATAATTAATGATTTTATTACGACTATTTTCTCTTAAGTAATTATTGTATTACTACTTTGTTCTCGTAATTACTTTATTACGACATTATTCTCGTAATTACTTTAAATAGACATTATTCCTGTTAGTAACGACTTTATTATCATAATTACTACGACTTTACTCTATTAATTATTGATTTTATAACATTATTATTCTTGTAAGCAATTACTTCATAATGACTTTTTCTCTTAAATTATTACTGTATTATGAATATATTCTCATAAGAAATGACTTAATAACAACTTTATTCTCATTAGTTATTACTTTATTACGACTTTATTCTCATAATTATTGATTTTATAACATTATTCTTAAGTAAGTAATAGTAAGTAATAAGTAATTACTTCATTACGACTACATTCTTGTAAGTAATTACTTTATCGCGACTTATTACTTATTATTAGATTTTTTCAGATACAATAAAATATGGAACAATACAGTCTGATATTATGATACTTTATGTTTAGATTTACGACAGGTAATTGTTTCTTTTTGGGAAAGTTCCTCTGGACCAACATGAAGCTGGATTTTCCAAGCAGCTCCCTGAACCAGTCAAACATAATAAAAACATAAGAACTAAAAATGTTCTCCATGTTTTTTTTTGTCTGGAAAAGGTTCAAAAACTCTGACGGATGAATTTAACTAAACAGAGCTGAATTTTACAAGCAGCGCCTGAACGCAGCGTCCTGACAGTAGGAGCACAGGAGTTTATCTAATCTCCAGGAGGAGATAAGAAGGTGTGAGAGCTGATCTCTACTGATCATCCTCTCTGATTACAGAGGCTGTTCATCAATGAAGAATCAATATTATCACACCCTTCACTCTCTACCTGAGTCACCGAGCTGGAGTTAACCAAGAGGACCACACCTGAATCAACTCTGCTGCTGCTAAACTAACAAGGGAGGGAATAAAGACATAAGGATGTATGGATTAGGAGAGTGGGATTGGACATGCGCACAAAATGAGGAGTGTGTTCGTGTGTGTGTCCGCGCGTGTTGACATCAGTGGTAGTAATGCAACGTGTCACTAAGGAGCCAGGTAACACACACACACACACGCTCACACACTCACACACACTGGAGCCACTGTGAGGGAAACCCAAATACTGATACTCCATTCGAAATGAGGGGAGACAACCAAACCTTCTTCAGTAAACTTTAAAGTTTATAACACTCTTCTATTTTAGCAAAAAAAATTATGAGCTAAATTAAAGTCAATAACTTCGATTAAACATGAGGATAAGGAGAATAATTCGGCTTGAATTTATTAGACATATTAAAACGTCTTCCGGTAGAAATTTAACATTTTAAATATTTTTTCGCGTGAATCCAACCGTCTGCGTCTCAGGCGCGAATGGCAAAAACGGAACAATAAAGAGTCAGAAATTAGCAATTTTAATAAAATTAAGAGGATAGTTCATGGATTAATATACGCCGAATTTATTTTGTAACTCTTTACTGTTAATTAATGGTGTGATATTTTACTCTGTGTGATCATTTGAAATCTTAAATTCATGCTGATGATAAAAGAGCGAAATTCTTTTCTAACCTGGTGTGAACATGAGAGAAGTTTCTTCAGTTTGTTTCGTGTTTATAATGAAGATAATTTGATGAGTCTGTGGAGAAGTTTAGCAGAAGCTCCAAACTCCCCCTCACTCACTCACTCACCTCCTTTGACACCGACGCTGGGATGCAGTTTGGCCGATAAGATGACCACAACGATCCCGATGATGAACCACTCTTTCCGGATCCTCGCCAGGAGGCCCATCCTTCAGGCCCGGGGTCCCCCCGCTTCACTCCGCCGGTCCCCCCGGTCACACCAGCCGGACCGAAGTTTGTCCAACTCCTGAGCGTCTTCTCTGGAGGATTTCTGCCAGAAAACAGGAGCAGAGCAAACAGGGACACTTCCGGACACATGGGCTAACAGAAAACCGTAAACAATAAAGTAGAGGCGCATCATTTTTTCCCCCTACCGTAATACACATAAGAACAGCGTAGTATAAAGGGCACGTTTAGGAAAATAAAATTAAGACTTCGAGATAAAGAATGATTTAATTAATGATTATTAAATGATTCTTATTATTCTTGAAAGTAACAGTTTAATTATGACTTTACTCTCGTAAAAAATGACTTTATTCTCAAATATTTAATTACGACTATATTCTCGTAAAAAAAGTTAATACTACAACTTTATTCTCTGAAACATGATTTTATAACGATTTATTTCTAATAAAAATGGTTTTTCTACGACTTTTAATCTAGTAAAAAAAAGATTTTAATACAATTTTATTTTCGTAATTACTTTTTTACAACTTAATTCTCAATTAATATGATTTTATTCCGACTATATTCTCGTAAAAAAATTTTTTTACAACTTTGTTTTTAAAAAAAAGATTTTATTTCGACTTTATTCTCAAAGAAAAAGGATTTCATTACAACTTCATTCTGCAGGAAAAACCTTTAATTTTCATCATGTTTGTATAAATGAATATTTCTGGTCTGACAGGCCACAAATCCCTGAATTAGACTGGTTTTTGTCGTCAGAAGAATACTAAAAAAAGACGATTGAATGTGATTTCAAAGAGCTTTTAATGACTGTGACCATCAAAAAAACAAGGAGACATGAACAGGATGGAGACATGTTTTAATTACTTTGGAGTTTAAATTGACATTTGAAGGTTTTTCTGTCGTCTTGATATGAAAAAAAGACTTACAGTTTGACTCTGATGAGATCAATTCAAATATTATGTCAAAATAATCTGTAAACACAGATTAATAATCCATTTAATCCATGGCAGAGTCAGAATCATCTGCACTGAAATCCTGAGGTTGTCTGGTGTCTTTCCAGGTCAGAAGACGCTGTAAGGCGGTGGGCGTGGCCGACCTGATGTCGGCGCTGTATTTCTCCATGAGGCGGTGAGCGCGTAGAGTGCCGACAATCACCTGAGAGACGAACGGACCGAAGTTTACGCTAAAAATCTGAAAGAGAGCGGTCACAATCATAGAAGAACATCTGACCTGTATTTGATCCAGCAGAGAGACGTCTCCGACATCACAGGCGACTTCATAACCCTGCAGGAAGAACTCGTATGCCCTCGTAGACTGACTCTACAGAGAGAGAAAGAGGAGGAGGAGCCGGGTCAGAACAAAACCAACAGAACAAACAAAGACACACATTAGACGAGTGTTTCACCCTCTCATTGTAGATTTTGCCCAAACGGAGGTAAGCGTCCACCAGGCGGTGCTGCTGTCCGCTGCTGAGTGAGACGTCAGCTGACTTCTCCAACCACTGGACCGTTTCATCGATGTTTCCCTCACTGACACACACACACACACACACACACACACACACACACACACATGGACACACGCAAACACACACCTTATGTTTCTATGAGGAAACAATCAAAAATGTTCTTCCTTGAGCTGCGACACTCCGCTGTAGTCCGTAATGGACTGGCCTGAGGTCTCACTACAAACAAGCGGCTGCTGGAAGAGAGTAGGTGAGTTGTGTTTAGTCTCTTTGCTAAAGAAATGAGTCAAAGTTAAAAAGATGTTTGGTGTCTAGTTCTATGGCTGGGACCCTATATGTACTAACCTCAGTAGAACATGGTGTAGTTTTGTTCAGTAACAGAACCTCATTGGAAAATTAGCTGATTTAACTTTACTGTGCTCTTGTTCACATAGACTAACTCTACAGCACATATATTCGTACCTGTTAACAAAATCATGATTTTATTGATAATTCGGCTCAATAAAAACACCTTTAGAAACGACCCGCTTAAGTTTGTTTTCTTAGGAGTCAGAACTCTGAATATGGTACTATGGCTGGGACCCTATATGTCCTGTTGATTTTCAGCCAGAATTTCCCTTTAACTTTTTGAAGTCCTAAAAGTTTGAGTGTGTACCTCTGTAGAGACTTGGCCATAGCCATGTAGGACTTGACGAGTCCCTCTGCGTCCTCTAGTGTGCTGTAAATCTGCATGCAAGTGTTGAAGAACTGGACAAAAAACACAGAGTTAAACAGCAAAACTTCACTTTGACTAAAACACAACCTGAACTCTGTGATGATATTTAGACTAATAAACTGAGTTATAACACACATCACTTTGTGTTTTCCTCTATTTCAGGGATGAAGTGACATTTAAAAACACACATATTAACCTGTTTGGCTCTCTTGTGATCTCCTGCTCTCTGATTGGTCAGTCCCAGTCCGTAGGCGGCCTCTGCCTCCAGCTGTTTGTCTTCAGCTGAAACACATTTCAAAATAAAACTCAGTTTTTTGTTTGAGTCTAACTTGGGACAGTTCAGAGTGTTTTCGGTTTAATTTATCATACAGACTGTTTCCACCTACTCTTTAACACCTCGTCGTATCCTATGTGAAGCAGCGCCAGGGCCTTCCTGTACTCTTCTGCGTCCAGTAGGGGGTCTGCAATCTTGAGGTAGATCCTCCACAGTGCTTTGGCGCCCCGGAGCTTCAGGGGCTGACCGTCAGAGTCCAGCCAGTCTCCGCCCTCTGCCTGCTGGATGCAGATCTCCGCCTGCTGCTGCGCCTGCTCCAGCTCACCTGAAGAAACACGAGAGATTAAAGCGCTGTGAGAGTTTTGAATGTTGTAAAACTAAAATTTAGGAGTAAAACTTGAAGATTCTGACGTTAGAAATCATCAGTTTTGAGGGAAAATATTTTTAAAAGTTTTTTTTCTTTCTTTATTGTACTAAATAAAAAATCCTGTAATTCTGTGAGAATAAATTCACATATTTGGAAAATTTGTGGGATCTTGTATAAATTTATACACACAAAAAGGAGGGTTTCTTTTTTTGCACCTTTAAATTTCTGCTTGAATCCAAAAGTCTTCAGGGTATGAACTGTTTTTATCACCAGTACAGTATGACATATATTTTTATTTCACTATTTTGAGTTGTATTATGTGTTCATACTTGTATATTATCTCTTTATTTTTACTTATTTTATTTATTTATTTTTACTTCTTTTATCTAGTTATCTCTTTATTTTAAATTATTTTATTTATTTATTTTTTACTTATTTTATCTACTTATCTCTTTATTTTTACTTATTTTTACTTATTTATTTATTTTTACTTATTTTACCTAATTTATTTCATTATTTTTTACTTGTTTTATCTTATTTTATCGATTAATCTTTTTATTTTTAATAAATCTAACTTATTTTATCAATTTATCTCTTTATTTTTATTTATTTAATTTATTGATTGATTTATTTTTACTTTTTTTACTCATTTTATACATTCATCTTTTTATTTTCTCTTTATTTTGCCTATTTTTTTCTTTAATTTTACTTATTTTATATTTTTATCTCTTTATTTTTACTTCTTTTATCTATATATCTCTTTATTTTTACTAATTTTATCTTTTATTTATCTCCTTTTTCCACTTTATTTGCACTGGAGTCACTGTAACAAAAAAAAGATTCCCCCTGTGGATTATTAAATTATGTCTGATTGTGATTCTGATGACTCCTCATGTTGAGTTACAAAAAAACTTACATCAGAAACACTTAATGTAGTTATTTTTGTCTGTTTTACTCAGTTTGTGTGTAACCCGTTCACCTGTCTGCAGGTAGTGCTCGGCTAAGTGGACTCGGGCTTCAGTAGCCGATCTGGATCGCCCCCCGTACTCTCTGTCGGCACAGCTGTGGCAGAAATGCAAACGGAGCCAGAGATCCTCCTGAGACGAGAAATACCTGCCCAGAAACAGACGCTGCTCACAGACCACAGTCCAGGACCCTGCCGAGAAAAACACACGGAAACAAACCAGACGAGAACGTCTGTCTCAGGAGGAGGTTTGAAAGGTGACCCTGAGAGCATATCACTGTGTTAGAAAACTGTTTCAAGAAGTCTTTTAATATTTCAGTTTGTTTGAGCTTCACTTTTTGAATTAAATTATGGAAAATAAAAACTTTTTCAGGTCATGAAACAAAGAGAGGAATAAAAGGATGTGAGTTACGGGTTCTTTCCGCCTGCTCGGCCCGGCTCAGGTGACGCCTCATGGTCTCCAGTTTGTCTTTTTGTTCCTCCAGCGGAGTCTGACGTGCAAGATCTGTTCCTGGTTCAGCCGACTCCCTTCGATCCCGATCAGAGTTCAGCAGATAAAACAACTCTGAGAAGGTCCTGACAGACGGGTGACGACAGGTACGGATGTTTGTCAGGAGAACGAAACGAACATGAAATAAATTCTTCAGAAGAACCTTAAAGGGATATTCTGGCGTAAAATTAAGTTAAGGTCAAACACACCATAACACCGAGTTGTCAACTGCTTACTTCTCTAGTTATACCAACTTTAGTAACGACCGCAGGATAGAAATACACAGCGGTCTGAGACTAAACACAACTCACCTACTCTCTTCCAGCAGCCGCTTGTTTGTAGTGAGACCTCAGGCCAGTCTATTACAGACTACAGTGGAGTTTCGCAGCTCAAGGAAGAACATTTATGATCATTTCTTCATGGAAATGCAATCAGACTGAGACGCTAAGACAGAAGAACTACCGCGTCTGCAGAGAAAAATGATTAATATGGTGATTATTACTTCAAGGAAATGATAAAGAAATGATCATAAATGTTCTTCCTTGAGCTGCGGCACCCCGCTGTAGTCCGTAATGGACTGGCCTGAGGTCTCGCTACAAACAAGCGGCTGCTGGAAGAGAGCAGGTGAGTTGTGTTTAGTCTCTTTGCTAAAAGAAATGAGTCAAAGTTAAAAAGATGTTTGGTGTCTAGTACTATGGCTGGGACCCTATATGTAGTAACCTGAGTAGAACAGAACCTCATTGGAAAATTAGCTGATTTAACTTTACTGTGCTCTTGTTCAAATATATTAACTCGATAGCACATATATTCATACCTGTTAACAAAATCATGATTTTATTGATAATTTGGCTCAATAAAAACACCTTTAACTTTGCAGTCGTTACTAAAGTTGGTAAAACTAGAAAAGCAAGCGGTCGGCAACATTCATCCCTGGAGGGGGTGTCTAACTTGGTGTTATGGTGCGTTTGACCCTAAATTAATTTTACGCCAGAATATCCCTTTAAGCTTAGACCTTCATAATACCCTCATGGACACAAAGAAGACTAAAAGAACCAAAGTTCAACGTCTGAAACATACAAAATCATTTCCCTACTTTGTATTGATAAAGAGTTATTGATCAGAGAAACAGATACCTGTGGAAACCCTCCAGCAGTATCTCCACACAGATGTTTTGCTTCAAACTGTTTCTGAACCTGCAAACACAAGAAAAGAGATGAAGACAGAAATCTTTAACTCAAAGTTGGTTGTTATTACTTCGTTGAGGCAGCAGAGGGCGCTCTAACTCTGGTTTGTGACACCCTAAAGCTGTAATATTTTGGTGATTTCTTTAGTTTTTCAGGAGCTGGGTGTACTCACAGACATTTTTTATCACAGCCCTCAGAGGTTTTATGATCCTGCACAGCTGCTCTCTGAACTTCCACCCAAAATCACCACAAAAATGTTCACAGTTCCTCCTTTTAGTCTGTTGTTCTGTTGGTTGCCGCTGCAGCTCTGGAGGTTTTTTTCCTCCTAAGTTTGAGTAACAACGATTCCTCTTGACTTTTCTGTTTCTTAAGGAGCGATCAGAGAAACCTGGACTTCATCACACCCCAGCAGAGACACGGACCAAGTACCGAGTCCACTTAAATCAGAAAAATTAACATTTCTCCATCCTTATGTTGAACTCACTTTGAAATTTCTGCGATTGAAGGGATGTGAGTCGAGTACTCGGACACCAAACCAGCTTTGAGAGGCTCCTCCAACCTGCTGAACACACAAAGACACGTAGGGGAGAGTAGGATGAGCCATTTTTTATATTTCAGATCTCTATCATCAAAGTCAATCCTAGTTTTGTAAACAGAACTGTCTAGCAGGACAAAAAATGGTCTAAATTCTCAAGAGTGAAAAATGTTTTTTTTTTGTAAATAAATGTATGTGCTTCTAACCTTCACAGCATCTCCTAAATATTTGGTCACAGATGTTGTTCATCCGTGCAAACCAACAGAATGATGATCCAAACAGTTTATTATTTCTGCATATTGTGTTAAATTATGTAGTTTAATCTCACTTCTGTTGTATTACCCTACCTGTAATATGAACCTTTCCTCCGTTTCTTTCTGTTGGGGGGAATTTCAGGTAGAAAAGTCTCAGTGTGAGGATGTGTCACGGCGGCGTTCATCTTGTGGTTTACCTGTCGGGATTAAAACACAGAGAAACGACTTTAAAGTGTGTTCTTATGGCATAAAATGTTATCTTATAAATTCAATTACTTAGCATGCGCCGATAAATCAGCAGGCCGATCGATCAGCGCCTATTTCCTTAATTTTGGGGGATCGGCTGATCCTATATGAAACCGATTATATCCACCGATCGTTTCTACCTCAGCAAAGGACTGAAAGTCAGCTGTTGTCAAGCTTGTTAAAGAGCGGTGATCGGCCAAAATATCTATTTACATGTATTTTCTCTCCTGAGTTTGAGTTCGTTTTAAAATAACTGCCGAGTAAGTTTTCCTATCAAATCACTGTGCTAATTTAACAGAGCACAAACTTCTACGCATGCGCAGAAAAGTCAACGTTCCAGTTTTTTTTTTTAACAGTCTTTGGTAGTAACCCGTTAACTTTTTGTTTTTGGTAGTTGTGTTTCTAAACGACTGCAGTCCTCCGATCAAATTGAGGAATTAACCTAAAACCGAGTTACCGACATCGCAGGTTAAGCTAACTCAAGTCAACGATAGTTACTGACAGTTAAACTCACAACAAGTAACAATTACACACTCAAAAACTACATTTACAAAATCTCTTCTTCGTGGAAACATTAATTTACAACTCTGTGATTAATGGAAAACAGTCTACTACCGAGACGAACTCAAATAAGAGGTGATATTTACCTTAAACCGAACAAACTTCTCCTCTAAATCACCGCAGACAACAGCAGATTCGTTACGACGTCACCATAGCAACATCTCCTGAGCCGCGTTCCAACTAGAAGCAATGCTGACTCCTTTTCGGTGCCGCGTTCCAATAGGAAATACAAAAAGGTCGTTTTTACGTTAAAAAAGGGCTAAAAATCCTAATTTTGAACCAAAGCGTTATGAATAAAGTATTAGAGTTTTAAAAGAACTTAACTTGTGAGGAAAAATCATGTTTCTGCATTTTAAAATCTAACAAAAATAAGTAAATATATAGAAAATGTTAATTTTTTCGACAAAACCAATGTGACAAGTTTTTTATTTGTAAGGTAAAAGATTGTTTCTAAACAAAAAACTCATAAAATCCATAAAAAATGAACAAATATAGATGATATCTACCTATTCTTGACTAATCAGATACAAATGAAGTATCAGAGTTTCAACAGAACTGGATTTATTTTGTAAAAAGCCTTTTTTTATTGCAAACAAACATAAAAAAAAATCCAAAAACACATACAAAATAACTCTGCAATAGCATTTAAAACATTAACTTAATTAATATACAGGCCCCGATCTATAAATCAAATAAAAATGAAAGCTGAAAAAGTCAAAGCAGAATATTTTATTTTATTTTTCACATGTTTGATGCTGATAATGTTTCCATGTTTCCACAGAAGGGCTGGAAACTCGGTCCCCGTCTGTTTCTCGCTCTTCAAAGAGACGCTGAGTTTCTAATAAAGTTCGGAGCTGGTGGTGGAAATCAGCCGAGGCCTGTTTCCTGTCATTCTCTGTTCCACGTTCATAGAGGATCTGGGTTCGATTTAGTGTCAAATGAAACTCTTGGGATTTGGTTTGTTTGTTCTTCTCGATCTAATTAGCTTTGGGAGTAATTTGTCCTTTTAAAAAACTGCACTTCAGGAGGGAAAAGTGGGAAATAAACAGTTTATTCCTCAGGATACTTCCACAAGTGGGGGCTTCTAACCAAACAAAGTTGGTGGTCTCACATGCAAAGAAGAGGTCATCATAAAAAGAGTGTTTCTCATTCACATTAAAGGATCTTTTATTTAAAAAGGACCTTCCTTTTATTAAAAAACTCATTTTATTCCTCAGACTTTGTCGTTTTTGCCATAAATAAAGACTAAAAAGACCCCAAACTGTTGTTGAAGTCACAGGGTCTTATGTCTTTATATTTCCCTGCGTGGCTTAAGTCACGTACAGCTTTTTTTGTGTTTATCTTTGCATAAACTGACACCAATAAACAATATCATCTACAATATATCTCCAGTGACAATGACGTCCCTGAGACGCCAAATTTAGCAAAGACTCTGAGAGGGTTTAAAGGGTCAAAAGAAGCAGAAAAAAAAAACAGAAAAGGCATCAAACTGTCCAGTGGCTACGTGAAAAGACTGTGCGATTGCTGATACCAGCGCCAAATTTTGTATGAGGCTTCCTGAGGACATACTGAAGCTTTTTACTAAAGGAGCCCAACACAGACTTTGGAGTCTCTTCTCTTTTGTCTTTGCCAGTTAAGAATTATTGAATATCAGATGGCAAGATTTGCGCCAAGATGCGGAACGAATTGCAAAATTGCTTGCCATCTGACCGTCCCCAAAATATAGTTCGGTTGGGAGAACGTCAATGGCGCAGAATTCCTCTATATTAGATAGAAATGAACTTTAAGCGTCGTTTTATCGCCATCACTTGTCCCAGGGGCTCTTAAGGGCAAATGATGCACCAATCCCAGTTCAGGTCCATGTTGATGTCTAACAAACTGAAGCATAAATAATGAAACAAAATTATTCGAGACAGTTCCATCAACTTTGCTTTCACTCTGTTTAATGATCGACCATTTTCTTATTCCACTCAGAACTCAGAATGTATCGTGAATGTGAATAATGTGATACTTAATGGAGTGAGAGCTCTTTACATAAAATAACAAAATTCTTTTTTAATTAAAAAAAAAAAACAGCCTTTATTTTGCAGAACTTTATTAACCCTTGTGCACCCCCTTAAAATTTACTGACACTTGTTAACCTCGTGGACACAAATAGGCTGTCTAATAAAAGTGCAGTAAAAACGTTTAACATTTGTATTTTTTTACTTTTAAAGCATCACTTCTTGTCAACAACTTCACACCTATCCATAGACATAAAGTTAATTATAATCTTTTAAATATTTTTTTAAGTTTTTTTGTGTCTTTTGTCGTGAGAACCCCTGATTTTTAATGGGAAAAACACAAATTATGCAATATTTCCAAAAATCTAGTGCAAAGTGGAATATTTTTGATAAAGTTATAACAGTCCTGACCGTGTGGATAATTGATAAAATTATTGATTTTAATGCATAATTATTTTTGGCACAATGATAGTTTGAGGTGAAAACTTACACTTGTTAACCTCGTCGACACAAACGGTCAGTCAAATAAAAATGCAGTAAAAACATTATATATTCTTATTTTTTTTTACTTTTAAAGCATCACATCTTGTCAACAACTTCAGACCTATCCATAGATACAAAGTTTATTATAATTTTTAAATATTTTTTTTAGTTTTTTATCAAGAGAACCCTGATTTTTTTAATAGGAAAAACACAAAATGTGCAATATTTCAAATAATGAGGTGCAAAGTGAAATATTTTTGATAAAAATATTGATTTTAATGCGTAATTATTTTTGGCGCAATGACAGTTTGAGGTAAAAACTTACATTTGTTCACCTCCTGCACACAGACATTGGATACTTCCAAAGTCTGTGTTGGGCTTCTAGGCTAAAAAGCTTTAGTGTGTCGTAACAAAATTTGGTACTTCTATCAAAAAGTGCACAATCCGCCTTAAAAAGTGAGCTAAGCCTCTGGACTGCTGCTCTGGTCTCATCTATTACCCTGAAAACAGTCATCACAGGTTTCTCTTTCTTAAATAAAGCAAAACTAGGATTTTTACCCCAAAGTCACCAGCTGTTAGTGAAACCGTAAATCAGTTTCTCTTAAAGGTAAAGATAAATAACACTTTGATAACTAAGGCTGCATGTCTTCAACTGTTAGAAACTCAGAGCTTCAGACACAAATCCTTGGCTGTTTTACATTAAACACAGAGATTAAAGTAAAGACGATGTTTTCAGCCAACACTGATACAGAGCAGGATTTAGTGGTTTAATTAAGTGAGAGCAGACCGGGGTTCAAACGCTCCAATAAAGTCCAAATTTGTTGTTAAATACTCTCGTAAATTTAACAGCTCCAATTTCCACAGCGCCGTTTGACGAACAAACTCTCAAGTGGGAAGAGTTCAGAGTCACTTCATGTCGAGAGTTTTTATGAGATGTTCCACTGCGAGGGAGGAAGAGGAGAGGGTGAGGAGGGTGAGGAGGGGGGTGAGAGGCGGGAGTGAAGGGAGGACGAGAGAGAGAGAGAGAGAGAGAGTAAAAACTGAGCGCTATCAGTCTGAATACTTCAGTGTTACAGGACAGAACAAACTCTCCTGTTCTTTACGATGACGGGAAGATTTTAAACGGATTTATATCAACTTAAAAAAACAGAAGAAGACAAACAACATCACAAAGAAGTGAGTTTTAAAGGTTTTTCTACTTTTCTATCAACAAAAGTCAAATTTAAGTTGAACTTTGCAACTAAACCTCTTTGAAAAGAGGAGCTGGTGGTTGATGATGTACCTATAGTCTTGTTTGAGTCTGTTGCAGGATAGTTAAGAGCTGAACTAACTGTGTGTGTAAGCAGTTTCTTCCTCTTTTGAAAGTGTTTTTAACATTTTCCTGCTAATTGTTTGGGACACCCCGCCAAGTTTACTGTTTTGATTTAGCTCCATGAAGCTTATTTCAAGGAGCAGCAGACAGATGTTCTCCACTGAATGAGCTCTAAAGAGTCACTGCGCACCACCTGCTCCAAATCAAACAGCAGGCGAACACAGAAAAAGGCCAGCTGGTGAAGATAGATGCGTGTTTATCAGCAGAGCAAGCGGATATTTTTCTGGAGAGATGATGATTACCAGAGCCGGAGAAAGAGAGAAAATATTGGACTTATATTCATCGAGTTGACAAAACAAAGATGCTGCCTCCTCTTTATTGGCTTGTTAAAGGGATATTCTATTCGACACCCCCAACGAGAGATGAAGGTTACCTGCTTACTTCTCTAGTTAAACCAACTTTAGTAACGACCGCAGGATAGCGATACACAGTGGTCTGAGGAGCCATAAACAAACCTGAACCAAAAACGCCACTCTATAGACACAAATAATGCTCAGAACAGCACCTAACTTCATCAACAGGACATATAGGGTCACAGACATAGACTAAACACAACTCACCTTCTCTCTTCCAGCAGCCGTTTGTTTGTAGGGAGACCTCAGGCCAGTCCATTACGGACTGTAGCGGGGTGACGCAGCTCAAGGAAGAACATTTATGATCAGAGAAGCAAGCGGTCGGCAACATTCATCTCTTGATTGGGTGTTGAACTCGGTGTTGCTGTGTTTGACCCTAAATCAATTTTATGTTGGAATGTCCCTTTAAATTAGTAAAAACAAACTGTAACAGGTCTGACATATTTACTCTCAAAGCTACAAATTCTCCTCATGGCCTTTGCTTTTTGAAACGTCTCACTTCTTGACTAAAATCTACAAACTTTCTAATGAGTCTCTTATCTTGATTTGATCTCACTCTCTAGATTTTCTCCCCGGATCACCAAACTCATCTGAGAAGACTCAAACTCCAGGGTCTCAGATCTGAAGTTCTTGAAGGGGCTCTGATACCAGAGAGGGGTCTAGAACTATTCACAGATACATTCATCAAGAAGGAGCCTGCTCGAATATAGTGCCTAGGATCAGAGTTTGTTCAGAAAGTCACAGAACCACTGCAGGATAGGGTTTCGATACAGTTTCTAGAGTTAGAAGGGTTCTAGAATATGATTCCAAGTTCCGGAATGACTCTGGGTCTTGAAGTTTTCTCCAGGATCAAAGCAGTTTCAAAGAATCAGAATAGATTCTAGAACTCGTTCAAGGGTAACATTCCGTGGTGTTTGGAATGATGTTGAAACAAAGTAAAGATTAGTTCCAAAATCACAGTGAGTTCTAGATTCAGATCTGGACGAGCAGAAAGTTTAGAATCTCTACCAGTTCAACAGTTTGCTCAGGAATCACAGACCTTGAAGAGGGTACTTCAATCTGTGACAAGTCTGGAACTGGTGCCCAGGATAGATTGCATAAAGAAGCAGGTTCTGAACCAGCCACTGGTACCACTGTGGGCTCTAGAATCTGATAAGAAGCTACGACAAGTTCTGGAGTTCAGAAGTTTGCTCGCGGTGCAGAGCAGGATGGTTCCTGGAGCCTCGAAGTTGGAATTAGCAAACAGTTCTAGAAACAAAGCCCAACCCAGATTGGGTTCCTGGACTCCATCCACGCCTAGAATGTTCTCCATGCTGCAGGTTGCCTTGTGTTTGATGTTTGTTGATTCGGTTGGATGCCATGGCAACTCCTCGTCTGAACTATCTCCCTCTGATCTAATGTGGTCAGACCAGCCTGACTTCTATGGCACTGACCTGCCTCCAGAACCAGGACTGAACCTTCAGATCCAGACCCAAGACAGAGAGGCACATCTGGTGCAAGAGACGGTAAACAAGGCCCTGGCCTCACTGGAAAACCTAAAGGCTAAACACATAAGTAAGCTGAAGCATAAACCTGACAGAAAGCCTATCGGACCCTCCACCAACTCCTCTCTGGTGGTTCAGAAGCGCCCAGTTCTGCCCCCTAACTGTGTGCAGACCACATCCATCCAAACGGCCTTCAAGTACATCAACACAGTGCTGTCCTGTGTGATCTTCGCTGTGGGGATAATCGGGAACGCCACACTGCTGAGGATCATCTGCCAAAATAAAAGCATGAGGAATGGACCCAACGTTCTAATCGCCAGCCTGGCCCTGGGGGACCTGATCTACATCGCCATTGACTTACCGATCAACGTCTACAAGGTACAGAAGCAGAGTACCACGCAGTTAACTCACAGTTATGTTTTCAGGTATCTGAAGCAAAAACAGCTCTGTGATCTGCTTAGTCAGGTTGGGAAATTGCATTATGGGTAAGCTGTAGTGTTGTGTGTCTCAGACAGGAGGTTGAGTGTTCCTCTGATAATGCCGCTAAAATATCTGTGAGACTCTGATAACAGACCCCACACTGATACCATGATGTTTGTTGTTGTTGGTGTGTGTGTGTGTGTGTGTGTGTGTGTGTGTGTGTGTGTGTAGCTCCTGGCCATGCGGTGGCCATTTGCTGACAGTGCACTCGGCCTGTTCCTCTGCAAGCTGTTCCCCTTCCTGCAGAAAGCTTCAGTCGGCATCACCGTCCTGAACCTGTGTGCTCTGAGCGTTGACAGGTAACACACACACACATTTGTTATTAAAGGGATATTCCGGCGTAAAATTAATTTACGGTCAAGATGGTAAGGTCTAGTTGGTATAACTAGAGAAGCAAGCGGTCTGCAACTTTCATCTTTCAAGGGGAGGGTGTCTAACTCGGTGTTACGGTGTGTTTGACCCTTAATTCATTTTATGCCGGAATATCCCTTTAATGTCCCAATGAGGACCCACTGTTTAAATGAGTCTAGGGCCCAAAATACGAGCTATTGTGTGCAAAAGATTCCGGGAAGGATGAGATTTGAAGGGATCAGCAAGGAAAGGACACGGGCGATGATCTTTAACGAGTGCAAACCAGGATTCTGTTGTTAATCTCTGACATGTGAGGCTGATCCAAGCTATCTTAACTTAAACTATTCCTTCAAAGTAAAGTTTGTGAATACACATTCATAGCGGAACTTCTTTCCCAGGTACCGTGCGGTGGCTTCCTGGTCGAGGGTTCAGGGTACAGGTGTTCCCACAGTGACAGCAGTGGAAATCGTGGCGATCTGGCTTCTGTCCATCGTGTTAGCCGTACCAGAGGCCATCGGCTTCAACATGGTGACCTTTGACTACAAGAACGTGACCATGAGGACCTGCATGCTGCAGCCCAGGACGCCCTTCATGACTGTGAGTGTGTTTATTTATAGCTCCGTATAAATCAGGTCTGATGAGACAGGGGGTCACTATTACAAAGTCTTCAGATTCAGTCTAGAGTTTTCTCGGTGTGTACTCTTCAAGTCCAAACCCTCTTTGGGGAAATAGATGGACTCTCTGGTCTGTTTCCGTTATCTCTTTGTTGTTGTGTTTGAAGCCAAGGTCTAGTTTAGAAAATCATTTCCTGTTTGTCTTCAAGACAAGACTGGAACCAGACACGTGCACCCAGAACTGAACCTGGATCTGCTTTCTCTCAGGGTTTACCGCAGAAGCTTGATCCAAAAAAAACTTGAATCTTCCAGTTAAAATTTCATATTGAGAGAGTAAACAGGTCTGTAGTTACAATCAATCAATGATCAACTATGATGGTTCGACCGTATCATCAAAGAGTGTTTTCCTCGTGCCTGTTTTCTTCACTTTGGTTGATGTTCTTTGTTTCTTTTAACCCTCATACAGAAACTTCCTTTAGCGGTATTAGTGGCTGTTTTTAGCCACTAACTTTTAACTGCTTTAAAATGATATCAGATCAAAATTTCTTTAAAGTTTTTTTGCATAAATCTGTTCAGCAACTTCAGTCCTGATCAAAACTTCATTATACAGATACAGAAACTAGGCGAGTGATACAACAGGCCTGTGTAATGGGTAAATGTGTGAACCAGGTGATCAACAGTAAAATGACCTAATTTGATCCCTTCTGGAGAGGGTTGATAACCCTGACTGTAAAAATTATATTTATATAGTGCCATGTCTGCACTGAAAACACGTGGTTATAATGGGAGTCAATGGGGCAAAAACAGCCACTAAGACCATAAAAGGAAGTTTTTATGAAAATCTGCTGCTGCACAAAAACTAAATACACGTAAAAGTCATTGATGTTACTAATCTAAGACATGTCCAAGACTGTGATAACATGAAAAAAATATTCTTTGTCCAATCACTTTTATATTGAAAAAAGCTCATTTTGTGTGTATTTTTTCCCATATCAGTGACTCTCTTTTTTCAATTGGCATTCAAAGGGTTAAAATTTTGAATTTTTTTTAATATTTACTAGTTTTGATGAAGGCTGAAGTTGATTAAAAGATATATGCAAAAAAAAAAAAAATTTAATATTCATCTGATATATTTTTTACAGCAGTCAAAGTTAGTGGCCGAAAACACAGTTAAAGGGAAGTAAATTTGCAGACAGTGTACGACTGATCTTCTGAACTTTTTGAAATCATATTATCAAATTTTATGCAAAAATCAGGTTTGTCTAAGAGGAAAAATGGACCCTCAGTGGAGGTTTTTGTCTCCAACACTGTAAAAAGTTTAACTTTCCAGAGCTGCACTTCTGTTCGTTCCAGTTCTACAGGGACGCGAAGGACTGGTGGCTGTTCGGTTTCTACTTCTGCGTCCCTCTGGCCTGTTCGGCTTTTTTCTACGGCCTGATGACCTCAGAGATGCTCCGCCATCAGAAGGGGAGTCTGCGGATCGCTCTGAGCGAACACCTCAAACAGGTAACACTTACAAACACAAACACACACACACAAGAGAAGGACTGATGTTGTTGATTGTAAATCATCTTATGAAGTAAAATGTTGTCTCTGTAGCGTAGAGAGGTAGCTAAAGCCGTGTTCTGCCTGGTGCTGATCTTCGCTCTGTGCTGGTTTCCTCTTCATCTGAGTCGCTTACTGAAGAGAACCGTCTACAAACCACACGACATCCACCGCTGTGAGCTGCTGAAGTAGGTGTACAACCACAAATATCGGACATTTAGTCATGAATATGGAGCGCTGTGGTGTATAATGAGATCCCGTCCTTTTCCTCTTTTTCGTAATTGTAATTTTTTGATAACAGAACATGTTGGGTTCTTCTTCTTCTTCTTCTGTGTTTCTAGTTTCTTGTTGGTGCTCGATTACTTCAGCATCAACATGGCCACCATCAACTCCTGCATCAATCCCATAATCCTCTTCTTCGTCTCCAAGAAGTTCAAAAACTGCTTTAAGGTAAAAACGTTGAGATCTTTAAGAAAAGTTCGTAAATACAAAGGAGTCCTTACACACCGGGACCGACGCGAATACAGAACGCGAAATTACAAAATATTCGGAGGCGAATTTTGACATGTCTGACTATACACATCAAGCGCGATGTGATTTTGCGATTTTCCGGGGGGAGGAAGACGCATTTCGGGGAAGACTTTTCCCGGGGAAAGTCCCGCCTCCTTCGCCTCTGATTGCCTAAAAAAGCTGGAAACGTCATCACACGCTCAAGCCAAACGGTCAGCACTTTTAGCCAATCAGAGGAGATAAGATAAGCACATGAAACTATGGTAACAACCGTTAGCTTACGTTAGCACAGATGAAAGTTCAAACAAAGACGTTTATCAAACTGTTAAAGCTCACAAACCATCGTCATATGAGAAATCCGACGCTATGACTCTCCACAAGTCGTCCTTCAGGTCGTTATCTTTGTAATGTTTGTGTCTTTTATCAAAAATCACTCTGTTCTCCGACACGGAAACAATCAGCTGGTCGGCCATGTTGGATATACCGGTGAATCTGACGTCGCAACAACACGAAATCTGATTGGTCAGAAGTGGACGAAACTTTAGAAAATTCGACCGTGATACGAAAAAATAAATGCCGCAATATCGCAGGACGGGCAAACGTCACTGATGTGAACGCTTGTATTGACAGGATACGGGTTAAAAAAAAAATATTGACGTCAGAAATACTCGCACGAAAAAAACGCTCCCGGTGTGTGAGGACCTTTAGTCGTAAATCAACAAGATTCAGAGAATAAAGTCTAAAATCTACAAGATCAGGGCTAAGATGAACAGATATGAAGTCCGATTTTTACAACAATCAAGCATAAAAATGTTGCTGTTCATTCATGATGTTTTACGTTTGCATGACAATAAAACTGTGAAGTTTTTGAGAAAAAATGTAAAGTTGTTAATTTTCCAGAAAAAAAGTCGTTATGTAGGCGGTGAGAAGCTCTTCTTTAAAAAAACATCGATTCTCAACATTGAAATCGAGAATCCTGACTTTACTCTTACAAACTCATGACTGATCTGTTTTTGTTTCTGGTTTAATAAGAAAATCAGAAATATCTGATCAGCACCTCTCTGATGAAACTCACCCTCTGTGTCCACCTGTCTGTCTGTCTCTGTCTCTGTCTCTGTTTGGACAGTCCTGTCTGTGTTGTTGGTGTTATTCTGGCTCTTTCTACAACAGTATGCTGCTGCCGCTGCACCACGGGACGAGCCTGCAATACAAACACACTGACCATTAGAAAGGAGAGAGAATGAGAGAGAGAGAGACTCTGTGACTCCACTGGACTGAACCAGAACACCCCAAAACCACTGCGACCACAGATAACCACTATATCTATCCTTTAATGTGTCGTTTTTACCGTTAGCTGTGTATTTATTCGTCTCCTAATGTTGTATTTTGTCATAAAGTGAACAATAACAGCTTTAACGTCTACTGTGTGCTCCTCAGTTTGACACTGTAGTCCAAGAAATGACTCTTTTGTTTCCTGTAGGTGACGCTCAAGGTTCACGTGTGTTTACTGTTTATCTGTGATCACTAGAGCCGTGTATTTATCTGTAAAATATTTAATCACAGTTTCATTTGTAAAGAAATTCAACAGTTCTGAAGCTCTGCAGTAGCACCCTCTAGTGGTTGAAGTTTGTAAAAGTAAATCATGAGTATCAGAGAAGTGGGTCTCTCTCAAGGACCCACATTTTCCCATGGTCTTTAAGTCGAGATCCACTTTTATAAAATTCAAACTAAGCAAATTAAAGACTTTAAAGACTCAAATCTTTAAACATAAATACACCCGTTTTATTGAGTAAAGTGCATTTCAGAGCACATGAACTGAGGACGACAACTACTGAAGTTTCGTGTACAGAAAATATCAAATCACACAAAATGGAGAAATTTGAAGAGGAGCACGCAACAGCACGGACAAAAGTGAATTAATATCAAATTACACAAAATAAAGACAAAAAAAACATGTATTTTTACTGCATTCAGGCCACATTTATAAGAAACTGAGTAGGACCACAACATAACACGTGCCTTTCAAAATGAGGTATTTTTCAAAATAAAAGACATGCCTAACTTTAGATGTGCATTAAATATTCACCTGTGTTCGGGACCCACTTTTGGGTCTGGACCCACCAGTTGAGAACCACTGTATTAGAGCAAAAACTATGGGCACACATGACCTTTGACTGTCTGTAAATTTTAAAAAAATATTTTGTAATAACTTGGCTACAGTGAATTTGTATTTATCAATAAATATTCACGATATCTCATAAAGATCTGTTTTTGTTGTCGTGTGAATGTGTGTGTTTGAGCACTTGATGTCCACTTTACTTTGATGTATTTTTATTCGATAACCTTTCATAGGCACGCTAGGGAAAAAAAATCTGTATTTCATCCAAATTTGGTGCAAATCCATTTGGGGTAGGTTCATTTGTTGTCGACTGTTTTTTATTTTTTTTTTATTTTGATGAAGCTGATCTTTAAAAATGGACAAGGACCAAAAGCAGTGTCGTTCTGGATGGCCATGATGTTACCGCACCACACCGAGAAGAAACCATGAGAAAGACCCCGACAGCTGAAGCAAAGTGGTGAACTCTTGTCTGAGGAATCAAAACTAGTCTTTCTTTTTTAGAAATCATGGATGTGACTTTTTAAAAATATATTAATTAGGATTTTAATTTACAATGAAGAATTAAAATAAACAAGTATTCCACTTTTTAGTTGTGCGGTCTTTCAATGTGACCGGGAGCATTTTTGTTGTGCGATTATTTCGGATGTCAATATTTTTTTTTCGAACCCGTATCCTGTCAATTAAAGCGTTCACATCAGTGACGTTTTTCCGTCCTGCGATATTGCGGCATTTATTTTTTCGTATCACGGCCGATTTTTCTCAAGTTTCGCATACTGTGTGTCCACTTCTGACCAATCAGATTTCGTGTTGTTGCGACGTCGGACTCGCTGGTATATCCAACATGGCCGACGACCTGAAGGACAACGATGGTATGACGATGGTTTGTGTGCTTTAACAGTTTGATAAACGTCTTTGTTTTAACTTTCATCTGTGCTAAGTAACTTTAGCTCGTAAGCTAACCTGTCTTTTTTTCCCCCCGGAAAGTCGCAATATCGAATCACGCTTGATGTGTATAGTCAGGCACGTCAAAATTCACCTCCGAATATTTTGTATATTTGCGTCGTTCCCGGTGTGTAAGGACCTTGACTCATGTGACAACAAGACCCGGTCTCCCCTATTACAACAAAAACAAAATGCACACACGACATCTGACTGTCTGTAAAATCTCCGTTTTTTAAATATTCTTGAATAATTTCGCTACAGTGAATTTGTATTTATCAATAAATATTTAAAGAAATCATGGATGCTGCGCCGTTTGTGTGCATCACGTGACTGATGGAGACCGTCAGTTGAGATTCCTCCTCGTGACGTGGGCGCGCAAATACGGAGGGGGGAGACAGGGGGAGGAAAACACGGACGGACGGACGGCAGCTGCTCCCGGACCGTGGATGTGAGACCCTCCTCCGGATCGATGGTTGTGATTTAACGGGTTTACGGTGATCGGCTAAAAACGGGAACAACTCATCGACCGTCTTGGGAGTGTGTGTGTGTGTGCGTGTGTGCGGGCGCGCGGAGGAGGGATGCGTTGCCTGGTAACAACAGCAGCAGCAGCAGCAGCAGGCGCGAGGGGAAAGCAGGCCAACCGTCACTGAGCGATCGTCTTCAGCTTCAACGGTCATAATCTCTCAATATTTAATGACTTTTAATCAATTTATCGATTATTTTAGTCCTGAAACTATCTGTTCTCTCGATGTGGTCGACTAATATGTACTTATGGTCCGTTTTTAGACAGGTGTTAGCAAATTAGACGGTTTAGTGTGATGTTAAACGTTACGATGTAAATGTCGACAGTTTAAATTGATTAATTGCATTAGTTTAAACAGTCTAAAGGATAAAACCTCATTATAAACAAAAGTACACTATTTGAACACAACAGCCATAATTCTTCACATGCTTTTGGCTCCAAAAGTCAAAGAATACTGTCTTATATTTGACTCAAGGATGAAAATTTAGGTAAAAATGCTCTAACTAACGTCATAGTTGAATAGTAAGTTCGTTTAAGTATCTTTCAAGAGAAAATAATCCAACAAAGTTTGCTTGAGAGAGTAGAAACAGTAAAGTCTGTATCATCTGTTAGCTTTAAAAGTTAGCCCGCGTAAAAGAAAGCTGCGTAAAATCAATGAAATCCAAATAAATTAAAGCTCCTGTGAAGAATCTAGCGGGTCATGAAACAGACCAAAAATAACACTGGTGCCCCGTAATGATCTACAAAAGCAAACAAGACCACCAGCAACAAGACTGACCATTTTATCAGGTTATTATTAACATCTGGGACCCTGGAACCACTGTGAGGGGCCAGTACCAATGCTGCGTTCCAGTTGTACTCTGAAGTCGGAATTTCCGAGCTCCGAGTCGCTATAACAACTGACAACAACTGACAATGGCCAACGACAACTAACAACGGCTGACAACCGCCAACAACAACTGACAACAGCTGACGACCGCTAACGGCTGAAAACGTCTGACAACCGCTAACAACGGCTGACAACGGCTGACAACCGCTAACAACGGCTAACAACAGCTGACAACCGCCATCAACAACTGACAACAGCTGACAACCGCCAACAACAACTGACAACGGCTGACAACTGCTAACAACAACTGACAACGGCTGACAACCGCTAACAACTGACAACGGCTGACAACCGCCAACATCAACTGAAGACCGCTAACAACAACTGACACTGGCTGACAATCGCTAACAACAGCTGACAACCGCTAACAACAACTGGCAACGGCTGACAATGGCCAACGACAACTGCAACGGCTAACGACGGCTGACAATTGTAAACAACAGCTAACAACGGGTAACTGTAGGCATTTATCTTGAATTTCCGACTTGTTAACTGAGACACCGTCAACTCGGGAGTAACGTCATTCCGACTTGGAATGCAGCGCAACACACGGCGGCGTAATTGCTATAAAATGGCCTTTGTTTTAAGTGTACTAAAAAATACCTGATTTTTTAAAATAACATTTTAAAGCTCTGACTTTTTCGTCTTGTAGGTGCGGGCTGTAATTTAGGATGTGCCTGTAGTCGACGCGGAGGGTGAAGCAGCCGTCATGCCATGTTCATGTGCTGAGTGGAGGAGGTGGATCCGCCCTCTGGTTCTGGTTCTTTACGCCCTTCTGCTGGTGGCTGTCGTGCCGCTCTGCATCTGGGAGCTGCAGAAAGACAAGGTACACACACTTTATTATCTTATTATCACCTCCACCTGAACATTACATGTCTCCAACCACACACAGACCTTTCACCGTGAACACGACATTAACCTTTAAACGGTCACATCTGGCCGCCTCTGTCTGTTTCTGCAGGTCGGGACTCACAGTAAAGCCTGGTTCATCGCCGGAGTCTTCGTTTTTCTGACCATCCCCATCTCTCTATGGGGGATCCTGCAGCACATCGTTCACTTCACCCAGCCTGAGCTGCAGAGGCCCATCATCAGGTGGACACACAACCACAAACACATGTTTAACTTTAGAGGGGATAGTTCTCTTTAGTCAGGGAATAATAAATATTCACAAACACAAACCAAAACCACAACAGTTCCTTAAAATGACCCCCGCTGTGTCTCCATCTGTCTCTACCAGGATACTTTGGATGGTCCCGATCTACAGTCTGGACAGTGTGAGTCATCATCATCACACACACACACACGCTCATACACTTACACACTTACAGGAAGCTTTCTATTACATTAGTTGCCATGGTAGCGGCCTTAATTGGAGATGATAGGAGAGTGTGAGAGGCACAGAGGTCATGTTACACACACACACACACACACTGATTTTGTCATGTCCTTGTCTTGTCATTTTTCTTCTTTCCGTCCCTTTTTGATCAGATTTCTTTCCCTTTCCTAGAGATCTGTTTTTCTTTTTTCTACGTTTTTGTCTCTCTTTTCTGGTCTTTCTTTTTCTGTGTTTTTATCTTTCCTTTTGTCTTTTCTCTTCATTTTGTTTTTCCTTTATTCTATCTTCTCATTTCATCCATTGTCTGTTAATAATTCTTAACCGAGGAGTTATCTGTCCGGGGCTTTTTGCCCCTGGTACGGTCTCCCAAAGCAGATTGGTCCTAGGTGAAGGGTCAGACTAAGAACGGTTCAGAAGACCCTCATGAAAAAGAACACAGGGAAACAGTGTACCCGGTCCGGAGGGACACCGGGGCCCCACCCTGGAGCCAGGCCTGGGGTTGGGGCCCACTGGCAAGCGCCTGGTGGCCAGGCCTGCACCCATGGGGCTGGGCTCAGCCCGAACGAGCCACATGGGCACTGCCTCCTGTGGAGCCACCACCCACCATGAGGAACTTGAAGTGCTTGATGGACTGGGCGGTGGACCAAGGCGGGGGCCTTGGCGGTCTGATCCTCAGTTATGGAAACTGGCTCTTGGAACATGGAACGTCACCTCTCTGGTGGGGAAGGAGCTGGAGCTTGTGGGGGAGGTTGAGCATTATTGACTAGATATAGTCGTCTCACCTCTACACATAGTGTTGGTTCTGGAACCCAAGTCCTTGAGAGGGGTTGGACACTCTTTCACACTGGAGTTGCTCTGGGTGCTAGGTGGAGTTTGCTCGCCCCAAGACTTGCCGCTGGGACTCTGGGGTTTTCTCGGCTGGACGAAAGGGTTGCTTCCCTACGCCTCCTGGTCGGGGAACGGGTCCTGACTGTTGTCTTTGCGTATGCACCGAGTAACAGTTCTGAGTACCCACCCTTTTTGGTGACCCAAGGACGGACGCTAGACAGTGCCCCGACTGGGGACTCCATTGTTCTGCTGGGAGACTTCAACGCTCACGTTGGCATTGACAGCAAGACCTGGAGGGGTCTGTCAGCAGTGATGCCGACACTTAACCAAAACCACAGCCCTCAGTGACGATCCGCGGAAGTGTCGTATCAATAAAAATCATACTTTCAACAAATATATTTTGGCTCCTACACTTTCTTTGTTCTTTTATTCCATCAATTTTTTGTCCTCAATTATTTTTGTCCTTTTATCATGTAACTCCTAAATGTAAATTTCTTCCACATATTCAGAGCTCTCTCTCTTCCTCCCCCCTGTCCCTCCATTTAGTGGTTGGCGTTGCGTTATCCCAGTCTGGCGATCTACGTGGACACCTGCAGGGAGTGCTATGAAGCCTACGTCATCTACAACTTCCTGGTCTTCCTCCTGAACTTCCTCAGTAACCAGTACCCCAGTCTGGTAATGATGCTGGAGGTCCAGCAGCAGCAGCCTCACCTGCCCCCCCTCTGCTGCTGCCCGCCGTGGCCCATGGGAGAGTAAGAGGCAGTACACGGCATTATTTCACGACGATGATGGCGGTGTGACGGGGCGATGGTTCAGTGTTTGTATTTCTCTCTCTCTCAGGGTGCTGCTCTTCAGGTGTAAACTGGGAGTCCTTCAGTACACTGTGGTCAGACCTGTTACCACGGTGATAGCACTGTAAGTTCCCTGCTGTAACCATGGTGATCGCTCTCACTGTTCAGACTCATAAGTGAACTTCTGCTCCCTGTGTGCAGGATCTGTCAGCTCTGTGGGGTTTACGATGAAGCAAACTTCAGCTTCAGAAACGCCTGGTCCTACCTCGTCATCATCAACAACATATCACAGCTGGTAAACACTAATGATGACAAAATGATTCGACAATGACGAGCTCTTTGAGATCATAGAGTTTGTAAATAAGTCTCTTCATGCTCTTGAGTATTCCTCCTCTCTACCTCATTTCCTCCCCAGTTTGCCATGTACTGCCTGGTGCTACTTTATCGAGCCCTCAAAGAAGAGCTGACTCCCATCAGGCCTGTGGGCAAGTTCCTCTGCGTCAAACTGGTGGTGTTTGTCTCCTTCTGGTGAGGAATGGAAGCCGTCCTTCTTTACTGTCATTGAGATGAAAATCCAAACCCATTTTGGACTAATATTCCTTAATTTAAAACAAGTATCTCCCTCTGCGCGTCTTCAGGCAGGCGGTGCTGATCGCCTTCCTGGTTAAAGTGGGCTTCATCTCTGACAAACACACCTGGGACTGGGACAGTGTGGAGGCCGTGGCGACTGGACTTCAGGTAAACAGATTTAAAAACCATTAAATTCATATTCAGATGTTTTTGTTTGAATCAAGAGTTGAAGCTGTTTTTTTTTCCTCCATGTGTACAGGACTTCATCATCTGCATAGAGATGTTCCTGGCTGCCATTGCTCACCACTACACCTTCACCTACAAACCATACGTTCAGGTGATCTATCTATCTAGATATCTGGCTGATTCATATCTCGGTGTTTCCACGTCTCTCTCTGTCTCTGAAGAAAACTAAAGTCGCTGTGCGGTACACTGGAATAAGTCTGGGGTTGATTGGAAGACATGAAATAACCGTTTTGAGTAAATCAGCAACAAATCGTTGACCTTCTGAGTACTAGTCACTGAAAATACTGACAATACTTTTCTCTCCACAAGGACAGAGGGCTTTATTTTGAATTTAAGGTTGTAGTACGGGTAAAAAAATAAATAAAAATAATGAAAGTCTTTGGTTCACCACTGTCAGTAGAAAAACGTCTCTAAAGGGAAACTTTTTCCTGTGCTCCAGGAGGCAGAGGAGGGCTCGTGTTTCGACAGCTTTCTGGCCATGTGGGATTTCTCTGATATCAGAGCCGACGTCACAGAGCAGGTCCGCCATGCTGGTGAGTGTTTCTGTCAGACTATTCACTATTAAGAGAGTTAAAGCGATTAAAATGTCTGATATGCTAGGGCTACCGACACAGAACACGTGTTTGGTCGACATCATCCTTCTTGTAACCGAAATAATTCCAGATAACTGACTTGCCTTTTCTTTTTAGCAACAACTACAAGTCTTCATTTTCGGTGGTTTTCTCTTGTTCGTTGCTCATTTTGCAATCGTTGTTCTGCCGAGAAACACATGTCCACCAAAACTGCATTCACCTCGCAGAAACGTGCACCACTTATAGCCTGTGGAAATGTACAATTTAAACCCCATAAAATTCATATTAGTTGATGAGTAATGTTCTGAAAGTAATTCTCGGCGGGTATGCGTTTCTCAGCACAACACCGGCAGTGCCAGTGACTCACTCAATGAGCAGGGGCGTGGTTTCCTCCTCTCTGATTTTGATTGACGGCTGGCAGGGTAGTCTGATTGACAACTGAGTAAAGTATGAACGTGATTGGTGGATCGCTGCACAGCACATTCAGTGTACGTCAGGCAGCTACCCTTGAAATTAGATGAGTTGATTCGCCTCCAACATCGCAGTGATCTACACTGAGGAAGGTGGAGACTATTCTAAAGGACATGGATAATCCACGTCCAAACACCTCAATGGACCAAAGGACCAATGGTGGTGGACGGCTCCTCTCTCTTCGCTGCAGGACAGAAAGATTCAGAAGATCTTTTGTACCAACAGACATCAGACTTTATAACTCCTCTGTCAACAGTCGATGACTTTTTGAGACACGACAAATGAGACGACAGACCATTGAATTTCCCTTTGGGGGTTCATAAAGTTCTTCTTACATACATTGCGATGACGATGCTCAAACGATATATTGTGCATCCTTCTAAATACTGGTGAACATCTAAACCCTCGTACCCCCTCCTCTCTCCTCAGGCCGTACCTTCCTTGGTCGTCCGAACAAGATGTACTTCGGTACGGTGGCTCGACCCGAACACACCGAGCACACCGGCCTCCTCACCGCGACCTCTCAGGATGCTATCGCCGCGGCGGCCACATCAATGCCCTCCTCCCCTTCCTCCAGTGGGCGGTACCAGGGCTTAGGCCACACCCCCGCCCCGCACTCCATCTCTGCGCCTGCTGGGTTCACGTCCTCATCTTGGGAGGAGGACAGCGACAGTTCGCCACCTAAGACGGGCGACAACCCTGGAAGCACATAACCAAACTCTGCTTTTAAGTTCTGCAGAAAAACTCTCAGATTCTGTAAAAAAAAGTGAGAAAGAAAAAACAAACATGAACTTTATTCTCCAAATAATTGTAAATAAGAAGTTATTGATGGACGGATTTTATCAGCTGTAGGAAAAGGAAGCATCTGTGATGTCAAAGCCATGTTTTTAAAACAGTGACTCAGCTTTAAATGTTTGAAATCTGTATTTTGATGTCGGACCATGTCTTTTTAAAATGTGGTTGCTCATGTTTTCACTTGAGAGAGGCGGGTTGTTTGTTTCACCTCGATGCCACAGAGTTCAAACGTCCTTGAGCTCGATATTCAACTGTTTGTTTTCCCTCACAATAAATGAATACGCCATACCATATCAGATCAACGTCACTCTTGTCATCTGTAACCTGGTCCAGTTCCTTTAAAAGCTCCTGAAACATCCAGGAAATCAAGGTTAAAGGGATATTCCGGCATAAAGTTAAGTTAGGGTCAAACACACCGTAAAACCCAGTTAGCCACCCCCCTCCAGAGATGAATGTTGTCGACTGCTTGCTTCTCTAGTTATACCAACTTTAGTAATGACCGTATGATAGCAATACAGAGAGCCACGTGCTCAACCAAAACGCCACTCTATAGCCACAAATAATGCTCAGAACAGCACCTAACTTCATCAACAGGACATATAGGGTCCCAGCCATAGTACTAGACACCAAACATCTTTTTAACTTTGACTCATTTCTTTAGCAAAGAGACGAAACACAACTCACCTACTCTCTTCCAGCAGCTGCTTGTTTGTCGTGAGACCTCAGGCCAGTCCATTACGGACTACAGTGGGGTGACGCAGCTCAAGGAAGAACATTTATGATCATTTCTTTATCATTTCCTTGAAGTAATAATCATCATATTAATCATTTTTCACTGCAGACGCGGTAGTTCTTCTGTCTCAGCGTATTGGTCTGATTGCATTTCCATAAAGTAACAATCATAAATGTTCTTTCTTGAGCTGCAAAACTCCGCTGTAGTCCATAATGGACTGGCTTGAGGTCTCACGACATATACTGTGTTACTGTGTGTTTGACCCTTACTTAATTTTATATGAATATGAATATCCTTTTAACGTCATGGGTACGTAGTAAAAGCTTACACAGGTGGAAGATTAAATACCAGATTTATCAAATTCAATATCAAACCCTGGTATGTGATGTGATGGTGACCTTTTTCTCATTTTTTTAATGCTTATCTGTATTTAGTCTACAGAGTCCTTAATTTTTCTGCAGGCTCTGAATGACATGAGAATAAAGGGAGATGAGGCAAATGCCACAGCAATGTCTAGTTTGAGTAGTCACCGCCATCAGATGGCGCTAAAGCTCCACTAAAACACAGATGTCAGGCGCACTATGTCCAACCTGCTGTGTCGGATCTTTTTCAGTGTTCTGAATAAAGGGTGGAGTAACAAACCGAAAGTAGAGTGAGGATTTTCCGTGTTTAATGACTGCGTGCCTCCAAGAAAATCTGCTCCTGATGTTTTGGGGTAAAAAAGCAACAAGAGACGAAAGTAGTACAGTTCAAATAATGTAAGTATGAGTTTATGTCCCTGCGTTACGATGTGACATGTCAGGTACCGTCAGCCAGTGCGTAATTTATCGTCTTCGGGTTCAGACACGTCATATGACGATTAAATATTAATGTGACAAACCCGCACAGACTTCAAAGTGTTGAGTTTGTGTCTACTTTGTTGATCATATGTAATGTTGAGTTTAACAAAATTTGAGCAATGAACTCCTCTCTTGTGCTAGAAATCTTTTTAATAAGTAAATAAAGCCCTTCTTCTCTCTAATGCTTTAAACATATTTCTGCTGTTCAACGTCTGTTTGAACTTTGCTTGAAGAGACAAAAATATGATGTGAAGTATGCAAAAACATTTCAAAACGCCTAAAAATGCTGAAATTTGGTCTCTCCTAAGCTCTCTAAGTTTCCGTGTTTGTCTTTCAGCTGCAGCTGTAAAAATGTCCGTGCGGTCGAGGAAGAAGAGACGTCTCAGTACTTCTCAAACTGTGGAGTCTGAAGAGCCAATCAGCTCCAACGTAGGGCTTACAAGGTACTGCAACAGCCAATCACAGCAGAGCACATGTGATGTCCGGAGAAGGGGGGCGGACACTGCAAAAAGTTTAATGGTGTGCTTTTCTTCAGAAGTAGTCTATGAATTATCGCCAAAAAGTGCTTTAAAAACTTAAAATGATAGAGTTTTTTATTCTTTACTTACAGTGACATTAAGTCCACAGGGCCCAGTGTTGATCAGACAAAGACTGATTCTTCCATTCTTCCAACAATTAATGACCACTATTCTTTCTGTAACTTTATTTACAAAATGAATTTTGGATAGTGGGTCATCTTCTAATGTCTGAATCTGAAATGGTTTATTTGTTGATTTTTTTTACAGCCAGAAGCCTGAACAGTCCAAGACACCAAGTGTTCTTTCCCTGAAGAGTGACAGATCCATGTACAGGCCTATTGTATTTGGTCCTGAAGGTAAACAAAGGTAATGTAATGTATTCTGTAAAATATAGAAAATTCACTGTAATGCAGAGAATACTGCATCATAATTCTGGAGAAATACACCTCATACCGGGCAGTACTAGTACAAGAAAGTATTTAAGGCTCTGGTATAACAGAACCCATGTTCTTTGACTCGTAGCTTATGAACCCTTTCAGGTCTAATGTCTTAATTATGTTTGAATATTAGCTGAAAGCAAGAAGAGATGAATCCTATAAATGACTCAGGGCGACCCCGAGTCTTTTGTTTTTTTTGGTGCCAATAGGAGTAAGAGCTTGGTCTCATAGCTAAAATTCTTTGTTTCCACTTTGTGTCAACGCAAAGTCAAGTTTGACTTAATGTGATGAAGGACTGAATGAAGAGGGTCATCAGAAATACTCATGTATGCAGTGCACACTTTGATTAGCCAGAATTTACTCTTAAATGGATTGATAATTTAGTTCATTTCAGTTTATTATTTTCTAATCAGAAACTGTGGAGGCATCAAGAGGAATGACAGATTTTCCTGAAACATGTTTTAGTACATAAGCAAATGTTAGCTTTGTTAGCAAAACAAATCTGAAGGAAACCATTTTTTTGTTGACAACCTTTCCACCATTGCCTTTGTGAGTCACAAATCCAAAGATATCCAAGGGCGAGTAAGGCCCGAACTACACGTATATAGATATTTATCAGGATATTTTTGTACTCCCGTCTAAATAAATGTATCTGTCCACACGTGTTAGTTCTCAAAAATATCTGCGTCCACACGTAGCCTTCAAACTCAACCCTATCTGGTGCCGCTTAAAAAAAATTCAGGAACAAAGCTAACTGACTGGCCGATGAATCGTAACAGCGTGATGCGTCATGCATTGTTTGTGGAAGCTACGCTAGTGCGTCGGGTCCATGTGACGGACCATGTGACCAATAAAAGTAATGGGCGCAGCAGACGCGTCTGTGAGCTGGCTGACTGGTGGATGTAATTGTATAAAACAAGGTTCACTTGCAAGGCTGAAATTAGCCCCAAAAGGGCAAAACAAACGTGATGTCTGTCCGCCATCGTTGTTGTTGTTGTTTTTCTTTTTAATTCGCATGTGCGAGCTGCGGTTTGACGTCATCGATCCGTAAAAGTCCGACCACACGAATCCACAACGGATACGGGATACGGATATTTTTTTATTTCTCCACTTGTTTTTTCGGATTCAGATTTATCCAGTTTGAGTGTTCCAAACTCCTGTTTTAGTGTGGTAGGGAGGCCTAATCGGACATAAATATGTGCGGTTTGAAATATATCCGCATTCGTGCAGTTTGGGCCTAAGTCCTGGGTTTGTCTTTATTGAACACACATTCTTTCTTTGTCACTTACCTTTGGTAGACCTGGCCAATCATCGAAGAAAAAAAAGTAGTAGTTTGGCTTCTTTTAATTACACGAATTAGCAACTGAAATTACAAAAATTTTTCCAATGTATAACTTGTTATCCTGTTGCTTACGCATTTGTTGTGGTGTGATCTAATAGGTTAACTGGGAGACAAACCAGAAAGTTTAAGCTAAAAGGGGGCATATTCCCACCTACTGTGGTGGTGACCAACATACTTCTGATAATAAATGGATTTGTTCCCAGTGCTTGTTAACTGGGTTTTAGACAGTATTCCAAACCAGATCGTCTAATTGAGCAATAAACTTACAGTGTATGTACACATACAGGTTGTCACGCTGAAAAAGAAATTGGACTCGAATGTAGTTTTTTACTTGTTGATCTCTTACAGCCAGCAGTCTGGGGAATCCACAGCATCCAGCACTGTTTCTATGGAGAAGGCTGCTTCCATGGGCGAGCCTATTGTTTTTGGACATAGAAAGACACAAAGGTACTGTAACGGATTAAATTAGGAAACTCACATACTGTGATCGAACTTCAACCAATCCAACTACAACCAGATGTACATACAAATCATACACCAGCGGAGGACACATGTCTAATGGGACATGTTTGTCTTTGTTTGTACACTCCACAGCCAGCCGACTGGAGAGCCATCCAGTTGTTCCGCATGTACAGGAGTTTTGAGGGATCCAGTTCGTCGTCTTTGTGGACACTGGTCATGCAAACAGTGTCACATCCTGGATTGTGAGTGTTTAAGTGAACTGGGACGTGAATTCAAACGCCGAAGAGGTAAAAGAAAAACAAAGACGAATATTTATGCTCAATGCTAATATTAGGTCCATACTTAATATGTGTTTTGAAATACAAAAAAGTCTGTAATATATTCTGTGCAAAAAAGTAATGTACTTTTGTGCTGTTTTCTGTTTTGGTGTGTAAAATGTAAAAGCTTTTCTATTTGCATGTGTTTTTAATCGTTCCAGTGGCCAGTCCTTTGATGAGAGCCAGACAGTTTTTTAAAGAAGAAATGAAGGGCAAGTTTGCTTCGATATCTGAGGGTAATGGTGACCCAAAGAGCTCCCTCAACAGCAAATACACAACACTCTTGATTTCCATCAAAGAGAATGAAGGGCTGCATGAAGAACACGTGTTCAGACATATCAAACAAAAATTTAAACCAGGCTCCCCTACAAAAAAAGTTGACCTCTGTGACAGCTTTAAACCTTTGCCTGGTCATCAGAATAAAATCAGAATGGTCCTTACGAAGGGTGTTGCAGGTATTGGCAAATCATTTTCAGTGCAGAAATTCATTCTTGACTGGGCCGAGGGGAAGGAGAACCAGGACTTCAGTTATGTTTTCTGCATTGCTTTCAGAGAGCTGAATTTGATCAGTGATGACAAAAGCTTACTTCAGCTCCTGACTAAGTTTCACCCTGCATTCGGGGAACAAGAAAATTCAGAAAATTATGTCAAGACCAGGGTCATAGTGATCCTGGATGGTCTGGATGAAAGTCGACTTCAACTGGACTTTGAAGGCAAGCCGGTAAAGTCAGTCACTGAAGTGACATCTGTGGCTAGTCTCCTTGCTAACCTCATCAAGGGTAACCTTCTGCCAGATGCTAAACTCTGGATAACATCCCGTCCAGCAGCAGCTTATCAGATCCCTGCAGAGTATGTAGACATGGTCACAGAGATCAGAGGGTTCAGTGATTCCCAAAAAGAGGAGTACTTCAGGAGGCGATTTAGAGATGATTCGAGCCTTGCTGACAGAATAGTGTCACATATTCGCTCGTCACAGAGTCTGGACATCATGTGCCAGATCCCAATCTTCTGCTGGATTTCTGCTGTGTTATTTGAGGAGATCTTTGGGGAGGATAAGGCTGAAATCCCTCAAACTCTTACAGAGATGATGGCCCATTACTTGCTCGCCCAGACAATACGCAGTAGCAGAAAATATAGTAAAAGCAGCGAAGAGCAACTTCTGAAGAAACACAAAGAATTCCTCCTGAAACTCGGCAAGCTTGCATTCATCCAGCTGCAGAAAAACAACATCATCTTCTACGATGAAGACCTTGAAGACTGTGGCATTGATGTGAAAGAGGCAACCATCTACTCTGGGTTTTGCTCTGGAGTCCTCAGAGAGGAACAGGCCTTTTCTCAGAAGGTCTTCTTCTTTGTGCACTTGACTATACAGGAGTTCTTCGCAGCCCTTTTTGTCTATGACTGTTTCTCAAACCAGAAAACAGAAGAGCTCAGCAACTTTCTTGATCTGAAGGATGAGAGCTATTCTTTACTTGAACTTCTGAAGTTGACAGTTGAGAAAGTGCTGGAGGACAAGAACAGCCACCTGGACTTCTTCATGCAATTCCTCCTTGGCCTCATGGTTGAATCGAATCGGAGAGTCCTTCAGGGTCTGCTGACATCACCAGACCAAGGTCAAGATACTGATAAGAAAATCCTGACACACCTTAAAGCCATTCGAAGGAAGACCCTTTCTCCAGACAGAAGCATCATCCTCTTCCAGACAATGGTTGAGATGAAGGATCACAAAGTCAAAGATGAAATCCAGGAATTTCTCAGATTACCTGAACGTTCCAAAACAGAGCTGACTTCCCTACAATGCTCAGCACTAGCCTACATGCTGCAGGTATCAGAGAATGATCTGGAGGTGTTGGACTTGAAGAGTTTCAACACAACAGATGAAGGTAGAAGGAGGCTTATACCAGCAGTGCGGGTCAGCAGGAAGGCTATGTAAGTTTACTTTTTAAAAATATGTATATTAAGTTTTAGTTACATACATTTCTGATAATAGGATTGTTTGGACAGCCTTTCAGTATAAAAAAATCCAAAAGTCCTGGTAGGAATCACATTCCAAGATACTTTTTTCTGTACCTTTGAATGGTTTCATTTTTCCTTTTTACCCATATGTAGACTAGCAGACTGCAAAGTGACTGAAGACTGGGTTGAACACTTGGCCTCTGGTCTTAAGTTCCCCTACCTTCCTTTGAGAGATCTTGATCTGAGCAACAATGACCTGAAAGATTCGGGAGTGAAGCTACTCTGTGATGGACTGTCAAGTCAGTCCTGCAGACTGAAGACACTGAGGTATGTTGGTTCATTTTCCTAAAATTTACTCAGAGATGAAGAAAAACTTACCAACTGCAAAGATGCTTACAAAAAGTTAATTCTGCTTTGTTTCTCAAGGTTGTCAGGCTGTCTGGTCACTGAGGAGGGTTGTGCTTCTCTGGTCTCAGCTCTCAAGTCCAATCCCTCCCACCTGATTGAGCTGGACCTAAGCTACAACAATCCAGGGGAATCTGGGAAGAAGCTGCTCTCTGAGCTAAAAGGCGACGCGCAGTACAAGCTCGACATACTCAGGTACTTACATAATGCTTGAAGATAAGTCTTTTCACTTTTGGTTAAATTGACAGTGTTGGAGGCATTTTGAGAAAGATTTTACACTGGTTACATCTGTTTTCTGTCTCAAAGTTTAATTCTTGTGATTTTTTAACAGCACTGATCATGACGGGGATCACAGGATGAAACCAGGATTCAAGAAATGTAAGTTATGTCTAGAATTGCTGTCCACAGTCTAGGAAGGGAGGCCCTTTACTTTTTCTACCAGTAGCCATCTTCAACTGAAATGACGAACAATTTCGATTGAGCGACCCCCGATTCCTCAATAAATATAGAATTTGATGGTTTGCAAGTAATTTGATGTAATTAGTAAATAGTACAGAGGTGCCAGTTACACACTTGATTAAGTTAGAACTTTGGCCTAAACACTGAATAAGTTGTGTAAAGCTGGATGGATGTTGCATCCTCTGCTTTAAAATAAGAGAAGAATCACCTGGTTTATTATCAGCACAACTTGAAAGCCAGCATCCCTGCTGGTGTAGGAATGCACAAGTGTCCATGGCACATGTCGATAACATGCCTGGTAAAGCTCTATTAATGCTGAGCAATACATACAGGTATCTACTTGATGTATGCTGCCATCCAAACAATGACTTTCTCAGTGAAGACCTTCATATTTTAGCAAGACAATGCCAAACTACATTCTGCAAGTATTACAAATGCATGGCTCTGTAGTATAAGAGTCCTTGGTCAAATAAATAGAGCGTCCAAATTATTTGCACAACATCCAAAACCACAAATTCTGTTTTTCATTTTTTTTATTTTTTCACCCTAGATGCCTGTATGCTGACTTTCGACCAAGACACTGCCCAGAAGATCCTTACTTTCACGGACGAAAACAGAAAAGTGTCATGGGTGGAAGAGGAGCAGCAATTCCCCAAGGATGGAGAGAGGTTTGGTACCTGCCAACGTTTACTGTGTCAACAGGGTCTAAACGAGCGCTCCTACTTTGAGATTGAGATGTTGGAAACCTTTGCCGTTGGGTTGACATACAAAACCACTGACAAGAAAGGGGATGCCCACTGTAAGCTGGGACAGGATGACAGGTCTTGGTGCCTGAACTGCTCTGATGATGGCTGTTATGCTTTGTATGACAACCAGAGATTTAATGTTGCTGCTCGCCGTTCACGATCTAGTCGGGTGGCAGTGTACCTTGATTGGGTGGCTGGTACTCTGTCATTTTATAAGGTTTCCTCTGACAGTCGAACCCGCCTCCATACCTTCAAAACAACTTTCAGCCAACCCCTCCATCTTGCTGTTGAACTTTACGCAGGTTCCTCAGCATCATTATGTCTGCCGGTGTAACTTTAAGTGCATTCTTGGCAGATGGGTGAAGGTAATCAAAGTTTTGATAAAAATAGTGTTGTTGACACTCAGTGTGTTCACATGCACAGCTTAATCGGACTAAGCTCATAATTTGTTTTTTTCCCCGAATCAGACTTTTCTCCTTGTCCGCGTAAACATGCAGCTGAGAAAATAGAATTACTGACGTGAACATGTCCCCCTCCCCAAAACTAGGGAGTGATATGGGTCTTTTCAGCTGCGCTGTTTCCGACCCCATACAACCTTCAACAACAAAAAGGTCTGTGCCGGACGTAAGAAGTGTCCACAACTGCTGCTGGGCATTTTAGAGCAAGAAGATAGAGCATCATACAGCGTTGTTTTTGTCGTAGATGATGTACCCGCTACTTTTTCTGCTGATGAGATGCACGTTACTCCTCTTCTCTTGTGTTTTTGTTACAGGGTTTCAGGGGGGTGGCGCACACGCACATGCATTGTCCGATCATACTCGGACTACGCTGGTTACATGGTAGAGAAAATCGAATTCCAATCGCACTATCTGGGTGTCTTAATCAGAGTTCTCCGACTACAATCGGAGTTCTCAAACTCCAATTATAGTCAGAATAAGGTGTTACATGCACTTAAGTTGTCTGGTCTTAATCAGAATAAGGCAATAATTCGGTTTTCTTGAGTGTCATGTAAACGTACTGATTGAAAACCTGGGTAGGCTTTTGTTTCTCTCTTCACGTTCCCTTCTACAAATTCAAAAGGATTGGGAAACAAAATACTGTCTAACTACTGATAAAGAACACTGATTATGTAAAACTCTTTTGTAAATATCATTTTGCTCTGGGGAAACTGTAAATGTTGTCCAACTGATAAAGCCACAACATTTAAATTGTCTAATGAAAATGGAAACAACCAATCTAACATTAAATAGTTGTCACTGGGTTAAACCTACTTCTGTTACCTATGAGTAACATATGTACACCTCTCATCCATTTTCATTAACGCAACATTTTAGCATCAGTATCAGCCTTTCATGTTTTTTTTTAACAAATATATTAATATATATATAAATATATATAAGTTTGTCTCTCTGTGATTGTTCCTCATCATTATTTTTACCTTCCTTATAGAGATGAGTGGATGTAGCCTCATAAAGCTCCTGAGCTGCATTTCAGTTTGTGTTGAAAAGATTTGACGCTTAAAACACAGTGACACCTGGTGGCTTGTATAGGTAATGACAGCCCTCTCAATGGTGATCTGAAACCCTGAGACTTTCCACATTGTCAAGTTGAATTTACGGTTTTGCTTCTTTCAAATAGGGAAACATGTCAGTGTGGGGTATTTAAAATCTGATTTATGGTTAGTGTTTTGGACAAAGACGAATAAGTTTTCAAAGAACACATGGAAATTGGGCCTTTTTTTTTTTTTCTAACATACTAAAGGATTACCAGATTTCAGGCTGATTCCACTGTCTCTACTGTATTGTATGATTGTGTTCAAATAAAGAGAAATGCAGAAACATATTGTGTATTTTGTGAGCTATTATTTCACCGATTGGTGTCAGACCCAGTTATTAGAACGGGTGCACATGCAAAGGAAAAAAACAGCTCGTCCACCTTGTCATATCTGGATGAGTGGTTCACTGGTCTGGCTGACAGTAAAAGGTGGGGCCGTCTGGCTGCCTCGGGCCCCTGCTGTCACTCTCAGACAAACTGAGGAAGGGTGGGGCCTCGTCATTCACGTCTCTCCACAATAAAAGTCCTGAATTTGACAAAAGAAAGGTGCAGGTGAGATACGTGTTGATTTGATAGGTTTCTTTAGTAAACAAGTTTTAATAAAAAGGACAACAAAAATACTGATGTAATGAGCAGATCACCACTTGTTGGTTAAATCCTTACAGAAACAACTTTTTACCAATCAGTGTTTAAAAAGCAAGTTATCTACAGATAAAAGTTTTAATTTAATGTTGGTTCAATTTTGTTACTTAACCTGAAAGAAAACCAGTATTTAAAAAAATAAACAATGTAAATGAATGGAAAAGTTGAGTAACCTACTGTTACTGTTATTTTGATTTAAGCACTACCAAGATGTTATTTTTCTGTTATTTTCTACGCATCATGGAATGGTTTCAGTGTTGTTGCCTGTTACCACTGATTAAATGATCCATAAAGCTAAAATTCAAACATACAATGGCAACACAATGAGTGAAATGAAGAACCAAGCTCACCACAGCCTCATCAAATATTTATCTCACCTATAGAGCAGAATTATTTATTACTCAAGCCATTATAGTAATTAATCATCTTTTATTTATGTTTTAGCCTATACCATTAAACATGTCTGTTGTGTAAATGTATCAAACCTTTCTTCACTTTGTCTAATGTCAAAAAAGGGCAAAGTTTAACCTTACCTTCACAGTTAGTGTGTGCAGACTTTTTGCTGACTGGAATCAGGCTAAAATTAGCTGCTTCCTCAATGTTTCAGTTCATTCGAATTTAACCTGGTACGGCCTGGTTCTACCCAATGTTATGAGAGCTGACCCAAAGACACCTGAAATCTAAATTAAGACACAAAGCTGTATAATTTTAACAGGTCTAGATGAAATTTCCTATTTTCTTGTAGAGTGTTGAAAAATCAAAGTAATGCAAGAAAATAAAAAATTAAAAAGGAGAGATCAAAACAATTTAAAATAAAAAAGACATAAAATTAACATAAATAAAACATAGAATTATTTACAATCAAATAGATAAAATGATTTAAAATCAAAAGACAAAACTATTTAAAGTCAAAAAGACAAAATTATTTAAAATCAAAAAGACAAAAATAAAAAAGACATAGAATGTATGTCTTAATTTCACGATTACTCCTGTGCCAGACTAAAATCAATTGACACCAATCTTCTTTGTTAAATTACCACAGTTCGTCATGAAGTTATACGTTGCAGTTTTGAAGCTAAGGGGCAGACTAATTCCTGGTTGGCACAAGCTAACCGTCACTGTCACTTTTCCCTGCCAAGCTTGTTTCTGTCTTAAAACGTTATTATCAGCGACCTAAACGGTATACTGAAACAATGAGAAAAATTGTTTCACTTTTATTTATCCCCAAGAAAATATAAAACTTCCTATCTTTGTGAATGGGCTAATACTGGGCAGTTTCAGCCTTAATGTTAGCTAAACCGGGCTAAAGGTGGCCAAGCCCGTGATTACCAAGCTGTCATAAAAGTGGAAAAAATATCTTACCACAAGCGCACAAATCTGAAAAATATCGGTAAATTTGTTCAAAACATTCTTCTCTTTCACCTCTTCGTGTTTACTAAGTCAATAAACGGTTGTTATTTGAATATGTTTGCGGGCTGTAACCGTTAAAACGACAAAACAAACTTCATTTGAATTATCGAGACAAAAAAAACCGCGATAGAGAGTTAGAGAGACGTCTAAAAACACCGGGAGAGAGAGAGAGAGGGAGAGGCTGGAGGGAAGGGAGGGAAGAACGTTGTCATCACGTACAGCCGCGGATGAGAGGGGAGGGGCGGGGGTGTTTAGCCGGGTCTCTCCTCTCTCTCTCTGCTGCAGCGGCCATGCTGCTATCCACCGTCTGCCTCGGTGCATCCCGGTCCTCCTCCGGTGCAACCTGCCGCCGCTGCATCCCTCTCTCCCGGGTAGGCGGGTCAGCTCCCACCGGGTCTGCCCTGTCGTAACGGTTCCTGCGATTCGCCTGGATCAACCGGAGCGAACCGGAACACGGCACCGGAGGGAAGGGGAAGAAAGCCTCCATAGCAACAAACCGGTTACACGGCATTATTGGTAGGTGCCTCCCTCTCAGTGTGTGTGTGCGGGTGTGTGTGTTTGAATGGCGCTGACAGCACAGCTTTAGCAGTGTTTGGGCGGATAGATGAATAAAGTCAATGATCTGATCAGATAGAGAACACATAGATTCTGTTTTTATTTATGTGCGAGCTCAAAATTTCCTGCAGGCTCCAGGTTATTCCAACCGAAATGGGAATGAATGCAGATATCTCCTTCTGGCCTTACAGGAGATACAGTTCAATGAAATAAGGAAGGTGTGTTTAGATACAGACTCTTTTGCATGATCATTTCGATTAAACCCTGCAGGCTGTACATAGAAAGCTCAGAAAAGCACATGCATTCATGTGGTAAAAGGAGCCAAGTCTTTGCAGTGCACAGAGTCCACCCTTGATTGAAGCATGTGTTAAGTAATGAAAAACCACTGGATTAACTATAAATCATAATCGTTTTCTGCAACAGGAGCAACATTCGAGGGCTGAATCTGCTGGTTGTTGCGTATCCTTAAGACAGGATCTCTAAACCATGTGATTGTCATTTCTTTTTATCAGCGATGGACGCATGCTGAGGATGCAGGAAGACAAAAGTGTGACAAGGACAGGAATCCAGAGAATAATTGGATTGCAAGAGCAACTGTGGCAGATCTGAAGCGGGGACTCAACAGATTCGCACAGGGTCTGCATAAAAAGGAGCTTTAAAGCCAGATCACTGGGACTACAGGAAGGTCACTGTAGCGAAGAGACGTCCTGGTCACCAAGAAAAAACGGGGACATGTGCTGGGATGAATGTGGATTTCATTGCCTTAATGTTCTTCACTGGAGCTTGAAATTAGTTTGAGGAAAACCCTCTTGGGAAGGAGTTTCTTGAAATGCTAAGACGTTCAAAGAGAACCCCAGAAATGCAGCAACTTCTGACAGCAGTCTAAGCATCAGAGAGGCCTTCAATGAACCACTGAAACTTGACCTGTTGGACTTTGACACTATCTTCATCATCGTCTCGTTGGTATCAAGTCTGGAAAGGACACTACAAGGACTACTTTTGCTATTTTTTCGTGTTGCAATAGAATTGTGAGTCAATCTTAAGGAACCAAAGTGAGGACTCGGTATGTAAAGACAAAAAAACAGACCTTTTTGGGGTCTTCTTGTCCTCATACCAAGACAACTAGACTACTGATGGGTTGTGAGAAAGAAAAACCGCTTCTTGAAGACTGAAGTGGATTGCTTTCCAGAACTGACCTTACTGGTTCCACAGTAGTCTCAGGATTATAATCTTTCCGGGGTCAAAAAAGGAGTTGCCATTTCTCAAAAGGACTTCCTTGCGGGTTTGTATAACTAGGGTTTAAGATTAGGCTCGACCCCAGGTAGCTGAGATTAGAGTCACAGTTTTAAGCTCTTGGAAGATGAATCAAATGTAGCAAGGACTCTGTTGGACTTGACTCAATCAGTATTCGCCATGTCTTTGAGCAAGACCCTTGAGCTGGAGCACTTCGACGAACGCGACAAGGTTCGTCGTGGACGCTCCCCACGCGCCAAGAGAGATGACTCCACCAGCAGTGCTGGTGGTGGGGGGTCTGGCCCCAGCTCACGAGGCAGCAGCCTGGTCCCTAGTCCCGCCCATAGTGCCAACTGTAGTTACTACCGGACCCGGACCCTTCAAGCACTCACCTCCGAGAAACGAGCCAAGAAGGTCCGGTTCTATCGCAATGGAGACAGATACTTCAAGGGTTTGGTGTATGCTGTTTCGAGTGATAGGTTTCGCTCCTACGATGCATTGCTGATGGAGCTGACGCGCTCGTTGGCGGATAACCTCCATCTGCCACAAGGTGTGCGAACGATCTACACCATAGATGGCAGCAAGATCACCAGCATGGATGAGCTGGTGGAAGGTAAGACTTGCAACTACATCAATTGTTCACAGTCAACACTTGGGCTTAGAAATCCACTGAACTGCATTGAGGTCACAACTTTTCCATCATCAGACAAAGAAACCAAACTGCAGGTTTACACAAAGATCATCAAATATTAACTGTTCATCGTCACCGATTACGTTCCTTAAGACAGTCTCTCGAAGTAGAGTACACTGATTCTCTCTGTGGGATCAAAACTCAAAGTTAACACTGGAAGGCTGCTTGTCTCCCAAGGCCAGTGGATTCCATTGTCTGCTGTTGTGTCGTATGGTTCTCTTCTATAGGTCGATCGCACAAACTAAAAAATATTTAGTTGTATGTACAGCTTTTGTATTCTGACATAATAACGTCTTTGATTTTGGTTTGTCATTCACACCGACTACCTCTCACGATGCGTCAAGTTTTTAAATTTTTATCCCTGCTACTGAGCTCTTATCCCAAAGTGTCAAACTACTACAACACAAAAGACATCTGAAGTTCATCTCCCAGTTTTCTGAATTGTTACTCTGCCAAAATTGCCTCATGCAGGAAATAAATGGACTCCTGCTGAACTGTAACACAGCATAATAGTCGCCTACTTTTACCTGCCACTTCCTCTAAAGATTAATTGATTAAACGTCCTCCTTAAAATCCCCCGATGTCTTCTTCCTGTCAGCTGTTTGTCAAACAAACGCTCTTGCTACATTTGCTCCTGTCCGGATCAGAAGCAGATGAGGAGGCGTTCATGTACTTTGTTTTAGACACTTATGGTGATATAAACGACTCTTAATGAGTCAAATCTGCCTTTTTTAACCTCTAAAAGACAGTTTTTCACCCTTACAGTGAGTACAATCATGTTTTAAAACTATGTTGTCAACATACACGTCTGTAAAGTCCAGTGAGTCTGGAGTCACTTAGAAGCAGCTGAGTAACATCACTTATCATCAATATTGACGTGTGTGACTGCCTGTAATGTCTCCTAATGAGTGTTAGAGACAGGAAACTGTTCAGCCGGAGATGCTCTAAGACAGATGCGCCACTCTTAAGCACTTTGTGGATAAATAAAGTATAAACAGAGAAGAGCATTAAGCAAACTCTTGATTTAAGATATCACTCTGCCCTGGAGCTCCACATGTAGACGAGTGAGGTTTAGTTTAGTTAGAATAAACCAGTTTAGAGCTGCAGTGGTCACTTATTTTAGTAATTTAGTATTCTATTGAATTTTTAAGTGTTTAATTAAGTGATCTATTATGAGATGTTGCATGCTCAGCAGTTTTTTTTCCATTACTGCCACTGAAAGGGACCACGCATCACTTCTTCACCTCACTTCGAGAGCTTTGGGTTCATTTTGGTGATAAAACTTCCTAAATGAAATGCCGGATTTCACTTGTAGTAAAAAAAATTTACAGGGTCATAAAAAAATATGAAGGATCTGAGCGTTTTTACGGTTCACATTTTATATTGATGTCCTCTATCGAGACTTGGGCTTGTATTTTATTTGATTATTATGATTGTATTTAGTTTGTGCAGCATTTGGATAAAAGCAGGATCAGTCCTGTCCAGCTGCTTTGAATAACAAAGTGAGAGTCGGCACCTGGAGAGACAAGGTCACACAAACGTTACCTGTCAGAGTGTGTGTGAACATGTTAAAGGAGAGAGACGGAAAGGTGTGTGTTTGAGAAAGGTGTGTGTGTAGGATAGAGAGAGACAATGAGAGAGAGAGAGAGACAGAGACAGTGATCCATTTTTATCCATATAAGGTAAAACAGCAGAGTGACTGAGAGCTACTGTACGTCTGATAGGCTGGAATTCGCCCCAGAGCTATCATTAGATCTATTATTTTAATAAGACATATATATATAAAACACCTATATTAAGGATTTTACATCATTACTGTGAGTCCAAGATATTCCGGAAATTTCAGACAAATAGTAGGAGTGATAAACCATTTTAATGTTGATGCACATGGTTATAATAAATGCTGACTCTTTCTTATTTTACATCATTTAAAAAATGAAATAACATTTTATTATTGAAATGTTTTCCATACAAAGCGATTTTTTTCTACTTGTTGGAGATAATTATATTTTAGAATTTTTTCTTTATAGGGGAAAAACGGCTTATATTCAACACTCCATCATTTTTCTGTTTTAACGATAAGAGCCTCTTAGTTAAAGGTGGGGTAGGCAGGATTCGGTTAAAGAAGCAGCTTTTTGTGGTGTATAAACAAAAAAGCTTTTAATATCAGTCAATAGTTATTGATGACATTTGGTAATATAACGATATCTCTGTGTTCTCTTATGTCTGTGTCGTCAACATTTGAACATTTTTGAGCGGTCCGCTCTTTCTGACTGTAAACAAAGCCGTTCTCCACCTCCTCTAACCTGATTGGTTGTGAGGCAGACGCTGCTCCCCCGTGTCGTTCAGGAGCCCAAACAAAGTTAGCGTGCTACAATATCGGACAGTAGAAACCAACCAGAAAGTTCGGAAAATTGTCTGAATCCTCCTTTGGTCACGACTGCCGACACAAGCAAGAAAACAAAGTAAATACCGGAGACTCTGGAGGAATAACGGGCGCTTAAAACGGAGGTAGACCGGACAAGAGCTAAAAAGCCGGGTCAACATAAACGATGGGGGACGCTTGGGGATCTTGGTGACCCTGTAACCTTTCTGCTGGACAGGTAAACCGCTTTAACAAAGTAAGACAAGTGTCTGTAACAGAAGTGTTTCTTGTCAAACGGACCTGCTGTAGCGTGTTGTAGCGCCATCGCTAAACTGTCCTCCCTCGGGTCCTGGACTATGTCACTTTATCCTAGTTGTAGAAGTCCTGCAAACATTGCGTTAAGGGTTGGGTATCGTTTGATTTTGAACGATTCCGATTCCGATTCCGGTTCCGGTTCCGATTCCAATTCCGATTCCTGGTTTCGATTCCGGTTCCTAACTATTCTCCGTAGTGGTGTTCAGGGGCTATTTCTACTGGTCGGCAGACTCCGGCATCGAAACTTGGAATTGAAATTTTAAAATTTAAACGGTTCCGGGAAAATCGGAATGTTAGTCCCGGTCCCCATCAATGCTCGAGCACTAATTGTGTTTGCTGGTAGTCTGTTGGCATCTACAGTAGCACCAATGCTTTTGACTTTCACCTTGACTGGGCCCCATTTGTAATGATCTGAAGTATTTATCTGCATTATATCTGAATTTAATTGGAACGATACGAGCGAGCAGGAGCGTCTGTTTGTGGGCGGGGCTTGAGGGGAAAACTGGTTGGGAGGGGTAGAGTTTACATTCAAGATTTCTCCCAAAAACTGGCACTAACTCAGATCCTGACTACCCTACCTTTAATAATTATGACTTTAAGTTGTTTTGGAAAAATATTGACTTCTTTACTGGTAGAAATAGAAGTTTTTGGGGTTCATCCCAAAGAAGGGAAAGTATAAGATTTGGAAAATAAAAAAGGCAAAACTGTAAGAATTAACGTGAAAACGTACTCCTGAAAACTCAAACCCACAGTTACACTTTTTACAGCGTAGTAATATTACTAATACCTGAATTAAGGCTGGTTCCTCATAAAGCTCCACACTTGATACCAGCAGGCAGGAACTGTGCAGGAACAATCCTGCTCTTTGTTTTCATCAGCTGGTGTAGAAGCTGATCTGTTGTTCGGCTTCCTCCTCACGTCTCACACTGAGAGAAGGAGTGAACCCGACATCTGCTGTCACCTCCACTTCATCTACACTCACACACACACACACACAAGAGAGCCAGAGGGTTAGCGCGCCGCTGTTATCGACTACAGCAGCTCTTTAACAACCTCCAGCTCTGAACTCAGGGTCTGACACGAGAGAGGAGCAGTTACTGTACATCACACTTCCCCCCCTTCTGTCCATCTCCCCTCTGCTCAGGTGAGTGCTACGTTTGTGCCTCCAACGAGCCGTACCGAAAGGTCGACTACACCAAGATCTCCATCCCCAGCTGGAAGCCTGGAGCCAGCGCCGGGGTCAGCACCACAAGTTCCCCCCGGCCTTCTACGGTATCGACAGGGGTGTCGGCAAGCACGGGCGCCGGCTCTAAAGATCGCCTTGAAAGCCGGGAGAGCCGGGAGAGCAAAGACTTCATCAAACCCAAACTGGTGACGGTGATCAGGAGCGGCGTGAAGCCGCGCAAGGCGGTCAGGATCCTTCTGAACAAGAAGACGGCTCACTCCTTCGAACAAGTCCTGGCCGACATCACTGAGGCCATAAAGCTGGACTCTGGAGCCGTGAAGAGGCTGTACACGCTGGACGGGAAACAGGTGAGAAGATGCAGATTTTTGGTTTATTAGCTTTAGAGGACAAAAGATGTCGACATTTATCCACCATGAGTGAGGTTTGGGGAAAAACAGGCAAAAACCACAAGTAAACCAGACTGGTTGCTGCTGAGCTGCTCTTCAGGCTTAGCCTACAGCAGCAAAACTAGGAACTGGTCTACACCTGGTGGGGATAAGCTCCCCAGACCATGACGAGTAGATGACTCCAAAAGAAAGGGGCCTGATTACTGAAAGCTCCAACTCCCGTACTACCTTTAGAGACTTTGGGAACCATGAGCAGGACTGTGTCATTTCTGTCTTAGCCTTCAGCTAACCCTAAATCCCATACTACACCTAAAGACTTTGGAAACCATGAGCAGGACTGTGTTGTTTCTGTTTTAGTCTACAGCCAACCCTAACTCCCTAACTACTTTTAGAAGCTTTGGGAACCACGAGAAGGACTGTGTCGTTTGTTTTAGCCTACATCTGACCCTAACTCCCATACTACTTTGAAAGACTTTCGTTCAGTGCTCTCTCTATTTTTAGTCAAATGCATTCTAGACTTCTACAGAAGAACCTAGATCACCTGTGGAGACATAGATAGAAACAATCTCCGTCTTTGTGGACGTAGGAGTTCATTTGAGCAGGTGTTGACCGTTTTTCTTCTCTTTAACGTTGACATGATAGTTCCACTTTTAAAAGCTAAAGTCTCCACATCTTTTAGTCATAACTTTAGATAAAGTAGAACAAATCAGTGTGAGAGTGGGCTCCCCTCAAAATCAGATAATAGGACATTATTGGCGAATTACTGCTGGGATGAGAAATTGATTATGTCCCAAATTGAGCCTTTAGGTGTAATTTTCCGTTTCAAGCGCGGGGACAGTGAGTTCAGTCTCTTTTGAAGCTTCGTATTTGGTGCTCGGAGCTAAAAGTGGAGTCTGTTTAAAGCCGCGAATCTGCGACAGTCAGCTCGATTTTTTTTCTCGTACCTCTGTCATGTTGAACAGAATCTGAATGTTCTCTGATCCACCCTGAAACTCTTTTGTGAGCTCATACCGAGTGAAAAAGTCTGGATTTAAACCTCTCACACATTCAGTGGCACGGCTATTTTTACCACACACACACACACACACACACACACACACACATTGACTTGCACTCTTTGAAGTCAGAGATAAGAGTGGTGACTGTGACACAATGACAGTGGAGAGCTGAAGAAGAGGACGGTGTGGAGGGTGCTCGATTTCACAGAACTATTTCACCCATTAAAATAAAACGTGTTTCCTTTTTTTTTTTTTAAAAGAACTGAGTCGATTATTTTTGTCTGTCGTTACTTTAATAAGAGCCTGATTACGGCTGGTCATGTTTGTCGATATGGGTTGTTTTTTTGACATGAAGCTGCAATAATTAAGTTTTTTAAATCAAGTTATTTCGATGACTTCTGCTGCATTTTCACTCGTTACCCACAATTTCAAACGCATCCGGCTACGAAAAGGTCGTATCCGCCGATCGTAGCTGATCGTAACCATTCAAGTTAACGTGTCAATTTCCACCGCCTCCTTCCGTTTCGCCTCCTTCCGTTTCGCTGGATTCCGAATCGCTGGATTCCGAATTGCTGGATTCCGCAGTTGATCGCAAGCATTCTATTTTTCTCCGGACACCAGAGCATGGCGGATAAATTCAGCACAGATTAACCCGTGCTGGAAAAGAAGTCAGGCGCAAACACAAAATAAAACATCCGGCTTCTTTTCAAAATAAAACACTCCGTGTTTCAGGAGGATCGTATTTCACACCATGCAAACGGGGGGAGACGAACAAGTGAAAGGTTTTTAGACGTGATTTCACCCCGATGACACCATGGATGAGGAGATGCTGATTCTAGAAGTCTAGAAGTAGATTTCCTCCTCTGGAAGGACACAATCTACTGCTTATATGGTTAGTCTATGTGGCTGAAGACAACTTGTTATCACGCGATTACAGGTGAATCTGCCGGTTCTTGTGAGTTCTCGCGATTCCGCCACAAAATTGACCTCACAAATGGATCCGGTAGGAATTGGCGTACGTTAAAAAACGCTGCCGATCCGGGTGCCGTGGAAATCTCGGGTTAAAGGCTTTTATTTTGAAGGATCGTCTGATTATGAGGGCCGTTATTCTGCTTCAGACGACTTTGCTCTTTTCAGACTCAGTCAGTCTGAATGAAACAAGGCCAACGTGTGTGTGTGTTTGTGTGTGTGTGTGTGTGTGTCCTCCCTCCGTCCTTTCAGTTTGTGCATTCACTTCAAGCAGCAGGACGGAGACCCCATCACACACACAAACACACACACACACATTAATACTACAGTTCGGTCACCATAGTAACCAGCCACCCAGAAACAACCCCGTCCTTGCTAAACACACACACAAACACAGTCACACACATGGAAATACACACAAAGTGCAGTTCCGGAGGCGGTTAGTAGAAAGCTAAACGGGAGGAGGGGGGGGTGAAGGACAGAGGAGGAGTGAGAGGTAAAATCAAGGACAGCAGGGGTGGGGAGGTGGGGAGGTGGGGAGGTGGAGGTTATCGGAGGGGAGGAGACCAAAAACAAAAACAACAAAAAAGGAGGTGGAAGAAGACTGACGAAAGAAGAAGAAGAAAGTGTCGAGTTAACGTGTGAAAAGACAAAGAAACACTCGTGAATGTGCTTTACTTCTCTAAAGGGACTTTATTTGGTTCAAAGTTCCTCTCTTACACTAGACTTCCCGTTTTAAAACTCAGGAAAATTCACCTCCTGTTTGAAGAATCATGTTCACGAGAAGAAACCGCATAAACGTTGAAAGTGGTGAAAGTTGAAGTAGTGTTACGGGTCCCGGGCATTACCGAGCACCACGCAACAATGAAGATTGTTTCTGTAAAACAAAGTAAAGGTGTACTGAAATGAGGCTGTATGAACTCCTTGTGTCTCCTCCATTCACTGAACTCAGATTTATTCACAATAGTTGACAATAACCATCTCAAATCAACCAATCAATCGACCACACAGTCAGACAGTAAACAACAATAATAAAATATTTCCCGTTCTGAATGAATATCGACTGAATATCTCTGGATCTGTCCTTTGTTAGGTTTTTCCTATATGTGTGTATGTGTGGTTTAGGTATGTGTGTGTATGGATGTATGTGTGTGTGTGTTTATACATGTGTTTGTGTGTGGGTGTGTGTATATGTATGTGGAAAGGGGATATAAATGTAAACATTTGTTAACCACATCAGCATAAACAATGTCATACACAAAACAACCTGTACGACATCCTTATCAAAACTCTACACATCAGTCAAATGTTCTGATAACCTTTTAGAAAAGTATTCGAATGTCAGGAATAACCGTCAACATGGCACATTCGCGTGTCCGAAACATAACGCAGCAAAACACCGACGCCTTCGTATCTGCCGCGTCACAGCACGTTAGCCGCTAGAGTCGCTAGCAACGTAAAATCACATGGCGAACCGCGGGCATTCTAACCCTCTTAAAACTTAAAACTTTGTCATTCAAGTGTCCTAACACATCCCCACATTCATGCCAATGCTTACGATCTTAGTCATCGTATTTTCACAGTGAACCAACCTGTAAAACAAAGTAAAGGTGTACTGAAATGAGGCTGTATGAACTCCTTGTGTCTCCTCCATTCACTGAACTGCCGGTGGGCGGAAGTCGCTTACCTCTCACCCTATCGTGCAGCAGTGAAACTGGCCGCTCACCAAAGGTTCCGGTCCCCATAACAAATACATAGTAATGCATACCGATGACTTTCTGGCATTCAACCATTAAAATAAGTTATGAAAAATAAAAAAAAAAGTGCTTAATACATCACTTTATAAAGTGTTTGCTGTTTCCAAAATAAAGTTCCTTCACTCATTTATGAGGGTATCACAGTCTCCCCGACAAACAGAAGTGGCTCCCGACACTTGACCTAAAAAAATAGAAAACCTCACAGTTCAAAGTTCACCAAACGGCTTCACTCATGTAGAAAAGATGAGAACAAAGGCACTCCCAACGTAGGCATCGAATGTCCTTAACGTGTGCATAGTCTGTGGCACTTCAAGTGTCTCACTTCAGTTCAAAAACAAGGTACTGGGTATGCGGTGTATGGGAGTGGATATGTAGTGTATGGGAATGAATGTGGTGTGAAGGCCGGGGACATGGGGGGTTGGAAGGGGAGGGGATAGTGCTGAGGGAAATGGTGCTGAGGGTACTGTAGCTGGGGCCACTGCGTCGGATGAATTTCCACTGCATTCACGCTGGGGCGGCGCTGGTAGGCTGGTTGACCCAGAGAGGGGTAGGTGAACATGTAGCCAGGCTTTCTCACCCGGGTGGAGTGTCTCACGGGGGCTGGGTGTTCCGGCCGGAGTGGCTCTGCGATGTCTTCCCCCTGGCAGACGACTTCACGTACCTGGTGATCATCATCGAGCTGGGGCTGATCCATGTCCTGTTCAGCCTCACGGTATACTTCTGGTTCCTCTTCCATGTTGTTTTCGCTGTTCTGTTCAGGTTCCGCGTTGACTCCCTGTTCAGGTCTGACGTCAACTCTTTCTTCCTGGTGAAGTCCATGGTTCATGTTCCCTTGTGACTCTTGAATTACGTCCCGATCTGGTGAGGGACTGGCAGTTCTGGTTGGTAGTCGCAGCCAGTAGCGATACACACCACCCTCTTCTTCCGAGTCACTTGTGTCTGGGCTCGGTGCCTGTTCTGTGGGTTTTACAGACTCAGAGTGTCTTTTAACTTTCTTGTGCGACCCACGCGTGCTGGTGGCTGGACTTTGTGGTGGTTCCACTGGCAGATCATTTACTTGCAATAGCAGGTTCCGATGTAGGGTGCGAGTAGGGCGGTTTCCTGTCTCAGGGGCGACTTTGTAAACAGGATTGTCTCCAACCTTCTCCTTTACAATGTAGATGGTCTGCTCCCAGTAGGATCGGAGTTTACCAGGTCCACCTCTCTCACTGAGGTTACGCACCAGGACCCTATCTCCAGGCTCAAGAGTCACACCTCTGCTGCGCTTGTCGTAGTACTTCTTGCCCTTACTGCTGGACTGCTGGCTGTTTTCGTTCGCTATCCTGTAAGCCTCGGTCATCCTTCCTGCCCATTTGTTGGCATATCCTTGGTGGGTTTCTGTTTCTCCGTCGGCTATGAGGCCAAACAGAAGGTCGACGGGGAGGCGTGGATGATGGCCATACATCAAATAGTAGGGGGAAAACCCGGTGGCTTCGTGCTTCGTGCAGTTATATGCGTGAACAACATGAGGCAGGTGATCTTTCCAATTCCCCTTTTCTTTCTCTCCCAACGTCCTGAGCATTTGTAACAGTGTGCGGTTTAGTCTCTCCACAGGGTTTCCTTGGGGGTGATAGGGAGTGGTTCTGGAGTGACCCACCCCGGCTAGTTTTCTCAGGGACCGGAACAACTCGTTTTCGAACTCTCCTCCCCGGTCATGGTGGAGTTTGGACATGTAGCCAAACCGGGGAATAAAGTCATTGAACAGCTTGTCGGCCGCCGTCTTACCAGCTTTATTACGGGTGGGGTAGGCTTGTGCAAACCTGGTGAAGTGGTCGACCACCACCAGAATATACTCACATCCACCACGGGAGGGCTCCAGATGGAGGAAGTCGATGCACACCAGTTCGAGGGGCGAGTTGGATGTAACACTGCCCATGGGCGCTCTTTCATGCACTGCTGGCTTCTTCTGTTTCAGACAGGGGCACTTTCTGGTGACATACTCCTCTATCTCTCTCTTCATGAATGGCCAATAGAAGCGCTCTCTTGCCAGGGTCAGGACTTTTTCAACACCAACATGGCCCATGTTGTTATGTAGGTAGGTGAGGGCTAGTTGCTTGTATGTGGCCGGCAATACCAGCTGTCTTCGGCCTGTGGTTTTCCTGTACAATAGGCCGTCCTCAATATGCAACTTGCTCCACTCCCTTAGTAGCCTCATGGTGTCTGTGTCCCAGTTGTTCTTGTTGTACTCTGTCGGTGTTGTGTTGCTGTCCTTTAACTCCATGACCTTTCCAATTGCCGGGTCTTTTCTTTGTTTTTTAACCAGTTCATCATGACTTATGGCCTGCAGTGGCTCCATGCGGGGCTGAGTTTGGGATGCAAGGCTGAGGGCTGCGACCCAGGCAACGTCCTTCTGCTGAGCTCTCCGGGTTCCTTCCCAGACAGTGCACACGGCCTCGTCCGATAGCTCCTCAGAGCACTCCGTCATGAGGGTCTCGATGTCAAGGGGGCAACGGGACAGGGTATCGGCATCGATGTTCATCTTGCCTGGCCGGTATCTGATGTCGAAGCGAAAATCGGCGAGCTGCCCCACCCACCGGTGGCCCACCGCATTGAGCTTGGCCGTGCTTAGGACATACGTGAGCGGATTGTTGTCTGTGAAGACAGTGAAGTGAGGGGCATAGAACAAATAGTCTCTGAATTTATCACATACCGCCCACTTTAGTGCCAGGAACTCTAGCTTGCCGCTGTGCAGGTGGTAATTCTGCTCCGCTGGGGTCAGTGTGCGTGAACCGTAGGCAATCACCCTCAGCTTTTCATCCTGGTGTTGATAAAGGACTGCTCCAAGACCTTCCTGGGATGCATCCGTATGGAGTGTGTAGGGTTGATTGTAATCGGGGTATGCTAACACTGGGGGTTCCATCAGCATGTCTATTAGACGTTCCAGTACCTGCTGGTGTTTCTCGTTCCACACGACTGGAGTGTGAGAGGACTGTTGAGGGGACTTTGTCTTGCCTCGGGTGATTTTGGGCGGGAGGTTGTCAGTCTGTACTTTCAACAGGTCATACAGAGGCTGGGCTATCCGTGAGAAATCTTGTACGAAGCTCCTGTAGTAGCTCAGAAAGCCCAATAGTCGTCTCACGTCTCCGACTGTCTTTGGTGCTCTGTGTTTCAATACCCGCACAGCCTCCAAGTCCTTGGGGTCCACCCTCACTCCATCGGCAGACACCAGCCGGCCAACATAGCGGACTTCTTTCCGGAACAACTCACACTTCTCTGGTTTCAGTTTTACGCCATGACGCTGGAGAGCCTGGAGTACTTTGCGCAGTACCTCCACATGCTGCGTGAATGACTTTGAGAAACATAAGACGTCGTCGAGGTAAGGGATGCAGCATTCATCTCGGAGCGTGTCGAGCATCTCCTCCATACTCCTTTGAAATGCTGCTGGGGCGTTGGATAATCCAAAGGGGATCCGGACCCACTCGTACAGCCCCCACGGGGTCGTGAACGCTGTCATGTACCTTGACTCTTCAGCCATAAAGCCTTGGTGATAGGCCTTGCCCTGGTCAAGTATCGAAAACCAGCCATACCCTCCCAGTGAGTCAGTGAGATCCTGGATCCGGGGGAGGGGGTGTCGGTCTGGCACTGTCTTGTTGTTTAGAAGCCGGTAGTCGATGCATAGGCGCAGGGACCCATCCTTCTTTCTCACACATATGACAGGGGCTGCATAGGGGGACCGGGACTTTACGATCCATCCTTTCACAAGTAGCTCCTGCACATACTCCTTCACTTCTTTGTAGAGTGGTTTCGGGATAGATGCATAGGATTTTTGCACTGGGATGTCGTCCTTGAGTCTTATCTCCATCTGGAGTGAGGGGATGCAACCGATGTCATCACTGTCCCTGGCAAAGGCCCCTGACTCCTCACAGAGCAACTTCTCTACCACCTGCTGCTGTTCGGGGCTCAGGTGGCTGATGTCGACAGGCGGCAGCCAGGGCTCAATGGAGGCTATACTGGGGGAGGCAGTGTGGGCAACCTCTGCCGTTGCGGTTGTCAGGGTGACGTCCGCTCGGTGTGACTCTGCTGTTTCTGTCTCGAGGACCTTGGTGACATTCTGGATGACACCTAAGGGCGTTCTCTTTGGCAGGATGACATCGTGCTTTGAGTGATTAGAAATGGGCACTTTAACATGGGGTCGCCCTGCGTGGTTGATTTCTATGAGGCCCTCACCTATGCTCAACTGCCCCAGGACAGGGTTCCCATCTGCAGGCTCATACAGGACAAGGGGATCAGAAGTGTCAAAGTTGGGGGGGACCCTACACCGCACATGTACTGCCTTCCCGGCCGGAACCACAATATTGTCTCTGCCCACTCTAACCGTGGCGGGGTCACACAATGTCTTTTGGGGGGCTTGGATGCAGTGGACCATGGCAACCACTTGTTCTTCCTCCATCCCGAATGCTCTGCGTAGGAGGCTGAGCAGTGTGGCTACCGCCGCACCCGAGGACTCTTGTCTTTTGATGACCTGTTCAAGTACATTGGCCCCTAACAATGGCTGGGATAGGGGCAACTGGCTGACCAGGAAGGGCGCTTGGACTATGAGGTCTGGGTCATTGTTTCCATTGAGGTTGACAGTCAGTTCCACCCACCCGTCGTAGGGGATAGACTGGCCATTCGCTGCAAAGACCTCCAGGTCATGTTCAAAGAGCTCTTGCAGCGCCCTCACTTGGTAACTGGGGATGTGGGTGCTAGCCCACGCTCTGTCAATTATACTCACTTGCGAGCCAGTGTCGAACAGGACCGTTGCAGGGTGCCCATTGATCGAGCATTTCAGCTGGCTTCTCTTCCCCACTAAGGGCGTTTGGCACTGGTTTCCACTCTGACAGGTGAGGGTTTGGGTTGGGTGTTGTTTGCGGGATCCGGACAGTTTTGATGGGCGTTGAGAGGTGGGGTTTATTGGTTGGGACTGAAGTTGCGTGCCGGTCTCTGACTGTCCCTCGGCAGAGACCGGGTCTCGTTTCCCTGAAACCTGGTCCGCTTCAAGCATCCTACTGCCCGGTGTCCTGTTTCACCACACACAAAGCAGTGGCTGCACTCCTGCAAATTCTCTTCTGTACATTTTTGGCAACGAGCTGACCTTCGCCTTTCCTGGAAAGGGGGTTGGGGGTTGACATTGGGGGGTGGCTGGAATGAGTGCTGTGATGAGGTATGGGGAGATGGGCGGGCGGATGATGGCAGGGGAGGAGTGTGACTGGAGGGTGAGTGGAGGGGGTGATACGACGGAGGCTGGGCTGGTACTTGGAATGGCGGTGGCACCTGGCTGCTGTTTACTTGATGGTCCATCAGAGCGGCCACCATTTGTGTCAGGGTCTCCACCTGCGCACTAAGCTGCTGTATGGTCTGGGTGTTCTTGTTATCTGCTGCAGAGCCTCCCTGTTTGTTGTCATTCTGTCCACCTGTTTCCACCTTGGCGCTGTGGGCGTGGCTTGACTTTTGGCGGGGAAGCTGACCGAGTCTGCGCTGATGTTCATTCTCGTCGCTGATCATTTTTGTCATCTGCCCGAGAATTTCCTCGTCGGTGACTTGGCTATTCGATACAAGGGGTCTCAGTCTTTGTCGGAGGTCGCTGTGTTTCGGTCCCAGGCCCTGATAAATTGTGTTGAGGAAGACCTCCTGGATGGTCTTGGGGTCGTACGAAATGTCAGTGTTGGCCTGCTTTGACTGGAACAGTAGTCTCTGTTTGAGTCCAATCATGCGGTACAAGAACTGCTGTGGTGACTCGTGTTCGGCTTGCCGGGCACACATCAGCTCCTGAAACATCTCCGTAGTAGCCTTCTCCCCCAGATGAGACCTGAGAAAGACCTTGAGTTCAGGGACGGCCAAGTCATCCTTGTTTGACAACATGTCTTTGAATGCGCCGGGTTTGATGATCCTCAATACGCCCCGGACCACTTCTACGTCGGCGAAGCCTTCTTTGACTCCTTCATCGATCTGCTTACTGAGGTTACTATAGCTGACCTCAGAGCTCTGGTCCCCAATTTGGCCCCCATGAACCTTGAACTCTCGTCGCTGCAGGTAGGGGAAGTCTTTAAGAGGAACCATTCTCTCCGGGTCTCTCTGTGAAGGGGGGTTGAACGCTGGTCCACCTTGGTGGCTGTGTATAGGGGCGGGGAATGCAGCCGTAGCCTCATACTGCCTCAGTTTCTTTCCCAGCTCCTCATACAGCATCTTCAGTTCCCCCACCGGCTGGGCTACTGTGTCGACAGGGAGAGTGAGAAGGGGAGAGGGCTGCATAACAGTGGTGCTGACCAGGGGGAAGGGTGATGATGAGGTGTAGTCTGATGGGGTCGTGTGGGCAGGGGGGATGGGATGTGGAGGGGATGGCATAACGGCGTCGGTGACATGAGGGCTGGGTGATAGTGATGTGTGGTCTGTCTGAGGTGGGGTGGGGTCGGCACTGGCCTCCATAGGGGTCGTCGCGACGGCTGGCCACTCCGCCTCGCTCATCATCTGGTTAATCACGTCGTTTAGCACCAGCAGTTTACTGACACCTTCATCCTCACTTCCTTGAAGGGCGTCAGACTGCATGTAGGAGATGATGTAGTCCATGCACTCCTCCTCATCGGTCGCACTCAGCTGTTCAGTCTCTGAGCTGTCTGATGCGATGTCTGTTACTATCTGACGTAGCTTGGCACCTGACAGCTTGAATAAACCTCTCCTGATGTTCCACACCAGCTCCTTCCGTACCCGGGACATGGCGTGCTTGGCTCAGGGGTTACTGCGATGTTTCGTTGTGGGAAATGCTGGCTTGGCACACCAGCAGCGTTGCTACTCGGCGACTGACGTGCGTTGAATCCCAACTCAGCTGTGCCGCTCCTTGGTGAGATCTTTATCCTTATCTCCACCCTTGGACAGTCACGGCTGACTCCTGGTCCGCAGTCACGTCTCGCCACCTCAGTCTCGTGGTTCTTGAATCACTGGATCAGCATCCAACCAACAGCTGGCGCTGATCCCGGACGAGCCCCCACAATTTGTTACGGGTCCCGGGCATTACCGAGCACCACGCAACAATGAAGATTGTTTCTGTAAAACAAAGTAAAGGTGTACTGAAATGAGGCTGTATGAACTCCTTGTGTCTCCTCCATTCACTGAACTCAGATTTATTCACAATAGTTGACAATAACCATCTCAAATCAACCAATCAATCGACCACACAGTCAGACAGTAAACAACAATAATAAAATATTTCCCGTTCTGAATGAATATCGACTGAATATCTCTGGATCTGTCCTTTGTTAGGTTTTTCCTATATGTGTGTATGTGTGGTTTAGGTATGTGTGTGTATGGATGTATGTGTGTGTGTGTTTATACATGTGTTTGTGTGTGGGTGTGTGTATATGTATGTGGAAAGGGGATATAAATGTAAACATTTGTTAACCACATCAGCATAAACAATGTCATACACAAAACAACCTGTACGACATCCTTATCAAAACTCTACACATCAGTCAAATGTTCTGATAACCTTTTAGAAAAGTATTCGAATGTCAGGAATAACCGTCAACATGGCACATTCGCGTGTCCGAAACATAACGCAGCAAAACACCGACGCCTTCGTATCTGCCGCGTCACAGCACGTTAGCCGCTAGAGTCGCTAGCAACGTAAAATCACATGGCGAACCGCGGGCATTCTAACCCTCTTAAAACTTAAAACTTTGTCATTCAAGTGTCCTAACACATCCCCACATTCATGCCAATGCTTACGATCTTAGTCATCGTATTTTCACAGTGAACCAACCTGTAAAACAAAGTAAAGGTGTACTGAAATGAGGCTGTATGAACTCCTTGTGTCTCCTCCATTCACTGAACTGCCGGTGGGCGGAAGTCGCTTACCTCTCACCCTATCGTGCAGCAGTGAAACTGGCCGCTCACCAAAGGTTCCGGTCCCCATAACAAATACATAGTAATGCATACCGATGACTTTCTGGCATTCAACCATTAAAATAAGTTATGAAAAATAAAAAAAAAAAGTGCTTAATACATCACTTTATAAAGTGTTTGCTGTTTCCAAAATAAAGTTCCTTCACTCATTTATGAGGGTATCACAGTAGCGTCACATTAGCTTAGACCCCCTGATCACCAGAAAGGTCGGCCCCGTCTTCCTTACAGCGTTGTGTTAAATTCTGATATAGAAGATTTAATGCTAGCTTTCATAAACCTCATAACAGCAGGAGCAAAGTGGGATACGAAAAAATTATGGAAGCAAATTTGTATCATAATTCAAATGCGAAAAGATTAGCGTATTTTTCGCACTATAAAACGCACCATCAATGAACGTGTCTATTTTCGTACATTAAGGCGCACCGGAATATAAAGCGCATTAAGCCAAACAAAACGGATAAATCAAACTTAATTGAACTCATTCGATAACTCCTGCAGCGCTCCGACAAGCCAAAAGGATTTAAAATGCGCCTTATAGTGCGAAAAATACAGCACCAGAAATGCACTTTCAGAATTTCATCCGGTGGAGAAATCGTGTGCAGCTCAAACTGGGAAGCTGAACCTATCAAAACTCGAGCATTGTATTGTCGATCGAGCAACACAGTCCCATGGAAACATTGAATTTATGCGTAGAAGAAGGGCAGATCACCCGCTGACGTCACCCATGAACGCCGCCTGGGATGGCGAAGCTGATTTGAGTTTTGGTAAATTTTTTGTGGGTGAACATGAAAATGAAAATGAAAATGAAAAAGCATCAGCCTTTTTGTTTTTTCTGTTGAATTGTGTTACGAAATGTTTTGCTCAAATAAGAAAATGAAAATGCAGTTTTATTATTTCATCTGTTTAAGCAGTTTTGACTTTGGAACGAAAAAACAAACAAACTGCAAATGCTTTTAAATTTTCAGATTTCACATTTTTAGTTAAATTTTGGTTCATATTTGTTGCGGCATATTTTAAAAATGAAATCTCAAATGGATTTTTCTTGTACATTTGAATTATTTTACAGAACGATCAGTTTTAAAAAAGGAATTCCAGTTCATATTATTTATCTTTAATTTTGTTTATGAGTCAAGAAGTGCAGGTACACTCTGAAAATGATATGATACAAATTTACTTCCTTAAAAAATCGTCCTTTGTCTGTTAAATGACCTTTAGCAGTTTCCTGATGAACTGACTGAACCGTGACTCTCTCTCTCTCAGAGTTAATCCGTCCTCACAGACCTCCGTTCATCCCTCTTTTCTTCACCTGCTCCTGTCTAACATTTTATTCTCTCTCTCTCTGGCTGTCTTAATCTGGATGTTTTTTTTCTCTATATTTCACGTCTAATCTTTGAGACAGCTCTTAGACGGCTCAGTGTGCGTCTGTGCGCCGCTGCCAGGAGTTAACGTGATTTGAATATTCCCGGCTGTCTGCCGTTCAGACACACACAGTCTCGCTCAGACTCGTGTCAGCGCGCCGTCACGGAGTCAACGGTGTCTTTCTGTCTTTTTGTAGCTGACGTGTCTGCAGGATTTCTTCGGGGACGACGATGTGTTCATGGCGTGCGGGCCGGAGAAGTTTCGATACGCTCAGGACGACTTTGTGCTCACGCACAGCAGCAAAACACCCACTTTTGTCAACGGTAAGACACCGAAATTTAAGATTAGAAAACAGATTTAACAGAATAATAAACGGAATATTTGTGCGATTTCTAGACTAAAGAAGTGAAATCATCCGTCCCTCTTTTCTTTCGTCTCTCCAGAGGTCAGAGCCAAAGCGTCTCGCTCTGGTGCTTCTACAAAAACTACAACTCCCAAGAGTCCCAGCGGCTCCGGCTTCACCTCCTCCAGGACTCCGCCCAGAGGCCCGTCCAGAACAAAATCACCTGGTCCAGGTAGGAATCCGCTTAATTACCGAGTGACGTAGTCCATAGCAACATTAACGATGACTCTGACCAATCAAACGGCTCCTTTCTCTCGTCTTTTTAGCCAATGAGGCCTCGGCGGGGAAGTCGTCCAGGTCCAGCCCCTCCCCCACCAGCCCCGGGACTCGCCGCAGCCTCAAAGTACAAATGAGAGACGAACTGATTGTTTATTGATCGGTTTGGGTTCGCTCAGCTGGGGTTTGGGCGGTTTGGCCTGAATTCCACTTTTTAATCTATTTAAGGAAGTTTTTACTGAAGATCAGCGACAAAAGTCACTAAAAAGTGAAGAAAGATTTATAATTAATCAATTTAAAATTAAGGTATTGTACAAATTTTGATTATTTGTAGGTTTAAAAGGTTTTACTATTTAAATATCTTTAAATGATCCGTCTTTACGACCCCTAAATCTCCTCTTTTTCCTTCCTTCTTCTCTCTAAAAGTTAAATTTTTACCCTCTCCTTCTCTAAATTTCTCTTTTTTCTTATATTTTCTTTCTGATTTCTTTTTGTAGATTTCTCCTCGCCGGGCGTCGTCCACAGACGTAAACGGAGAGGCTGAGCAGACGGATGAGGACGCCACAGGAGAAGGTTAGTTCTTTAAATGTTAACTTCTGTATTTAATCAGAACTTTAATCCACAAATTCTGGAGCCTTTGAGTTTTGAATTTAACTCACATTTTAAAGCTTCACATCTACAGTTGGTAGATGTCAGTTTTGGTTGCAGAACTGCGTCATGAAACGTTCCATAAATACCTCCATGACACAGCAGGTCCGAGAGCGCTAAGAGGTTTGGAGGTTTTGGGAAAAGAATCTGAGTAAATATTTAAAAACTGCGTCTCGATAAAAGGCTGAAAAAACCGCCGCGAGTCGTGGTCTCCTTAAAAGCTGTGAATGTTTGAGAAGATCGCAGACTTTTGAACTCTGCGGCTTCAGGAGGGAAGTTTCGGAGTGAGGAGGTGAATTCTGAACAGATAAAAATGAAAAATCTCTTCTTCTTCTTCTCACAGTGAACGGAAATCGATCTGTTTCTTCCTCCATCATCAACGAGAAGTACAAAGTGGGTAAAGTGATCGGAGACGGAAACTTCGCCGTGGTGAAAGAGTGTGTGGAGAGGTGAGAAGCACATTTTCTCTTCTTCTCGTTTTCTTATTACTTTACTACAAAATTTTAGCTTCATGAACTCAGTTTGGGCTTCATGCTCGCAGAAAATGTTTGACAATGTCCAAATATTGAAAATACAAATAAATAAAACTGCAAAATGCGAATATTGATTAAAAAAAAGTACAGTATGAGAGTGATATGAAAGAAATATAAAGTCAAGCTTGGGGATGGGAATCGAGAACCAGTTCCAAATGGTTCAATTCATCAACATCATTTACAGTTTATCTTAATGATTCCCTTAACGATTCCTTTCTTACGGGTGCCTTGAGAACAGAGACTTTGGCGAATGGTACGAGAAGTAGGCAGAAACAATCTAAAGACGACAACGGGTTCTGTACGGAAGTTTTGAGTTTGTGTACCGTGGACTTAAGTTTGTCAGGAAGTTAGCATAAAAAAAGATTTAACCCGATCCAAAAAGCCCTCAACATTTTGGCCGCAACTCCGCCCCCCTTAGCCGTGTCCTCTCTTTGGGGATCCAGAATATGGTCACCCTAATTTGACTGAATACCGACCAAAGTAAACGCTGTACAAATAGTTTGTGGTTTGATTATTTTTAGACTCTCACTGAAGGTGGCGTACATTTTTCTCTGTTATCAAAGAAAGGCATTGATAAGGGAATCGTTTAAGAATTGAATCGATTATGGCATCGATGTCGATAAAATCTTATTAATTCCCATCCCTCGTCAAGCTTCTTAAAAAAGGGAATTTTTACACTTCAAAGTTTTGGTCCATTTTTTAAATGTGTTTTAAGTGACTGGAGCTCATAGATGTAACATTCAGAAATATATCTCGGTTTCGTTCCAGAAAATGCAGAAATCGTCAATAGTCTTGGTGCGTTTTTTAAATTCTGTTCGATTTTTGATTGACAGGTCGACGGGACAAGAGTACGCTCTGAAAATCATCGACAAAGCTCGCTGCTGTGGGAAGGTAACTCTTCGAAGTTTGGATCTCGATGTGTTCTGATTTTAACAACACTGAAAAAATGAAAAACAAAACTTTGTAGCATGGCAACAGTGGAGGAGGCTACTGGAATGCGGGGTCCCGGGTTCCTTAAAGTTACAGCCTGAGATTAAAAATGTTTGAGCTGAAGGTCATGTAGAAGAACTTTAGCAGAACCAATCAGAACCTGAGACCAGCGGAGTACCTGCTCTTTAAGGTGTGATTATCAGTGTGTTTGTGTGAACAGGAGCACCTGATAGAAAACGAAGTGGCCGTACTGCGACGAGTCCGACACCCGAGCATCATCCAGCTGATCGAAGTCGATGAAACTCCCAGTCAGCTCTTCCTGGTCATGGAGCTCGTCAAGGTTCTCCTTAACCTCCCGGTTACCTCTCAGAATTGTTCCCCGTCTAAAGAACCGGTTCTTACCCCTCAACCTCTGTCTCCTTCAGGGTGGCGATCTATTCGACGCCATCACCTCCTCCACGAAATACAGCGAGCGGGACGCCAGCGCCATGGTGTTCAACCTGGCCGGAGCCATCAAGTACCTGCACAGGATGAACATCGTCCACCGAGACATCAAACCGGAGAACCTCCTGGTACACCACACACACCTACACACACTTAGACACACTTTGAATCTGTTGTGCAGATTGAGAAAATGTTGGGTTGTCAAAAAAGTTGAAAAAGTTCATGTATTTGTTTCATGTTCAATAAAAATGTTCCACTTTTAGAAATATTTCAAAGTTATTCAAACCGAGTCATGAAACCTCAAACTGCAGGTGTGTGAGTATCCGGACGGCACCAAGTCCCTGAAGCTAGGAGACTTTGGTTTGGCGACGGTGGTGGAGGGACCGCTGTACACGGTTTGCGGGACGCCGACGTATGTTGCACCAGAGATCATCGCTGAGACCGGGTGAGAGCGACAAAAAAACGGTTTCTTTGTTGAAATATTAACAGACAGTTGTGTTAAAGTGATAGATGTGTGTTTGTGTGTGTAGTTACGGTCTGAAGGTGGATATCTGGGCGGCTGGAGTGATCACGTACATCCTGCTGTGTGGATTCCCTCCATTCAGAAGGTCAGCTCCTACACATTTTTTATCAAATTTTGCAAATTTTTTAAGTATTTTTGTTGTTTTGGTTCAGTTTGTTGATGACACGCCCTCCTCTTCCTCCTCTCAGTGAGAATAATGTTCAGGAGGAGCTGTTCGATCAGATCCTCAGAGGGAAACTAGAGTTCCCTTCTCCGGACTGGGACACAATCAGCCTGCCTGCCAAGGTAACGCTCACGTAAACCGTTTATATAACAAATATAAATGTATGTGTCTCTGCTTTCTGCTAACGGTCACATGACTCGATCCGTAGATGCTGATTAGTCAGATGCTGCAGGTGAACGTAGACACTCGATTCACGGCCGAGGAGGTCCTGTCACACCCCTGGGTGACGGTAAGTCAACACAGACAGACGAAGGTTAAGACGAGTTTTAGAGATGCAGAACCAGTGGTACTCATGGGAAATGAAAGCTAAACAGAATTTTAATTTGGAGATAAATTTAAATTATTAGCAGTTACAATCCAAGAGACTTCAAACTGAATCTTGTTACTGATCTTTGTTCAGGATGAGGCTCCCGTAGACTCCAACACTGTGAGCAGCAATGAAGACCAGACCAGTGGAGACACACTGGAACCGGAGCAGGAATCCCCGATACTGGAAACCAAACAAATCCCTTCACCCCTGGTCTGAAGCAAGTCCTCCTTGAACAACAGGAAGGACGACAAAATCCAACAAGTTTCCCTCTTCAGCTCGTGACTTGGGTTGGGGACCAACAAGTCCCACACCCCAAGTCTCGCACTCGTCCTGCTTTTTCAATAAACACTCAACTTGAATCTAACAAAACACACTTGGTCCGGGATTTCCTTCGGTCTGGAACTGGTCCCCTTCCACCAACTGGAGCCAAACCAGTTCCCTCATCAAGATTCAAGAGTCGAATTCACCAAAAACAAGGCAAGTCCAGCACCTGTGGTTTGTAGTAAATCAGGTTCCATCTTGAAGTATCTCAGGCTTGGACATGGTTCTCCTGTCTTTAGCTTCTCAAAGTCATCACCCACCTCCAAACAAGCTTCGGTCTCCACTGTCTGACTCTTAATCAACTGAAAACTGAGCAGGATTCCTCGTCTTCAGTCGCCTCTTACCTGGAAACAAGTTATGCATTTAGTGTTTTTAATACTTCCTGGAAACGGTCCCTGTCTCTGGTCCGGTCCGGTTCAATCTTCTGGAGACTTTTGCTGCTGTACTGGAAAGTATTCAGACTCTTTTATGGGCTTCATTAAACAGCTCCTGGATGACCGTTCTGCTCTGTCAGAGGAGTCACCATATCAACACTGGGACACCATGGAGGTGCTATCAGACACTTCCTGTTTCACTGGACCGGAACCATTCCTCTGGTCTTTAAAGACAAACTAAGAGGCTGAAAAAGGCCTGGACCACTTTAGGGATTTAAACAACTGACTCATTAACAAACGCTCCCTCTGGTTTAGGGATTATTCCTCTGAAGTCCCTGCCTCACAGGGACCAGGATGTCTTCCATTTATTCTGGGAAACGTCATTTCTCCTGCCTTTTACCCTCCAGCTCTTTGTCCGCAGACCTCAAGGACATGTCTCATTTCTTAAACACCCATGAGTCCAAGAAGACATCTGAGTTCTGTGCCTGTTTATGCTGCCGATGAATTCCTCTCAGTACGTGAAAACTTCGCTGTTTCTGTTCCTCAGCATGAATCATTGGCTGTACGGCTCGACAGGGCTCATCGTTTTTGGTTTTAGCTTCATCTAAACATTCGGAAGAAAGAGACTTGTGTTAGGATAGGTGAAACATCCTGCCGACCAAGAGTTGGTTAAAGTAGTGCGTTAAACTTTTCTATAAAGCTCAGCACCTGAGCTGAAGGCAATTTGCTTAGCTTGCATACTGGGTAAGGCTAAAGAGGAACAGGAAGTGAATTGCCAAGCTATGTCGGAGGTTTCAATCATATGCTGCGTTCAAGTTACCTTGGAAGTCAGAAGTCCGAGCTGGGAATGACGTCACACCCAAGTTATCAGTGTTTCAGTTACGAAGTCGGCAAAGGCAAAGAAAGCAAAATCGGAGGGGGAAACAAGATGGCTACATTCAACTCAAAAGTTATTTTAGCACTTGTCTTGTCTGAATATAAGCAAGGACAAGGCAAGCGCTAAAATAACTTTATCGTTTCCGCCTCTGATTTTGCCTTTTTCCGACTTGGTAACTGAAACCTTGGTAACTACGTTCAATAGAAGTGGTGAAGAAAAAGTCACAATAGCACAGGTAACATAAGGGTGTCATCGACGTATCAAATTTCCCCACCATGATTTGACTCCTCACACCTCCCCGTCTACAACAAAAGTCCAAACTCAAAAGTTATTTTAGTGCTTTTCTTGTCCGAATATAAGCAAGGACAAGGCAAGCGCTAAAATAACTTTCGTAGATGTAGCCATCTTGCTCCCGCCTCCAATTTTGCATTTTTTTACCACTTTGTAACTGAAATGCTTGGACTTCTGATTTCCGAGGTAACTTGAGCGCAGCAACACTTCACATCAGAACAGTAAGTCTTCCAAACTGCTGAGTCATTTCCATGAAGATTTTATGTCCAGATCAAGTGTTATCCAGTAAAGCCACTGAACTTTAGGTCCTGAATAAACAAGAATTTCTTCATTTTTCACGATAGCAACAGAAACCATCAAAACTATGAGCCTTGTCGACATTCACTTTCCTTACACTACATAGGACACCTTCCTTGAACCGACAACCGTCCTCCTCAGTTCCCCAGACTTTGTACTGTAACTCGGATTAACTGAGTCACTTCCAAACCTCATCTTTTCCAAACTATCTCAACCTTTTGAGGTTTCCTATTGCAGTATGACTGAGTAAAAGGGTACGTTCAGTCCAAACCCTGAGCTCCCTGCTTCGCCTCCCGCCTGCAGTTTAACGGAGGATATGATCTGTTAGTGTAAATACTGTAAATATCACTCTGTCTGTTGGTGTTTGTCTGTGTGAGTCAGTTGTGAAGTAGGGAAACAGTAGCAACAAAATAAATACTTTCAGTGAAAAGAAACAATTTCATCGTAGACAAGATGTGTCGGCACATCCCAGAGAAAACACGTTTTTCTTCAAGATTTTCATGACCCAAAAAAAAAAGATTTTCCACTCAGACATCGAAACATTTCCACGTTAAAAAACATGTTTTCACTTGAATCTTCCACATTCATGGAAAAGGACCCAAAAGAAAAAAAACAAGAGTCAAGGTTTCAAGAAGGTGGTTTGACGGAATATTAGCGTTACCTTAAAGAAAAAAGTGAGATTAAAAGATCAGAGTGAAGAGGTAAATACTGATAGTTTAAAAATAAAGTCAAAGTGGTAAAAAAAATTGTCAAAATATCAGAAAAAGTCACAATAGTGTGAGACTAAATGAGAAAGTTCCTGCGAGAAAAACAGGAATTTACCGTATGGATCTCTCTCCTTATATGGTCATGTGTCTGGGATGTGATGTAGGTCATCTTCCAATCATAGCGCTTCATCCACGTACCCATCTTATTGTCTGTCACTGTTTATAAGGATAACCAAACATGGAGGAAACTGCGTGTGTTTGTGTAAATAAGCGTGTGAGGGTGTTCACGATTTTCATGTTTAACTTAAAATGACGGAGGCGGAACGTACGAGGTTCACGATGTGTGAGTGTGCCTGCGTTAAGGAAAAGGGGGTGGGGTCATTAAACTTGAGAAGTGTCAGAAATGAGTTGACCTGATGGAGTGTTCATGACCGTACCTTGACCTTAGAAACTAGCACGACCTTTCCATGGCCTTGACCTTTAGCCTGAGGCAACGATGAAGAGTTTGGCGAGGACATTTGGTGAAGACGTGTTGTAGATTTGGTATCAATACCTTCATGAATATCAATCAATTTTGGTCAAATTGAAAGATTTTTGATTCTGGTTTCTGTTGGTAGTCTGACCTCCGATTTCCACCGCATCCAGAACGGCTACGAAAAGGTCGTATCTGCCGATTGCAGCTGATCGTAACCATTCAAGTTAACGTGTCAATTTCCACCGGCTTCTTTCCGTTCTGCTACGGATCACCGGACTTCGCAGCTGATCGCAAGAGTTCTATTTTTTCCGGACGCTGGAGCACAACGGATAAATTCAGCACAGATTAACCCGTGCTGGAAAGGAAGTCGGGCACAGACACGAAATAAAACATCCGGCTTCTTTTCAAAATAAAACACCCTGTACCTCACACCATGCAAACGGGCAGGACAAGACGAACAAGTGAAAGGTTTTTAGACGTCATTTCACCCTGATGACACCATGGATGATGCAGATTCTAGAAGTTGAGAAGTAGATTTCCTCCTCTAGAAGGACACAATTGACACGTGAATCCACGGGTTCCGCCACGAAAGTTGCCTCACCAACGGATCCAGTAGGAATTGGTGGATAGCGACAATCGCTGCCATTCCAGATTGGATCCAGGGTTAAGATTTCCAGAATGCACCAGAAATCAGAATCTGATCATTCAAAAAACTACTGTTGAAAAGTTATTTTCTTCACAAAGATCAACTTTTTGCATAAAATCTTAAAAAGCCACTGAACTGATATTTTGTGATGTTTGCAGACAAATAGAGCTCTTCAGATACGTTAAATAAAAGTAGTGAAGAAAAAGTCTCCAAGTAAAATCGTTGTTCGCTGCGCTTATGCCAATAGCGCAGATAACATTAGGGTATCATCAATGTATCGAATTCCCCCACCATGATTTGACTCTTCACACCGCACCGTCTACAACAAACGTCCAAACTCTTCAATTGTTGGCTCGACCTTTGACCTTCTATGCCTGCTCTGAGCCCAGTCGTCTTAATTCTTTTCTCTTTGCTTTAAACCAAACCAAAAGGAGCCTTGTGTTCATGCTGTTAGCGGAGCAGCCACACCGGGGTCGAACAGTTACTGGAATCCTTCACGATTCCTTTGTGAACGCACTTTCTGAAACGATTCAGGACCAAATTTTAGCATCTGTTTGGCATAAACTCGATCAAAGCCTGACCCCTAGTATCTTTTACAGCCAGTGTTGTGTGACGTGATTTTGGACGACATTTGGAAGAAGTTTTACTCCTTTGGATGGATGCTAGAGTACCGATTTTAAGATTGCTAACATACCATAAAACTTCAATTCGTAGCCCAGGCTTTTATTCGTCTCAGCTGACAAACTCAAAGCGGAATTTGCTTTTTTACGTTTAATTTACCTAGCTAACAAAAAATAACGATCACATGATATTTATATTTAAATATTGGGAACTCATGGGACATGGATGCAGCTTTGATTTACAGGCAAACAGATCCTTTTTAAGACAATCCATCTGGTTACGAAAAACTTGACGTACGCGGTGATTTAAGAGGCGTTTCACCCCGGGTGGCTGCAGCTTTTAGGCCCTTTGTGTGTTTATCCGATGCAGTGTCAGTGTGTGTGCGATCATTTCACATCATGCCTCATTTTAGACAAATATTCTTTGAATAAGTGCAGTAGTCAAAGAATTCAGAAACAAACCAGGCTAGTTTTCCTGAAATTTATCTCTACGTTTGTGCAGTCTTAGAAATCTTGAACCTGGAAGCTAAAACATGAATATTAAGAAGCCATTTGAAAAAGTGTTTCTCTTAAAAAAACTTTCTGTAAGCTGTCCTGGAAAACTGAGAAAAACTTCACTGAGTTTTTATAAATCCAGAATAAAGTTCGGATCATTCAGAGGTATTTAGGAAAACTGGTCCTGTGTAGAAGTGGAGGGAGATTTGGGAGCCAACAGTGTTTGGGAACATGTTGTAGACATGTTTTTATGCTAACAATGATCTGTAATGTGACGTGTGTTTATATGAAACATGTATGTTTGTCAGGATCAGGGTGGAAACGTTCAAACTCTGACTGGAATGAGAAAAATGAAATCAACTGTGAAAATAAACACTGATGCAGTGGCATCACGTTGACCTGCTGTGTGGTTGTTGATGTTTTTCCTTTGGATTGACTTTATATGAAGGTTTTTTAATTTTATGGGATTTCGTGATGAAAAAATGTTGGACAATTTACACTTAAATAATCAGACAGCCCTTTGTCACCGGTTTTGTTCAGAACCTTTATGGACAGAATTTCGCGTCGCTTCTTTTTGCGGATGATGTGGTTCTTCTAGCTTCATCGAGCAGTGACCTTCAGCTCTTGCTGGGGCGGTTCGTGGCCGAGTGTGAAGCAGCTGGGATGCGAATCAGCACCTCCAAGTCCGAGGCCATGGTCCTCAGTCGAAAAAAGGTAGATCACCTTCTCCAGGTCGGAGGGGCGGTCCTGCCTCAAGTGGAGAAGTTCAAGTATCTCGGAATCTTGTTCATGAGTGAGGGTAGGATGGAACGGGAGATCAACAGGCAGATTGGAGCGGCATCAGCAGTGATGCGGACGCTTAACCGATCAGTCGTGGTAAAGGAAGAGCTGAACCATAAGGCAAGACTCTTGATTTACAGGTCGATCTACGTGCCGATCCTCACCTATGGTCATGACCTTTGGGTAATGATGGAAAGAACAAGATCGTGGATACAAGCGGCCAAAATGGGTTACCTTTGCGGGCTCTGCCTTAGAGATAGGGTAAGGAGCTCGGACACTCGGGAGGCGCTCAGAGGAGAACCGCTGCTCCTCCACGTCCAGAGGAGTCAGCTGAGGTGGCTCAGGCATCTGGTTAGGATGCCTTCTGGACGCCTCCTGTTAGAGGTGTTCCAGACATGTCCCACTGGGAGGAGACCTCGTGGCCGGCCCAGGACCAGGAGGAGGCATTACATCTCTAGTCTGGCCTGGGAGCGCCTGGGAATCCCCCCTAAAGGAGGAGCTGGTGGAAGTGGCGGGGGTGAGGGCCGTCTGGACTTACCTCCTGAAGCTGCTGCCCCCGCGACCCCGACCCGTATGAAGCGGAAGATAAAGACGACGATAATCAGACTGTAGCCTAGCTTGCACACTGGCACACCGACATCCTTACAAGTGACCTGAACCACAAACAACCTCCCTTCAAAAACACTGAAATATTCCTGTGAAGACCTTTTTCAGGAGAAACCTCAGCTTACAAATTTGCAAGACAAAATCAAGAGATCAAAGTACAAATCTGTCCACAGGGGGCGCCAAAATCAACACAATCTATAAATTCCTTAAAGAAGCGTAAACAGATAAAAATTCAAGATGAAGACGTCCAACGAGCGCCAATTTATAAAGAATCTCATTATCATTGAAAACAATCAAAATCCACTTTTTCAGAAGTATCTCAAAGTTTATTCGTATTAAAAGTCGGAATGTTTGGTTACACTAAAAAGGTTTCATAAGTCCTCTGTCGTGTCTCTCGTCACAAACACAAACTAGTGTTACAGTCAAAAAACAAACGTGCACAATAAACACTTTCAGGAGATGAGTACGACTCAAACAAATTCAGTTTCTGAGATGATTTCCAAAATAAAACAGATTTTTTAATTTCATTTTAGAAATCATTGCATTTATTTTAGCATCCTTTCTGAGCGTTTTAATGGAAATAATGTGCAGAAGAAAAATAACTTTAAAATAGCTAAAAAAAGGAACAACAGTGTCATAAAACAAGAAGTCTTTCTTTTCCGATCTTTGTCAAGAGAAGCTTTGAGTCAGCGTTGTGAAAAAACAGCTCCTGAAAAGTGAAGCCAATACACTTAGAGCTCCCCCTAGTGGCTGGCTGGAGAATGTGTCATTCAGGTTTAACTCTGCTGTCTGATTTCAGTGATGAAGGTCGAGTCCTATGATGCAAAAACATGATAACAGAGTGAAACAGGGACGGATCTCGTTGTTTGAGGCCTTTTCTAAAAACGTTCAGGAGCTCCAGGGTTCGATTTTGACGACAGTCTTTAGACGAGTCAGGAATAATGAGTCAAACTGAGTCCTCAGAGTAAGAACACAAACTAAAACGTGACAGGATGCCCATGAGTTGAAAATTTAAGACTTTCAGTTTGAGTTGATCTCAGTCATGACGCAGCAAAATTCCTGTTGCTTTTATTCACGATAAAGTGGCAGAAAGTCGGTGAAAACTCGGGACCAGGTTTGATGTGCGTGTCCAGGTGTCCACAGCACAGTCACGTCAAAACTCTGTGAGGTTCAAACAGGTGCAGTAAAGGTCTTCAGTTCAGAGATAAACCCACCTGTTCACAGAGAAAACCGCTGCAGGAATATATAAAAAAAGAAAAAAATCCTCCGATCTCATCAGAGAAGCGAAATGTAGTTTTTAGGCACAATCCCTCGTTTCCCACCTGCAACTCCCAGAATCCACTGCTCATCCACCGTCTCCACCTGTGTGACCATGTCACCTACCTGCAAAAAAAAAAAGACAAAAAAAACATCAAGACTGAGATTCATGAATAAAATTTTACTGAAATATAGAAGTTTTTTGTCTTTACAGTTTGACATTTACTGATTTTGTTTCTGAAAGTTCAGCACATCTTTAAAATCATTTTAGTTTTAGATTTTAACCTCTTTTAATCAGTTTAAAACAGAGCAGAAAAAAACTGTCAGAAAATACAAAATCAGCAAAGCCATGAGGTTTTATCTCCGGCCACAGGAGGGCGCCATAATCAGCCTGAATCACAAGTTCCTCACGGGAGTTTTAATGAGCATTAAAATAAAAAAATAACAGATTTTTGTGATAAAAATGTTTCAAACGTCACAAAATAATATATAATAATAATAATAATTTAATTCTAGTTTATTTTAATTTTAATTAAGCACGTTTGTAAATTCAAATATTTAAATCTGAGTCACCAAAACAAAAACTTATTATAACAAAATAATGAAAAATATATTCTGATTAAACAAGTTCTGAGAATTAAATAACTTAAAGACCAAAACTTAAAGTTATCTGAGCTTTAAATCTAAAAATACAAATAATAAATAATACTAAAGTATCTAAAATAATAAAATAATACAAAAATAAATACAAATACATCTTTAAAACTGTGCACGCACACTCACACCTTTACTGTGAGCTCGTCCTCGCTCTCTGCTGTGAAGTCAAACTTGGCCACGCCTTTAAGTGATGACTGCTGGGCTGTGATTGGCTGAGCTGAAACCCGGGCGAGACAATGTTATGAAGATTGTTATATGTGTGTGCGCGTGTGTTTTAGTGTGTGTGTGTGTGTGTGTGTTACCCTGGCAGCTCTGTGTAAAGGCGGCGGGGTAAAGCCCCTCTCTCCCCTCCAGCCGTCCTCTCCTCCACTCAGCGTCGACGTGGCCCATCACCTCAATCAGCGCCCCCTTGTGGAAGGACAGATCCTCGGCAGTCTGACCGGGGAAGTCAAAGAGAGCCACCGCCCACTCTTTCACCTAAACACAAACACAGACACACACAGAGGAAGACACACAAAAAAAACTCAACATCATAATAAAGAGACAAACTAATAAAAATCTGAAATTTGACGAACGCTAACAAACTAAAACTGACGCACACACACATTTACTCACACTTGAACACACTCACCTCTGGGTCTGACTTCTGCGAGGTCACTGGAGCTGGAAAAACAGAGAAATAAGTATCTTTTATATCTTGTTTCTGAACATCAATTAAAATCTTTTAACTAAATCGACGAGGATGTTTCATGTTTCACCTCTCTTCTCCATCACCGGTGTCTCCGTCGTTAGCTTCGTCGTTTCCTCTTGCTTTAACGGCTCCACCACCTCTGTGAAGCTCAGCGGGAAAATCCCGACACGCCCGTGGATCTGGCCCCGCCCCCACTCCTGTCCAATGAGCTCCAGGAGGGCGATGACGTCGCCCTGAGAGAAGGTGAGCTCGTCCTCTTCCTCTCCCTCGTAGTCAAACAGCGCGACGCAGCGAGGCCCGCTGAGAGAGAGAGTAAAGAATAAATGAGCCGATTCTCGTTAAAGTCGAGTCGGTTTGAAGTGACGGGGTTCATGTCGTGTTTCTGACCTGACGGGAGGAGGGTCCGGCTGCTCCTTCTGCTCAGTGGGCTGGACAGGAATTATCGACTGGAGGACAAAACAATAACAGAGATGTCATCTATCGGATTTTTCGGGCGCATCGGATTACAAGGCGCATTAAGCAAAACAACACATGGAGTTCTTCATTTTCAGTGTCGGAGTTAAACAGCTGTGTGATTTCGGCATCAAGCTTTTTTGGTCATTATCCGAGTCCGTCTCGTTGCTGTTACCGGTACTTGATGTTCAGTGATGATTCCAGCTCAGATGACAGTTATCGTAATGCGCCGAATATCCATTGAGCGCAGCGGCTTTGTTGCTTACCAAAGTCGTATTTAGACATTTCGACAGATTTTTGAGCGCACTGTACCATATAAAATCGGTCAGTAAGCACAACAAGTAATCATACATGAGGCGCGCTGTCAATTCTTGAGAAAATTTAAAGATTTTAAGTGCGCCTTATAGTCTGAAAAATAAGGTATTTAAAGCCCGACCGATTTCCAATTTTTGCCTGTTTGAGACTAATCGGTGATCGGCCAAAACTCGCCGATTTTCACCGATATTTTCAGAAATAAAATGCAGAGAATAAGATTTGGTTTCACTTTGAAAATGTTCCGCCATTTGAAAAGTTCCCCGACTTATCCTGTAGATGGCGCTACAGCGACCTCATGACAAACTTCATCCACAGACTACCTCACAGCTCAGGGACGCACGGAGGAGAGCGGTCCGCCTCAACGGTAAATAAACCAGTTTGTGAAATACACGATAAGTCAACAAGTTTCAGTTCAACCCACTTCACCATGTAGTTGAAAACACTTTTGTCCGAGTCAGTCTTCCTGTCGTGAGAAGAGCAGTTGCCTACAGTACATATACAGTAAATAGTATTCTGTATATATCTACTGTATAAATATAATTTTATAACTTCATAAAAAAATTTAAAAAATCGTCCGATTAATCAGTAATTGGACCCCCCCCCCCCCAATAATCGGTATCGACCCCAAAAAATCCATACCGGTCGGGTATTGTACTTATCATCTGTACTGGGTCAAACATGCACCCCTGGGTGGTGGTCTCACCATGACCCAGAAGTGCATGTCGATGTGTTCAGACTGAGACCTGAATCCTGGATCTAAAGCTCGTAAATTCATCGCTGACTGTCAGAACTTTAGTTATTTTCACAACAGTGGTTTGATTAAAAGGCAAAGCTTGATGCTTTAGTAAGTAGTGCATGTGGTGTCAATGCAGCTTTTGTCCAATAGGTGGCAGTAGTACTCTGAAATAAAATATATATATGTATTCATATGTATATATGCAGAGGAGCTTAGACTGAGGCTATCACCAAACCTGTGAAATTTAAAGATCAGACATTACATGTGTGAGTCTGTACTAGTGTTGGGTGGTATGAACAAAATCTTAAATCACAGTAACGGTATATTAAACTGTATGTTTTTTCTCTGTAAATTCAATTCATGTCTTAAAAATAACCAAACTGTCGCCTTTGTTCATTTCCCTTTTTTTTTACACTTGGATTTTTATACAAATGAAAACTAAATGTCAGATCAGTCTGGCGATTTTTTATCAATGTCGTACCTTTGGCCAAAAACTCCTTTAGGTGGTGGAAGAGGTTCTTGGTGTTTCCGACACTCTTTGTACAGTTTTGTTTTTTGATCATTGTCGGATTTTCTAAATCCAAAGAATCTCCAGACAACTGATGTCGCGACTCGCACCCTTTTTCTGGATGAGTTCCTCCTCCTTTTCCTCGTGTTGGGTGGGTCGGGCTGCCTCCGTTTGTTCAGTGCCACCATTAATCTCTGTGTCCGCCATGACCACCACCAGTGAAGCTTTGTCTTCTTCGTTGAAGCTTTGCCAAGTAGTCTGCTGGACACGCTGGTGATTATAGGGAGCGCACCCAAACCTGACCAATCAAAGGGAGCGAACAAACACCTAAACGGATGCGCTCAGGCTTTCTTGTTAGCGACTCAAAGGGATGCAGCAGACATCTGCTCTCTCGCTCTCCTACAGCAAAATTTCTACCAGTAGACGCTTTTATACCGTCATACCGCCCAACACTAGTTAGTACTATGTTTTTTCCAGAAGGTGGCGCTATTCCGGTACCTCAAACGTGTGTGAAATATGATACAGATTGAGTACTATCTTCCTGTTCCATGCAAAGATATCAGAGTACCGCAGCAGACCCGGACCAAGTGGATATACGATCTATCCAGAGAGTTACCTGTGAGTCTGATAGGCTGAGATCCTCCAGCGCAGGTTTTGATTGGCTGTCCTGATCTAGAGGAGGATCTGGTTGGACGTCCAGGTCCAGGAGACACTGTGTTTGGTTAATGATGCTGGTTTGGCTCCTCCCCTCACCTAATGGAAGCTCAGCGGGGGTGGGGTCATCCAGGACGATCAGGACTTCCTGTTTCTGAGAGGTCATACAGATCAGAACTCGAACCTGCCATGTGTGTGTGTGTGTGTGTGTGTGTGTGTGTTTACATACCGTGCAACTGTTGTAGAGGGGGTGTCCAGGTTTAGGGCGAGGGGGGAGAGGCGGTCCTCTCTTGGAAAGCTTTTGAGACTGAATCTGATTGGCTGACACAGAAGAAGGACTTTGCGGAGGAGGAGATGACCGGCTGGCTTGAGACACCAAGGGGGTGGGGGCAGTTTGGGGTGTGGGCGCGGTTATCTGAGTGGACGCTGGAGGGGAGGTGATAGAAGGAGGGGGCGGCCTACCGGGGATGGATTTGATTGGTGGAGGGCGAAGTGGGAGGAGCTTCACACCTGTAGGCCTGGAAAGAAACCAAGAAAGAGAGAGGCGGACATTTGTAAGCTTGTTGACGACACTGTTCATGAGTAACTTTAAAACATCGAATCCTTTTTTTTCTTACCGAGGGGGCAAAGGGGGATCAGAGGAGTCCGGGGTCACCGTGTTGGCGGTTTCTGGTTTGTTTTGGATCACGGGACCTTTCCTCAGAGCTGGAGAAGGAGCTGTGGTCAGGGGTTTCATACTCGGGGCTGGGCCTGGAGTTGGTCCTTGTGGTTTTGGGGCTGTGGTGGGAGCTATTGGTTTGGGCGGGGCTGGGTTTGATTCTGATGGCGTTGGCGAGGCTCCAGTAGGTTTGGGGGCCAAATTTGGAGCTGGGGGTGAAGAACAGATGTCCGATTATAAATGATCATATCTGTTTGTAATCTGTTTTTATGGGTGTGAAAAGAGCTTACAGCCAAAAGTGACACTTTGAAAAACTTGTGAAGTCTCGACACTGAATTTTAAGTACGGTCTTTAAATAATGGAACTCTCAATATGCAATTAATCGCGATTAACAATATTTGCGATTAATCGAGAGAGAAAAATAACAGTATCGCAGCTCAGATGAGATCATTGAATACTCAGAGCTGGGCCTGGATTTGGTTCTTGTGGTTTTGGGGCTGTGGTGGGAGCTATTGGTTTGGGTGGGACTGGGTTTGAATCTGGTGACGTTTGCAAGATTCTAGTGGGTTTGGGGGCCAAATTTGAGCTGGGGGTGGTGAACAGATGTCCGATTATAAATGATTATATCTGTGTGTAATCTGTTTTTATGGGTGTGAAAAAAGCTCATAGCCAAAAGTGACATTTTGAAAAAATCTGTTTTAAATGCGAAATAATGGAACTCTTGATGTACGATTAATCGGCGATTAATTATATCGGCGATTAATCGAGAGAGAAAAAGATAACAGTTCTACAGCTCAGATTAGATCATTCATATCAAACAGCCCAGATATGTAGGGCTTGTCTGTAACAGAATAACAGATTATGTAAAATAATGGAACTCTCAATATGCGATTAATCGCGATTAATGATACTGGCGATTAATCGAAAAAGAAAAATAACAGTTTCACAGTTAAAATGAGACCATTTATATCAAACAGCCCAGATATGTAGGGCATATCTGTAACAGAATAACACATAATCTAAAATAATGGAACTCACAATGTGCGATTAATCGCGATTAATGATATTGGCGATTAATTAAGAGAGAAAAATAACAGTATTACAGCTCAGATGAGATCATTTATATCAAACAGCCCAGATAGGTAGGGCACGTCTGTAACAGAATAACACGTTGTTCTCCGTGTGGTTTTGGGGCTGTGGTGGGAGTTATTGGTTCTGGGCGGGACTGGGTTTGAATCTGATGGCGTTGGCGAGGCTCCACTGAGTTTGAGGGACGAATTTGGAGGTGTAGGTGGAGAACAGATGTCTGATTATAAACGATTATATCTGTGTGTAATCTGCTTCAATGGGTGTAAAAAGAGCACATGGCCAAAAGTGACATTTTGAAAAAATCTGTTTTAAATGCAAAATAATGGAACTCTCAGTATGCGATTAATTGCGATTAATGATACTTGCGATTAATCGAGAGAGAAAAATAACTGTTCTCAGCTCAGATGAGATCATTTATATCAAACAGCCCCGATATGTAGGGCATGTCTGTAAGAAAATAACACATTGTTGGACGGTGATGACCTACTTTGATACCATCCGGTGGTTTCGGGTGTGACAGGAAACTATGATGAGGGTAGTGCAGGTGTGACCACTGTTGCACACGCCGCCTGTAGGACAAATAATGTGTCCTCGCTGTGTGCGACTGACTGTTGTGTAACAGCTGAGTGACTGCAGAGATTTCTCAGCGGCTTTGAGAAGATCATAAACTACAGAGAATAACTCTTAACTGGCTTTGCGGTTCGGTTTTAATGTCGCAACTAAAATTGCCAAACTGGTTACATAATGTGATTTCTCTGACAGCTTCACAAATCACATCACATGACAGAAACACACAAACAAACACACACACACATAAATATACAGTACGCATACATCAAACTCACACACAGCTCGGACAACAGTGAAGTCTTTTTCCTCCTCTCACACAATCGAAGCATTTTTCTTTCACAAGGTTCGGATTGAATAAAGTAACCCCCCCCCCCCCTTTTTTTTCTGTAACACACACACACACACACACACAAAAACGCACAAAAACACACACACTGCATAAAATCTCTCCTCATGTTTGCATATTTCTGCAACATAATGAGGAAGCAAGATTTGTGTCTCTAAGCTCTCAAACGCTCCATTGTGCCGAAGCTGCGCCGAGCTTAGACTTCTGAAACACACACACACACACACACACACTTTCTCTCTTACCACTGGATCGACGCAGTGAGGTCAGTCCTGCCGGTTTGGTCGGGATGCCTGGTCGGTTACCTCCTGGCTTCGCTGAAAACGACAAAAACAGAAAGAAATGACGACAAACTTAATAACTAAAGAGAGAAAATTCAAAACTACAGACAATTAACTCGTCTAAATTTATAACAAAGGCTTCAACAGGTAGTTCTTGTATCTATTGGATACAAACAGCCGTTTTATTTAATCTTTTATAGCCCCCCGATCATCAAAAAAAGGGATTTTACTTTGCAGAACAGAGGAGTTGTTCGTCTACCTCTTCCTTTTTTTGTTTATTACTTCAGTGTATCAGGTGTCAACAGAAACAGAACTTGGAAGATGATATGTCAAGGTTTTATATCTGTTCCAGCATGCTACACAAATATCATTTTAGTTTTTTATAGTTGTTCAAACACTTTCTGGCCTTAGACAACAAACACGAACAGTTTTCTGTTTGTTGTTTGGTCTCGGTTCATGATGAAACTCAGTTGACCCTGCAGCATGGAGGCATCAGAAACCCTGACGTCGCAGAGAGCGGTTTCAGGGTAAACAGAGGAGCGCCGTTTAAAAAGTCAGCGTCGACTCTTTTCACTCATATCAGCTTTCAAATGATGTTTCAGCGCACGTGGGTCTGCATGAGGGCTCACAGGAGGACTCACATTCCTGTTTGTGTTTGATATCAAACCAGTCAGGGTTAAAAAGTACGGCTGCAGGATACATGAGAGCTCCATCATCCTGTAGGGTTGATGCAGATGTTTTGTTACCACCGACCTGCCTACTTTCCAGCTGCTTGAACCCAGTCCAGTCTAACATGAGTCTGGTTCTGCTCGAGGTTTCTGCCCGTTAAAGTAGGAAGTGCCCCGGCCTGTATGATGTGATCTCCAAACACACTCTAACTCACTTCTTTAAACAAAGTTAGCGTGCTACAATATCGGACAGTAGAAACCAACCAGAAAGTTCAGAAAATTGTCTGAATCCTCCTTTGGCCACGACTGCCGACACAAGCAAGAAAACAAAGTAAATACCGGAGACTCTGGAGGAATAACGGGCGCTTAAAACGGAGGTAGACCGGACAAGAGCTAAAAAGCCGGGTCAACATAAACGATGGGGGACGCTTGGGGATCTTGGTGACCCTGTAACCTTTCTGCTGGACAGGTAAACCGCTTTAACAAAGTAAGACAAGTGTCTGTAACAGAAGTGTTTCTTGTCAAACGGACCTGCTGTAGCGTGTTGTAGCGCCATCGCTAAACTGTCCTCCCTCGGGTCCTGGACTATGTCACTTTATCTTCGTTGTAGAAGTCCTGCAAACATTGTGTTTGCTGGTAGTCTGTTGGCATCTACAGTAGCACCAATGCTTTTGACTTTCACCTTGACTGGGCCCCATTTGTAATGATCTGAAGTATTTATCTGCATTATATCTGAATTTAATTGGAACGATACGAGCGAGCAGGAGCGTCTGTTTGTGGGCGGGGCTTGAGGGGAAAACTGGTTGGGAGGGGTAGAGTTTACGTTCAAGATTTCTACTAAAAACCTGGAACTTCTTGGATCCCGACTACCCCACATCTAAAATATCCTGTTTAAAATATTCATTTAAAATTCACCATTTGTTGTTGTAGTTCCCTGTTGCTGCCTGTAGGGGTCAGTATTGAGGGATAAAGCTGATAATTACTCACCTGCTTGGTTTGTCACCTCCGGGGTCTCCTCACTCTTGGTCTCTGTTGCGGCTCCACTGCTGACCTCCACAGAGGGTCTGGGGGGCAGCGTCGGGGTTGTTTGCCCAGCTGTGGTGCTCTTCTCCTGGCTTGGACCTCCCAGACTGGCCCTAGGGGCGACTGGAGGTCTGGGCGGGGGTTTGGTCTGTTGGTCTGAGGGGGTTAGTTTGGGTGGAGGGGGTCGCGGGGTGGGGACAGGGGTTCCAGACTGGAGGGTTTCTGTCACAGCCTGTGGTTTGGGTGTTATCAGGGGTTTTTCAGGGGGCTTGTAGGGTTGGGGGCCCAGAGTTAGGGCAGGTTTTGGGGTGGTAGTCGGTGCAGGTTCAGTTGCAGCTACGGGTTCCGGGTCTGAGTCTTGGGGCGGGGTTTCAGCTGGTTTCGGAGACTCGATGCTACATGAGTCTGACGCAGAGCTGGGGTCTTCCCAGAATACTTTGGTGGACGGTTTGGAGGCTTGGGAGAAGTTTTTGGGTTTGGGGGCGACAGTGGGCGGGGCAGATTTGGTGGGCTGAAGACGTGGGCGTGGTCGAGGTTCAGGTTTCTTCGTGATAAAGTCTTTGTTAGCTTCTCCACAGCTCCCATCAGCTACCTGCTGCTGCTGCTGCTCGAACGCTTGTATCCTCGCTCTCAGTGTCGCCATGTCCTCCTCTTCCTCGTCTCCTTCCTCACTCTCTGATTGGCTGTTCCCACTGCTGCTGCTCTGGCGTTCAGGGAAGCCCCAGTCGTCAGCGCTGAAGGCCTCAAGCAGCTCCTGAAGGTACTTCCCCTGACTCACCTCCTGGTTGGCGCTGTTCGCTCCTGCGCGGGCAGCTATCGTGGCGAAACCGTCCTCACGCAGCTTTACCAACGTCTGGACCTTGACCTCGTTGCTGATTGGAGGAGCGCTGAGCCTGGTGCGTGGGCGGGGCTTGGGACGCTCCGATGGAACTTGAGAGGACGTAGTGGGAGGAGCTGCCACGTCAAGAGCAGCGAACGACTGATCCCATTGGTCAGTTTGAGCTCTGGAGTTAGCGGTCAAAGGTGAACAGAGCTCAGTGAGGAGGTCGCAGCACGGCGGAGGCGTGTTTGGCGTTGGAGCGACTTCATCAACGCTGGACGACTTTAACAAGGTGGGGAGTCGAGGTCGAGGAGGTCTCACGGGTCTCCTCGCTGCACAAACACGTCATATTACATCGTTAACAAACAGAAAGAATTAAACTGTCGAATAAATGAAGACCTGGTTTTCTCTGACCCTGTGAGTCCTGGTGGTCCGGGGCGGATCCTGAATCGGTCTGTGTGGCGATGGTGATCGAAGAAACTGGACGAGATGAAGAGGAGGGGAGGCTGGAGGAGGAAGAAGGAAGGAGGACCTGCTCCTGAGTCTTCTCCCTGATCACCTCCTCATAGGACGGAGGAGGCTGAAGAGGAGAAGGAGAAGGAGTAAGAGATTACCCCCAATTTCCACCGCATCCGGAACAGCTATGAAAAGGCCGGATCCGCCGACTGCAGCTGATCGTAACCATTCCAGTTGATAAGTCAATTTGCTACACTGTGCTACACCTCAACTATGGATAGCTCGGTTGTTTTGGGAGTGTTGCCCCAAATTTTCACAGCATCCGGCTTCCTTTAGCATTGAGGTGTCTCAAGGCTTGGTAATGAACCCTCACCAGGAATTTCCACCAGATCCGGAATGGTGACGAAAAGGCTGTATCCACCGATCGTAGCTGATCGTAACCATTAAAGTAAACGTGTCAATTTCCACCGGCTTCTTTCGGTTCCTCTGCCGATCGCTGGACTTCACAGCTGATCGCAAGAGTTCTGTTTTTTCCGGACACCGGAGCATGCCGGATAAATTCAGCACAGATTAACCCGTGCTGGAAAGGAAGTCGGGCACAGACACATAAATCTACTGGTTTTTGTGAGTTCTCACGATTCCTGTTGTCCGTAATCCGCCACGGAATTCACCTCACAAACAATTTAGTAGGAATTGTTCCGGATCGGAACTGTTCCGGATGCAGTGGAAGTTCCAGGGTTTACGTGGAAAATGAGATTCACCTCAGACTAAATTTACCTGAATGGACGGAGGGATTGTGGGACCCCAGATCTGTGCCGCAGGAGGAGGGGGAGGCGGGAATCCTCCTGAAGCCCCAGGGAACCAGGATGTGGAGGCCAGCGGCTCTGCCGACAGGATGGTGATCTCTGGTCGCCTAGCAACATCGGGATAACAGGATGTCACTGACAGAGAAATACACAAAGTGACGCACACTGGACATGTTTTAAAGCCCAGAGGGATCATGGGAGAACTGGAGATGTTTTTCTGTCTTTAAATAATAATAAATTAAGTTTCTCTTTGAGCAAATGTCACTCTTCGGAAAAATTATGTTCATTTATCCACTCAGCATTTACTCTGTATTTTATTTTCCAGTTCAAATCTGCAGCATGAGAAGCTCTGAGCGGGTTAAAAACGGTTAAATTCACTCTTTAGAAACTTGTAGGAGTCCAGTTGAACTCCTGCAGTGACACTTATTTACTGTAAACTAAAGAGGTCGTCCGGCCTGTCTGTTGACTAACAATACGTCCTCTTTCTCCCTGACATGACACATTTTTGAAGTGGAGCGTAAACACTGAACTGTGTCAAATCTTATCGGGAGGAGACGACCGTAAAAGAGGCCCCTCTCCTCTCTGAAATAACTGCATAAGAAGTGTCTTACCTCCTGTCCCTGTCCCGCTCTCTGTCTCGCTCTCTGTCTCTGGACGACTCGGACAGAGACGTGGATCTGTTGGAGGCTGAAGGACGGAAAAGAAAGCCGAGTTTAGAAAGAGAAAGACAGAGTGTTACAGATGATACACATGTGTTTATAAAGAAGGAGTGTTTCCAATCCCTCCTGCGTCTGTAATCACAAAAGCATGTTTTGTTTTTTAAAGAAAAAGAGCTGCGTTTAAAAATTTCACTTTCAAGTCTCCTTCAGCTTCGATGATTAAAACACAAACAGACAGTTACAGTGAATGCGAAGCTCTCCTGCAGATTTAGAGAGCTCGAGGAGGAATCAAACCCTCCTGCTGTGACAGCTCTGTGCATAAAAACAACATGGGACAAAGACCGACTTTAAGCCACAGTAAAGAATTTCAGACAGCTTTAAAACAGACCCAAGTTTACACTGATGCCTTTTTTATGATCGACAAAAACAACAAGGCTGACCGCTTCAGTGCAGTGAGATATCGGTGACGACTCCGTATAAACTGCATTAACTGTTTTCAAACCCAAACTGATGTTTTCCGATTTCTAAAGCAACATGAGGGGAAGTGGTTGAAGAAGTGGTTAAACACTGCGGTATGTAGTGACGGTCCGGTGTTGGGAGTTTCCGTCTTTTCAGGATTTTATTGCTCCTCAAAAAGAGGTCAAAATGCAGTTTTTTCCCTTTTAAAAACACTTTTCGGCTGGACTTCAGATTTCTGCAGAGCTCTGTTAAAGAAATCAGCAGCTCTCTTCTCCACATCCCTGAAAATACTGAGTAACTTTGACTGAACCGGTCTGTTGGTTCTTCTGTTGTTAATTATTGATGATCGCTTCTTTAGATGGTTGTAAATATCTGCACTTTGCACATAAATAACCAGCTTTGGAGACGACTGTAGCTTTGGAGGTTGAGGATGAATACTCACTTCTCTTGATGGCTGCTCTGATGGACGAGAGAGGCCCCTGACTGCAGAGAGAGAGAGAGAGAGAGAGAGAGAGAAAAGGGAAAACATGAGTCACAATACTTCACCTCTGTTGGTACCTCGTCGTTTCTGTAAGACTCCTCAGCCTGGAAAATTATTTTCAACTTCTCCTTTTTCTTCGGATTCACATTCAGACACCTGAGGGTTCATCGCCAAGCCTTAAAACACCTAAATGTTAAAGGAAGCCCCGCCTCCTCCTCGAGTTAGAGCCCCACCTTCTTCTCATTTTGGTCAACATGTCAGTCAGTGCATTAACACGACATTCGAGAAAAACAAATTATCGCCTTATTCCGAGTAAGACCGGACAACTTAAGTGCATGTAAACACCTTAGTTCGACTATAATCGGAGTTTGAGATAATGTGATTGGAATCCTATTTTCTCTACCATGTAACCAGCGTAGTCAGAGTATGATCGGACAATGCATGTGTGCCACGCCCCCGTAAGGAGGAGTAGCAGCGTCTCATCTGCAGAAAAAGTAGCGCGTCCATCATGTACGACAAAAACAACGCTGTACGATGCTCCATCTTCTTGTTTCTCCAAGATGAAAAGACCCAAATCGCCCCCTAGTTTTTGGGAGGAGGACACGTTCACGTCAATAATTCAATTTTCTCAGCTGCATGTATACGCGGACAAGGAGAGAAGTCAGATCGGTGAAAAAAACGAATTCTGAGCCGATTGAGCTGTGCATGTGGACGCTTGAGTGTCTATCAGTGTTGTCAACGTCAACGTCATCGTCAACGAAAACAACACTGAGAATATTTGTTAAGCGTTTGACTGACGAAATGCTCTGTTTGTCGTCCACCACTAACCTTTTCGTCTAGTCTCGTCTCGTCAACGTAAACGCACATTTTGGTCATCTAAGACTTATGTTTAGCTCGTCAACGTTACGTCTTCATCGTGGAAAAAAAGGGGCTTTGACTAAAATCGTCAATGAAGACAACACTGGTGTCTATAACGAAACTGCATCAGGGCCCAGCAGTCCAGTAAGCTGGAGCTCTTTTCTCTCCAAGACTGATTGACGTTGGCAAGTGACAGCGCAACTAGAACTGAGGCGCTCTGGATATGAGACCACAAGTAAAAAAAAAATCATTTTGACCAGGATTACAGGCCAAGATGTTTTTTAAAGTGAGGAAATCGGCAAATAAGAAGTAAAAAACATGCAAACACAAGTAACTGTCCTGGTCAAAGAAAACCAAAGATATCTTCATATGCAGACGATACTCTTGTTTACATCTCGGACGACAAGTGGACAAATATGAAGTCAAACTATCTCCAATCGAAGATGTGAGCTGACTCGAACACATAAACAGGATTTCTGAGTCACTACATGCCACATCGCAGAATCCCTTTTCCACTTGTGAGTCAAACTTTGGCTCCAAACATGTTTCAGGTCACCCTCCGTCCAAAAAGAACGAACATTAAGTCTCGAACTGAACAGTTTCTCCATCTTTCACTTGTTTTGCCGCTCCAGCACTTTCTGTTCATGATATTCAGTGATATTTTTGGAAACCCCTCAGAGCAGGAGACTTCACCTGAATGAAACACAGACTGCTCAGATTATCCAGAGGTATTTAAGAGCTCCAGGATGAGCGGGAGCCAAACTTCCTGTCTGTCAAAGAGGAGCGGTGTTGGTAGCCAGGCAGGTTAGGAATCAACAGAGCCAGACTCACCCAGACGACAGAAGGAGGTCAGACGTCTTTCTGGATCTCTCCGTCTTCTCTAAAAGTCTGTTTCCCGGGTCTCTTTGTCTCTGACTGACTCTTCTTTCTCTTTGTGCCACAGAGCCGCTAACCATGAACGCACACACATGACTCACCCCTGACACTGCCCAAACACACTCCAAACTCTGGAAAAACTTTCTCCGCTTTCAAATCCTCGCTGTTTATTGGAGAACCATTGAACAAAGCCGCAAACAAAGACGAGTTTGCTCTGCCAGAGGTGTTAATGTCACTCGATTTAGTCTACTCTGCAAACTCGTGATGAAGTTTTCCAGAGTTTCTCTTCTGATCCGTTGCGTCATTTTGGGCGTGTGCGGCTGCTGTAAATCACAATTTCAAGGGCAGCGTGACGAGCTGAGTCTGAATGTGTCGCTTGTGATGAACAGCAACAGTCATCGGGGAGTTCAAGAAAAAGTGTGAAAGTTTAGAGGGACTGATGACAGATCTGAGATGCACAAGTCCTCAGATCCTCCAAGATGATTATATTTGTTGAAGAGGAGTTTTCTTTCACGGGAAAACTTCATACAGGGTTACAGGGTTTTGCTAAGCCCCTCAAAGCCCTGTGACAAACTAACAGTCTCATGTGAGCGTGGGCTTATCCAACAGCTCTGCCCTCCAGTGCTCGAGCGTCTCAGAAAACACAGCTGACTGAAGAGTTTTTTACTTGGAGAAACCGGAGCCGGTCTTTGGTTTCGCAGGTCAGTCTCTGATGAGGCAGCATATATAATTCAAGTGGAGAAAACTGGAGAAAGTGCGTTTAAGTCTTCGTAAACTATCAGCTGTTTGTTTACGCGTTAAGAACTTTAACAATCTCCCGACAATGACTTTTGTGTCTCGTCTTCCCACCGTTTCAATGAAACACACTCAAACCCGGGCTCTGTTTCTCCTCATAAACACACAGACTCTTTAAACTCGGTGAGTGCCCCGGCTAGTTGCCATGCCAACCGGCCAGAAGCCCAAATACTTTCAGGAGTGTGTCAGACCCGGAGACCAAAGGAGAGGAAAGTAGTCCCTGCGAGTCTGCGACTGAGCTGGAGTCAAAGAGAAGAAATGTTTCAGACTGTAGCGTCTTGGTTTTTACTCCCTCACTGATTTATTTTACAGAAAAACGAACTTCAAAGAGGTTTCACTTTTATGAAGTACTCCAACTCGACTTCAAACGTGCCTCTTCGGCCTGAACTCTCCCTACATGTGGGTCACATTACACGCACGAGTTCTGGGTAACAGAAACGGGTCTTTGTTGAGCTGCCAGGTGAGACAAAGAGGAGGTAGGAGAGGAGAAAGTCTTACCTGTGCCGATGCTCGGGTTTACGTCTGTCAGGGCGACCTGGAAGGCCAAAGAGAGAGAGGACGAGTTAGGAGTCTGAACCTTTGAAATTTACGTCTTTTATGTGTCCGTCTTGACATTTTTGGTTCAACCCTTCATCAGATTATTGATATTAAAGCTTCCCAGAGGTGAGGCCCAAACATATAGCGCTCCCCCTAGTGGGTGGTTGCAGTACACCTGGGTGGATTTATTGTGCTACACTTCAACTATGGATAATTAAGTTGATTTGGGAGTGTTACCCCTGATTTCAACCGCATCCGGCTTCCTTGAGCATTGCAGTGTCTCAAGGCTTGGCAATGAACCCTCACAAGGAATTTCCACCATTTCTGGAATGGCTACGAAAACGTTGTATCTGCCGACTGCAGCTGATCGTAACCATTCAAGTTGATAAGTCAATTTCCACCGACTTGGGTCGATTCACTGTGCTACACTTCAACTATGGATAGTTCAGTTGTTCTGGGAGTGTTACCCCCAATTCCCACCGCATCCGGCCTCCTTGAGCATTGCGGTGTCTCAAGGCTTGGCAATGAACCCTCACAAGGAATTTCCACCACGGTTACGAAAAGGCCGTAACCGCCGATCATAGCTGATTGTATCCACTCAAGTCAATGTGTCAATTTCCACCGGCTTCTTTCCATTCTGCTGCCGATCACCAGACTCCGGACACTGGAGCATGCCGGATAAATTCAGCACAGATTAACCCGTGCTGGAAAGGAGGTCGGGAACAAACACAAAATAAAACATCCGGCTTCTTTCCAAAATAAAACACTCCATGTTTCAGGAGGATCGTATTTCACACCATGCAAACAGGCGGAGACGAACAAGTAAAAGGTTTTTAGACATCATTTCACCCCGATGACACCATGGATGAGGAGATGCTGATTCTAGAAGTCTAGAAGTAGATTTCCTCCTCTGGAAGGACACAATCTACTGCTTTTATGGTTAGTCTCTGTGGCTAAAGACGACTTGCGCGATAGTACGTGAATGTGCAGGTTCTTGCAATTCCTGCTGTCCGTAATCCACCACAAAATTCGCCCTAGTAGGAATTGGGGGACAACAAAAATCACATTCCGGATGTGGTGAAAATTGGGGGTTATGGTCATTAAAAAGTTCCTGCTACTTTGTGCTAAAACTTAATTTTGGTTGAGAAGGATAACTTGAAGTTTTATAACCTTACGAGTGAATAGTTTTCACTTCTCTTAGGTTCCTGAGTGTCTCGATAGAAACAGATTTTACTTTCTAGCTACGACAACAAAAAGCCAGCTGAAGAAACACCAACACCTCCAAATATTTCATCAGAGGAAAAGCCCAAAGAAGACGATTCACAGACTCTGCCAGCTCTGACGTTAGAGTGAAAAGTGAGGAAAAGTCCCCCGGGGCGTTAAAAAGAGAGAAAGTCATAACAGAGGGAGTTCTGGACTTACGTGTCCTCACCTGACCCTCCTGTCAACACGTTCAGAGTTAGAAAAAGCAAAGACTAAAGACAAGAGGAGGGGGTTTCTCTCTCCAAAAGTAGTTCTGGACTCAGTTTTTCTGCATGTGTGTGCATTTTTTCCATTTCCTACCTCTTTTCCTCTGAAAACCAGCTCAGCTCTGCTCCTCTAAGTATCCAGTAAAACCAAATGTTGACAAATTCGTAGAAAAGTCTGCAAAGGCCAAAGCTCTTCTGTCTTTCTCCTCCTTTCTTTCTATAAATACTTAAAATAAAACTTCCCCGAATCCCTTTCCTGTCTTCCTCTTCTCTTCCCCCGACTCCCTAAAACTGACTGGACTCCCTGTCTGCTCTGTCCTGCTTTCTGATTGGCAGAGAGCATCCAGGAAGTGCTGCAGTAATTGGCTGCTGGGGGATCCTGCTGGAGTCATCAGGAGCTTTAACACTTCCAGATGTTTGTGCTGCGGGAGGGAGGCTGAGCTCTGAGCAGGAGGTGCGTTTAAACACGCAAATGCACACCACAGCAAATTTCCCCCGGCGTTAGTCATCAGTTGTTTTCCTTGTTTTGCACCGAGAGGTTAAAAACCCGAGATCAGAGGGAGAAATAAAAGGAGCTGCAAAACTGTCATGAAGCAGCATGAACGTTTAGCAGCATTAAAACATCGTATGAAACGATCAATTTATGACGGAAATCAGCCATCAACGGAAGGTGGATAATCATGTGTTAGAGTTACATAAAAAGGGATATTCCGGCGTAAAATTAAGTTTGGGTCAAACACACCGTAACACCGAGTTAAACACCCCGTCAAGAGATGAATGTTGCCGACCGCTTGCTTCTCTAGTTATACCAACTTTAGTAACGACCACAGGATAGCAATACAGAGAGCCACGCCCTCAACCAAAACGCCACTCTATAGCCACAAATAATCCTCAGAACAGCACCTAACTTCATCAACAGGACATATAGGGTCACAGCCATAGTACTAGACACCAAACATCTTTTTAACTTTGACTTAGTCCTCTGACCAGTCAATTATGAACTACAGCGGGGTGACGCAGCTCAAGGAAGAACATTTATGATCATTTCTTTATCATTTCCTTGAAGTAATAATCACCATATTAATCATTTTACAGACGCGGTAGTTCTTCTGCCTTAGCGTCTCGGTCTGATTGTATTTCCATGAAGAAATGATCATAAATGTTCTTCCTTGAGCTGTGAAACTCCGCTGCGGTAATGCACTGGCCTGGGTCTCGCTACAAACAAGCTGCTGCTGGAAGAGAGTAGGTGAGTTGTGTTCAGTCTCTTCCCACCAAACATCGGACGTCAAAGAGACGTGCAGATCAAGTCAGTATTGGGTCGGTCCGTCAAAGACCACGTCATGACGTCAGTGTGACAAGCAGAATTTGGACATCATCTGAAGAACAAATCTAGATGTCGGCACAATGTGCAAAATGGATCCAAGATTTAGACGTCATAATTGGACCTCTTTTAGATGTTGAAATGACATCCACATTTGTACCTCGTCGTCAAAAAAATACATTAAATAGATGTCATTTCGACGTTGCATTGCGCAGTGGGTTTGCTAAAGAAATAAGGCAAAGTTAAAAAGATGTTTGGTGGCTAGTACTATGGCTGTGACCCTATATGCCTGTTGATGAAGTTAGGTGCTGTTCTGAGCATTATTTGTGGCTATAGAGTGGAGTTTTGGTTGAGATTTGTTAATGGCTCCTCAGACCGCTGTGTATTGCTATCCTGTGGTCGTTACTAAAGTTGGTATAACTACAGAAGCAAGCGGTCAGCAACATTTATCTCTGGAGGAGGTGTCTAACTCTGTGTTACGGTGTGTTTGACCTGAACTTAATTTTATGCCAGAATATCCCTTCAACAGGCTGTTTCTAAAAACACTCGGTGGACCCCTGTTTTGTGTAGGTTAAAGCTGAACTTTACAGAGTTTTACAACAGAAACTGTATGTTTACAGGACAGCAGACGTGCCCTGCATGACCCAAATCCTTCCTCCATCAAAGACACTGTTTGAAACTGCGAGAGGCGACATGACCGCGCTCACAACCACAGATGAGTCTTTGTGGGAGACAGAAGTGGGTCACTTTGAGGTTGTCTTGTTGTTGCTGATTCTTTTGAAACCTAATGAGCAATTAGTGGAATATACAGTCATCAGCTGCAACTCAGTTCTCCTTTACCAAACTATAGTGTTAACATTCAAAAAGAGCAAAATCTTGACTAAAGTTGGGGATCTACGTTGTTCTGTTTTAGCTGCTTTATTAAATCTTAGTGGAGGCCGGAAAAACAAAAGCATGTAGCAATAACGAAGTCCCAAATTAATCACAGACTGCCTCCAAATCAGACCCACAGAGCTGGAACGCTGCAGGCAAACACACAAACACATTTGCTCTGCAGAGATTGACTCCATGTTGTGCAGGAGGAGTGTCATCAGTCTGGTTTGTATCCAAATACTTTACACAATCCCCAAACACCGTCCCTCCGAGCTGGAATCTGTTTGTGCAACTCTTTCCCAAAGTTCCAAACAATCACAAGAACTCCAGAATTTAAGACGCTGTTCGACCTCGGCCAGTCACAATCACATGCTCGGGTTTCATTACACAATAACAGCAGCTGACTAACAATGAGCTGCACAGAGCTGACTGTGTCTTTATTATTTAGTTTGAGCCTTTTTCTCTACGTGGATGTTTGCTGACTTCAGGCATCAACAGGTGGATCTCTTTGTCGTTGTTTTTGGACAGTAGGGGTCTCTCCTCCCCCTGCTCTCCTCTCCCTTTATCGTAATTTTTGATCATGGGCTCTACCTACTGAAGGTGTATTTGGATCTGACCTACATATCTCCATCTGGTCTCTATGATGGGATCTCTACACACATTTGCAGTACTATAGAGAAAGTGCTCTGTCTGTGGTCATGGTTTTTATGCCATTAGTTTCAGAGCTGAGGGTCGGCCTTCCGTCTTGTATTTAGATATTTCAAAGGGTTTCCATCAACTGAATCCGTCCGCCGCAGCTTCTTCAGCTGTTTTTCTGTCACACTTCCCTGTTTGACCAGCTGTCACACCTGCCAGTCAACTCCTAACTTCCCACTCATTTGCCTACTGATATTCAAAGCATACTGTGAATGAATGACTGACCAATGTTGGAGGTTTAGAAAGAGGAAAAGTACGGTAACACTGATAAAAGTGTGATTTTAAAACAAGACACGGTTTTAAGACTTGGCTTCAGTTTTGAGATTGGTTGGCGGTTTGGTTTCATTTCAAAACGTGGCGTAATCTCCACAAAGACACACCTAGTCTGAGCCGGAGGGTTAAAGTGACGGTGTCATACTCCTGTCTTACTCACACACTTGACGCCTTTAGAGTCGTGTCAAAGTATAACTTGTGCTGCTGTACATGTGCGATACAGAGACAGAAACCTGCAGATGAACAGCTGTAAGTCTTGGCGCAGGCCCGCACCGTAACAATCAGCTGGGAATGTTTCTGTGAGCGTCTGCATATTTATGCCTGCATGTGTAAACTTTGACCCAAATGGCGACATGCACGCATGTTGATACAAGAATTTATGGCTGTGGGTTCAAGCAGGCTACACCCAGAGTCTTACAGTTAGTTTCACCCCCATTTTTCATGTCTTATCAGCTGTTTTTGCATCAATCGGTGTTTGTGTTTGTAAAATCAGCAATTTAGGTGAAGAAACTCTCTTTGTAACATGACTAGAGCCAACATGGGGAACATACTCTTCATAAATCTGTGAAAAAGAAGCTGTTTAGGGCTTTAAAAAAATATCACAAAAAGGGGGAATCAAATCCTTAAACTCCAAGATGACAAAGAATTATAAATTATTGGGCTAATTTAAACCAAAACCATATTTATGTCAAGTATTTCTAAAATAGAAGGTAAATTGAATATACTCATGAAAAACTGCAACCAACTGATTTGAATGCATTTGTCCTTCAAAAAGCACAATCAACTTCTTCCCAAAATGCTCAACCTGGTCCCAACAGATCGACAAATTGTAGGACCAAAATGCATAAAAATCAATCTGCATATTCTACTAACTGTCAAAACTTTATATTTTGCATGTTTAACCAATAAGTTACTGGTCCAGTCCAGTAAAGTAGATGCATTTCTGCGAATATCTCTGAGTTTTACTGGAGATTTTACAAATATACTTACATTTTGACACTCTAAATGTTATTATACTCACCTAAAGTTGCATAAAATGTCGTTTTAACTCTAAAAATATAAATTTAAACTGCGTTTTAAGGCATTGTGTTGCCTATCTCGCTGACCATCTAGAGTTACAGTTTCTGGTTTGTATTTCAGGTGTAAACTGGCCTGTTGAAGTGACAGTTGGTTCTATCTTTTAAAAACATCACCATGTATCGGTAACAGGAGGGTTTGAGTCGAAAAAGAAGTGAATTTTCCGACATTTTCGCGGTTTTACCTCCGGAGCTGTTGGGCTGTCGTCGAACCACTTGTTCCCGGGTGTCCCTCATCATGTTTTCCTCCTCTTCCTCTGACCGAGCTTCAGCCATTTCTCCTCTTTTTCTGGACTTTTTCTCCTTTAATTTTCAGTCTCTCTTTCTGTGTTAAAAGAAAATGGAGCAGGGTCAGAGAAGAGACAGCAGCGGCATCAACATTATTCCTCCTCCTGGTTCGTCGTCGACCACATCCACCACCACAACAGAGAACAAGTTCGCCCGAACACCGTCAACTTTACCGACAGGAACGACTTCCAGAGTCGCTAAAACTCTTCGATTCGGTTTTTAAGCTCATCTGTGGCGCTAAACTGCCCAAAAACTGTGTATATTCCTTCAGAATTACTCTGGTTGTGTTCGGGTTTCGGCTCAGAGTTTGGTCGGGCTTCCCTGTTTCCCCCCCTCCTTAACCGCCGGGTCGCGAGCTCCCGATACAGAACAGCACGCGCTCCGGCTATGTGACGTCACAAACAGAAAAAAAAGAACAGCATGGGAACGAAGGGGAATCGTGATGGGCAGTTCGGTTCAGTTTAGCGATCCGGTCATTTGAAAACGTAACACTGCATAATACTATTACTACTCGTGCTACAATACTGTGGACTCTAATTGCAACTAAAGAGGCTGTTTATTATTTGAGGAACCGAAAGCGTGAACAAATGTCAAAATTTTTTGTGTGTCTGGGTAATAATGGGTAATAACAAATAATACCAATGCAACCATACAAATAATACCAATGAATGACTGATGAATGATTTTCAGGCTGCCACATATGGTTTCTAATCTAAAAATGTAACACATGCAGGATGCTCAGTGCACATTGCACAGCAGCAGGAGGCACATAACGGAAGTGGAGCTTTTACATATCAGCAGTAAGAATCATAGGCCTACATCAGCAGCAGTACTAAAATATTTTTACTTTATTTTACTTTTACAATAATATATATTTGATTATACAGAAAGCAGCACTCATATATGCAAAAACATAAAAATTATTTAATTATTATTTTTTTTGATTGCTCTTGGGGGCCCCCTACCGGCTGCGGGGCTCTAAGCAGATGCTTAGTTCGCTTATGCCTTGGGCCAGCTCTGTTTGTCACTATTGTTGTTAGCACTGTCACCACTTACTGGTAACACTTAAAGATATTTTTGTGTTTCTGATGTCCGAGAACAAATGCAACAGACCAAAAACATGACTATTGAACCATGTTTAAAAAATTTGGAAAATGACTATCCCAGCCTGTCTTCCTCCGATATTTTCTGGATCATATTAAATATAAGTTATTACATCTATTATGTCTGTCTTTGGCTATTATATAACATAAGCAGATAATAAATCAGGGTATGATCAAGAGCTCTTTCGGAACTTTTACAAGAGTCTATTCTAAGAGCCGAATCGTCCACTAACTCATCACTGGTCCCACGAGGGAAAATGGCAACCAAAACATTTAGTTAACCGTAGTAAGCAGAGGTAGAAAAACGCTTTAAAACAAAGAAATACTCACAGACAAAAAGACAAAATACATGCAAACAACATTTGCATGTGAACTGCACCTGGACTTAGGTGTGGACTCAGGTGTGTTAGATTTTCTTCTGAAAATCAAAATCATAACTTAGTTTGTTTTGGTTTTATTTACATTTGGAAACAGTACTTTTAAAGTTGCATAATAACCCAGACAAACACTCACTCTGGAGACTAATTTTCAGTCTCTATTCTTGGGTGTTATTAGTTTTCAGAGGGTGTCACACTCAGTTGCAGTTTCAGTACATTGCCAGCAGAGTTCAGCACTGACAACTTTATTTCATACAGAGGAAATGGACAGACCATCAAAATTTACAAAAATCTAACTGAAAGATCAGCAAAAAGTGTCACATTATATCAAGAAAATGCACAATTTATTCTCTTTTTTTCCTCATTTTACTCAATTTTTATAAGTTTTTGTTGTTCACTCACTTGATCACCTGCAAGATGTAGTTGCAGTTGTTAAAAGTGGAATTGTCATCATTTTTAGGTTTGGACCCTTTGAACCAAACATTTTGATGATGTTACTGTGATATGTGGGTAAATTCTCCTTTAATGATTGTTTAACAGTTTTGATACATTTGTACACCAAACAACTGCACATGTTATACACAAAGATATCTGCTCAACACTACATATGATACTTATTATAATTATTTGCATATTATAATAATAATCATTGTTATTATATTCAGAATTAATATTACTTCTATGCAATCGAGTATATCTAGTACAAAACCATATTTTTTGTTCATTTACTTCTATGAATCTTTTAATACTGCTTTTAATATTTTAATATTATTGGACTATTTTATACCTGAACTGAAATGTCATAATACGAAGTTTTAAGACTATACATTTTCAGAAAGTATGTATTGGGTGTTTTACTTTCTTAGAAGAAAGGAATCACAGTATTCATCCGGCTTTCACATTGTAAACAATGCCCTCAGTGGGCGTGGCTTCCCCCTTAATGGGCGGGGTCCCACTGTTACCTAGCAGCCAGTAGCTGAGTGATTGACGGTTGAGCGGATTAAAGCTCAGCAGCAGAGCGGCAGGTCAGAAACGGACCCGATAAGAGACAAAAATCCGGTACAAAACACGAGAACCTCAGGATTTATGAGAGTTTGTGGACTTTTTTAGAGTTTTAGAGGACTTTCCTTTTGTTTTTGGAGGAGGAAGCAGCAGTTGGAAGGACTCGAATTCCTTCATCTGGGACGAACCGGAGGTAAGATCCGTGTTAGCTCTGTGCAGGTGTACTTAATGTACAAGTATGAACTAATATACAGTAATATCATAACCTGTGGTCCTAAAACACTCTTATTCTTTAACACATTAACTCAGTTTTTAATTATACATTATGTTTGATGTAAAAAATATGTATAAAAAGTCAAAAGGTTCAAAATAAGTTCACAATAACAAAAAGAAACAGCTCAGAAATGTTTATATAGTCAGGAGAAAACAAAGCAAACAAAAAAAAAACACTAAAAAGAAAGGATGAAGTGATTAAAACTGGAGATTTTATCAGTCAAGATTAAAAAACAAAAGTTGATCTTGAAAAACAAAAAATAATTTTCATGATTTAGTAATTACACAAGGTAAATGAATAGAAATATACCGTAAAGATTGTAGTAGTACATGTTTAGACATTTAGAGTCAACAAAATGAAACTTGAAATGTGAATAGAATAAATTCTATGGATCAACTTTGGGACACAAATCAAACAAAAAAAAAAATCAATGAAAAAGTGTAAATGTTGAAATTAAACTCAAGAAAAATAAAAGGGGGAGACAAAAATAAAATTAATTCTATTCTAATGTCTGCTTCAGTCTACTCCTGATTTTTCTGCATCAGGTTCATGTGTGAGAAAGAAAGAAAGGGAGAGTTCTGCTGAGTAACGCCAGGTCACCACTCAGATGTGTGTGTGTGTGTGTGTGATGTAAGTCGCATTAAGAAGGTGAAGTCTGCACGTGCTTTCACTTAAGGGTCACTGATCTGAGGTGACCTGGACTCGCACAAACTCACACACACTTTATCCTGCAAGTGCATGTGGGGTTGTTGTTTGTCAGCTCAAATCCGGAGTTAAAAGGATAAAATTTTTGAATTCTCTCGCAACACCCTCGCAAAGTTGAAAATCTTCTTTTTAGGAACTTTTTATCGTCCGAAATGTTCTCAGTATCCTGCAAAAGTTTCCAGGGTTCTCGCAAAAGATACATAGGATGTCATAAAAGTTTTCAAGATTTTGCAAAAGTATCAAAAAATTTTGAAAATTATTTGAAAGCGCTCGCAAAAGTTTTCCAGGATCTCGTAAAAGTTACTAGATTGTTATCATGTTGGATCTTCCGAAATGTTCTCCGTATCCTGCAAAAGTATCAAGGGATCTCGCAAAAGATTCATGGGATGTCGCAAAAGTTCCTAAGATTTTGCAAAAGTATGAAAAAATTCTGAAAATTATTTTAAAGATCTTGTAAAAGTTTTCAAAGATCTCGTAAAAGTTGTAAAAATTTATAGAATTTTGTCATGTTGGATCTTCCAAAATGTACTTAGTATCCTGCAAAAGTATCAAGGGATCTTGCAAATGATTCATAAGATGTTGTAAAAGTTCCAAAGATTTTGCAAAAGTATCAAAAAATTCTGAATATGATTTGAAAGATCTTGCAAAAGTTTTCCATGATCTCGCAAAAGATTCATTGGATGTCATAAAAGTTCCTGAGGTTTTGTTTTTCTCTTTGTGGTGTTTTTTTTAATTTCTTGTTATTTAGTTTCTATTATTATTTATATTGCACTTCACTCCTTTGTATGTCTTGTTAAATGTTTTCAATGAAAAAAACAAACAAACAAAAAAAACTTTCCTTTCAATTTGTGTTGTTTTTGCAGTATCAGATCACTTTTTGCTCCCTCTCTGAGCTGTAAAAAAACTGCCAACCATCAGTAATCTGTGAGAGTCAAACAGCTGGGCAAAGACCTTGAATCCAGCCGCCGCCACTGTCCATGAAGGAGATTAACACGAGTGCAGCTGCGTGTGCGTGTGACCTCGTTTATGAAATTTAGGGCAGCGTGATACAAAAACGTTAAAAGCTCTTTTACCAAAAACAGAGCGGGTCAGAGGTCGCGATTCCTGATTTACGTAAAGAAAATCAAGGTTAAGAAACAAAAAAACGCCAAACATCAGACCTTAAACCGTGAGAATGTAACCGCTGTGCAAACATTAGGAAGAAACTACAGTGGAGAGGTTGCAGGTTCGATCCCCACATCATGCTGCATGTGTCCTGAAAGGCCCTTTAATGCTAAGGTGATTAATCGTTTTAATTAATCTGAAATCAATCAGCTAAAAACAGGTCAGAAAATATGAATGTAAACACTCCAGGTCACTGTGTGTGTGTGTGTGTGTGTGTGTGTGTGTGTGTGTTTAATCCCTGGTTTGTGTGATGGCATGTGACCGTCTGAGTTCAACACACAAAAATACACAATCAAACACACAATCAAACACACACTCACGCTGTGGTGGCTTGGGGTTTAACATCACTGTCTCATCTCAGATTACTACACACAGATTAGAGACCCAGATGGTGATGGGATGGATTTTTAAATTGTGTGTATGTGTGTGTGTTTAATAGTGTGTATACATTACTACCTCTCTCTCTCTCTCTCTCTCTCTCTTTCTGACCCACAGGCAGCAGGCTCGCTCGTCCATGTCTCAGCTCGGAGGTAGGCTCACTCACTGCTGTATTTTCATCTTCTTTAATCGGAGTCGGGGGGGTTTCTTGAAGAGCTCTCAGAATTCCTGGAATGTCCCGGAACGCCCAGGGTGGGACTCGGACACATTCCGGATTTTCCTGTGTTGCTTGTTGCCGCTGACGACTCTCGCTTCCTGTCCCGACCTTGGACAGAAATATACAGAATTATTACATCTTTGTGGTCGTGCCAGAGTCGATGTAAATACAGTGTGGTGATCGGAGTTTTGATAGCGTGTTCATACACTACCGTTCAAAAGTTTGGGGTCGCTTGGAAATTTCCTTATTTTTGAAAGAGAAGCACTTTTTTCCAATGAAGATAACATTAAACTCATCAGAAATACATTCTATACCAGGGGTGGGCAATCATGTGCCATGGAGGGCAGAGAGGCTGCAGGTTTTCTTTCCAACCCAAAACTCCACCAGGTGATTCCACTGATTACCTTACTTCCAACCGGAGAGCACAGACTAATCAGACTAGATTTTCTCTTCATTTTGCAACTCATTTGATAAACAAAAGCGTAAGTTTTCATGGGAAACACAAAATGTGTATGTTTAAAGATAAATGTCCTGGTTTTTCTTCGTTGTCCTCCTCCATCTCCTGCAGGCCACCAGCTGTCCACTAAGCCCAGAAGGAGAGCCTGATCCTGGGCCGAAAGAGCCGGCTGATGCCCCCCCTCCATCATCCACACACACTGAGCTGGACCATGCTGTAGTCACCTGACCGCCGGGCAAAATGATGGCCTCTGTGATCATGGGGGGCCTTCACAGGAAGGCCCTCACACTGAGGGGGGTGGACCCCGAAACCTGCATGATCGTGTTTAAGAACCACTGGGCGCAGGTGAGAAACTCAGCGCAATCAATCGATCAACCGATCACAGTCCTGCTGTTCTCCAGCAATCTTTGTCCTTTTGTCTGTCCCCCAGTCTGACCAGTCTGTCCCGTTTTTCTCATAATGGTTGGCAGACACTGTGTGTGTGTGTGTGTGTGTGTGTGTTTGTGTGTGTGTGTGTGTTTCTGACCCAGACTTTGGCCCTTAAACACAGAATCCATTTAGTACCAAACCCTCTCTACACCCGCCAAGAAAACCCACACACACACTCGGCATCTGTGTGTCCGAGTGTATTTTGTGTGTGTAGTTGTTGTCTGAAGCAGCTGAGGTCAAAGGTTAACACAAGTTTAGACAGTGAAAAACATTTTTCTTCATTTTTTTGATTCGTGTCCCCGTTGATTCCTGATTGAAAGGCGAAACTCGATCTGCTGTTTCATGTTTTTGTTGTTTTCTGGATTTAAGCCGCAGAGCCAAAAACTAATTAGTCAAGTGCAAATATGACGACCACAAAAAGATTCTAACAAAAGGTTTCTCAGCTGTTTTTTTATAATAGTATTAGATGTACTTAATAACTAAAAGATTACAGAAGTTTGTCTGCTAGAAAGGTGTCATTTTCGCAATGGCGTCCATGATGGGTTGGAAGCCCGGGAAGACCTCATTTACATTTTCAAACATAACATTTGACAAAACTTGTAATACAAAAAATATTTGTCTTAATCTAAGTTATAAATCTGGGAAGTTTCATGGTGATATCTGTTTGTTAAAAATTTTACCCTATTCTCCTGGGGTGTCTCCCCAGGCTTCCAACCATCATGGACGCCATCGCGAAAATGACACCTTTCTAGTGGTCCAACTTTGGTAAACTTTTGGTTTGTTATTTAGGACATCTAATACAATAAAAAAAAAACAGCTGAGAAACTTTTTTGTTAAAATTTTTCAGGGTTAGGTGTTTTTTTCATAGATGCACCTGCCTAAATTAAGTTTATACACCTTTGTACACCTGTAGGTGGAAGGTGGAGATGTGCTTCATGTCCCTGATTTTGTCTCTGCAGGTAGTAAAAATCCTCGAAAAGCACGAGCCGGGTCGCAGTAGCACCAGCGCGTTGAGTTTCCTTTCTGGTCATAGTAAGAGTGAAAACAGCGGCTCTGGAGCGTTACGCTTCGGTCCGATCCCTGCTGACGAGGCCAGCGCCGTCCAGAACTACGTGGAACACATGCTGTTCCTGCTGATGGAGGAGGAGGCGGGGCAAGGTGAGAAAACAAATAAAGGTTTGAGCGTGTGAACCCTTGTGTACTGCTCTAAATTTATCTGCCAATAGAGGGCAAAAAGGAGTAAAAAAATAATAAATCTGATGCAGTGCAAAAAATGATAATGTATCAAAGTCAATGTTGTTAGCAATGTTTGACACATACAAGGGTGTTATAGCACGTAAAAAATCTCCATCCTCTTATCAGTTTTTATTGTAAAATTTGTCATTTTGTGTGATTTTTTTTTCTCAAATCAGTGACATGACCGTTGATATTGGCATTTAAAGGGTTAAAATCCATGATTGAAAAAAAACAAAAAAGTTTTGACAAGGCCCGAGCTTAATGAAGAGATTTGAGCAAAAAAAATTTGAATTTTTTTTTAATCTAATATGTTTTTACAGCAGCTAAAGTCAGTGGCTAAAAACGTCCACAAAGAGGACCAAAGGGTAGTAAAACTGTACACAGAGCATTTCTGACCTTGGAAAATTTTTGAAAAAATTTCTTGAAAATTTTTTTGAAAATTTTTGAAAATTTTTGTCAAATTCAAGTTTAGGTCAAAAATGTGTGTTTTTTTCCCTCTACTGGACAAAAAAGTTAAAACAGGACACAAGGGTTAAAAGTGCTGAGTCGGGTAAATCCTCATGCCTGTTGCGAACTGTCACCAGGAGGAGCGATGGGTCCCATCCTGGAGTTTGTAGTCCTGGAGGGAGTGATGGAGAGGCTGTTTCTGTGGAGCCTGAGGAGGCAGTTCACTGAGGACATGAAGCTGGAGCAGCTCAGGATGTACCAGATGCTTCTGTCTCAGGCCCGGCAGCCTCTCCTGCACCATAAACCGGTTCTACGACCTCTCATGATGCTGCTGGCCTCCTGCGCTGGCGCCGCGACAGGTGAGTCGATTTTGAAATTCAGCGCAGAGTTCACACAATCTGACGATGACGAAACCTTCTAAGCCTACTGACCCACTTTTGTTCAGATCCGGGGCTGTCCTGAAACCGGTCAAAGTCTCTAATAACAGTTAATAGGTTTTCAGGGATGATGGTTTTTTGAAAAGTGGGTTATGCGTGGCCTGAGAAACAGTTTCAACAGTTACCCGTGTTTCCCTCTCCAGACAGCGGGGGCGCAGTCGAGGCAGAACTAGTCCACCTGCTGAACCAGCTGTGTGTCGCTCTGGTCAAAGATCCCTCTGTGCTGGAACTGTTTTTCCACACCAGCGAGGACCAGGGAGCCGCCAACTTCCTGCTCTTCTCCCTGCTCATACCATACACACACAGGTAGGTATACACACACACACACACACAAAGGTATACACATGAATACACATACAGGAAAGTATGAAGGTACACACAGAGGTTAACAAAGAAAGCAGACAAATACAACCTCAGGTTTACTTACTTTGGCATGGAAAGGCACACACAAAGGTACACACATTGGTACACAATGAGGGTATATTAACATTAAGGTAGTGTTCCTATTAAGGGATTATTCTGGTTAAGAGTTTATTCACATATAGGGGTTATTCTGATTGAAGGTATATTAACACATAGAGATTTTCACATTAAGGGTGTATACACATCTAAGATGTATTCCTAATGGCAGTATATTCACATTTAATATTCATTCACATCAATGGTATATTCCTATTGAGAGCATATTGACATTTAAGGTGCAGACAGGTTAAGGATAGATTCACATCAAGGGTATATTCACATTTGGGGTTTAATAACTTTTAGGGTATATTCACATTGTGCTGTTTACATTTAGGGTGATTTCATATTTAGGATATATTCCAAATGAGGGTAAAACAACATGCAGGGTATATTCACTGTAATGGTATATTCACACCTAGTATACATTTTCACATTAAAGGTAAATTCAAATTGAGGGTTTAATTACTCACAGGGTATATTAAGGTTTCAACATTTAGAGTATATTCACATTTAATATTTATTTACATTTAAGGTATATTCCGATTGAGACTATATTGACATTTAAGGCGTGTGCAGATTTAGGATACATTTACTTTAAGGGTATATTCACATTTAGGGGTTTAATTTCTCTTAGGGTATATTCACATTGGAGTGTTTACATTGAGGGTATATTCACGTTTGAAGTATACTCACATGTATTTTAACATATTCTGATGAATGAATCATGACTCCAGGTAAAACTGAACTCTCTCTCGACTCTCTCTCTCTCAGACAGGGAACTGTCGGTCAGCAGGCCAGAGACGCTCTTCTCCTCATCATGTCTCTGTCCGCCACTGATCCTCGAGTCGCCCAGCACATCGCAGAGAACACCTACTTCTGTCCTGTAAGAGCACAGAGAAACCCCGACACGAGTTTGTGTAATTCGCTCCTCGTTGCCAAACTTTAATGACTTAATTCGAGACTCTTGGGAGGTGGCGATTTCACTCTTTGGTTATTGGCAGGAGTTTGATGGTCATGTTGTTGTGTCTGCTGCTGTTGTCTCGTCTCGTAGATGTGAAGGATTTGTTCAGGATCAGCGTCACTCAGTAAACCTAGCACTGGAACTTATTTCTAGTTTGTCCAACAAACGCCCTCATTACACGACATAAACTAGCTGAATTGTAGTTTTCTGTGCTGTGGATGAGCCTTATCCCCTCATTCATCTCCACCACGCATTGTAATCCCATTATCACGAGTTATGTAATAAACTAACAAGCTCATTCTGCCTCCTCAGGGAGTGTGACAGCAGAAAGAGAGAGGGATGAAAGAGACGGAGGGGGGAAATACAGTAGCCGTCAGTTAATGAAGAAGATTGGGAGGAGGAGAAAAATGAGTCGGGGGGATAAATGAAAGAAAAGTTAAAGGAAAGTCGACTAAAAAAAGAGGAAATCTATCAAACTGGTCGTCCAGAGGAGGGCGAGCCTGTTAGGCATTCAACTGGAGGGGGGAAAAGTGGCCCCTCTTCATTCAAATCAACAACGTTTTTAGGGACGCCAAAGAACTTCAATTAAAACATCTAATGAAAGATCACGGAAACTGCCAATCTCAACAGTAGAGCTGTCCCCTCTCTGTTCGGCTCATCTGTGCACAGACAGGACTGAGCAGTGTCAGGAAGAGAGAGCGCACAGCCCTCTGCAGTAGAGAGCGGGGATGCAAAACAAGAGACACAAACAAGAGCAGAGCTGCAGAACGTAAAGGGCGTGTTTCTGCTTCAATGTTTGTAGAAAAGAAAACACAATTCCTCGTACCGTTGGTAGCTAAAACACACTCTTTGTGAACTGCCCTTCACAAAGGAGCGGTGGACAGGAGTGGACATAGGCCCTAACACAGAAACATTTTAAAATTAGAGCCTTATCGTGTGAGGGCCTCTCTCCTCCTGTGGCTGCCATGTTTACTCCATCACTGCCAGTTTTACCTTTTTTGTCTGAGTGAAAAGGGCAAGCTAAGAGACTGAAGCACGTGCTGCCTGTGTGTGTGTGTGTGTGTGTGTGCTCGTCAGATTTAAGCCCATGTAACCGCGCCCTGACCTCAATCTTTATGCAGGGAACAGATTAGTAAAGCAGCGTGAGATTGGTCGGTACACAGGAAAGGATTAGTAAATGTGCACATGATTGGACCGCTGTCTGATTGTTAAGGAGACGGCAGGATACAGCTGTTTGTTTTGTTGTTGTTTAAGTTGATGATTTCCCTTTCGGTCTCCTTCTTCTTTCTACCTTATAGGAGTTTGAAGATAACTTCAAGCTCCTGACTTTCTCTGGATCAATGTGTTTGATCCATTGGGGTAGGCAGGATTCCGTTAAAGAAGCTTTTTTTTTTTGTGGTGTATATACAAAAAAGCTTTTAATATCAGTCAATAGTTATTAGTTATTGATGACATTTGGGAATATATCGATATCTCTGTGTTCTCTTATGTTTGTGTCGTCAACATTTTAGCATTTTTGAGCGGTCCACTCTTTCTGACTGTAAACAAAGCCAGTCTCCACCTCCTCTAACCTGATTGGTTGTGAGGCGGACGCCACTCCCTGGTGTTGTGAAGCATGCTCCATGTCCACTAGTATTGTCACAAGCCCAAAGAAAGTTAGCGTGCAACAATACCGGACAGTAGAAAACCAACCAGAAAGTTCGGAAAATTGTCTGAATCCTCCTTTGGCCGCGACTGCCGACACAAGCAAGAAAACAACGTAAATACCGGAGACTTTTGAGGAATAACGGGCGCTTAAAACGGAGGTAGACCGGACAAGAGCTAAAAAGTTGGGTTAATGCCAATGAAGGATAAACGATAGGGGACACTATCCCCTATCGAGGAGCTGAGGGGGAAACTGGTTGGGAGGGGTAGAGTTTACATTCAAGATTTCTCCCAAAAACTGGAACTTACTCAGATCCTGCCTACCCCACCATCAACACATCCTGCTTTTTATTTTCTACTATTTATACAACAAGCACACTAATCCTCAAAAGCCCTCAACTGTGTTCATGTGCTCACAGGTGTTGGCCACAGGTCTGTCTGGGCTGTACTCGTCTCTTCCAGCCAGGCTGCAGGTTTACAGTGAAGACTGGCACTGTCTGGACCAGGCCGACTGGCAGCAGGTAACCTGGAGGTCTCAGTGTCTCCTCTCTAAAACTTCTTTTACTTAGAAGGACGATCTTCCGGAAGTATTCTGTTGATCCATAAATGTTTGATTGAACGCCAATGGTTCTGACCTGATCTTTGGTCCACAGGTTCCAGCTCTGGTCCACTTTCTGCACTCCCTGGAGTTCTGTAGTGCTGTTACCAAGGTAACACACAAACGCTAAGGAGAGGTACAAATACAACGAATCGTGCTTTGAATGACTGTGTCCGTCTCTCTGTCAGGTCGCTCATCCCTCAATCCGGTCCCAGTTGCTGAACTACATCTACAACGGTTTCTTGGTGCCTGTCCTCGCTCCTGCTCTCCATAAGGTATCAGACCTTCTAGATTCTGCCTCTCCCCTTGTCCTCGTAGTCTCACTCGTCTTGTTTGTGCTACATAAACATAATCGTGTGTGTTTGTAGCTGACGATAGAGGAGGTGATGACCACCACGGCGTACCTGGATCTCTTCCTGCGCTCCATCTCTGAGCCCGCCCTCCTCCAGACCTTCCTGTCCTTCATCCTGCTGCACACACATGACAACGTGCACATACTGGACACACTGGTCAGCAGAGTCAACACACCTTTCCAGGTAACACACCTCACTGCAGTCGACTGTTTGTTAAATCATTTGCCATGTAAGTGAGCTCAATAGGAACCTGTTTTTGTCCGACAGCTGGGTACGGTGTCTCTGGCTCTGTTCAGGACTCTGATTGGTCTCTTCTGTGAAGACGTCATGCTGCAGCTGGTGTTCAGGTCGGTTCACAGGTTTTTGGGTGACTTCCACAAAGACTAATAAGCAAATCTGGTGTTTTAAAGAGTTTGAAAAGACTGAGCAGGATCCATCTGTGTGTCCTCAGGTATTTGATTCCCTGCAGCCACCTCAGCAGGAGGCAGCAGTGGTCCCTGAAGCAGAGGGACTGCTACTCCTCCACTGCTGCCTCCTTCCTGCTCCTCATGCCCTCCTGGTGCCCTGGAAACCTCAACAACAAAAACATGCACTTACAATCAGAGCACATCCACTGGCCCAAAGGAGCAGGTCAGTAAGACGATAGAATTCCAGAAACTCAAGGCTGACCCAAATGCCAAAAAAGTTCAGAAGCGGTATGAAACACGATTTTTAGGTTTTTTATCCATCCATCCATTTTCTACTGCTCTTTCCAATTGGGGGTTGCAAGGGGGCTGGAGCCTTTCCCAGCATCTTCGGGTGGAGGTAGGGGACACCCTGGATAAGTTGCCCTCATCACAGGGCTGACATATAGAGACGAACAACCATCCACGCTCACATTCACACCTACGGGCAATTTGAAAGTGGCCAGTTAACCTAACCCCACTTCTGCCTGTTTTTTGAATGTGGGAGGAAACCGGAGTACCCAGAGTAAACCCACACAGGAACACCCTGACCTGGATGCAAACCCAAGACCTTCTTGCTGTTAGGCGACAGTGCTAACCACTACACCACTGTGCCGCCCATTTTTAGTTTTTCAAATCATTGAAATCATTTTGATTAAAAATAGTGCACAGAAACATCAGACCTCACTGTTGGGATACCTGAAGACAGTGGGTTTGTTATTGTCTTGCTGAAATAGGTGAAATATTTTCATGTCATGTTACCAAAGATTTATAAATTTGCCTCAACAGTTGGGGTGTTTTTGTGACAAGAACACGACCCAAATTTTGTAAGGGTCAATGGCATCAATCATTAGGAAAACTGTCTAGTGTCTTGACTAGACCCTATGATACTTACGTTTGATTGTTTCCCCATCTTCTTCAGATCTGTCAGCATCAGACAGTGTCGGTTACTGTCGTGGCTCAGACTTCCTGATGGATGTGAACTATCTCCATTACCTCTTGGACGCCCGTGAGGCCATCTCAACATCCCAGAGGTAAGTCTAAACAGACATGATGGTATAGGGACACAGAAAGTCCATCTGCTGACAAAGTGACTATCCAAGTCTTGTTGCTAAGGAGTCCAGCAAAAAGGTTAACAGAAATCTGTTGTTAGGAAGATGGTCACTAGTGACAGGGAAGTTTCAGTACCCTAGAGAGAATCTGGGAGGTTAACATTAATTTTATTATTCTGTAGTCAGGACCTTTTGAGAGTTCCCTGACCTTCCACATCCTCATGTGGAAGGTCAAGGCTTAAGGTGGGAGAGCATCCTGTCTGTTTCAGGTCCAAGGCATGGAGAGCAGCAGCAAAGACCTCCAGTCCAAAACAAACCAGGAACCCGTGACAATATAACACGGATAAAATCACTAATACTGGTTTTTAATTGCAGGGCGTGTCAGCACTGGTCAGCTCCATATGACGGCACAAACCCTCTACCTCAGGAGTACCGATCGGACACACCAGGAAACGACAAAGACAATGAGCAAGAGAGAATAAAGAGTGAGTCCATCAGCTCTTTGGAAATGACTCCTCAGGCATTGGCCCTCTCCCCAACCCTGTCCTCTTCAGATACCATCTCTACGAGCAACCAGGCAGGGAGAACAAATTCTGTCTTAGAGCTGGAGTGGGATGATATTTTTGCAGAGGAGGATCCTTCTTCGCCAGCAGTGATGAACACGCCGCTCTCAAACGGAAACGTGAGCATGGAGGTTGAAAGATCGACTTCCACGCCCTCACCTCCCGGACACATACAGGAACTGCGACGTACTGCAACAAAGCTGGTGCATGGTTCCTACGTGGAGGAGTCTGAGTTTCAGGATGATGTTCTAGTCTATGATCTTGTCGCCAAGAATGATACCAAGGCGGCCATTTTGGAGCGAATCATGGCCGCGAATCGGCGGGCGCGTGGAAATGTCCCAAATGGCCAACAAGTAACAGTAACAACAACAACAACAACAGCGGGGACGACAACAAAAATAACAACTATGTTAACAACAACAGGGAGGACGGTGCTTGAAACAGTGAACAGTATAATGTCAACAAGGAGAAGGAGCGAGGATGGAGGAAAGGAGGAAAGAAGGAGTGAGGATACAGGGAAGGAGATGGGGAGAAGGAAAGATGGGAGAGAAGACGAGATAACGAGGATAGATGAGCTTGGAGAGCCGAATGGGCATGAGGTGTACACAAATGGTCATGACGCTAAGAATCACATCATCGGCGAATACGTTGATTCTGATGAGGATGGCAAACCATGTAAGCTAAAATTCAACTTTAACGACGCCACAGAAACCAGAGATCGTTTACAAATCACACACCACAACACACAACATGCAACCCCATACTCACTGACAGCTGCTTTACACAACGGCCACTCAGACTTCGAGAAAAACGCCCCGTTGGTACCTGACGCCAAACCTTTAGAACTGCCTGTCAACAATATCAACAATAACAACGACTTCCTGACTCAATACTATGAGCTCATGCGCTCTCTGGGGGTGGAGCCAGACTGTGACAACATCACAGATGACATAGGCGAGTTCAGGAGGCGGGTCAGAGCGCTGAGGCAAAAACTGGAAGAGGAAGATGGACTCTGTGAAGACCTTGCTTTCAGCCCTTTGTGGGAAAGGAGAAGGAAAGATGTGGAGGAGGCAGAGATGGAAGAGGAAGAGGAGCAAGAGGAGGGTGAGGAGGGTAGAAGCAGAAGCAAAGATGGCGGTAGGAAGAACGAGGTGCCGTTTACAGGTTTGTGTTCCTCGTCATTAAATATATTTTATCCGTTCAGTATTAAAAGTGCTTCACAAGACTTATATTTTCACCCCATTGCACACACAAACCTTCAGTTTTCCATGATGCCCCAGGTCCATTCATCAGTGTGCTGCTGTCAAGGCTGGAGAACCTTCTGGAAAACTCTATTGCCGTTAACCTGCTTGTGACAGGTATCCTCGCCCAGCTGGCATCGTACCCACAGCCCCTTCTAAGATCCTTCCTGCTTACCACAGACCAACAAAACCAACCCAACCTACGAACACTCTACCAGGTAACAACCAGATACGTGTTGTATTAATCTATTTTTAGGCATTCTTGTGTATACTCTACATACAGTATATACCCATGTATGAATGTATTTGTAGGTGCTGGTGTCGGTGCATGCTCAGATCGAGCGCTACATGGCAGCCAGGCCAGATTACCCTGCCCTTGTCACTCAGGCCTGGAGGTTTCTTTTGGCCAAAGACCAGGACAGCAAATTTAGAGGTAAACCAACACACATATTAGCATCCATGCATGATCTGACACCCCTACACCAACTTGATTTTTGAACACAAGATCTGAAAAACCCTAAACCACAGTAACTTAAGATGCTAGAATCCTGGGACTTTATGAACATATGAGGAACTTTTGTGAAATCTAACACACAATCTATTCGCCTTCATTGTCACTTCTTTCAGAGTGCCTGGAATCTCATGGAGGGGATAATATCCCGGACCCATCTCTTCCCAATGGTTCTGTAAAAAACACTCTTACTTTGCCTCCTATTGGTGTTTTGCCGCCCTGCCCTCAAATTCCCCCCCAAGCCAAGAGCAGAGTTTTTGCAATCATCCTGTACGCTGAGTTCCTGAAAGAGCTGGCCGCCATCGCCCAGGAGCACAGCATCGCCCTGGACTGCTCTGCTAAGGAGTAACGGCGGTGTCATCGGTGTAAACCAGTCTAGACTTTATCAATCACTGAGAAGAACAACTTCTGAAACCCAAGAAGCTGCTTAGTGACCACCAACAGAAGACTGAGCGATCCTAAAACCCCCTTAAATTAAGAGCACTGAAAATGCACACACAGGAACGCAACTGATTAAAGCAATGTTATTTTTTTATGCAAATATGTTTATATTCCTGACAGCACTTGAATATTTTTAACCATATGTGAATATGGAATATATTTATGCAGAAAATTGTAATAATTAAAAGAAATTATTTTGAGCTTCAATCAGTGTTACCTTTATATTTATGAGATCAGTGCAAATGTTTTTTTTTTTTAACGTGCTCTTCTGCTATTTAATAAAGAAAGAACATTTAGGCTTTTGGCCTTTTTATACCGAACCTCATTTCTGTGGTGGCCATTGTAAATCAAGCTTCTAATACTACAGTTGGGGAAACTTGATCTACAAACTGAAACAAACTTAACCTTACTTGAATACAAGTATGTTCGGTTTATTGAACAGAACACATTTATGCTGCGTTCCAGTTACCTCGGAAGTCGGAGCTGGGAATGACGTTACACCCGAGTTGACGGCGTTCCAGGAAACAAGTCGGAAAACCAAGATGGATGCCTACAGTTACACGTTGTTAGCTGTTGTTTACAATTGTACGCCGTCGTTAGCCGTTGTCAGTTGTTGTTAGCGGTTGTAAGTTGTTGTTAGCAATAGCAAAACACAGTATTTTACTCTTACAAAGACCGTTACACCGTGTTCACAGTTATGTTGCGTTCCAATTACCTCAGAGGTCGAGCTGGGAATGACGTTACACCGGAGTTAAGGGTGTTTTACTGGCGTTCCGGTTGAAAAGTTGGAAAACCAAGATGGACGCCTTCTGTTATCTCTTGTTAGGTGTTGTTGGCGGTTGTTAGTCGTTGGGCAGTACAACATAAAGCTTTCGCTGTCATTCTTTACTGTCGATGCACTGTGCTGCCATCTTGGATTATGACATTTTCATCAAGTAGGAAATCCGACCTCAGGGGAGGAGTTCCAGGTGAATTTCTGACTTGAAGTTCAGAAGTTCAGATTTCCGAGTATAACTGGAATGCAGCATTAAACAAGCCAACTGTCTGTTTGACCCACTAGATTCCCGAACTGAAGTCTGGGCTGGGCTCAAAGTTTCTCCTGTTGGGGAACTTTGGGACTTGTGTTGATTTTTGCGCCCCCCTGTGGACAAAAGTGTCTTTCTTACCTCCTCATTTGTCCTGGAAGTTGTGCTTTTTAACAAACCGTTTCTTTCCTGCAGTCTCCAACAGCCATATCTACCACTCATCGTTGATCTTACTGTTAAAAATCGTATATTTAAAGACCGGTCAGGGTATTTCATTTTAGACGCCTGCCCCAGTGGATTAAAAACCACAATATTTTCCTGATGTGTCTTTAAACACACACAAAGCTAAAGTGACAAAGCCTTACTTTGACCTACAGAGATTTTCGTGCAGGACGCCGAGAGGTGCCCCAAACATCAGAATTGGTTTTATCTTATTTGCACTTCTGTGTCTGTGCATTAAATTGTGTTTAATGTGATATATGTGATTGTCGTATTGCTGCCGTCCTTCAATTGAAAACAATCACTGTCACTATAGGTGAAATACTGCCATCTGCTGGTTGACCAGAGCTGTGACAGACTCATTCTTTTCACTGTAGTCTTTTAATTTGGAATAAACTGATGAAAACACCGAAACGACCTTTTTACTATCAGAATAAAACAGACACAATAAATCTAACAGATTGTAATCTGTCTCTGTTTCGTTCTTTGTCGTAGTGTGAGAAAAGCATCCGCTTGTGTAAAACTAAACCACGGTGAGGACTACGTCAGCATAGATAAATAACCATGCCTAAAAAAAAAAAAAAAGTGCTGTGACCTGCAGCCGCACTTAAACGAACCTGTGGGTGGTTCTGAGTGTAGTTCCTGTTGTTGTAGTTTGCATTTACAAAAAGTCACGGATGTGGGAAGACAGACTGCAGAAGTGCATCAGCGAGCTTCAGTCAAGCAGAGAAACTTTCATCAGTCTCAGTTTCACATCTGAAGAAACACAGACGAAGAAGGCGTGAAGATGAAGTTCTACCTGCTGATCCTCCTCGTGGGTGAGTCAAAGAGAAAAAACGACTTTAAACTTATTTCACATGTTTGTCTGAATGAATGAACTTTTATTGTTGAGTCTCATTGTCGAATCAGAAGTTTCAACTTTGACTCTTTGAGTCCCAGATTGAACCGTTTCAAGAAGTCCATCACAAGTGCAGAACAGGTTCTCTTATTAACTGGAATCACGTCTTAACCGCTCGACTTAAATATGGTTTGTTTTTAGTTATTTGTTTCTATGTTTTTAAATTAGTTTTTAATAACATTGAAACTATATTTTACTTTTAATTCTGCTTTTATTTTATCCATTGTTTTTATTGTTTTTTATCTTGTTTTGTCTAGTTTTGTACAGCACTTTGTTCAGCTGTGGTTGTTTTAAAGTGCTTAACAAATAAAGTTGAGTTGAGTTGAGGACAGAAAAAGCCTTTAAATTTTTCCACCTTTGTGATTATAAGAAAAGAAACTTCTTGAATTCCTCAAACTGAACTTCTCTCTACCTGTTATCAGTTACTTTTCTGCACTTATGTGTCACATCTTTACACCCTTCCAACTTCCTCCTGTCGAGAGCAACTTCCTGTTTTTGGGCTTGGCTGATGCTGCTGAGGTTTCGATAACCGCATCTCCAAAGTGAGAGAAAAAAACAAACTCAAATAGTCGCTTAAAGCTCTGACCTGATGAGACCTGGACTCGTCAGACCTGGACTCGTCTTGACTCCTGTGAAACTTAAACCCAAGGGTCCGAGACGGTGGATCGGACTCGGTTGACCAGAACATCCCACAGATATTGAGTTTGAAGAACATTCGCTGGTATAAAACAGAAATAAAGTGATTTAACAGGCCTGTTATTAAATCTCAGCTGCTAGCGTTTTTAAAGATGTTCGTCCTTGCCCTTTAATCGGAGACTTTGTCGTAAAAATTCACACCCAGACTCAAACGTATCACTTAAATGTAAATCAGATGAAGTCCCTGAATTTCGCCAAAGCTGTTGTTTTTAAATTCTGACTATTTTCCCGCATTTTTTGGTACATTTGAGTTTCCTCAGAAGTCAGATGTCGGAGCTGAAAATGACGTCACACCCGAGTTTTCAGCGTTTCAATTACCAAGTCGGGAAAAAGCAAAATTGGAGGCAGAGACAAAACAGCTACATCTACGAAAGTCATTTTAGTGCTTACTTGATATTCGGACAAGACAAGCGCTAAAATGACTTGGTAACTGAAACGCTGGGAACTTGGGTGTGACGTCATTTTCAGCTCCGACATCTGACTTCTGAGGCAACTGGAACACACCATACAATGCGGGAAAATAGTCAGAATTCGAAAACAACAGAACGGGCCGACAAGTTCACAGCTTTGGCGAAATTCAGGGAATTCATCTGAGCAACATTTAGGGGATACGTCTGAGTCTGGGCGCGAATTTTAACATCCACGTCTCCGATTAAAGGGCAAAGACGAACATCTTTAAAAAGGCTAGCTTCACAAACATTAGTATAAGACGGAGGGAGGCGATATTCCCGCCTCCTTTGCCTGGAAATGTCGTCACACTCTCAAGCCAAACGCGGGCATCGGCTCTGTACATCGAACGGAACATTTCTGAATCTCCTAACGCTAACCTGACAGACAATGACCAGCACTTCTAGCCAATCAGAGGCGAAGGAGGGCGGGACCTTCCCCTACCATTGTACAAAACAAATTCCGCCCGAGGGAGTTACTGATCTACTGCACTTTCTCCTTCGGCGTTGGTTAATGAGCGGACAAACCGACTTCGATAGATCACATGATCCGAAACTCATCAAAGTCTTTTTGTTTGTTGACGAATTTCTGTTTAATTTTCTGCCTTTTTGTTTTTTTTGTTTCCCTGCAGCGGCTGCTGTCATCCTATCAGAGGGCGACAAGACCCCAGAAAAAGAAGCAGAAAACTCGAAACCTGTGCCCACTAAAGGTGAACTACATCTCCTCCGATGTCTGACCGCCAGAATCTCGTTCTTGATTGTATTTCTTGTCCTGAGGAACAAAAGTGAAAATAGGTCCAGATGATGAACAGTCCTCTGGGTGGATTTATTTAGAGGTTTAATTCAACACATCATTGAGCTGTAATATGTTCGTATTTATGATTCTGTTCGGAAAAGGCTACGTGTGATTTCTTAACTCTAGGAATTATGACCTGAGCAGATTCTTGCACGAGAACTTAACATGCAGCAGCAAACGTAGCAGAGTCGAGGCTCAAAATAAGGAGAGGAAGTTTGACTCAAACATCAAAAATAGAGATGTGCGAATATGTCACCGTGATGACGGTCGTGCATCTTAGGTGACAGTTTTTCATGCACCAAACTCGAGTTTGTTGTCGGGGGTCTGATCGTAGTCAGAGGAAGTTTGGTGAGTCACATCCGCAGATCTTTGTTTCATGACCTACCTGACATCATCCCATCTCAAACTAAGACGCTTCCGTGACCAAAATTAACGAGACAAGAGAGTTGGGACAAGCTGCCGCTCTGAGAACTCACAGAAAAACTCTGTAAAGTTTGTCGTCAACTCAGGCGGCTTTGACGATCCAGGCGTGCCGTCAGTTAGTCCATTGAAACCATCATCTAAAGGTGGTTGGTTCTTGGTTCCTCTTTCCCACGTCTGCTAACGGCCTGCGTCAGACCTCGACCTGAAAAAAGTTTGTATTTTGCGCAACTGACTTAAAACCACGAACCTGTCAGAGAAGAAGGTCAGGCCACCTTCTGTTGGGGACCACAGAGAACCCGAAGAGCACGTCTCTCCATTTTTAGGTTTATCAGTTCGACTTTAAGAATCAGGTGGTTTTTTTATAAATATGTGTTTTTGATTTTCAACAGCTGACCTGATGTTTCTCTCGTTTTTAGCAGGCAACTCTACAGGAGAGGTTAAAGACGGCAGCGCTCTCTTCACCGCCAAACTCCTCCCTGTCCTCGTGGTCCAGGTCCTCTTGGGTTTGGTCGTGTTCGTTTTCTGAACAAAAGAAAAGAAAAAGGAAGAACCTCGACTCCATGATGGCATCTTTGTCTTTCGGGGTTCATTTATAGCAGCTGTGATTTTCTGATTCAGACGTTTTCTGGTGTCTTTATATGCAAATAAAATCACACACATGGACTGGTCTCTGTGAGTTTCATCAAATCTGGCTTCAGCTTTGTTAAACTGGGTGCTGGTTTTATACCGCCATCTGCTGGTCAACTAGAGCTGTTACACATTGTTTATTTTTTCTTTAATGCAGATTCTTCATTTGCAAGAAAATCACCAAAAATGGTGTAAAATACAGATTTTAAACAGTTTTTTTCTTCATGATTTCTTCGGTTTGTTATCAGTCAAGATTTTTAAACTTTTAGAAGTTAAAAAAAAAAAACAACTCAAAAATCATTTATTTCATGTTTGCATCTTTGAAAACTCGTTACAACTTCTGTCCACATACAGTAAAATGCTTCAACACTCGGTCAGCCTCGTCCGCTGTTGCCATATATCTCATTCTATCCAAAATGACCCCGAATCCGATTTAGAAAGTTTGAAAAGGGACAAAAACGAACAAAAACAAAAACTGGTATTTTCTCCTGCAGGGTTTGGTATTCTGTTAGAGAAGTGAAGTTGCGTCCTGATAAGGTTTTTATCAGATAAGAGATGTGAAGATAGTTTCTCTCGACTGAAACTGCGGGCAGCTTCTTCCTGTCCTGATAACTTCAAATGTGAGCGGATTGCAGAAACAATATTTAGACGGTTGGCAGTACGACTTCTTCAACATCTCAGGAAGAAGAAGAAGAAGAAGAAGAAGAAGAAGGAGAAGAAGAAGAAGCAGTGATGATGGTTTTCCTGCTGATATTGGCCGCTGGTGAGTCAAAGATATTAAAAACAACATGATTGAAAATAATTTGGACTTTTCAAAGTTGTTTTCGGAGTTACTTCTAAAGACTAAGAGCAGTTCATTCTGGAAATGTGATTTAGTTAAACAAAAGCAAAACTTTTATAATGCTACTTCTTGTATTTCAAAACTACAACGTTAAATCTTGACAGAGCTAAATTTAAAATTAAATCTGAGTGTAAACCAAACTGAACCAAACTTTGTCGTATTTTACTCACTGGAACGGCTCATAATTTGTTAAATTTTGTTGAATTTGATTAATTTTCCACTGGAAGGACGACTTTTTAAAATCCTCAAGGACGATTTATCATGTTTAACGTATCGGAGAGGCATCCAGGAGAACATTTTTCCATTTTCTGACAATGAAGGCGACCGAGATGAAACCTTATTACTGCCACTGGAGGGACCATCTGTCCAACTTATACAGGAGGGGCTTTTCATAAAGATCTGTTGGGAGCATTTAAAAGAGCGTTTACTTATTCACTTTTACCAGTCGCCTAAAGCAGCTGGACGTCGTCATGGTAACATCTACGTTATCATGACAGCCGTAAAAACCAAAGCCGGGCCTCTGGTGTGTTTAAGACGACGTTTCTAAGATAAGATAGGAGAGCGTGAAGTGATCGATATCGTTCACACTTAGTGTTGATCGAGTGTTTAACCTGAGAGTTGAATTCGTTCTTGTTCTTAACTGAATTCCCTGTTTTTAACAGCTGCAGCCTCTCCGCCAGAGGAAGAGGATGAACAAGAAACATTTTCTGTGATGAACAAATTCCTTTTGAGTTTGTTTAATAACAGCTACGAGTCTTTTCGTTTGGACCACGAGGATAAATCCACCTCCCTGTCTTTTACAGGTGATGTTGAAAGTTACTTTTGCATCAACACATCTTACTTTCTCCTAATTTGGACTTTTTACCTTGTATATTAGTCTTTTACCTGAAAAATATTAACATAAATTATCATACATTTGTACTTTTACTATATAATTTGTGCCTCTTAGCTCATAATTTATGTTTTCTGAAAAAGAACGACTGTCTTGTAGTTTCGACTCTCTTTTGTTAAACTAATAATTGAATCCTCTATATTGATCAGTCTGTCATGATGTGATCCTCTGGTGTTGTTGACATTTAATGACCCACTTGGCCTCTCTGTCTCCCCTCAGCTCCTTCACACATCTCACTGGTTGAAGCTGCTGTCGTAGATGAAACCTCTCTGCACTCCTCCAACGCTAACCTCTATCCAGTCCTGGTGGTCCACGTTCTCGTGATTTGGTCATGTTGGCTTTCTGATTTCTTTTAAGGTACAGTTTTTGACTGAAGATGAAGAAATAAACCTGTTCCTAGTTTTTACGATCGAACTTTTTAAATCCGTGCTTCTGAAATTCAGCGGCCTCTCTCCCTTTCTCCCTTTCGAAAATCCCGGATGTTTTGATGTCAAAGGTCAAAAAAATTATGGACTTTTATATCTTTTAATTGCTTACATTTAAAGATATCCTAAAACTCAATGTTTTATTTGATAAAACACCCAAAAACTCTGAATCTGCACCGTGTAAGAGTGTGTGGTGCCCCTGTATGCAGATGACACCATCCTTTTTATCACAAAAGCAGTTGATTAAAAATAAGACTAAAAATGACAAAAATGTAAAACATAAAAAAATGTTTCAGAAGATTTGTGTTTCTATAAATGTTGCAAAAGTTTTTTTGTTTTTTTTAAATAAATGAATATTTTAACTGAAATTTCTCTTACAGGTATATTTGTAAAACAAATGTAAAAACTGATGATATGAAACTTCAAGTTTGGGATTAATTATTAAATGACAATGTACCAGAAAGCTTTATTTGGATTCTTATATTCCTGTTGTACATTAACTCGCTGGGATGTTGACATTAACAGCGTTTATTAAAAGTTTTAAATGTGAAATAAGATTTTTATTTAAAAAATGACTTTTGTGTCGAATTTTGGATTTTTTTACTTATTCAACTTTTAAAGACCATGAAGGGAGTTTTTCATCATGGTAATGGTAATGAGATGAATTCAGCAACAATATAAGGTTACCTCTTTACCAACAGGGGGCGCCAGAGTCAATGTAGGGATTTCCTCATTGGAGCTTCAGAGAGAACAGGAGAATAAACACAAACGTATAAAAACTTTGTGTAATTTTACTTCTCAGGACTCAAGACTGTGCTCATATTTATATTTTTTTGTACATTTTTGTTGGTCTTAAATCTAAAATAAAACAAAGGATGTATCATCAAAGGAGTCCACTGTACTGTAGATTTAAATTAGGCCACATATCTGCAAAACAAGATCAAATTCAAGTATGTTTTTGGCCGATTATATCTTGAAATAAGACATTTTTCTAGACTTGTCTGATGATTTTGGCCTGACTCTGACCCTAAAACTGAAAGACACAGATGTCTTCAACGGCTGCTTGGATTTGAGTTTCTGCAGCTGAAGGGGCTTCATGAAAGGTTCAAAAATATCCTGCATGTACTTTGTTCCTTCAAACATGACTGTGAAAATTAGCACTTAGCAGCTCCTATATGCATGCGCCACTGATGCAAAATGCTGAAGACTGAACTGGCATCCTGTGTCGAATTGGGTCTGTGGTCAATGACTCACTTCCTGACACAGAGAGAGAGAGATTTAGAAGGCTGAGAGACATAGATGAGTAATGTAGACCAGAGAGAGGGAGAGAAAAGTAAAGGTTAAGGTTGAGAAAGAAACAAGTCTAATTAAAATGAATAAAAGAGGAAGACTTAAGGAGAAGGGGAGGTACAGATTCACAGGAAATCCAGAGGTTATTTTTGATCTGGATTTGTGGGTTTAGTGATTTAAAGATGAACGTTGGTGGTGCTGCATAAATACGATGTGCTGAATAATAATGTTGAATTGTGGACAGAGTTCAGAAATCCTGAGTGTATGCAAAAGTCAGTTATGGAGTTCCACAGGGTTCAGTGCATATACCACAGCTTTTAAAACTTATCCACTGACATATCTTAAACTAGAAAAGCACTCGGAGAGCTCAGACCTCCGCCAAGCAGCTCACAGTATCCGGAATTTTGTCTGGATCAGGATCAACCTTTGACACCTCATAAAACTCATTGAGATCCTTTTGTGTCATTTTTTTACTAAAGACTCTGGTCATTTTTATAGAGTTAAATGCAAAAATTCCAAAATGTGCCCTATCTCACAGTGATAAAGAATCCTTCAAAAAATTCCTGGAGCCAGAAGGCGATCCGGATCACCACCAAAATGTACTGGGATCCTCCTGGGGCTGAGACGCACCTCTGGTGAAAATTTCAGGTCAATCCGTCTGTAACTTTCTCCGTAAAGTTGCTAACAGACAAACAAACGCTACCAAAAACATAACCTCCTAGACTTTACCTTATATGCATGTGATAACCATAAATATATTTACTTTATATGCAGATGATGTCCATAAATGTATTGAAGCCAGATGGGATATCAACTGGACTGGAAGTGAGAAAATAAAGTAAGTTAAGGAGTTCCACAGGGTTCAGTGCTTGAACCAAAGCTTTTTAAACTTACGCATTGACATATCTTTAAAAAAAGATTAGACTTTACTTTATATGCAGATGATAAACATAAATATATTAACTTTATATGCATTTGATAACCTAAATAAAATATTTTATTTTCAGCTCATAACCATAAATATATACTTTCTATGCCGATGAAAACCTAAATGTAACACTATATTTTCAGACGATAAGCATAATTATAAGCAGATTGCAAAAAATATATTTACTTTATATGCAGATGACAACCATAAATATGAGCCTATAACCCTGAATAAAATTTCTCTATATGCAGATAACATAAATATTTTTACTTTATATGCAGATAACCATAGATACTATTACTTTATATGCATATGATAACCTCAAAGATAATTACTTTCTATGCCGATGATAACCTAAATATAATACTTTATTTTCAGACGATAAGCATAATTATAAGCAGATAACAAAATATATTTACTTTATATGCAGATGATAACCATAAATACTATTACTTTATATGCAGATGATAACCTTAAAGATATTTACTTTATATGCAGATGACAACCATAAATATAATTTCTCTATATGCAGATGATAACCTTAAATATAATTAGGCTGCAGAGAAAACAATGAAATGAAAGTGATAAAACAACGTCATTTAAGGAGTCCCACAGGGTTCTGTCGTTATGCGTGATACTATCAATTAAACGTCATCTATATGCAGATGATACTGTTTTCTATCTACCAATAAAGCTGACTGAAATAATTTAACGAATTACAAGTGTGCCTTTAAAAGGAAATTTGAGATTTTTCTTTGACTGTTTTGATTCAGTTCTAAGTAAAAAGAAAAAAAAAAGGAAAAAAGACAGACTGGGATGGATAAAAATAAACCAAGAAGACAGGAAGTCAAAATGACAGAAGCATGCTGAATAAGAAACAAAATTCAGAGAGAGAGAGGGAGGATGGGGAGGTAAGGCTGAGAGAAACTGAGAGGAAGAGGAAGAGAGAGAGAGAGAGCTAACGGCAGAGAGCTCGCAGAGAAGAAGTGAGAGTCGATATAGAGGAAGAGAGCGGTGACGAAGGAACTCAACAAAGAAAGTAAAAGGGTTAATCAAGAGCCTCGTGGATGGTGCACCGCCATTACTAAGAGCTTATTTTTAGGAAGAGAGCGAAGCAAGGGGGAAAAAAAAGGCGAATACATCATCATGATCAAGTGTTGGAGTCTTGTCTGCTTCCTCGGTGAGTTCACCTCCATCTTTCGCTCAACGTCAGACTGTTTGGTTACTGTACGCAGCAAAAGTCTCACAAAGTTTCACGGCATAAAACTGAAGATTAATTTACTTTTTTTTTTTATATGAGATCGACTCTTAAGTTTTAAAACTACCATCTGTCCTGCGTCATTGTACCTTGAGTTCACATTTTCACACCTGCGTTCGTTCGTCTTTTTTCACACATTCGAAAACTCGATGCAGCTTCACACCTCGGACCTTTGCAGAAGAGGGTGTGACCAACAAAGAACCGAGAATTAGATACCTGCTTCTTCATCGAAATACATCCAACGTGATACCTTTGGTTTGGCATTTTGGATTTTGCCATCCTACTTTTGTTTTAGGCGGGAAAGTGAACGTACTTCTGAGACATAAAAGATCACGTTTTTGCATCTCTTTCTTTCTCTGTTTCAGTTTTAGCAGTTTCATATTTCACAAGAGGACAAGATCTTACAGCTCAACACCATATAATCATGGAGGTACAGTACAGCTGACTTTTAAAACTTGAAATCCTTTCGCTTTTCTTGCACGGATACTTTTGATGTTCCTGTCGGGTCCTAAAATGTTCCTTTACCCTCTGCTGTCCTGTGGCCCCCTGCATCAAGTCTGTGTTTGTACGTCGTCATGGTGACAGTACCCACATCCTGCTTTTGCCCTGTTTGAGGAGACGGTGTGAACGTGTCTAAAACCCCTCTGACTGATTCTGTCTCCTCCATGTTTGACTCAGAGACCCCAACCACAGAAACGGTCAGTCTGGAGGGTACAGCAACCACCCCCGTGTTAACCACGCTGAATCCTCAGAACGACCCATCAGGGAATGAGACTAATGAACGACAGGTATTTAAGCTAACACGCTAAAGTCTTCACTGTACTGTGTTAGCATTCAACACCTTCAACCATCTCTAAATACCTGCAGCGTTGAGGTGATCGTACGTTTGGAAACCGTAGATTAAAAATGAAAAATTACTACATCCCTGACAACGCCATTTTAGGGTTTGAGTATCTGCGAAAAGGGCGGTTTGATACTTTAATTGAATAAAATATTTCCCTAAAAGGTCCCGACCTTGAGAGACGAAGCACGGCCGATTTTAGACACTGGAAAAAAAGTTAGTGTAACTCTCTTCAAAGGTTCCAGGAACTCTTGAGTGAAAGAAAACAGGCCTACCAGGGCTCGACAATGCGACTGTTTAACTTGCATTTACGACTAAAAATAGTAGAATATATGTAAGGGCACATGTGTGAATAAAAAAAAGTTAGCCAAGGCGACAAATGTTTTTTCATGTAAATCGCGCAGTGAAGTTAGTTTCAGGTTGGATGTTCCATGGACATTCACCGTGGATATAATCATAACCGGGAACAACAACAGCAGCGCAGTTAAATCTACTCGGCATCCTTGTTGTCAACGTCAGGTGTTAAATAAGGGACCGTCAATAAATTACCAGTTGATGTTCTCAGGAAAAGGCTGTTTTCCGTCAACATGTCATGTGACCAAGTGACCTTAAAT